GCGATTAGAACCTACCATCCGTCGCGGTAACTGACACCGGGGATAGGGGAGCAAACTAACATTGATACTTTGGTATAACCACGGTGTGATTTCACGGGATGGGATCGCGTGGTCGGATCCCCTTTCTTCCTGTGAGAAAGACTGGTCATGCGACCGTCCCGGGACATTTCGAGTGCCATCGGAGTTCGCCCTTTCCCGGGATCCATGCTGCGCCATGCGCACGGGTCTGGCTGCTGGCTTTTGAGAATTGCCTTCATGATCCCCAGGGCCCGTATACTCATCTCCAAAGAAACCCTGTAATCTTTTCCGGAAACGAGCACTGGTACTAGACTTTGAGCCTTGGCTACTGACGGTTGTGGCACTCGCAACAGACGGTCGTCGGTCATCGACATTGTAATCTAGCTCGAGCGGCTCACTCGTGTAAGTCCGGCCCGTGCCAGGGCGAAACGTAGCAGAAGCAGGCGAGGCCTCTTGTTCAGAATAATCATGGTAAAATGTACCCGGGCTGTCGTTGGGCGCAAGCTTAGGGGATGAGGATAACGAGGAGATTGGGTCGTGCTGGAAATAGTCGGAGTTCGATGGATTCAGATGCGCCGGCGGTCGTGACATTGAGCTGGAAGCCGGAGGGGGGCCAGGATCGTCGGCTCCCAGCACCGCCAATGCTCTCCTATGACTGCCAAATCCTTTGCGCTGGTCGGTGGGTGAAATGTCCGGGGCGATCCAAGTAAATTTTGGGTTGTATAGCTCGGGCGGAACTTCGATGGCGGGTGGAGGATTTCGGCTCTGGGAATCACGTCTGATAAATGTCAGTCTCCACGAACCAATGCTTTGTCAATGCTCCAGGTTGTAGCTAACGGCACAAATGCTGTGAACGGCAAAGGGAAACAGTCATGGGGAACGTGGACGGATAACCAGACAGCTGGTGATCATGGCATTTTATTTCGCTTTCAAAGGCCAAGAGGGAACAGTGACCAAGCCCGCTCGCAACCATGATGCCCATATCAAACAGCAGCCAGGGTCCTGGTTGGATCGGATTCAAGATGGAATGTTCTAGTGCATGTAATTCACCACGCATGTGGACAAAAAATAGCTGAAACAGCATGTCTCGCGTCAAGATGTCGCACAATTCAGCTGCCAAGATATCCTCCAGCCCATGGAGAGATCCGGGGACCAGGAGGGGGGAAAGAGAGTCAAAGGATGGCTTTCTCACCTGTCGGCAATGGTGGACCCCGAGAACGGGGAGACACTGCGGCCATTGGACATAGCTTGATTTTGCTGCTGACGGTAACCGGGATTGCCTCTGACAGTCTCTTGTGATAGCCAGCTACGGCCACCCGAGCTCTCCGAGCTATGCCGCCCTTCGGAGCGCTCGCCTGTCCGAGAAGCCATGGCGTTCAAAGTATGCGATGCGTACCGGGTCGGGTCGCCGGAGGACAGCCCGCCGGTCGGGGCGGGTTTTATGAAATTTCAAGGAACAAGAAAGGGAAAGAGAGAAGACGCCAGCATTCAAGCAACCGAATAGTCCAAGATCATCGATCCTCCACGGGAGGGCGAGACGGGTGCAAGGGCGAGCGAGGAGATAGATGGGAGGGGGGAGGGAGGAACGAAGGCCGACGGCACTAGATCGACTAGTGGCGAATGTAATTATCGTTACACGGCGAATAGCGAGTTGAATGATCAGAATTGGAATAGAAGCAGGGAGCGACAAGTTTCACGTAACGATCGAACGACTTGCTCTCCGAGAGAATAGGGACCCGTTATGGGGGTCGGTCGGCACACGGGGAGGAGGGGGGGGGAGGTGGTTTTGGCGTCGGGCGCGACGGTGTCAAGACGGGGGCTGAGCTTTCATGTCCTGGAAGGCAAGCGGCAGCGGTCAGAAAGCGCCATCGCAACAGCCCAAGGGCCCATGGTATTTAGTCGAGGACAAGAGTCAAAGAGTTGTAGGCATAAGGGCGGAAATCGGAGGCGTTGAGAGGGGACGTGGTGACTGGGAGAAGGGAAGTGTGGGGGTGAAAGGTGGTAAGAGGGAACAAACCGAAACATCACGGCAAAAGTTGACTCGTTGAGGCTCTCCGACCACGAGCTACCCTCCTTTGCGGGAGTTTCTTCAATCTTCAATTATTCCCCCCCCCCCACAACTAGGTAAGTTTCTACCAAAAGAAAACTCTCAAATCATTTATCAGAATTAATTTAATTCTCAGCAAGAACCTCTGAACAAGTTATTTTGCCGCAGTCATCAATCATTTGCTATCCAACTGGACGTCAACCCGCATTCTGGGGCATGGCTGCATGGTCCGTGAGGATGTCCGTGCTGACCCGAGGAGCCTGTAGACTGTAGTACTCCTATTATATCATCTTCTATCCCTTTGTCTGCGATCTCCCGGACGTGAGGAAGAGATCAAGATTATTCTGTAGGTCACGTTGCAGTTCGTGGCGTTATGAAACCATGGCGGATGATTCCTTTCGTTCCAGGTTTCGTCGGTCTCCCTGGGAAGAATAATCGGTATGTAGTACCTACTGTTGCGAAACTGTGCGACCGGGCTGATTACATGGAGTGTACGGAGTACTCCGTACATGCACAGGATATTGGGAGAGTACTGTAGATCGACTCTATGCAGCAGTGCAAGAGGCAGAACTTCGGAGAACATCGCGTCTCGGGTAAGTAGAACAATACGATTGGGATATGAGAAAGTCGACTGCAAGGGCTTCTCCGAAGGTGTCCTCCGGGTCGGATAAGCGCGGATGGCTGGCCAGGGATCCTCTTTCGTTATGCAGTTTTTATATATGTATAGATTATCTTCTTGGCATCCCACACATGCTGATATTTTGTTCCTTGAGAGAACTGTTTACTAAGATATTTGGTGATCATGCCCCAAAAACCAACCAGTAGGTGTTTATGCAGTTCTCAGTTGCAGCGCTTCATTCAGAGTGCTCTGTAGATAGTAGGTACTAGATAGTAGATAATCTCATAATCAATCTGGGAATTTAGGTCCGGGTCCACACGAAAGGGGATGTGGAAAATTGGCTAGGTTAGACTCTACCCAGAGAGCTAAAGATGCACTTAGCGCGCTTACTTTAATCCCGACCTCAAGCTAAAAGACGGTTCCAAGATCTGGACAGAATAATGATGGCGTCACCGCGTAAAGGCTTTTCGTCAGGTTAGGATCATCATGATGCCGGCCTTGTCATATCTTCCCGTTGCGCTTCTTGCGCTGAGTTCATCGATAAACTCTTATTTGCGTAGGTATCGCAACAGAAGATATACTAATTATGTAGAGCTACTGAGATTCGTTTGCGTCAGAAGACATGGAAATAATTCTTTTCTCCCCTCCTAGGCTGCTCCATATGCAAAGTGTCTCTCATTTTGATAGATCATCATGGAGCTTAATGAACCCAAAGGGGATAGCTCTTGTAGCCCTACCGGGCTCTATGCCTTCTACTGTAAACCCTGGTACCCCTTCTGCATACCCATGTGATGACAACTACCCATAGATTTGCAATTCAACCGTCAATCATGGGGTGCAGGTGATGAGAATACGAATTGTCTGCACAGGGCGAATGCAGGGTTTCTGGTATACGATTATTTGACTACCGCGACCAACCGGGTACCAACCTTATTGGTTGTGAGTTAGTAGAGAGTGCAGTGGATATTGGCTGCTTCGGTTTCTCTTTTTACGTTGAACATTTACCTAGGTTACCAATGCTCTAGAGTTGAGACATGGGGACCCTTTTGGACGTCAATAGGGCCGCTCCAGGGTTCTATATATATATATACTTGAGTTGCCTCAGAAACCGCCTCGTTTTCCCGCAATTCATTATTCATTCAAATTTCTACACATGAGAATCAATTGAGAAACGATACGGGGTAGTTTCGCCTGGATCAATCAACACCAACACGTCAAGACAGTTGGCGACTGGCCTCACACCACGCGCAGGCCAGTCTAACCCTAAGGAAATGTACTCCAGACTGCACGTCCAAACAACGAGGCGAATTTTTTGTTTATGTATTTATTCAGTCGGATTTTAATTTGTTATTGAGTTTAAACTCCGCATTAAACTCTCGTAGCTCAGCCCCAATTTGTTGCAAGAATAGAACGGGCGAGTGATCTAGGTCCGATGGTGGCTCTGAGGAAGAGAAAAGGAGGAGGTTGGGGGTGGAGCTGGCGATGAGCGGTGATGATGGATGAAACGTCTGTCTTTGCCCCCAATCTCCCGTGGCGGCATCTGTTGGCAGGGCACCGACGGAGTCAATCATGAAAATAGTAAGAATAATGATAATAGTGTCCCGAGACAGACATGACCCTGGTTCGGTGCGATGTACATCGGCGATACCTGGTGGTACTTCCGCCCGGAGGGTTACCTAGAGGCTAAGTAGGTACCTACTCCGTATCTCGGAATTGTCTCGTGGACTGAGTCTGATCCGTACAGTACAGGCAGCTCTTTTTTTAAACTCCGTGACGACTGACGAGTGACGACAAAATGCAGTCAAGGACGGTCTGCTGTTACCAGAGGGACCCAACGTAAGGACGATGCCCAATGGAGGCACGAGGCGGGCGTCGCCATGATGTTGGCGCCCGCCGGTCCCCACCGGTGAGGATGTAAAAAGCGAGGAGGCTGGACGACTCTCCTTCCACCTTTTGCATGATGGCTCTTGCTCGGCGGGCCCTTTTTCATCGCAATTTTGATATAAAGTGCCTCCCCGCTCAGTCATGCCCACTATGCTTGCCCTGACCTGCACCTTCCTGGATCTCGGTCGGCGTCCCTCACGTACAGTACATCCTTAGGGACTTCCACTTCCTAGTCGATCCGATCATCACCTACTTCTGCAGATTCCTTGGCTACTGGAATTTTAGATTAATCTGGGCGAGAAGCATACTACCTTGGATCGATCAACCATCCAGCTGCTTTTTCTTGACTCGTTTCGTTTTTTTTTTCTTTTCCCCTTTTCTTTTTAATATCCCTCTTCCTCGTTCGATTCTCTCTGTTTACTACCACCCACAATGAAGCTCTCCGTCTTCAATCTCGCTACCTCCCTGCTATTCTCTTCGACTCTGGTTGGGGCTCAGACGTTTTCCGATTGTAACCCCAGGCAAGACTGTCAGTCCTCCCGGCGCAAAGCTCAAGGCTCCCATAACTAACCCATCTTCTAGCCTGTTCCCCCAAACCGGCATTTGGGAAATCATCAACATTCGATTTCACCGAGGGAAAATCGGATGCCTTCCAAGAGACCGGAAGTCCCAGTTACGACAGCAATGGGGCTGCGTTCACGGTTTCCCAGCAGGGCGATGCGCCCCTGCTGAATTCGAAATGGTACATCATGTTCGGACACGTTGAATTCGAGATCAAGGCCGCTCCGGGGAAGGGAATTGTTAGCAGCGCAGTATTACAGTCGGATGACTTGGATGAAATCGACTGGGAATGGCTTGGCGGCAACAATGCGCTGGTGCAGAGCAACTATTTTGGAAAGGGAAACACCGACAGTTTCAACCGTGGAGCGACGCACAACAACCCGGGAAACCACGACGACTTCCATAAGTACACCATCGATTGGACAAGCTCGCAGATCGTCTGGCAGATCGATGGCAAGACGGTTCGGGTTCTCACTCCCGACACGGCGGAGGAAAACCAGTATCCCCAGACTCCGATGATGATCAGGGTTGGAGTGTGGGCCGGTGGTGACCCCAACAACCCGCAAGGAACTATTGGTAAGTGTTGGCTGCTCATCTGGCCTTATGGCCCCGGTCTACTATGTTGTGCTAACCTTTGGATAGACTGGGCTGGTGGAGAGGTTGACTACAGCGCTGGCCCCTACACGATGTATCTCAAGTCGCTGAAAGTCACGGACTATTCCACCGGATCTACGTACTCCTATGGCGATAAGAGTGGATCGTGGGAGTCAATCCAGGCTGAAGGGGGCAAGGTCAACGGTAACAGTGCGGCCGAGACCTTTTCTAGCGTCCAATCTGCCCCGTCTGTGACCGCGACGGTTGATAGCATTCCCATTCCTTTCAGTGGTACACACCGCGAAACTTCGAGCTTTGTGACGCCGAACATCTGGCCCTGGGTTCCGACGCCTACCAAGTCCTCTACAAGGCCCGAGCGGACGTTTCCCGATGGCTGGACCTCTTCCGGTTCTGGACCCGTCCAGCCGCCCAGCGCGGCTTCTGTGAGTGAGCATTGCCCAACCCCAGTCAATCATGCCCCTGAACTTGCTGCTAAATCTGGATGCCTCTTCATTAGTCTACTTCCCAATCTACGCCAGTATCATCGCCCTCTTCGCCGGGTTCAGTCTCCCCATCCGCCTCGCATTCTGGTCATGAATCTGTGACTGGGACCATCACCTCGACCGGTTTTCAGACACAGACAGCCGACCATTCTCTTACCACGACCGAAGGAGGAACATCTACCACTAGTACCGCACCTTCATCTACCATTGAAGTACACGCCGCACCCAACGTTAATACCGCAACCCCTATGATCAATGTGCCCGTTATGATAAACGTCCTTTCTCTGTTGCTCGCGGGTGGCCTAATGATGCTTTGAGCGCCACAAGCAGTACGAAAGCAGCAAAGAACGGATGCGACGCCACCACCTTTATGAAATGACAGACATGGGATATGAAATAATGACTAACACGATCAAGGTTGGTTTCATGTATGTACATAGATAGAACCTTTTTTTTCTTCCTTTCTTGTTTCCTTCTTCTGTGTTTTTTGTTTTCACCGCGATGTTGATGACAATCGTCAGTCATGTAATGTATGCATAGGGGGTTGGCTTTTTGTGCACCGATGCCCATCAAAAGTTGGGTGTTTCATTGATACATTTGAATTGTCACCGGCCATATTTTGGTCGGGTTTTGTTTCTTAGATGAGACCATGGCTTAGGCTACCTGATTATGTATGACTTGTGTATTCGATAGTTATTCTGGGAATCAGATGATCCTAACAGCACGTAGTGAGTCGGCTTTTTTGCCTACCAACTGAGAGAGTCGGAAAGGAGCCGAAGTAACCCGTTTGCACATTCTTGGGATACCGGGGGCTTTGAGCAGAAACTGACCGGATGATATTCGGTTTATTGTAATCTGACTCTCAGTCCTACTCACGCTACCACATGTGTGTACACAAACAATGAACCGGCATCAGTCAAGACACACAGAACGCGGGATCTTTTCGAGGATCAAGGAGTACAAGACATTCTTGAAATCAGCCCAGATAAAATCAGTTACCATATAAAGTGTACTAGAATATCAACATAAGCCTACGTGATCGTTACTCCGCACTGACTACTTAGTAGTTACTTAGGTATCGAGGTTAACACCTCATCTTATTATTTGTAGATGTGTGTGTGGTAGGTACCTAGGTAAGTCGTCCGGTATGTAAGCAAACCCCGAGTCTCAGCTGTTGCATTCTCTGCTTATAGTTTACCTATCCTAAATGAAGCAAGAGACAAAGAGAGGAGAGGGGGAGGGGAGAAAGAAACCTAGGACAAACACCCAGGAAATACCGCGGTAGGACTAGTTACGACCTGCGACGTCGTACATGTGCGAACTTGCCGTGGGACAAATTCAGAAAGGAAGAAAAGGTCGTGTCATGCGACGGTTGCCTAGGTATGTACTTGTTTAGATCGGTTGGCTGGTGCTTGTACGACCGTTTGGGTCTTGTTGGACAGGACGTTTTCGGTTTTGGTGTGAGGGGGTTTGAGGGGGGGGGGGGGCTACTGATTTAGTATACCTAGGTAGGTGAGAGTATAGTTATGGTCACTTTAGGGTTATGGTTAAAAGTAAGGTTTGGGGTATGGGGAGCGGAGGAATGGGGTGGAATGGTGGAATGGAATGTGGATTTGGTATGTAGGTGGTTCCATTTGCGGAGGACTAAACCATGACGAATAGACATTTAGTATCATTTTCTCCCCTTTCTACCACTACCTATCGCACTAAGCAAGCACCGGAATCTGTCAATAAACTACCTAACAATCCATAACCCCTTCCCAGCATATTACCTACCATTTCCCGTGAACGCCAGACCCAACATAACCAACTCCATCCCGTCCTTGCTGTCAATTTGACTTCTCTCCGAGCCTACTGGGCTAGACATGGCTCTGCCCGTCATTGTGCCTTCGACCGATTGGTCGGACTAGTCGCCGGAGGCCTATGAATGGGGTGTTGACGGGACTGTCGTCTCCAACGTAGAGGAACATGTCATAGAGCCAGCCGCCGAAGATACAACCGAGGAAAGGAGCGACTATGGGGACCTGAAGAGGGATTTCAAGTGAGCAACGGGAGACTGTTGTGGATGGAAAGGGATCAAGGTATAGTTGAATGTACAGGGGAATTAATATGAACATACCCAGAAGTAATAATTGCCTGCCTGCCACACCTCCGGCCCATACCCGATCATATACGAGACGAGTCTCGGACCAAAGTCTCGCGCCAGATTGATCGCATACCCAGTCTCCCAGCCAAAGCAGGCACCGATGCCAAAGACGACGAAGAAGAGCCCCAGCGGGAACAAGGGACCGGCCCCGAGATTGGCATCGTCCTTCAGCGCGAAGATCATGAACATGAGGATGGAGCTGGCGATGAACTCGGAGAAGAACTGGCCCGTTCGCGTCATGAACGGCGCCGGGTATGTGCAGAAGATGCCACCAGTCGCCGTGTCCGAGTACCCCGGCACCGTTCTGAGGTTGGCACCGCCCTCGTAGACGTCGATGGCAGATTTGTAGTTCCCGTAGATGATGGCCGCCGCGCACATGGCGCCGAGGACCTGGGCGGCGGCGTAGATGGGCCACTTGCGCCAGGGGAACTTGCGCAGGACACAGCTGGCCAATGTGACGGCGGGGTTGATGTGCGACCCTGACGCACCGCTAACATAGACTCCTAGCATGACCCCGAGGCTGGAGCGGACCGTGATTAACAATGTATTCGAGACATGACCGTCCACCAACCGGGAGGGCGCTAAGGAGGGGAGACAGGAAGAAGGAAAAAAGAAACAACTTACCCCCAGCCCCAGGAGATAGATTGATAGTTACCCTTCTCAGCATGACTGAGTGTAACTTGAGCGACGACGCCATCGCCAAAGAGAACCAAAATCATAGTACCAAAGAACTCAGAAAATGCTTCGCGAAAGTGCGCCCTGATCCTGCTCCAGAGAAGAGGAGGGGGAGCATGGTTGACATGTTCAGACGCAACACTGATATTCTCGCGCAGCGATACACCTGGTTTGGGACTCGAGGTTATGGAGATTCGAGTTGCATCTTGGGAAGTGGAACTTGCCATGACTTTGACCAAAGACATGCTATGCTATATAGTCGATGCAGGACTAGGTAGATAGCTGGGGCCTCGCAAGGGGAGAGCCCAGGTATAAGAAGCACGAATACTCCGAATTAAACCCAGGCGGTGCAATACTCAAATAGATGGGGGAAATGGTTATACACGAGTCCTCTTTAACTAGGTAGGTCGTGTCACCTTAACTGCGCTTAACCCGTTTCCCTTCCCTCATCGTGGTAGTAGAGAGGGCTTGATTGGGGATGGGCATTGCCATAGCCCGGAGAACCCCGGCTGATTTCCTCGACTGGTAAGAGGACGCTGGACCGAAATGCGGCGGTTTAGATCTTCCAATCGCAAAGATGGCTGTCTATACAATCCCTCACGCAGCAAGGACACCCAATCCCAGCTATACTGCGAGCCACATTGTAAATCATGACACCACAAACAGCGATAAAAGAGTCGAATGAATTGGGACGCGCTGGAAAAGCCTGTGTTTTGGTGATGATATCCTTGTCTACCGAAATCGAAGTAGGTAATCCTCTCGCAGCGAGTCTAGTCGCAACCAAAATCTGCTCGGCATCACCGGGCCCTGCAGAATCTTCACCGCAAGAGTGCACATGTGTCCGTGTGTGCCTACATTCTTGCTCATGTCCTTCGATTGAAGCTCGTGAAGGAGACGGGCGCTGGTCTCGCCAGATCCATAAGGTTGGAACAGGGCGGGTAGTCATACTTGCATAATGTTTGTCGAATGGCGTGGAGGAGACAAAGAGACCATATCATGTCTGTGTTACCTTGCGGTCGGTTGTCAATTGAATCACTTTTTGCTAGGGGGGCTCGGATGTTGTGATCAGTGACGCTGCTGCTTCTACCGCCTGCTGCTGCTCCTGGCTGCAGGGTTGACTGGCAGCGAAACTCGTTCAATGACGCGCTTGCCGCTTCCATTCCAGTCCATATGGAAAGCTGTCGAGGTTTGATTTTGTTGGGTTCGAATGCAGCGCATTTCCCTCGCCTAAAGTGCGGCTCTGTCACAATCATTCCCGGACATGCGGTATCCAGTGTCCAGTACCCAGATTCCAGGGATCCACCAAGATCTGGAAGACGTGCTGTCATGGACGATCATCCCCGCAATCTGGATCTCTGACAGGGTGGGAAGGGAGATGGAGATTGGAGACTCCACGATGTGGATCACACGGTGGAAAGGCAAATAATAATGAGTTAGTGAGTTAGTGCCCTCCTGTTTAGGGCCCGACCTTGCAGGTGACAGAGGCGCATGATCCCACGTGAGCCCCCCGAGGCTGGACCAACTAGCCAGACTCGCGTACCGAACTCGACTGACGGCGTCCTCGCATCGACTGGCGCTAACTTGGGCCTTGGGTCTTGGTGGCTCCGGTCTCGTGGGATTCAGCACTGGCAACGAGCCCGTCAGATTGAACCGATGCAGGGCATCTTATGTGACATTCCTGAAAAGGATCCATCCATCCAGGCTGGTTCCGAATGCTATGCTGGCCGAGTCCCTTAGCAAACATCCTCGTCCTCGCGTCTCTACGAATGAGAGCGACTCATGTATTCCTGGGCAAGGGTCGACTGGGCCACTAAATCCTGTCTTTGTATCAGATCCCTTCCCTCCATTCTGAAGCCTTTCGCTGGCTCCAGGTCCCGTCTCAGCCAAACTTCTCCCCGCAGCTTATTCCCTCCGAAACGGAAAAACTGTCGCACAACAATCGGTCCTATCAGCCGCTAGCTTTAGGAGGGGTGGGCGATATGTATATAAAGATCAATCACGACGGTTATTTTCCCGTCATGTTTCCTCGATCCATCTCTCTTTTACAGCCTACACGCAGGCGATCTTTCTGCCGTTTCCTTCCCACGTCTGGTCAAATAGGGGTTCACGACTATTCGCAGATAGGGTTCCTGGCGAGTCTACAAGGGAAAAATGCAGCCCTCGGAGATGTTCGTAGGGTCAATTGACCAAGGCACTACGAGTACCCGATTCCTGATTTTCAATCGTGATGGGGAGCCCGTGGCGTCACATCAGGTGGAGTTTACCCAGATATACCCTAATCCTGGGTGAGTTGCAATCTTCCTTCGTGTGCGCACTTTCTGGCTAAACCTTTTCTCAGGTGGCATGAACACGACCCCCTAGAACTCGTATCTTCCGTCGAAACGTGTGTCGAAGAAGCCGTCAAGCAGTTTGAAGCCGAAGGCCACTCGCGGCATGACATCAAAGGCATTGGCATCACCAACCAACGCGAGACAACTGTGGTCTGGGACCATGAAACCGGGGAGCCGTTGTGCAATGCTATTGTTTGGACGGACACACGCTCGCAAGACATCGTCAGCGAGTTGAAGGAAAGACCCGGGGCGTCACAGCTGCAGCAACTGTGCGGCCTCCCTTTGTCGACCTATTCCTCCTCTACCAAGCTCCTTTGGATGCTGGCCCACGTCCCTGCGGTCAAGGATGCCTTCGAGCGCGGCAAATTGGCTTTTGGTACCGTCGATTCATGGCTTGTGTATCGCTTGAACGGGGGCCAGCAAGCGAACGTGTTCGTGTCGGACCCGACCAATGCATCGCGCACAATGTTCATGAATCTCGAGACCCTGCGGTATGATAACACGCTGCTTGACTTCTTCGGCATCCGGGGTAGAATCCATCTCCCTGCGATCGTGTCATCATCTGATGCACATGCCTACGGATTCATCTCCCACGGCACGCTTTCCGGCGTCCCCATCATGGGCTGTCTAGGTGATCAATCTGCAGCGCTAGTCGGCCAGAAGGGATTCTCCCCCGGCATGGCCAAGAATACCTATGGCACCGGTTGCTTTTTGTTGTATAACGTTGGCGATAAACCTGTTATCTCCACACATGGCCTGTTGGCTACGGTCGCCTACCATTTCGATGGCAAGCCCGTCTACGCGCTTGAAGGGAGTATCGCTGTTGGCGGCTCCGGAGTGAAGTTCTTGCAAAATAACCTGGAGTTCTTCCAAGACTCCAAAGAGGTAAACGACCTAGCACTCAGCGTCGAGGACAACGGTGGCTGTGTGTTTGTCACTGCATTTAGCGGACTTTTTGCACCATACTGGATTGACGATGCGAAGGGGACCATCTGTGGGTGTTCCCAACAACCCCAACTAAAGCAACTCCTCAAACCCATGCTAACAAAACCCTAAGTCGGGATCACCCAATACACCAAAAAGGGCCACATCGCCAGGGCCACGCTAGAGGCAACCTGCTTCCAAACCAAGGCCATCCTCGACGCCATGGAAAAGGACAGCGGACACGCACTGTCCGAACTAGCCGTTGACGGAGGAATGAGCAACTCCGACCTTGCCATGCAGGTAAGTCAATACTAATACCCTTCCAGTCCTTCCAACACTAATACTAACACATAACCAGATCCAAGCAGACCTTATCTCCATCCCCGTGTACCGGCCCAAGATGCGCGAAACCACCGCCCTGGGCGCCGCCATCGCCGCCGGTCTCGCCGTGGGCCTGTGGCGCAACTTCGCCGAGCTCCGAGACATCAACCGCGCCGGCGGCGCCGTCTTCGAACCACAGGTCAGTCGCAAAGAAAGCGCCAAGTCGTTTGCTCTGTGGGAAAAGGCCGTGAATATGGGCCGTGGCTGGATTGGCGATAAGGGACCGCAGGCGCAGACCCAGACCCAGACCCAGACCCAGACCCAGACCCATAACCACAACCACAACCACAGCCACCATCGCGAAAGGCAACAGTCTCCAGAGATCGTCAAGGCTCAGAATGAAGCGGTGAAGATCGCTTCGAACAAGGTTAATGGGGAGATCATCGCGCCGGTCAAACCGCCGCTGTTCAATCTTTGTAGTGATTTGGATGATGCGGATGAGGAGGATCTGTATTTGGAGTTGAGAAGGGTGGAGATCTTGCAGAGGATGAAGAAGTTGAGGAAGGTGAAGGTTACGTATTTATAAGGCTGTGTTTTGATTGAAGCGGATTGTTTTATACTACCGGACGTTGGTGGCTAGGTTTGTTGATATGAGTGCGTCAATATATTTGTTTACGATTCTTTGACCAGGGTAGTGGAATGAAGGTGATAATTATAATCGCGTAATAGTGCTAAACTACAATATAAACAGCGCTGTAGCTGAAAATAGAGAAATAGAAAAACAAAACAAATCGTAAATTTATCGCCTTAACACCCAGTTTCTCCCGACGAACAACCAAACCGAACTATCCCGCCTGCCCATCCCTCACAAAAACACAATTCATCTCCGACCCGGGACTCAGAGTGACCTCGAACCGCAGAACCGGATCCTCGACCGAGTCTTTGCCAGTCGCCGGCATGGCCTGGATACGCTCAAACGCCTGTAAAATCCGCACGATGGTATAACCCATCTCGATGGTAGCGAACTGTTGACCGATACAGATCCTCGGGCCGCCGTTGAAGGGAATAAAATGCCATGGCTTTGGCTGCCATCCGGACAGCCAGCGCTCCGGGAGCCATTTCTCGGGATCGAAGTACGTAGCCGAGCCAGGGGGGTCGTAGTGTTCGGCGCTTCGCTGCATGGTCATCGTGGAGTAGATGATGCGCGTGTTGGCGCGGACGCCGACAGGGGACAGGCCGTCCGGGCCGCCGCCCCGGGGAAGGGTGGTGTCGCGGAGCGAGTAGCGGACGTTGAAAGGGACGACGGGGTAGAGACGCATGGTCTCGTTGAGGACGGCGTTGAGGAATTTCATCTCCTTGAGGTCGGCGTAGGTGGGCTTTTGGGCGTCAGGGCCGAGACCCAGACGGTGACGGATCTCGTCGCGGAGTTTGGCGACTATTTGAGGGTTGCGCGAGAGTTCGAAGACACAATAGGATAGCGTGGTGGCGGTTGTGTCGCGGCCTGCCAGGAGGATGGCCACGAGCTGATCGCGTAGGACCCGCGGATCCCTTGTGAAGCGGGCGAGGGCTTCCAGGAATGTCTCCCGCTTGGAGAGTTTCTGGTCCAGCTCCGAGGGAGACAAGGAGAGGACATGGTTAATGTATGGTTGTATAAAATCGTCCATTAGTTTGAGGTTCTGTCGGAATTGCGTACGGGATAGCAGGCCGCTGAATATCCTGTTTTGCAGGTTAGTGAGTCCACACAACGTTGGCGAGCTTCGACGATGACTTACCCGAGACGGAAGAACTCGGCCTGGCGATGCTGCACATATCGAAATGCTTCGGCAAAAGTGGTCTTCGGATTCTGAAGACTATCTGTACCCTGTCCGAGGAGATAATCGGTAGCCGCGTCGAGAGTATAGCGAAAGAAGAGAGGGCCAACGTCCACCACCTTGCCAGCAACAGGCGATCGCTGACCTTCCAATAAAGGTATCAGATGCTGAACATGCTTCTCGAAGATCTCCGTGTCGACGATCCGTTCGCGAACAAACATGGGCCGGATCAGATGTCGCGAGCGAGACCACAATTCGCCATCCGTCGCGAAGATACTATCCCCAAGGAACTCCTTCCACTCGCGATGGAAACTCTCGCCTTTGCCATAGTCGAGGAATTGGCCCGTGAGAATGGCTTTGATGTTCTCGGGGTCCTTGGTGAAGATCGCTCGGGTCGAGACGCCCGCGTCGAGCTCTGCGGTTTTGGGACAGTCGACCGTCGACGCGCCTTTGGCGGTTTTGATGGCATTCTCCCAAAATTCTAGATCCCGACCCGCCTTGTTGGATTTAATCGATCGGTAAATGAAATCAATGGCTACAAGACACCATGAGCAATCACCCCGTCCATGTTATCTGCCAGCCACATACCATACGGCAGGCGGAATTGGACCTGCGCAGCCCTACTTCCTAGACTCGCGATCTGCCTGGAGACCTGGATTTTGCGAAACAAACACAGCAGAAAAAAGCCTCCCAGCAGACAGAGGTATGCCTGCGAAGAGGTCATCTGACTGACCAGCTTGTCGATCATCCTGATGGGGTATAATAGTGGTCCAATAATGTCAAGGTGATGCACGACGATAATTCTGTCGCATGCAGACACTCAAGCAAGTGGTAGAAACATAAAGCCCGTGAAGGGGGGAAGTGGTCGAGGTCAACATGGAATTAGAAATAGGGCTGCAGGGAGTGGCCGGAGATGGTCTAAATAGATGTTTAACACGGACAAAAGAAGAAGATCGACGGTCTCGTCATAAGCCACCAGGGCAGTTGTTCCCCCGCATCACGACTTCAGGCCCGGTCCGCTCGGCTGTCTACCCTTTTGTAGGTGCATTCACACTTCTGGACCGTGTAGTGGATGTAGAGATGATTCAAGAAGAGAAGAGAAGAAACAGTCCCGTGACTTCATTCACGCCACCGTCAGCCACCACAGTCCCACGTGACTCTGTGGCTGGACGAGGTGCCTTGGCGTCTTTCATCATCGGCCAAGTTCCTTGCAAAGCTTCCAGAAGGAAAAAAATAACATCTCCGAGTGTACTCGACTTGCGACGGATACATCCCTTTGGATCCCCGGATTTTCCCTCTACTTTCGTCAGTATCTCTCGTCTCCTTGGCGAATATCACCCATATCAGCCCTTGTTTCGAATCTTGCCTCCCAACCGGGTAGCGCGAGTTCCAGCGACCGACAGCCCCGACTTCGAATCTTCCGTCCTAGCACCTTTCACCACCTTTTGAATCCCCCCGCCTCTTGGTCAACTCTGACCTTCTACACTCCCCACCATGACGACGATGGTTGCGGCTGGTACCCCGCTCGCGGAGGCCTTGGCAAATGCGATTCAACCAAAGCTGGTCGAGATGGGATGGAGCTCCGACAGTGGGGATGACTCGGCGTTGATCGAGTATGTGATCCTGATGCTGGTCAACGGCAAGACCCAGGAACAGATTGCCGGGGAACTATCAAACGATCTTCTTGGTCTTGGCGAGGGTGATACGCAGGCGCTGGATTTCTCAACATGGCTTTTCGAACAAGTCGAATTCTTGAACCAACAGATTAATGGGGGAGGTGTACCGACAACGACGGAGGCGGACTCCATGCAGACTATCCCCTCCTTTGGTGACCAAGCCGCGTCTGCGCCTTCGCAGCCGATGTCTCAAGACGGTGCAATGGACGCGGATATGACCATGGGCGATGGCGGGGCCGCCAACGATGGAATGTAAGTTTATTTCTGTCTTTGATTAATATTTCTTCATTGCGCCTGTTGATTAGCGCTTGCGATTTGAGCTGACTGAGAATTGAACACAGACCCACCGGACCTAAAGCAATGCGCAATGGTCGCCACGGGGGACGAGGCAGAATGCTCAACCAGATCAACCGAGCAATGGACCGTGCCGACGGCCCTCTACACCGTATACGGGGCCAGTCGGGCGCCGGCACCGGCCGAATCAATGCTCATGGCAGAGATTATCCGAAGGGGCGCTTCCAGAACGGCAGCGGTAGAATGGGTGGCGGACGTCAGATGGGTGGAATGGGCATGAACCCGAACCAAATGGCAGCCGCAGGGAACATGATAAACATGCCAGCGAATGATCAGATGCACCTGATGTCCCTTCTCGAGGAACAGGCGCGCATGATGGCTCAATTCATGCCCGGATTTGTCTCTCCGGCGATCAACCCGGCCTTCCAACCCAACGCCCCCCAACAAGGTCGCTCTCTATTCGACCGTGTCGAGCGCCAGCACGGCCGCCGACCGCACGGATCCTTTAACAACCGACGCGAGAAGCACGCCGATGTCAATATGGACATGAAATCCGACCAAGCACAGGACGGCGAACTAGATGAGAACAACACCAACAGCGTCTGCCGCTTCAACCTCCGATGCACCCGGAAAGACTGTCCCTTCGCACATCAGTCACCTGCCGCTCCCGATGGAACTCCCGTGGATATCTCCGATATCTGTTCGTACGGCGCAGCTTGCAAGAACCGGAAATGCACCGGCCGCCACCCGTCACCCGCCGTCAAGTCGGCACACCAGGCCGAAGAGCTTTGCAGGTTCTTCCCGCATTGCGCCAATCCCCATTGCCACTTCAAACACCCCGACATGCCGCTGTGTCGCAACGGGGCCGACTGCTCCGTGTCTGGTTGCAAGTTTACCCACGTTCAAACCCCGTGCAAGTTTAACCCGTGTCTCAACCCTAGTTGCCCCTACCGACATGAAGAGGGCCAAAGGGGGGCGTTCTCCGACAAAGTGTGGACGGCCGGCGAGGACAAATCCCATGTTAGCGAGAGGAAGTTTGTGGCCGACGAGGGCGCCGCGGAGGAACTGATCAAGCCTGATGGTCCCGCGGAGGGCTCCTCGCAAACCCAAGAGATCATAACGTGATGGTGGACGATTTGAATATGCAACACTTTCCCCCCCCCCTTTGTGTTGTCTTACTGTGACGAACCTGAATTTCCATTTCTCTTCTATGCTTTAATTATCATGTATTACTTTGTGCGCATGCAATTGATGGGCGGCTTGGTAGGAAGGGCGTTTTAATTCGATTTGGCCGATTCCCGACAAAAAGGGAGCAATATTCTATTGGCTTGTAAATAGATGTGGATATGACGAGATCTCGTTGCTGCTTAAGTCACCACGATCGTTGGGATTCTGATTCACCATATTTCATGTTCATTCATGGAGTGTAGACCTATATGTGCTGTATACAAGGTGCCTGATTAGTATGTAGCATGAGCGGACGCCGGAGATTACATCACCTGACTGATATCATCATCCGCGAAAGTTGACCCTCGTCTTCCCTACCTTCTTCCTCTCCTTCGCATTTCTCCTTCTCCTCATTTTCTCCTCCCAATTGCGGCAATGCGGTTGCCGCATGCCTCGAGCCATGCGCTGAAGGGGTCACGACTATCATTGGCCCTCGCCCGTAATGGACAGAGACGGTCTCTCCATACCCCGACGTACGACGCCGCGGTTGTCGGTGGTGGCATAACCGGGCTCACGACAGCCTACCGACTTTCTAGAGATCCGAAATGCTCTAAAATCACCCTGTACGAAAAGTCAAAGAATGTGGGAGGCTGGTTACAATCTGAGAAAATCCCCTTCAAGGATGGACATGTGGTTTTTGAGTATGGCCCGCGGACCTTGCGGACTGCGTTACCCAGCTGTCTCCCGCTCCTCGACCTGGTAGGAAGCTTCACGCATCAGGTCCATTCCCCGGCGACGACCACTTGGAGCTAACAATTTCTTGTCTGCTTCAGCTGGAAGAATTAGACTTACTCGGCGAAGTTCTGGTCACCAGCAAAACCTCCGCGGCCGCCCTCAATCGTTACATCTACTACCCCGACCATTTGGCTCGCGTGCCAGCGCCGGACCCTGCGCGCGGGGCGCTCGGCAATGCCTTGTCCTTGATGTGGAGCTTGTTCCGCGAGCCTGTGTTCAAGAGCATTTTCTTGGGCATCTATAACGACATACAGAGTCCTGCCCCGCAAAAGCTCAAGGCCGACGAATCTGTCGGGGATTTCATCTCGCGCCGACTATCGCCGGAATTGGCCGATAATCTGGTCTCGAGTGTATTCCACGGAATCTATGCCGGTGACATCTATCAACTCAGCGCAGAAGCGCTGCTAGGTCAACACCGTGAACCAGAAGGTGGGGTACCTAGTATAATGCTTCGGCTGATCAACGAAGCGCGGATGAACCACACACCTGAGCTCCTCGATGACCAACTGGCTATGGAACTCATTCTTGAGGAAAAGTCCCGTAGTTATCTAAACGCTTTGGCGGTCTTGGTCCGCCAGGCCAGTGTTCTCACCCTACGAAATGGCCTCGGCCAGCTCACCGATGCGTTGTTGGCTGCATTGGCCAAATCGAAGAAAGTCGATATTTTGCCAGAGGCGGAGGTTACGGCCATCAGCCGGAATCAAAACTCTTCGAATATAACAGTTAGTGTTGAGACCATTTCCCTGCCCAGTGCGCGCAACGATACTTATACGAACCAGATCAGTCACGGACAAGATGAGCACCGCATGCACAACCGTGTAGTTTCCACGATCCCAGCTCCTCATCTCGCAAAGGCACTGCGACAAGGCGGCGGAGAGGACAAGAAACTCCCCCACAATACGATTCAGGCCCTTGAAGAGCACAACTACGCCGTGACGGTCATGGTGGTGAACCTCTTCTACGAGAAGGAAGATTTGCTTCCGGTGAAAGGCTTTGGGTACCTGATCCCACGGTCAATCCCCTTCGAACAGAACCCGGAGAGGGGACTGGGGGTGATTTTCGGATCCGAGACTAGCGCTGGCCAAGATACGGTGCCCGGCACCAAACTCACGGTCATGCTGGGCGGCCACTTATGGGACGGCTGGACGGAATCCGACTACCCGGACCATGATACCGCCGTCAAAATGGCCCGCACCTTGCTGGAGAGACACCTGGGTATCACCGACGCACCGGCCATAAGCCGTAGCCGCCTGCACCGGAATGCGATTCCTCAGTATACTGTCGGTCATCCGGCTCGCATGGATAGGATTTCCGAGTCAGCTCGCGCAGATTTCAGCAACCGGTTGAGTCTTGCCGGAAGCTGGTACGGCGGCATCGGCGTAGTCGACTGTATCCGACACGCATATTTGACGGCGGCATACGGGGTTAGCGCGCAGAAGCTCAGGTCTGGCGGGCAAGATAGACCCTGGAAGCTCTTCAACTACACGCAGTGGGAGCTGGAGGGGGGTATTGTCAAGTCGCCGGTCCGGTTGGTCTGGAGAAGGCCCGACTCAAAAAATTGATAAACATTTAATACCATGTAAATATAGATTTCTGCATTGATGTTGCTTTCTATGGAAAGGGGGTTCGGGCTGCGGCCTGTCTGGGCAACATACTCGACCGTCTGCCATAAACACCAGATGTTCCCCTATTCCCTTGTATTTGAAACCAGTTCAGACATTTGCAGTATAAGAACGGAAGATTTAACGAAATCGATCATACAGCACGCTGTGAAAGATTACACCCTGAAGTTCCTGTGTAAATTTTCATCATAAGTCCTCATCCCGGGAGATACTTAATCCAGTCTGTAGCAGTAAGTCTCCCCTCGACAGTCCCACAGAGGACGGAAGAACACTTGTTGGTGATGGATTGATGCTGTCGGGTAAATGGCTATTTGTGCGGAGGGCCGATCAACCCTTTCTGAAGATAATCGTCGTTCATCATTCATCATCCCATGAAGCATAATATTCGCTGGGAACGGCTGCGCTGGAGCATCATCAGGTTCCGCAGCGAGTCTCGCCTGGCGATGCGGGGAGATCATCACGATATCGCAGTTGGGTCATAAAAAATAGAAGGTCTTGTGACGACCACGCCAGTTCATGTGATTCAGGCCTTCTCATTCTCTTGACCATCTGTCTTTTTGTCCCCGTTCGAGTCGAACCCCAGCCCTTCCAGCTGACGAATGAGTTCCTGGATCTTGATGACCTTGTCGAACTGCTCGGGAAGCAAATCCTCGCCCTGGTTCTTTTTGTCCCGCAGTTCGCGAGCCTGCCTTAACTTCTTCTTCAAGTTGCGTGCCTTCTTCTCCTTCTCAGCTTCGGGGTCCAGCGCTTCTTCCGCGGGTTTCGCGGTTCCGTTCGAGGTGGTCTTCTCTGCCGGAGCCCGCCAGTTCTCGATATCCTTCACATTCTTCGAGTCCGTCGAACTAGGGCCGTCCTGGTTGGCCTTGGCCTTCTTCTTGGCTTCCCGACGTTTCGCATTCTTGTTGCTGGAGGCGCTGGCGGCCTTGGTGTTGGGTTCCTCGGTGTTCAACGTTTCCGCACCAGGCACCCCCCCGGTCTTCCCACGATTCTTCCAGGCCTCGGCGGCACGGGTCTTGTAGAGTTCGACATCCTCAGGAGGACGGTAACCGGGACGCACGCGAATTTCACGACGTTTGGAGCCATCCGCACGCAAGGAGGAAGGGATGTATCGCTCGCCGGTCGCAGCGTCGGTGGTGATTCCGGAGTTCGTCGAGTTCGTCGAAGCCATGAGTGAATGAGTGGAATATGTTGATAATGTAGAGACTGAGAGAGTGAATAAGACAGTAGCACAGAGGTCCCACAGTTCTAACCCGGCAGATCAGAGACGTGGGAAAGTGAATGAATTTATGAAGATAACGATCTCAACTGGTGGGGGTTTCCTCTCTTTTTCTTTTCGGGAGGCTCTGCAGGGAGGAACCGGGCGGGCCAATCAGCGACCCGGTGATTCCCGGCAACTTCGAAACTTCAACTTCCTCTCCTTCCACTCCGTTCTCTCCTCGCTCTCGTCAATTGCTCCCTGCCTCGACTTCTCTTCCCCGCATTCCCTTTCTTTTCGCTCCATCCACATCCATCACAATGGCCGGCGCCGTAAGTTCTTCGTCTAACGTCTGCTTTGACTGTGGGAGGGTTCAATGGCTAACTGCAGCTCGTCTTCCGTCCAGATCGCTTCCGCTATCTACCAGCATGTCTCCCCCTCTGAATTGCGCCCTCGACCCGGACGCTTTAATCGGTCTTGTCTCGACTAATACCTTTTTGTCTGTTGTGTTTAGGGGCCTCATCCGCCGGAACGCGGTTTTCCTGACCACCATCTTCGCCAGTGCCTTTGCCTTCGAGATGTGCGTGTGAACTCCCGCCGCTATTTCTAATCGCGGCCACTGACCATACTTGCGACCACAGTGCCTTCGACTCGGCCTCGAACTCCATCTGGGATACCATCAACCGCGGCGTATGTGACCCATTGAGACACGACTTGGCCCCCTCCTGACTCGACGCATGATTGCATGATTGCATGATAAGCATATCACTAACCAGCTTTCCTGATCTATAGCGGCAATGGAAGGACATCAAGCACCGATACATGGTTAAGGACGAGGAGGAGGATGACGACTAAAGGAATAAACCGGGATTGATGGATGATTCCAAAGCACCTCATGTTGTTATAATACTTCACCGGCGAGACCGGGCAGGGGATGGGGATAGGGACTACTGAGTGTGAATGTATGAAATAGAGTTTTTTGTGCCAAACCTGTAACCACACTGGAATATACCGGGCTGCTTTCCTGTCTCAATTCATCATGTCCATCGTGCTGTAGAGAGGCTGCTCACTGTTAAGAGAGAAGCGGGAAGGTCGCGCCAAGCCGTCGTCATCCCGAGACCGCCATCCTCCACTTACTTCTTCGTCCCTTCACCTTGCGGTCAATTTGGCCTCCCATTTCTCTGACGTGTTGTGCAACCGCTGTCTATGGCTGAATAGCTCATCAGTCTGGAACCGGGAATATTCATTACGATTGAATTCTTGGTGGGTGCGTCCAGCCTTGCATGTTTGAATCCGCCAATCTTCCCCCCCCCCTCCCCCCCCCCCCACAGTGACATCGATTTCCTTTCTAATCATCGATAACTAAGCGTCAAATTGATAGTGAGCTAGATTTTTCTCCCCTCCTCCGCCTTCTGGGTTGACCTTCATTATTGTATCTCTCTTCTTTCTTTTATTTTTTTTTTCTCTTGTGATTTTCATCACTGCCCTCCTCGATACTCTTGGAATTTCTTTGACCGTCTCCCTAGGGTTCCTCCTAACCTCGACCTCTCCTCCGCTTCCGCCACACCGAGCCCCATTTCTCTCGCCCAACTTCCCCTCAATACCGCCATCGGGCTCGAAACATTTGGACAGCCGCATGGGTGTCGCTTCGTCACGGCAACAACGGTAAATGATGCTCACGGAATGTGAGAGGATCCTGGGTCAAGGCCTCCTGCGACTTCCGGCCAAGCATGGTTATCGCTATGGCCCCCAGGCGGAGAGGGACCTACTAGAACTTCTTTTCCGCTCCCTCACCGGCCACGACGAGGGTCGCCTTCGAGAATTATTCCCCGACGGGCTGCCCGCCGGTCCCTGGAGGCTGGCGGAGGCCCAGGGCGCCAAGGAAGGAGCTGAGTACACCGAGGCGGCGCGGGGCAAGCGGTGCGGCCATATCTTCCGAGCCGGCGAGGCTACCTACCGATGCGTCACCTGCGCTGCCGACGATACGTGCGTGCTCTGCAGTCGGTGTTTCGACTCCTCCGACCACACCGGCCACCAGTACCAGATCTCGCTGTCGTCGGGCAACTGCGGCTGCTGCGACTGCGGGGATGAGGAGGCCTGGCGGCTGCCGTTGTTCTGCGCCATCCACTCGGAAAGTGAAGAGAAGAAGAAGGACAAGGACCGCGCGCAGTCGCATCTGCCGCGGGAGTGGGTGGACAATATCCGGCTGACCATCTCGCGCGTGCTGGACTACTTCTGCGACGTGATCTCGTGCTCGCCGGAGCAGTTGCGGCTGCCGAAGACCGTGGAGGGCATCCGGCAGGACGAGGAGGCGTCGCGGCTGCGGTCGGAATGGTACGGCGAAGGGGACCAGGAGGAGACAGAACCCGAATTCGCGGTGGCCCTGTGGAACGACGAGAAGCATACGATCCGGGACGTCGCGCATCAAGTGAGTCGGGCATGTCGACAGAACGACCGGTTTGGCGTGGACCGAGCCCACGAGACAAACGACATTGGACGCAGCGTGGTCAAATACTCCACGAACCTCGAGCAATTGTTGAATGTCTCGAAGGTGATTGAGCAGATAAAGGTCACCGTCACCATTCGATCGTCTCGGGACACGTTCCGGGAGCAGATGTGCGGTACCATCGTGGAGTGGTTCGCCGACATTGCGGGATGCAGCGTTCTGGGTGATAACGAGATTTTGCGCCACACCATCTGTCACGAGCTGATGAGTTCTTGGCAACGGGGTAGCGGTGCTTATAACGCAGAGATCGGTCTTCGGGGGATCGATGACCACCAGCGTTCGGAAAATGTCCCATTCCGGACAGTCATGCTCACCGTATCCCCTCAGGGCCAGGTGGTTTTGGCCGCCGGCAACGACGATGACGATGACGACGATCTGGCAAACGGGGACGAACCGGATCCGAACGAGGTGGAGGGCGATGATGACGATGAATTTATTGAACATGACGATGCTGATGACGAGGATGAGGAAATGGAGATTGATCTTAACCGCCTGCGGGAAGAGGTGGATGAGGATGAGGACATGGTGATGGGCAACGCTGATGATGTTCTTGACATCGGCCACCACCTCATGGGCTTTGTGACCCAACGGACGCCGGCTCCTGAGGATGAACCTCAGCAGGAGCAGCAGAATGGACAAGAGCATGGAGAGAGGCAGGAACAGGAACGGCATCAACCGACCCAGTCACCTTCGCAGGTTGAGGAGGCCCAGCAATCTACGTCGAACAATTCCGGTTCCGGTGACAACGGCGAGGATACCGCGATGGAGTATATCCGCATTCCCAAGACGCCATCTGCAGTGGTCAAGCCCTCGCGAGCCAGCACTCCTAGTTACTGGCGAGTGCGGCCTTCTGTTCCTCTCAAGGGCGATGCTGTGCCCCCGTACGAGGACCTATGGAAACGAACGCGACTTGACTGGATGATTCTTTTTGACCTGAGGCTGTGGAAGAAAACGCGTACCGACCTTCGCGACCTTTATATCGGCACCGTGGTGAATGTTCCGGAGTTCAAGCGAATTATCGCGTTGCGCTTGTCTGCTCTCTACACGGCATTGGCGCAACTATACCTGATTGCCGACCGAGAACCAGACCACTCCATTGTCAACTTGTCGCTGCAGCTTCTCACGACGCCCTCTATCACCGAGGAGATCGTACTCCGAGGAAATTTCTTAACCAAGGTCATGGCCATCCTGTATACGTTCCTCACGACACGGCAGGTTGGTGAGCCATTCGACGTGAATCCCAATGCCACCTTGGCGTTCGATGCTGGTTCCGTGACAAATCGCCGCCTGTATCACTTCTTCCTCGATCTGCGATACCTCCTCCAGTCAGAGTACGTGCAGGCCCGCGTGAGGACGGAGGATCAATATCTCGGTCAATTCTTGGATCTGGTCAAGCTGTCGCAAGGCATCTGCCCTAACGTGCGCGCTGTGGGGGAACACGTGGAGTACGAGACGGATGCTTGGATCAGCGCGTCGATTCTCATGCGCGAGATCAACCGACTTTGTCGCCAGTTCTGCGAGGCGTTCCGAAACCCTGAAGTGGATGGCGGTGCCAATCTACTGAGAGCGATGAAGGTGGCTACAATCACCGCTGTAGCGCACTCTACAGGCGTCGAGCGCCAGCGTTTCGAACAGGCCGAGATCAAGGACTACGTCTCATTCAAGACCCTGCCGCCTTTTGATTTCGAGGTCGATCAGAGCCACATTCCCCGCTATCGCGTAGTATCCTTCGTTGTCGAACGGGGCTCTATCAGTTTCCACCATGCTCTGCATTATACCCTCTCCTGGCTACTTGAATGCGGACGTGGTATGAGCAGCGCCGTGATGCGGGACGCCCTGTTTGAAGCTGCGAAGGTTGCCAATGACAAGTTCATCCACGATAGCACCCTCGGGCCGGAAGATCTTCTGCTTTCAATGTTTGACTATCCCCTCCGGGTGTGTGCGTGGTTGGCGCAGATGAAGGCTGGTATGTGGGTGCGCAACGGTCTGAGCTTGCGCCATCAGATGTCGCAGTACCGTGGTGTCTCGTCCCGCGACTTTGCCTACTATCGCGATATCTTCCTGCTGCAAACCGCCCTGGTAACCTGTGACCCTAGCAGGGTGCTTGCGTCCATTGCGGATCGATTTGGAATGGTGGATTGGATGACCAAGGACTACACCCCGCGCCCCAGCTACGAGGATACCCAGATTGTCGACGTGGCCGAGGAATTCGTGCATCTGCTGGTGATCCTCTTGACCGATCGGAACTCGCTCACGGCCATCGACGACAGCGACCTGGCGATGCACCAGAACATTAGCCGCGATATTGCGCACGTGCTGTGTTTCAGGCCTCTCTCCTTTTCGGACCTGTCCACCCGCCTCAGTGACAAGCTCCTGGACTCAGACATGTTCCAGGACGTGCTGGAGGAGGTGGCATCGTTCCGCCCGCCAGAAGGTCTCAACGACACAGGTACCTTCGAGCTCAAGCCGGAGTATCTTGATCTCATCGACCCGTACAGTGCCCACTACACCAAGAACCAGCGCGACGAGGCAGAGAACATCTACAGGGAGTGGGTAGCCAAGAAGACCGGCAAGAAGGCATCCGACGTCGTGTTCGAGCCCAAACTCCGTCCCATCACCTCGGGGGCCTTCTCGGACCTTCCTCGTTTCACCCGGACCTTGCTGTTTGCCCAGGTGGTCCACCACTGTCTGGAATACGTGATGTCCTCGAAGGATCGTACACCCAACATTCCCTCCACGCGCGTGGAAACCTTCCTGCAAGTGGTCCTGCACTTGATTCTCGCCGCCACGCTGGAAGACAACGCCGGCGATGACATGTCGGACGAGTCGTCTTCTTTCGTGTCGCATGCCTTGACCAAGGCCCGGGAAACCCAGGCTGGCTACTTGACCATCATTGGTCTGCTCGAGAAGATCTCTATCATGGGCGAATTCTCCGCCTGTGGCGCCAAGATCCGGCATATCTTGAAGCGGCTGTGGCAGAAGCGGCCTGGAGCGTATGCGTCGGCCACTGCGTCTCTCAAGTTCCCCTTCGATCGGATTGAGACGAACTCGCCGGCTATCGATACGGACAATGAGAAAGAGACTAAGAAGAAGCAGGCCTTGGAAAGACAGGCACGGGTCATGGCTCAATTCCAGCAGCAGCAACAGAACTTCCTGAACAGCCAAGGTGACATCGACTGGGGCGAGGAGGACTTCAGTGATCTCGAGTCGGAGTCCGAGGCTGCTCCGGAGGCCAAACTCTGGAAATACCCCAGTGGAACCTGCATTCTGTGTCAAGAGGAGACCAGCGACTCTCGACTCTATGGCACATTCGCCCTTATTCAGGACAGCAGCATCATGAGACAGACCGACATCCGGGACCCCGACTGGATTCGAGAGGTGCTGAAGACCCCGTCTAGCCTGGACAAGTCTGCGGAGGCTATCCGGCCGTTTGGAGTTGCTGGTGAGAACCGCACGATGGTGCGTCGACTGGATTCGACCGGTGGGGAGGTGATCAGCGAAAAGGTTGGACTCAGCAAAGGCTTCAACGCGAAGAACACCCTCCGAGGCCCCGTTACCACTGGCTGTGGGCACATCATGCATTACTCCTGCTTCGAGGTCTACTATACTGCTACACAGCGACGTCACACCCAGCAGATCGCGCGAAACCACCCCGAGTGTCTGCAGTTGAAGGAGTTCGTCTGTCCCCTCTGCAAGGCCTTGGGCAATGCATTCCTTCCGATCACCTGGAAGGGCAAGGAAGAGTCTTATCCCGGCCCTCTCAGCACCACGTCATCCTTCGACGAGTTCATGGCCACCGAGGTCAAGGCCATCTTTGCGCAGCCGCGGAACTACAACCTTCTCATGGACAACGGTAGCGGCAACGCCTCGACGAGCCAGCACCAGCCCTACCAGGATATGTTCGTCGATTACCTCTCCAAAGCACTGGTGCCTCCGCTTGCCACCAAGGTAGACCAATTGATGAATTCTTCTCTCCCATCTACTACGCCTTACATCCCGCCAGCCAGGATGCCCATGCCTGGTATCTTCCCGGCTCAGGATGAAGTCCCTACCCCAAGCCCTCTCCAACATGTTTCCAGTCCCAGCGACAGTCCCATGTCGGAGCTTCTCCAGATCTACAAGCGGTTGAAGAAGACCCTGCGGCTAAACCACATCTACTCGACGTTCAGCCATTCACCTGAGACTATCAACACGGACGATCTGGTGCATACAGACTCCTTGTTCCAGACCTTTGGCTTCAGCATTGCTGCGGCCGAGATTTCGCAGCGCGGCGTTGAGTCAGAACCGGGCGCAACCCTCCTCGACAAGATCCCCCAGCTTACGCTGACCCATCTCCGCGTTTTGGCGGAGACGGCACTGTCCTACGCGGCCGTCGGGTGCCTGCACGACCGTACCAATCCCCACAGCCGCTCGATCGATGAGTTCCAGGAGATGCACCGCCACAAGATCTGCCAGCTGTTCGTCGGCCACCCCAGCCTGCAAGGCACGGCGCTTGTCGATGACGTCCGTGAGATCGAGCCTCTCCTGGGTATGGACACGTTTGTCTTCTTAGCCGAGAGCTCGCTCTCGCTTCTGCCGGTCCTCGACATGGATGTCCGCCATCTGATCCAGATGTGCTACGTGGCGGAGATTGTCAAGGTGGTCGTGACCTACGCGTTGTGGCCCCTTGGATTGAAGGAGGAGCTGGCTTCGAATGGGGAAGCGCATTACCTGCTAGACACGGAGCTGTCCGATGAGCGGTACGAAGCGACACGGCATTTCTTCAACTTCGTCGTCTCCGAGCTCAAGTCGAACTCGGTCGGACGCGCCGAAGGGTCCTCGTTCCCTGCCGAGAGCGGCTACGTCAAGGACGGCGAGGACTCGGTCACTCCCGGCGTCGTGATTGCGCTGCGACGTCTCATATCAACCTACGCGCTGACCTTCCTCCGCAAGGCCGTCATCCTGCTGCACGTCCAACACGGCGTGGAGTTCCCCAGCACCGGCTTCGCCGACCTGGGTGCATCCGAGCTGGACCGACTCACCAAGATGCTGCAACTGCCGACCCTGGATGACATCTTTACAGGCATGCGCCCTGCCCGCGCGAGCAGCCGTCCGTTCGACGGGGTTATCTCGGGGTGGATCTTCCACTGGAACGCATCTCGATCGGGGATCCGCATCGGCGACCACAAGCTGTGGCCCAGCCTGACGCATCCGGCCATCTACGAATTGGTCGGGTTGCCGAAGTATTTCGACAGCTTGATCGAAGAAGCCAACCGACGCCGTTGCCCGAAGTCCAAGAAGGAGCTGACCGATCCGAGCATCTGTTTGTTCTGCGGAGATATCTTCTGCTCGCAGGCCGTATGCTGTATGGAGAACAAGCTAGGCGGATGCAACCAGCACCTTCAGAAGTAAGTTTATTTTACTCGTGTACCTTAAGATCATGTACTAACTGATATCTGCAGATGCGGCAAAAACATCGGACTGTTCATCAACATCCGTAAATGCACCGTCCTTTACCTCCACAACCAGAATGGGTCCTGGCACTATGCCCCGTACCTGGACCGACACGGCGAAGTTGACCCGGGACTACGACGCAACCGCCAGCTGATCTTGAATCAGAAGCGGTACGACCGACTCCTTCGCGACGTATGGCTCTCGCATGGAGTGCCCGCAACGATCAGTCGGAAGTTGGAAGCGGACATCAACAACGGAGGATGGGAGACGATTTAAGTCAATTATTCAGAACATACTCGAAGAGGGAGGAGTGAAGGAAGGAAAAGGATGAGTACAATGCATTAATCAACTCCCATGTCTTATCTTTCTTTTTTGTGTATCTTTTTTCTTTTCCTTTTCTTGTTCTTATCTTTATTCTTCCTACATGGTTGTTCCATATTCATTTTTTCTGTTGATTGATGATGCATTGATACCTTCACGGGTGAGCCAAAAGCCATTGTGACGAGCTTGTTTGGGGTTTTCTTTTCTGTTGGACGTTATACATAGCTATTAGAATGAAGGGTTATTTGTTTCCGATTTATCAGAATCGGGCTGCATACTCCGTAGTATACATAGTAAGTCCATCAGTCAGGGTGATTCCATATACGTATGGTTGAGTTGCTGTCGACTAACACTTTGTGCAAATTAAATTCTTAACCGGCTGAACCCGCGTATAAATTATAAGTCACTGATAGTTCCCTAGCTAGTAAGCCTTTGGTCACAACCCTGTTGGTAAACCTTGTGGTTGATAGAGATCGTCCGGTCGTGGGTGATCCGCGCGAGTGCACCTTTTTTACTGAGCGAGCGCCCGCAGCTCTCCGCCTTTCCCTCCGCAACCGTTCGCGATCGAGACGATCTTCCTTCTCTTTCTGTTTTTTTTCTTACGCTTCTTACGGAGTAATTCCTGCGTGTCTCTCTATCTCTCTATTTTCATCTGTCACTTTTTCCTCTCTAGACAGACACGACCTGCGACCGAGGACGGAATCTCTCTTCTCCATGTCCTTTCGTTCACCATGAACAACGAACAATTTCGGCGTCTCCTTCTCGACAACGCCTCGAAATCCCAGAACCAGAAACAGTCCTCCCAATCTCCCAAGTCCCACGATTCATCGCGAGGTCATGGAAATGCAACGCCCGCTGCGGCTCCCTCGCTGGGATCTCGACTGAAGTCGAGCATTCCCATGACGCCGTGAGTTTTGTTCCTTTCTCACCCTGCCCAACCTAGTCCATCTCAGCTCAACTCAACAACCGTTCCACGATTTGTCTATCTTACCTACCTTGCTACTTCCCTACCTACCATACAGACTCCAGCTAATCTAACCTCTACTCTTTCCATCCGATACAGTCGCACCGTCGGAAACATCGACTTCGCGCGCCAACTATCCGACTACCACCGCGAGCAACACGCCCCGCCCTCCAAACGATTCAAATCCTCCGCGGCTCCGAAAGGCACGAAACTACCCTCCGGATATGAAGACCGAGCTGCGAAGCTCCGCGCCCTGGAGGAGGCGGGCGAGGGAGAAGGCAACGGCGGCGGCGGCGACGATGGCGAAAAGACGGATCTGGAGAAACGCGTCAAGGCGCTTGAGGAGATGGTGAAACTGGGACAGATCGATCAGGCGACGTTTGAGAAGCTACGGGGTGAAATGGGGGTTGGTGGGAACGTGGGGAGTACACATATGGTCAAGGGGTTGGATTGGGAGTTGTTGAGGAGGGTGAGAGCTGGGGAGGATGTGAATGCGCCGGGGAAAGAGGAGGAGGGGAAGGATGGGGAGGGAGAAGAGGAGAAGGGAGAGGGAGAGGAGGATGTGGACGATGCGTTTGATCGGGTGTTAGAGGAGAAAGGGGAAGCGCTTCCCTCTGCGCCGAAAGAGACGGAGCCCAAGAAGAAGAAAAAGGGGAATCTGGCCATGGCGCCTCCAGCAGCTCCGACTCCGCTTCCCAAGACGCGTGACGAGATTCTAAGACAGTTGCGGGAGAGTCGAGAGCGCGCTCGCTCGACGGCGATGGCACCGCCACCGCCACCAGCACAACCGGCTGCGCCGGAGTCTGTGCTGGGAGCACGGTTCAAGAAGGTCGGGGATGATGCTACGAAGGTGGAGAAGAAACGATGGGTGGAACAGGATGAGAACGGTCGACGAAAGGAGATCCTGCAGATTACGGATGCTCAGGGCAATACGAAGAGAAAGGTACGGTGGTTGGACAAGCCAGGCCAGTCGAACGGGGGCCTGTTGGCGCCGGACAAGGATGCAAAGCCCCTTGGTATGGAGGTACCGGTGGAAATTGCGTCCAAGACTGCGGCCCCGGTCGAGGCGGAGGACGAGGACGACGATATTTTCGCAGGGGTTGGGGCCGATTACAATCCCCTGGGGGATCTGGGCGAGGAGGACAGCAGCTCCTCAGATTCCGAGGATGAGACCTCAGTGGATGAGAAGAAGATCGAGGAGAGGGCCAGTGCGGATACAGGTGCGAATACAGACAGAAACACAGCGCCGCCTGCCGTGGAACCTACGGAGAAACCATCGCGCCCGCGCAATTACTTCTCGACGTCGACGAGCGACGAGCCCGAGCCCGTTGATCGATCCAACCCCCTGACCAAGGACCCGACGCTGCTGGCTGCGCTGAAGCGCGCTGCTGCACTGCGACAGGGCTCGCCGTCGGATGAAGCCGCAGAAGGAGGAGACGGCGACGAGGGCGTCGACTCGGACACGCTCCTTCGACGGAAGAGATTCCTGGAGGAAGCGCGACGACGCGAAGCGCAGGATGCGATGGACATGGATCTCGGGTTTGGCAACAGTCGCATTGAAGACGAGGAGGATGAAGAGGGGCCGACGTACGATGAACAACGGGGCGGCAAGAAGAGGAAGCGAGGGCCGAAGAAGAAGAAGGGGGACAAAGACAGTGTGTCTGACGTGATGCAGGTGCTCGAGGGACGAAAGAAATAAACCGGCTGTTGGGTCTGCTAGGAATATTCAATACCTGGAAATGGCAAATCTACGAGACCTCGAACTATCGAGCTATCGAACTATCGATCAATCAATCAAGGAAATGGACTGATCGTTACAGATCCGTTCCTGCGTCTTTTTCCACTCCTCCCCCTTTCGACTCTCGGATCGATGCATGCACAGTGGCTGAATGCCAGTTGTTTCAGCGTCAGGCACCAGGATAGCAGGACAGGCTAGTCGCGGTGCACTACTGTGTGTGCAACGTATTCCGAGTCCGACATCCAACGAACTCTTCCAGTCTCGACGCCACCACCGGAAGAAGCGGGTCTGGCGTGGCATCGCACTGGATGGCCTCGGGCGAGCATGTGGGCCCAGACCGCAGTCAACGTCAGCAAATTCACACCGGGTTCTCGAGAGGACTCAGAGGAGTTTGTGGACTGATTCTTTCGAGTCCAGAAGGGGATGGAGAAAGACTAAGAGAAAGTGAGTGGATCGCGGACGGGGTGGGCCTCGAATGGGTTGAACAGTGCAGGTGGCAGCAACAGCCGAGAGTCCAGACTCGCAGTCGTGAGTTAATATTTGATAACTGAATAAGTCAATAACTCAAGTCTAGTACTCCGTCTAGCGCCAATGTAAAAATAAAACCGGTAAAAATAATCTTCACAAAGGACACAACCTTCCCGGTCAACAAGACTAGTGAAAGAGATTGAATCAGGAGGTGTTCCCCAAGAGTTCAAGAAGTCAATAGCTACGACCTGGAAATTTCCGAGATCTCCAGAAATAGATCTCCGGGGGCATCAGGAGGAAACAAGTTAAGCAACTAGAGAGTCAGAATGTAACTGTGCCTCAGTAAGCGCTCACGTCATCCTCCTCTGCAGCTTGAATGAATCGTATGTGTTGGCGCTAAGCTGTTGGGCGCAGACTGGGAACTGATTGGAAGCGAAAGCTGCAAGCTGCAGAGCCTTGTTGAACAGATCATCAGGGGCAGCAATTCAATTCGATTCACGATCCCCTCGTCTACGGTGTAGTTACAGCAATTGATTCTGGTCGGTTCTGTTGGAGGTGTCACACTCACCGCCACTCAAAACGGTACCTGAATATACATCTCCACCGCAGTGCAATTACCCGCCATAGGATGTATCCCGAAGTACAGGCCCAACCCTAACGGAACCACGGATCGATCCATGGGCGACAGCACGAAATGATTGAAGAATGAGCACAAAGCGAGCAGCAGCACGAATGGGATTCTGGCCCCCTTCTAGCAAGTCCACGGATCGGCGGCCCTCACGATCCATGGGTCTGGCTCTCTGCAAGTTTGTCTTCCTACTCGGCTGTCGCTGTCTGTCCGTCTCAAGTTCTGACTAGTCTCTTTGCCAGGAACGAATAAAAGAATGAATAAATAAATAATGAAAATGGCAAAAGCAAAGAGAGGGAAAAAAATGAAACAAGCCAGGAACTAAAAACCTCTCCAGACTAGCGACGCTAAACCTGCCCATAGCCATACTCCGTAGCAGCCCGTCAAGCCCTAAACCGGGCCCCCTCTTCGACCCAAGGGAGTCCGACTGGGATATACTTAAAGAACCCAAGGGAATCCCCTTCGCCTCTTTTTCCACCTGCTCTTCTTCTGACCAAACCAGTCCTTCCTTCCTTTCTTTTTTGGCTTCTTTGCTGCAGAAACCGACTGTGCCGTGCGCAGTCATCGTCATTCCTTTTTTTTTTATAATCTTCCTTCCTACTCTACTATCCTTGACTACTGCTGTTAGTTGAGTCTATAGTTTTAGGAACCACTTTCCTTGAAGCATAACTCCTATCATATTATATCATCATTATCCTACATCGAGTGCCCCTCCCCCGCCCTCGACCAAAAGCAGAAAAAATGGTCTCCTTCACCCACCTCCTGACCGCCGGTCTCCTGGCCTCCTCCACGATGGCCATTCCCCACGGCCACACCCACGAACAGACGGTGCATCTCAAGCGCACGTCTCCCCGCGTCGTCCCCCGCGAGCTGTCCTCCAAGCGTGGCGCCGCCTACAACGAAGCTGAGGTGGTCAACTCGCTCTCCTCCAGCGGCAAGATCGGCTGGGCCTACGACTGGAACATGTACTCGAACGGCGAGCTGCCCACGGACATCGAGTTCGTGCCGATGCTCTGGGGCAGCAAGATGTTCGAGGGCTGGTCCGTGGCCATCCAGACGGCCCTGGCGTCGGGGTCCTCGTACATCATGGGGTTCAACGAGCCGGACATGCCCGAGCAGGCGAACATGCTCCCCGGTGACGCCGCGGGTTACTATAACCAGTACATCACGGACCTGAGCGGCCAGGCGAAGCTGGTCACTCCGGCCGTGACGAACGGCGTCGGCGAGAACCTCGGTCTGACCTGGATGCGCACCTTCCTGGAACAGTGCCAGGAGTGCGGCATCAGTGTGCTTGCTGTGCACTGGTACGGCGAGAACGCGGACGACTTCAAGAAATTCGTCAACGACGCCGTCGACCTCGCCAACGAATTTAACCTCGAGAGCACCTGGGTTACCGAGTTTGCGCTCAGCCAGGACATGAACGCCGGTGCCGCGTCGCGGACGAGTGTCGATTTCTTGAGCACGGTGCTGCCCTGGTTGGATGACAATGAGGCCGTCGGTCGGTATGCGTACTTCATGTGCAAGGATGGGTTCTTGCTGAACGCTGGTGGTTTGAGTATCAGTGGTGAGGCGTATGTTGCCTAGATGGGTTCGCAACGGTTTTTTGGGAATTTTCGTTTGAGTTCGATATACCTTGGGTTTGTTAGCTGAGGATATATCTTATATCCTAGAGTTGTTGGTTTATTTATTTCTAGTATATTTTATGCAGTTTGATATCATCTTCATCGAATATCAGTGTTCTCTTCTAGCTATACTCTTTTCCCCTCATTCCACAGTCCCCATTGTAACATCTATTTCCATTACTCATTGTGCGAAAGAAAGACAGAAGAAAGAAAGACACAAAGAGTGGATATTCACAAGAAGAGAGAGAAAAAAAAAATTAAAGAGACAAACCCACCCCAACCACACATCCACCCAACACCAAGACCCTAGAAACAGTCTAGAACGCACCCCAAGCGCAACATCCATTGCAGTGACATTACAATTTACAATCAAAGCCCCGACTTAACCTCACTAACACCAGATCCGTCAATTCATCCGACCCAAACCCCTCCCGTACTCCTGACTATCGGCTGTCTATCCATGGATCGTCTATCCGGACATTCAACGACATTGGTCGCGACGGGGGACCCGAGCCGGTTGATCCATGGATGAGCGTTGAATCAGTGACACATTCTTGTTTAATCACAATGTTCTGGTCTAGTAGACTAGTTTCTGGGAGCGGGGGTGTTGTTTCAGGACATTTTATGGTTCATTATTGAGGTCCATTTGCATGGATGGAAACCGTTTGTGGGTGCACGTTAGGGTAACGTAGATATGGAAATTAGGGTTTATTTTTTGTTGTAGCTTGATAGCTTAACCTGAATAATAGCAATTGGCCTACTCTGGATATGGAGAGAGTAAACCAGGAATCATAGCCATAACGCCTCTATGCCTCAATGAAGAGATTCATACTCGTACATACGCAAATCCGTTCGATGTGCCCACCAACGCCGTGCCCCGTTAACTATACAATACCGTGGGCTGTACCCCTCCAATGCCAGTTCAAATGCAAGATGATTCTGCTCAGCGGCGGCACTTACCCGCCAGGAGTGTCGGCCTCGCCCATCTCCGTATCCTGCGGTTCTGCGCCCGTGACCCCGTTGGGTTGCGCCTCAGCGGCCTCAGGCTCGCGTGAGGGTGCCTCAGGTTCCATGTCGGCCTCAGGTGCCATGTCGGCCTGAGGCTCTGTGTCGGCAGAGGCATCTCCCGTGCCATTTGGTTGTTGCTCTTCGCCCCTGTCTTGGTCTTTCTCTTGGCCTTCGTCTTCCTCCTCTCGTTCTTCGTACACTCGCACCAATCCGTCAATACCGCAGCTGACCATCAATCGCTGCTCCCCGAGCGACGCCGTGTCCACCCCCAGCACCACCCCGGCGTGACCCTCGATCCGCTGCAGGATCTTCTTGTTCACCACGTCCCAGCAGAGCACCGCGCCGTCCTCGCTGCCGCTGACCGCAAACGCCTCGGGCGGTGCGCCCGGTGCTCCGTACACGCCAAAGCCCCCCGACAGACTGTATTTCCGATTGCTGTGTCCCTGGTAGGTCTTGATGCAGCGTCCCTCCACATAGTTCCACAGCCGCACGCAGTCGTCCAGCGTCCACGCCAGCACGTACTTGCCGTTGGGCGAGAATTTGACCGCCGTCACCGGCGGGTTGTCCTCGTGCACCAGCGTCCGCAGGCACTGGCCCGTCGCCGTATCCCAGATGCGAATCAGCCCGTCCGTGGCGCACGAGGCCACCAGCGTCCCGTCCCACACCACGTCGATGCCGCCCACCGGGTCCGAATGCGCCGGCAGCGACCGCATCACGCTGGCCGACCGCACGTCCCAGAGAAACACCGCCTCGTCGTAGGAGCCGCTGGCCAGCATGTTGCCTTTAGGGGAGAATGCGATTTGATATACGTAGTTGTGGTGGCCGACGAAGGGAATGGGATGCGCTTTGCCCTGAGAGATCACCTACGTTAGCTATCGTCCAGTGCAGCGTAGGAAAGACTTCGGATACAGAAATGAATACGTACCGTCAGCACATTCCACAGACGAATGGTTTTGTCGTCTGAGCCCGATGCAATTATCGCGCCGTCAGGCCCCCACGAGATGGTCGACACCCCCGCAAGATGGCCTTCAAAGGTATGGATCAAACGGCCGCTCTGCGTATCCCAGACCTTGACCGCTCCGTCGGCACCTAGACACGACTGTCAGTTTCTGCAACACTTGCGCCCGTTCGCATTATAAGATAGGTAGTAACACTCACCCCCACTGGCGATCATGGAGGCATCTGGAGAAAACTGCACCGCCGAGACTCCGCGGAGGTGTCCCCGGAGTAAGAACTTCTGCTGGTAATTCAACTTGTCGGGCTTGGGCGGCGGCGGCGGCGGAGGTGGAGGGACGGGCGTGGGAGATCGATCTGAATATGTCTGTTCGGGCGCGGCGTCGGCGTCGTCCGCAGCGGCGGCTTCAGGCTCTTCAACGTCTGCGGGGATTTCCTCCACGTCTTCGATTTCAACGTCTTCTGCATCCCCTTCCGCTCCGGCATCCTCTTCCTCCGCCTCCACTCCTTCATCTTCCTCCTCCGCGTCCTCTGCGTCGCCGTCGCCCTCACCCTCGTCCGGGTACTGCTCCGACGACGGCTCCGCACTCACCTCCGAGGGCGACTTGCGACCGCGACCGCGCGAGCGCCAGTAGTCTTCCGCATCCATGGTCAGTTCGTCCGGGCTCTCGGAGCCGCTGTAGCTGCGCGATCGCCGGTAGGGGCGCTTGGGAGGCACGGCTTTCTGGATAGACCAACTGGCGCGACGGCGCTCGGCCTCGTCGTGTTCGGAGCCCGCAGCCAGCTCGTCGGACGAGGACTCGGTAGGCGACTTGATGAAGCCATTCGGCCGCACCGGAGACGGATCCAGACGACGGCGCTTCGACCGATGGTTGTATCCGTCCATGAAGAAGGCGGGTGGGTGAGAAACGACAAGACAGCAGAAGAAAGAAAGCCGGAAGAAGAGCAAAAGAATCAAGGAGTGGAGGAGCCCCATTCTGCCGCTGTCGGGGCCAATCTGCACGCGTTGAGGCTGGGCGGTGAGCGGCCATGATTTCATCTTCTCTCTCTCTTTCTCTTCCCCTCTGTTGGCCTTCATCTTTCAGTCACACACAATCATGTCCTGATTCTTTAATTCAATTGGTCTTTTTCTATTCACTTCTGATCATGTCGTCCGCCACTCCCATCACCCCTCCCTCCCATATTCGCATCCTCACCCTCAACTGCTGGGGGCTGAAATACCTCGCCAAATACCGTCATGAGCGTCTCTCGGAAATCGGTCGCCAGCTGGCTCTGGCGGACCCTCCCCCGCAGATTGTAGGACTTCAGGAATGCTGGACGCAGCAGGACTACGAAATCATTCGCGAGCAGACCCGTCACCTGCTTCCCTACGGCAAATTCTACTTTGGCGGCATCTGGGGCGCCGGTCTGGCCATTCTCTCGCGATGGCCCATCGAGGAGAGCGGCATGTTTGGATATCCGCTGAACGGCCGGCCGACGGCCTTCTTCCGCGGCGACTGGTATGTCGGGAAGGGCGTTGCCTGTGCGCGCGTGCGGTTTGGTCCGGGCGTGGAAGACGTCGCCGAGGTGTTCTGCACGCACCTCCATGCCCCCTATGAGCGAGAACCCAACGACTCGTATATCTGTCACCGCACCGCCCAGGCCTGGGAGATCGCTAAACTGATGCGCGGCGCCGCCGAGCGCGGTCACCTGGTCATCGGTCTGGGTGATTTCAACATGCTGCCCTCCTCGTTCGCCCACCAGCTCATCTGCGCGCACAGTCCCGTCCGCGATGCCTGGCAGGTTCTACATCCAGACTCCTCCGTCGGCGCCGCCATCGACCCGGTTGAACAGAAACGCAACAAACCCGTGCCGACCGCCGAGTTCAATATCCGGGAAAACGGCGCCACCTGCGACGGCAAGTTCAATACCTGGCGCTGGTCGGAGGCCGACCGCAAGCGGCTGGAGAAGGGCGAGGATGTGACGGTGGACAAGGACAGCCCTGACCCGCGCGGGAAACGACTGGACTATATCTTCGTGGGCGACGGCGGCTACGCGCCATCGTTCCCGGCCCCGCGCTGGTCGGTCGAGTCGGTGCAGATGTCCATGATGGAGCGACACCCGCAACTGCGCTGCTCCCTGAGTGACCATTTTGCCGTCGAGGCCGTCATCACCCGCGCGTCGTCTCGGCCAGCCAGCGCGAACCCGTCGGAGCATCCGCCCGTGACCCCGAACACGACACTCTCCCCAGACACCTACGACCGCATCCTCGAGATGATCCATACCTACGGTCAGCGCGAGCGGTCGCAACGATTCTGGCGGGTGGCGCATTTCGTGGCCTCGGTGGTGGTGTCGATCGGGTGTTTCATCGGCGTGTGGTGGACCGGCGATCACCTGCCCTACGTGGCGTTCATCCTGGTGGTCGTCAGCACGTTGAACTTCGGAGCCGGGATCTTGGACGGACTGATTGGCGGCCTGTTCATGTCGAGCGAGATCCGCGCGCTGAAGGAATTTGAATGGGAGGTACGTAATGCGCGACGGCTGGCCGAGCCGGATCAGAAGCAGGAAACCTGATAGAAAATCGGGTCCCAGCAGGGGTGAACAGGGGATGGTTGGACTTGTACATTATTCTGCCTATTCTTAGGTATCATTTTTTTTCGTTGATGTATCATACTAGAGTTATGGAGTATATGGCAGGCAGACAGGCCTCATTAATGAACACGTGATGACTTGAGAATGTACTACGGGTGGGAGTACTTTAGAAGAGAAGAAAAAAGCGAATTCTAGAAGTAGTGGAACTAGAGCATTCTGTTAGAGTAGGGCAATATGTGTCGTTCCAGACAAACATGACCCCCCTGTTGATCAATGGTGACTTGACAGGGAGTACTCCGTACTCCGTAGAGAGATGGTGATGGCCTCCCTGCAAGGCAGAGAAGATCCCTGTTCTCTCAGTTTCAGGAAGGAACGTCTCAGGTTGAGCAGCCGCCAGCCCTATTTCCTATTTCCGCCCATTAGGGCTCCGTCGTCCGCCCCTTTTCCCGCTTTGATTGGGCGGCACCCCCTGCCTCCGGTCTTGGCACGCGTGCTGCGACCCCCGCGTGGGAGGGTGACGGGCCAATCAGACGTAGACAAAAAGTGGCCCCCAAGACCCTGGCTTAAAAAGGGGTTTTGATCGGCCTGAGGCGACTGTTCTATCCAGTTCTGGCATGTGTCTGGTCGGGTCTGGGGAGTCCCGAGTTCTGAGGTATGCCTGAGGATGGGGATTCTGGCTATACTTTGTACTATAGATTCATTAGATTGACCACAACACAGCACCACACAACACAACTTGAGACAGAATCTGGACTGCTATCAAATAAATATTAATAGATTAACGCTCGGCATGATCACGTCATCCAAGCAGTCCCACCAATAGGGAAAGCCCAAACTCGGCCCTGCGCCCCCGCCAGACCGCAGTGGAGCCTCAGGCCAACGACTCCCCCGGCTGAGAAGCGCCACGACTTCTTTCAGCCGGGCGCCTTGCGATTTTAAAATCTCCCGTCCTTGTCCCTCCTCTCATGTGGTCCGGTTCTCCATCCTACTTCCGGTGACAATGCGCTTCGCTCCTCTTCTCTGGTCCTTCGTCTCCTCCTCGCTACTCGCCTCGGCCACCATCCTCGAGAATGGCCAGGAGAGACTGAACCCGTGGCCCGGCCAGGCCCCGAACATCTCGCTCGACGACTCCTGGCGAAACTACGATGCCGGTGCCCCGGAGATTTCCTACAAGGGCCGCTGGGATAGCAAACATATCGGTTGTATGTAACCCTCTTGCCTGCCGTGCTCCCTCCGCGAGCTTCCCGCTCGTTGCCTATCTGTCTGGATGTTTTTGGCTGACCGTGTTCTGTCTCTGTCTTTCAGGGTGGTCGTACGTCTCCCCGTTCCTTCGCGCTCTCGTGCAGTCTACAGAACTTCGCTCCCGACAGTCACTAACTCGAGCAGAGCCCCCGGCATCAAAACCGAATTTACTGGCGACCGAGTATGTTCTTCCCCTCTTGTGGACATCTTCTGGTCTGGGATCCCCGGATGAACTAACGCCATTTAGTTGGCCGTGAGCTTCGGTGAACACACGACGGAGGGAGTGTTGGTGGCTTATCGGTAGGTTTCGCCGAATACGATCAGTACAAGCTCCGATCAACTAAACTGGTGCCATAGTATCGGTTCCCTCGACTGGCTCTTCTCGAACGTGACCGCCGATACCACTTACCAATTTGTCTCGCCCGACACGGACATGGGCGATAAGCCCGTCGGAGACCCCAAGATTTTCGAGCTGCGAGTGACCAACTGGGGCCGGGGATAAGTCAACCTGTTCTTTTAGTGGCATCGTTCCCTGCTGACCGTCTGTGCACAGCTCAGATCGCCGGTGTCTCTGTTGCCAGTGATGCGCACCTCAACAAGGTTGAAAACTTCAAGCGCCGAGTGGAAATTATTGGTGGATCGTGAGTGTTGCCCTGTTTCGTCTGTTTGGTCATCATGTACTGATCGTTGGAAGTCTTGCTTCCGGACAATATGGCACTTACGAGACTCTCTCCTCGTGGGCCTGGCTCTACGGAGCTGGACTCGGGAATGTGGAGTTCGACATTACGGTTCGTATTTTCACCTCCTGTCATGTTGTTCGATCTAACGAATTATCTACCAGGCTTATCCCGGAGCCTGTCTTGCGGACATGAAGTGCTACGGCGGAGGCGTTCACGGCATGGTACACATACATCTCCCTTCCCGCTCTGCTATGCAACCTCACTAACTCGACACAGCCCTGGTGGTGGCACCGCGCTTCTGACCCCGGTACCCGTGCTCGTGAAATGTACGACCACGACCCCGAAGAATTCGACGTCCGTCGCGACCAAGACGCCGATCTGGTCGTCATCCAGATGGGTGGCAACGACCACCGTTCGCCTAACGAAATCTCGGGCCCCGATTTCTACCACGACTACATCCGTCTGATTGACGATATTCACGGCATCTGGCCCAAGGCTATCGTTATCGTTATGGTACGTTCGCATTCCCCTCTTTCGGCTTCGATGACAAGCCCTTTTACCCGATTTTCTCTTTGCCATGCTGACTGAAAACAGACCCAATGGGGCGTCTGGACCAAGACCGGAACCGAATGGGTCCCCAACTCCGTCTACGAGTCCGAGATCAAGCGCGTCCACGACCACTACAAGGAGAAGGGCTTCGTGCACTGGTTCGACACCGCCGGTATCCTGCAGCACAACGACATCAACCCCAAGAACCACCCCACAGATGTCGGCCACATCAAGCTGGCCAGCCACCTGCTGCAATGGACCCGGATGATCATGAGATGGCCCCTCGAGCCCATGGGCGAAGTCCAGCACGGTACCGAGTACTGGAACAACATGCAGCAGTACTAGACACGGACTACAGAGTCTAGACTCACCACCCGCCCTTTTTTTCATATCATCTCCCTCCCATCCTTCGGAATAGGCTGTGCCAACACCGAATGCCGATGCCGATGCCGATACCGACGACCCTTTTTTCATGTATATCAGTTCTCAATTAAAAGACTACAACTACAACTACTAAACAACTCAACAACCCCTTATTCGGATTCTGTTGGTTCTCCTTATTATATTGAGGTGTATTTTGATTGGATAGGACTTGATTTTGGATGTTACATACATACTTGCGCTGATTTCACATATGTCTTCATTTTGCTTTGGCTTTCTTTTTCTCATTCATAGACTTTTTTTTTCAGCCATTTTGATTACTCTGATGTATTTACCTGCGTGTTCATTTCTCTGGCAACATACATAAGACAAGATACTGTGATTAGTGATTACGCACGGGCATGATATACATACATATATACATAGTCCGGGAATTTTTGAACAAAGATTTAATTCGGTTTTGACATTCGTCTGGTTTGACGCGGGTTTAGGTAGTTTCCGGGTATAGTCAATATCTACAATAACATACCGTTGTAGGTGAGGAGGATGTCGGTGAGGTACCGCGGTTGGGGTTTGTGTCTGCGACCGGTAAGGGGACAGAGTACAGACAACCAGGGACGTACAGATTAGATCTGCGGGCAGCAGAGACAGGTTTAATTGCGGTATGTGTGAGGGTGGCTGCTCCCTTGCTTCTGGTTATCTGGAGGGTTGGTTTTATGTTACTGTTACAAACTACGACGATGAGTTGAAACTAGCGGATCTTCAACCTGTACTCAAATGGGTCATTTCATCAATTTCCCTGATTTCATTCCTGGTCATAAAAGAAAGACTAGACTGTGGGAGGTTCCCCTACATAGGAAACAATTCCTTGCCCGAGCGAGTTGCCAGTCAGTGCACCGGTTTACTCGGCACACTCGCGCTGACGCTCATCGAAGACCTTCAGACACTCCTCGGCGGCCTTGACGCCGCTGAGCACCATAGCTCCGAAGGTCGGGCCCATACGGTTGAAGCCGTCAATCTCAGACAACTCCATGCCGCCGATGATGAGGCCCTTGGCGATCTCGCGGGTGTTCTTGACAATGGCGTCCTCGGCGGAGTTCATGTCCAGGCCGCGCATGCCGCCCAGCTTGTCGACGGTGGACATGGACACGAGGCGCTTGGCGCAGAAGGCACCGAAGGGGCCGTCGTGGCCCGTGGTGCTGATGATGACGGGCGCGTTGATGGTGTTGGGGTCCATGCAGGAGTGGTCGTCGTGGTGCAGCGTCACCAGCGTCCAGTTCGTGACCACTCCGGCAATGCGGGTTTCCTTGGGGTTGCCGTTGGTGGAAGGGCGAGTCACGAGGTCCTCCACGCTGGTGGCGTTGAAGAGCTTGACGTTAGGGAAGGAGAGGACCTTGGACAGCAAGGTCGAGGTGAAGAGCGAGGCGTGCTTGACCACCACGTAGTTGGGGTTGGCGGCGTCCTCCTCGTAGGGCACACCCAGCTCGTTCAAGAAAACCTCGGCAGGGCGACGCATCACCATTGCAGAGAAAAGCTGGCCACCGAGCCAGGCACCGCCGCCTGTTGGTAACCCGTCAGCATCATGAGCCCATGATATTCTGGAATTTTCTCACGAACCAGGAGAGACGGAGGCTTCAATGATAGCAATCTTCAGATCGGGGCGGGCGTTGGCCAGCACGTAGGCGGTACTCAGACCACAGGATCCAGCGCCGACGATGACCACGTCACTTTCGGCGTACTTGTCCAAGTCCTGGAAGTAGCGTCGAGTCATGGCGCGAGAGACCTGGCTCTCGCGGATCGGGGCGAACTGGAACTGGTCCCACTTGCTGCCGAAATGGTCCAGCAGCTTGGTCTGAGCAGTGCCAGTGGCAGTGACCGTCTCCGGCACCACGACCTTACCCTTAAGGCCAGTAGGGGCCACGTTGGGTTCGTACATAGCAGCAGGAGGAGACATTGTGGATTAAGCTGTTCCCTGTTAGCCATTCCATGAATCGGGGGAAACAGAAAACAAGGGAAGGCATGATCCTTTCGCTGGTATTGTCCAGATCAAGTTACGCCGTATAATCTCAGAACGAACCCAAGCCATTGACCACCAATCGTGTGATGTTACGCTGGACGAAGATTCGAAAGAACCCAGTCCAGAACGATCACAGGTTGGTGTGCCAATGGATGGGAACGAACACCGGCCCACGCCCAGAATTTACCTGAGATACCTTGATCAGAAGTTACAGCCAAAGGCTAATTCCATGACTTCCATCGTTGTTTTCATTCGAAAGGCCCCTTGGAAGGGGGGCCACGAAAAGGTGAATATTACATTGCGGGTTGGTTGGTTGTGCCTGAATAACGGTCAGCCTATTCCATCTGGGAAGGGTCATAATCCTAGGGAGGAGGACTTGGTCGATAGCAAAGAAACACTATAGATGAGCGAGAAATTCTGTCGATGAAGAGCGCGATGGAAGAAGAAAAGAAGGGAAGAAGAAGATGGCGGGGTAAGAAGAGGAGGGGGGGGCATTTATAGCTTATACTGACGGGTCACGGGTGGACCCCGCGGCCGCTTAATTGACTTTCGCCGGTGACTCGATTGATTATTATTCCTCTTCTCGCCGGACCACTCTCGTCCTTAGGGATTAGTGTCTATGTCCTTGCAACTCGCACCATCTGGCTCCAATCCCAACAGACCCATTTGTACGCCCGATGTGTCATGGTGAGCTCACCCTCCAGACTACTAATCCTCCATACGGTCTCCTGCCGCCCAATGACGTCGATGGTGGAGTACATATACAACTAAGCACCCCTCAAGTCCAATCTCTCAACTAATCAAGCTGGGGAAGTGCTAACTGGCATTGCTCTTGGCTGAGCAACACGGCATCTAGGATTTAAGTACTTATGAAGTCGTAATGCGTCGGACTGCTTCTATCAAAGCAGTAACAAATGATAAGCATGGACTAGGACACGCGAACTTCCACTTTCACGCCATATCCCTTGGTTTGATTCTTCTTCTTCCCGACCTTTTCAATCTTCTCCGCTTTCTCGGGCAGGACTTCGTTCTTCAGAGGACCGTTGACGTTGCATTTCACTCGCAGACGCAGCAGGTCCCGTTTCTCTTTTTTCTTAGTGACGGTGTCCCATTCTGTTTCCAACTGAATCCTTCCTTTGGATGCCGGTACACGACCCGCGGGGTAGACGTCTCCGATGAGGGTGGCTACTCGCCCCAGATACCGACACCACCATGCCTCTTTCTTCGAGATGCATTCAGTTAGCTGGCGTCGGTAGAGTTCATCAACAGGTGCCAAGTCCCCTGCCCAGCGCTCGCAGAGAATCAGCGCAACCAGTGCTCGTTCAACGTGAGAAATCGTGTTCACCGAGGCTAGGAGACCCGTCGAGGTACTGTGTAGTGCAGCGGCTGAACGCGATTCCCGCGGCACTCGGGAATGAATATACAGTAGATTCGCGAGGGTCATCAAGACACCGGAGAAGAAGGAATCGGGGGGTCGTAGAGAGTCCAACAACGATGCTGAAGTCGGCAGGGCTGATGACAGGAGCTGTCTGATCGCGTCTGCTGAGGGAGGTGCATAAGGCCGGGTTGCAACCACGACGGGGTCCTGTGCACAAACTTCCTCTGGCAGCGTGTCGAACAGGAATCCCTCGCGCACACCTCCCTGGCAGAACTGGATGTGCGTGATATGCGGCAATGCATCCATGATCACGTTGACCAGGAAAGCCACTGCCGGGATCTGGGACGCTCGGCGCTTGGACACGCCGAAGATCTTGTCGTCGGAATCTGAGACCACATCCAGGACGGAGGCCGTATCGTGGAAGGATTCCCTGCTGGCCCGGAACCCATTGATTATAGGCAGTGGATACGGGTTAATTTGGGACTGAGCCATGAGAACGTAGCCCCAGCCGCGAAACCCTCCGCCGCAGAGGTAAAGATTCGATGGTTCGTTGGGATCCTTTGTGAATTGGGGTACCTCAAGGTTCTTGAAGGCGTCCTGGAAGTTTCCGATCATTTCTTCTTCCAGTGCCTTCTCTGCCTTTTTGCCCTCTTGCTTAGCCTGCTCCAAGCGCTTCGTCAATGCTGCCGCGCCGTAGGGAAAACTGAAGGACCCCTTGGGACTGGTCGAGACGATTCCATCCTTCTCAACCACCCACGTAATCTGCGTGCTACCACCGCCTAGATCCATCGCGAGGCCCGCGACGGATTTTGAACTACTAGCGATTCCCAAGGCCCCAATCCTTCCCTCGTCCTCCTTGGACAGAAGGCGGACGTCCCACCCGGTACGCTCCTTGATCAGGGCTCTGAATTGCTGCGAGTTCGGAGCCGTTCGGGTTGCTTCTGTCGCTAGGACGTGGATGTTGTCTGCCAGCACACCAAAGTCTTCGCAAGTAGCCTGGAACTGTGCCAGTTGATCCACGACTTGAATCATCGTGTCTTGAGGTATAGGACCCCGCACGTCTGAGTTGGAGAATTGCGCATCGTACAGTGAGATGGCTGCACGATCCTGGAACACCGTCGGCATGACCCGAGCGGTTTCAGGCGACAAGTCGGTGATGGAGAACCGAATCCCATTGCTGTGCTCTTGTCAGGGTTGGGCATGGATGAGATGGTGGGGGAAATCTGGACTGTGCCGGGGACTATACGGACCTTCCCATGTCTACAATCCCGTGGAGATTGGGATGGGGGCCTGCATTCACAGCCATGATATCTGATAGAGCTAAGAGTATCTCCTGACCAGGATACACGGAGATTGCTAGGAGTATGAAGGGACGTTGCAGGCTTACAGGCGTTGCTGGCGAAGTCATCCAGCAGACAATACACTGTGGTACCGTGTATCAATAATACTGAAGATATTCTCCCCAGAATTGGCCGAATTGTGGTACCGATCTGTACGGTATTGTAATTCCCATCCCTTCTTCCTCTTCTTCTTCATCTTCGTCTTCATCTTCGTCTTCATCTTCGTCTGTCTCCCTACACATCTCTTGACAAGCAAGCAGGTCCAAATTTGATCTGCCCATTTCTATGGAGTGAAAAAGAAATTCTCACCTCATTCCAACGGCCGAATTCATCTGCAGAAACAAACATGATCAATGCCGATCCTCATTATTGACAGTAGCCCGCCTTCAGCGCTAAACAACAAATTCCACCCGCCTTTCAGACTTCGGCCCCCAAAATGCTAAGCTTGGAAAGGCCCCAAGTCCAGTCATTCCTGCCGGTTAACCGCTCAATAGTGTGGGCCGTTCTTGTCTGGTTGACAGATGAAACGAGGAAGTGAGTGAGCCCGTCTCAGCCATCCGATTTGGATGATGAGATGAGGAGATGCTTCTTTTTTTAAGGCCTGATCCTGAAGGAGTCTGTTGTCTGGTCTATCAATATGAAGGATCCATTGCTACCCCGTACAGGTCTGTCGCACAAGGCTGTACCGAGTATGTACACACCCCAAGAAACTACCTACACCGTACAGTGAAACGATCAACGGTCTTCCGAGCACAGCCGCCCATCGCCATCGCTCTACCCGCCCTTGGCCTTATTCTGTAACGCGAAGTTGGGCGAATCACGGACATCGTGGTGCCATGGAGCCGGGAGTTATCCAATGCGCTGTATGAGCACTCCTCAAAAGCTGCCTGGCTATGCAGGGAGCGGCTCCTACAGGGTATGTATGGTGTCGCGACGGTCACTGCCCCCAAATCAATGCACGTCCCTTTTAGTAGCAACGCTGCTTCGGGTAGTAATGGACGGACAGCCTCGCACATTCGCATCTTTTTTAAAGCATGGGTGGGCCATATAACACATTCCATCCTTCCGTGGCTTGACAAATGTCTCTTAACATCGACCGTCTGAAAGGTTCAACATGGTATTGCCGTCGGAACCAGGCGCTCTAAACGACCGATCGTTAGCTTCCCGCAGAAATGATTTCTCCACGGCTTCGCTGTCGGACGTCTCTTCGCTCCATTCGTTGAGGTCGGAAGGAAACAATGACGCCGTGAACAGGGCGCGTAGCCCTTCTCCTGAATACCTTTATGTCGATCATAGTCGCCAAAACCGCCCCAACCTGGAGGCAAGAGACGACTCGCAATTCCATAGTGCCCCCAGAGATGCAGACTCTCAGTCTGCGCGCCCATCAGACTCGGATCCGTATCTTCTTGGTCCGTCGACAGAGCGAAAACATGGTTACCTGCCAACTTGGCTTCCTCGTACATTCGGACATCTTTACTTGGGTTTGCTGAGTATCCTTGCTTTGGCGTTATGCCTGGTCATAGCTCTCTTGCTCTGGCGATCTGAGACAAATTACGGCCTGGGGAAAGACCATGGCTCCTCCGCAGTTCTCTTTGGCTGGAGATTCAGTCCAACCCTTGTGGCCGTGATTTACATACAATTCACGGCTATGCTATTTGATGATGTAAAGCGAACAGAGCCATACGCTCGCCTGGCACGACCTGAAGGGGCAGCGGCATCGTCAAGTATTCTCCAATCTCCGGGGATGTGGTGGAATGCCCTCCACGATGGTCTTTCCAAAAAGAAGAATGGAGGCCATTCTCGAAGCTGGATTCTCACATGCGCCGCGCTAGTCAACATTCTGGGGTTTCTTGTTATCTCGCCTCTGTCATCAGCATTGCTGACCTCCGAAGATGTGGCCGTCCCGCACAACAGAGAGTTCGCTCGCCTGACGCCGCATTTCAACTCGCCTCTGCCCCTCGATACGGATCGCACCACTCGCTTTCGAACAATTAGCCACGTCCTCCAGAATGTGACAACGTCCCCGTGGGTCACTGATAGCTACACTATGCTTCCCGTGTGGCCGGCCGATTGGCCAACTGCGCCTATTGGGTCCTTGTCGTCGGCTTCCTCTCAGTCATGGCAGGTTGAGACAACCATGTTTAGAAGTAATCTCACCTGCGACAAGATGAAGTTGGAACACACTTCTGGCTATGACAATAAAACTGATATCACTCTTCTCTGGTCTTCCCCTATTGGGTGCACTTATCGACTCCATGTTGAAGGGAATAACATGTTCGGTATCGGCGGTGGTAGCTGGTCTAACGCATCGGCATTTATATACACCAATTATCTGCCCTACGTAGACCCAGGTTCGGATTCGTACCAGGTCAATAACACGGGAGACTGTCGGGGGCGTGAGATCCTGGTTCTGAGCGAGTCATGGGCCAAAAAGCCACGGGCAGCCTACAGTGCTCATCTTTGCACTACCAAGTACTACATGGCCAACGTGACGACCTCAGTCGATCTATCAAGCAACGAACCCTCCATTTCTTTTGATGAAAGCGAGTATGATCGAAAGAAGACTCTTATTCCTGAAAAGCTGCTGAACACCACGCAATTGCAACAGCTTGCCCTCAACCCTTACTGGGCGAGCTACATGATCTCAATGCTCTACCAGAATGACATGCCGATTTTGGGTGGGCCTGCGATTCTTCTTGGGGCTAGCTACGGTTTCAACATGACAGACATACTACATGACCCGAACATGATCCAGCGTGCTGCGGAGGTCAAACAACGCTTTTTCGGCGAAGCACTGCAGGCGTCGGTCACTCATCAGGGTGCGTCTGAAGCGGTCCCTGTAAATGGTCAAATCACTGCCTTCGAGAAACGGGTAGTGGTTGTCAAGGGTCCTGCTATTGCCCTGGCTGTTCTTCTTTTTCTCTCTTTCTGTCTCTTGCTTGTTGTTTGGCGGTGCTCTCGACTACGACAAAGGCCTTTGAACTTGAAGAATGACCCTGCCACCACGGCCGAGGTGGCTAGTCTAGTGACACATGACAGTAGCATCAGGTCATCTTTCGGTGGCCTCAGTGTGACTCCGCCGAAGGAAATGGAGAAGTTCTTGCAAGGGCGCCATTACCAGACTGAGCCTCAGATCCTCTCCGAAATACCCCGTGATCCTTTGGAATCCGATGCCACATCTCCCGAAATGTCAAAGTCTGAGGCCGCTCGGCCATCCACTTGGGTCCCAGGTGTGCTTCGTCTCGCGACTCTTTTGGGTCTGGTGATATCACTCGCCGCAGTCATCGTCGGTATCGCTGTGTTGTACCACTTTGCCGAGGGGTCTCAGCTGTACCAGAAATTCTTTGTCTATCAAGCCAATATCTCAGTCTTCAATAAGAGCATTCCAACGGTGGCACCCTTTTCCATCATCCCAACCCTGATAGCAGTTGGAATTGGCCTGTGGTGGAGTTCTATCGACGACAACTTTCGCCGCCTCCAACCATTTCTTGCTATGTCAAATGGTCGGCCCAAGTTTTCGCAGGGCATCAGCCTGTCATATCAGTCGTCTTACTGGGTGTGGGCAGCCGTCAAAGCTGCCAGAAATCGACACTGGCTATTATTCTTGGTCACGCTTGGAGCGACCTTGACGCCAATATGTAGGAATTATTTATCTTTTGCGTTTCTTTATCTATACTAACTAGACCCTAGTCACCACAGCCATGTCCGCACTGTTCGAACGGGAATCTGGCAATATCGCGCAGACACTCAACCTTCAGCGTGGGTTGGAGATTCGCCGGATCCCGTTTCTCTTTGAGACAAGGCAATCGGAAATCAACCATGAGCCTGATGAGTACGCGGCGAGGATTGTGGGAGACCTTTTCCAAAACCTTTCGACGCATTGGATGTACACTGCTTCAAACCAACTCATTTTGAACGGCTCCCAGCCGGCCTGGAGTAAAGACGGCTGGAGCTTTGTCCCGCTGGATCTGAGCAACGCCACCACTTCCCTGTCGAGCGTGGGCAAAAATGCTTCTGCCTCAGCTCTTGGGCGCAATTTGAACCAACATAGCGCAACGCACGCATCTCCATTCAATGTCTCTTTTATTACACCTGCCATCCGCGGCCGTATTGAGTGCAGCAGTGACGATGCGAAAGGCCTTCTCAATCTCTCTTCCTGGATGTCTCTGTGGAACCCAGGACCAAACGATACTGTTGTCCCAGAGGGAGTCTCGGGGTTTGAACTGGGAGCACCTTATGGAAATCGGGACTTTCCAAGCATGATCTTCCCGCCCGAGCCAGGACGCAACTGGACTAACTGCGAGCGTTGTACTTCCATATACGTCAATCCTTCTCAGATAATATGCTGCGGTAATTCAACCAGCAGTCCACCCAACTCGACTGTTGCGGTTGGCTACTGGTCCCCAAACCTTAGTCCATATACGTGGACTCCACGGACCTGGCAGCATAATTTCACGGCGAAATGGTTCACTGGCACTGCTACGTCTGTTACCCTGACTCAGGGCATCTCTGATCCTATGGAACGTCTTGTATTCAGCCAGCCACCCAACACTGTCGTGATGAACTGCATGCCTCTGGTTGAAAGCGCCAATGCGAGAATCACGGTTAATCCCAGCACCGGGGATGTTCAGGCTTTTGATATCCTTGATAAACCAAAGACTATGGATGATGCTTTCTCGGATAACTTCTTGATCCACAATGGAACGCACAGAGACCCAGAGGAGCTAGGGTACTTGGTCTTCAACACAACCATAAGGTAAGACGTTGCTCATCCTCATGCCACCCCCGGACCATATAATATGGTAGTGGCTAACAATTTTCGCCCTCAGTTACGGCCGTCTCTTCATGTCGTCTATGCTCACAGCCGCCAGCACTCTGAACCTCGCAGGCAACCGCGTCATAGGCTTCACAACCGAAAACACAGACGACAACACTTACACAATCCGCGACGAAACCAATGGCCTCAACATGGATTTCATGACGTACTCTATGTATTCACTCGCAGGCAAAGACCCCTCTGTTCTCATCGATCCAGATACCTTCACCAAGTACGCCTCCAAAACGTTCTCGACCTTCTTCCAGCATTTCGCAAGCAACAACATCTCTCTGGAAACCGGCAGCTGGGCCTACCAGCCCATCAACGCCAGCTTACCACACGACCTCGCTCCAGCCGTCGACAGTATCTTCACGTCCAGCCCCAAACTCGTCGCGACTCAAGATGTCATTCACCCGATCTCCCAGACCAACCGCACCGTGACCGCACGCGCAACTCGCCGCGTTGAACTCATGCGCATGAACGACGTCGCCGTATGGCTCAGCATCGGCATTCTCGGCTGGCTAATCCTCACCACAGCTGTGGTGGCGCTCCTCCAACGGCGGTTCCTGGGCCGCATGATGCGCAACGTCGAATGCCCGGGTGACGTTCTAGTTATGATTGCCGGCAGCGACAACCTGATCCGAGTGGTCCGGGAAATCCAAGCCGGTCGCGTATCGGCAGCGGATACCGGGAATCTGCGCACGAGATTGGGGTGGTTCCTGGATCATAAGGGCGAGATGAGATGGGGTATTGAATTGGAGAGGCAGATTCTTGATGGTCCAGAGGTCGAATGGGTGGATGGTCCCACAGAGGATCGGGAAATGACGGAGAATCAGGTGGCAGCCAGACCGAAGTAGCCATGTACTGTGCTATACTTTCTAGTCAAACCTAACGAATATATCGAATGTCACGATCTTTTCATGTTTTTTCTATGATCTATTTTCTAGGTTTCTATTCCATCTAACATGGTTTCTGACCAGGGAATTCAAAGGAAAGCAGGGAAGGAAGAAGAGGTCATAAACTGCGTTAAAAACTACCTAGCCCAACCCAACCTATCTAGCCCGACTGATAACCACCACAACCATAACTACATACTGCTACAGATGCAGTTCCAACTCGACAGCCAGCCAGTCCTATAAGACATACCGAAACGCAGCGCCATAGTTTTCCCGCGCCACCGTCTCCGCCTTATCATCCCCAACTCCCTCTCCCAATCGCCCATGCTTCTCGTCCAATCGACGATTCTCCCACGCCAGCAGCGTCCGCAGGGAGAGCGCCAGAATGGTCGTGAAGAACATGAACGCGGCGCAGATCGATTGGCCCCGGATGTAACGCGGGCCGTCGGTTTCGGGGTACACGTTTGTCCCCAGGAAGGGGCCGCATTGGCCGATGAGGTTGAGAATGACGATTCCCATTCCGCGACGGGTGTCGGAGCCTTGGTTGTCTGGCGGTGGTATTTGTATTAGTGGTTTTCTTTGGGGAGGATGGGAATGGACGAGGGGAGACGTACTTAAGGACCACGGGAGGATGTTTCCGATGCACGGGAAGACTCCCGCTGCGGCGAGGAACACGCCTAGATAACGAACTCCGACGGCGGTGCAGGTGGCAAGAAGCACGTAGCCGACGGCGCCTACGACGGATAGGAAGGCGATCATCAGGCCGCGCTGTTGGAATCGGTCGGCTATATAAGTAGTTGCGATCGTCAAAAGGAAGGAGAGAAAGTAGGGCGGAGCTGTAAGGCCCTGTGCGTTGATCGAGGTGAATCCCATGTCTTTCAGGATGGTGGGTAGGAAGACGGGGAGCGAAGAGAAGCTGACGTTGCAGCTGAAGTACATCAACTATTTTTCTCCCGTTAGCTTCCATGCAGTCCATGAGGTTATTTTGGGAGTGAACGTACGGCAACAAGCCAGGCTTTCACGTCCAACAAAGTCCGACCTATATCCTTCCAGTCGACTCCAGTGACGCGCTCTCCGTCGCCACTGCGCTGGATCGATCTGGCCCGGGCAACTTCCTTCTCCTCCTCGGTCAGGAATCGAGCGGTGGATGGATGATCGGGGAGGAAGAACCAGGCCAGAATGGCGGCCAGGCAGGACGGAATCCCCTCCACGAGGAACAAAAGTCGCCAGCTAGCGAGCTTGGGATGGCCGGATGTGATTCCGTAGGCCAGCGCACCGGCGAAAGTATTGGCTAAAGGAGCGGAGGAGACGAATAGACCGCAGCGTAGACCCAATTCATGTCGACGGTAGAAGAAGGAGAGTAGAAAGGGCGTGCCGGGACCAAATCCGGCTTCTCCCATACCAAGGAGGAACCGCAGAGCCATCATGCCCTGCCAGTTCTGGGCGGCGGCCTGACATGTGGCAACTATACCCCTGAAGTTTATTGTTAAACGAAGCTTGAGTTACAAGGCGTTGCGGTAACTCTATCCGCCTTAAACTTACCATGTCAGCACGGTGATCGCAGCCCATCTATGAGGTGGGATTATTTTCCACATTAATGCGAGAAACTCAAACACCGTGTATGAGATGTAAAAGATCGTGAGTAGCCATGAGTATTGGTCGCTGCTCAGGTGAAGATCATCTTCCATTCCAGCAATCTTCGCATTCCTGGGTTTCGCCAAACGTCAGTCCCAAGAGCTTCGCCAGACAGAATTCAGGAATCACGAACCCAATATTACTCCGATCCAACGCAGAAAGTAGATCTGTCAATATCGACGTTAGTTGGGCGCGCAATGATCATAGCATAAGCGTTTCCGGCTTACACAGGAACCCCAGCAGCGTCGGAACCCTCCAATCGAGCTTTCGTAGCAGTCGTTTCTCTACAGCGGGGTCGATGTCGATCGACGGCGCAGGCATGGGCGGCAACGCGGTCTGGACATCGTCATCGTGAATCGGCAATTGCTTTTCCGGGTCTCTGACGACCGGAGCTTCTCTGATATCGTCGTCCGGCGCATTGCTACCGGCATGGGGGTCGAGGGATCCGTCCTTTTTACCAAAGAACCCCATGTCGAGAGGTGGAGGAAGCGTGGGAATCGAGAACGAGCTGCAAATCCTTGGCCCGCGGCGACGGGCTTGGGTCTTATAATGAGTGCACCAGCCATCGGGGGGGTTTTGCAGACGGATGACTCGATGTGACCCATTATTGGATCTATTGGGGGATCGACAAAGTTAACCAGAATAGCGTGTTCCACTTGTGACGCCATGTATGGAACAGGCGAGGTCGCCCGCGCATTTCGCATGGATTCGATCGGGGATGGATCGGAGAGATTGGGTCGAGACGGAGGGGGTATGCAGCTCGACAGGGGGAAATGCAGGACTTAGAAGCATGGGAGCAAAAGAGTTGTACTCAGTGTAAGACAGGAGAGAAACAGCGAGCAGATGAAACAAGAATGGCGGCGAAAGTCTTGGCGAAGGCTTGAATTGCGAAAGGCGGGGAGACACTGGAGATTATCCGTTCAAGTCGTGGACCACCCCCGATCGACTGACTGATTAATTCATTAATGTCTCCATTGGTTCTTGGGGTAATCATTCCTAGCGCAGGACATCATCCCCGTCATGTTGACACCGGTGCTAATCCTCCAATGCGCGATTCTCACCTCGCCCAGTCGGTCTCACTCCTCTGTCGCAGGGGCGCACGACAGCCGGTAGTACCGGCCTAGCCATTGATCGTGGCGCTCAATCAGAATCAGAAGAAGGGAGTGGTTGAAGTCAATCTAACGACTTGGCCATGTGAATTGACAAGCGTGGCACCATCGGTCACTTCGGTTTTGGGGGACACGGAAAACTAAACATCATGAATGTCGGATTCGAATGACGCCAAGCTACTGTGATGCCCTCATCGCAGACCGCTAGTGCCAATGTCTTGAGCATCCAGGAAGAGTCTAACTGGCAGTGAAGACCATGGCCATCAGTCGGGACAAAGTTCGCGTCAGAGCACATATTCACGGCGCCTCCGCTCGGGTCCCTGGTTGCCTGGCTGCTCCGAAACGCTGAAGGGACGATACACTTCCATCTTCGTGGTGGTTTGCGCTCGAACCTTTGATGATAAGGCACCCAACTGGAAAGGCTTCACGATTGTGGCAGGACTGCGATTTTGGTACGGCTGGCTTGGTTCTTTTTCCCTCATGCAGCAGCACCGTCATTAATCTTCTCTCGTTTTGTATCGTAGTGTGGTGCACAGTTGATCCTGGTAAGATAACTGTAGCGTAGTTGCATGTATCAACTAGAGAATGGTTTAAGAAAAAGAATTGGAAACGGCGTCAGCCTAGAAAGACTTGCTAGGGATAGCCTATGCCTATTAGTATATTCTCTGTAACTTAGTTCTCTAAGTCTAGTAGGGGGGTTTGATCCAGCTCGGATTGTATCTGTATAGACTATACATTGCTGAGGGTTGCATTCAGTAACTTCGAATGTTGCGTTTGAGTAGTTGGGGCGACATCCTGGCAACTATATGTTTCATTTGCTTGGCCGAGTTTGTTTATCTGCCTGCAACTGATATTATCTGTGGCAAGGGAGGGCCCCATTTGCCAGAAGATATTAAATGGTTCAAGCATGTCATCTTCTCCTTTGGTTTAGGAAAAGAACAAGAAGAATCTGGAATTGAAGAAGAGAAGAACAAGAAGAGAAGGACAGCTGTGGGCCAGATTGGGTTAGCGCGTATCGGGAAAGGAAGGTGCTACAGCCTGACTCCTCAGGTGTCGAATCTGCATGCCTGGCACTTCTCGCCTGCCGCAGCAGCGCAGGGAGCCTCAAATTTCCGCGTCGCGTTTCCATCTCCAGCTGGGCCTATTCGCATCGCATCGCCGCTTTCTCGATCTCGCATGCATTGCTGCCCTCTGACCATCTAGTATTGCTAGCGATCATTTGACCACTTCCTAAATCAGCTACTTTCGAAACCGTGACGGTGTCGCTTCACAATGGACGACCCAGCGAGCCGTCTCCCCGGGCAGCTGGTAGGCGCTTTTCCCCAGGTTTCCATTTGCACGGCCATGGCTAGATCGCTGACTCGGAATTGACATGGACAGCTGCCGCACATGCATCTGTTGTCGCGCCATCGCTACCCCTTAATGCATATGATGCCCACCGAGACTGTCGTTGAATACCTGCTGTCCGCTCAAAAGATCGTCCGCGAGGCGCAACCGATGTACTGGTCATTCTTGGATGGCCCTCAGGATGGAACCGTCATGCTCACCTGGCAGCCTCTGAACCACTTGGGGACCAACTTTGCTAGCGATGGCTACGTCTGGGCGGACGTCGAGCAAGCTTTCACTTTTGAAGCTCGCGGCTATGTACGTGGACGCCCCTTCCACCCGTATTCACCGCGACTAGGGCATGGACATTGTCGGACTAACCGAAAGGCGCGTATCAGGTGTTAGAGATGTTGCTACACCGAAGTGGCTACCACCCCCCGAACGAGCCGCTTGCCATGCATTGTCGTCGACGTTATCGATTGTTACCATCAAAAGTGCCGAATCCTAACATGCCCCCGCCAGACCCGTCATTGTGGATCGTCCACTACTCGAGAGCTCCCCAATCCGACCATATCCCCGCAAACCGGATCCCTATTCACCCCCAGACTCAGTCCATGCTGGCACAGCGTCGCTTCCTGCAGAGCCAGGGACAGCTGGCTCGCAAGGACTTCATGTTGCACGACCGGAACAACTGGCCGACGATCAATTTCCCTCAACAGATGGCCCCGCAGAACTTCGCGCAAGTGCCTGGACCGTATCCGAACGCAATGGTCGGACGTCAGCCCTATTATCCGCCGCCCGTTCAAGGTGTGCCGGCCTCCGCGGGTGCCGCGCCAGCAAAGGTCCCCCGTGGACATCGCGCGTCTTCTGCCGCAATGAACGCTGCCACCGCCGACTTTGCGCTTGAGGACGAAGATGTTTCCGCCGGAGACATGATGGATCTCTTGACACCTCGGGAAGTGAGCAAGATGCGATACCAACAACATCACGAGTGGATGGAAGAAATATTTGCCTCTCCATACGCTATTAGCCAGATCACTCCGGTGTCTCTGGGCTTAGGTCGCAAAGGCGAGCTCGAATCTTTGACGGCGGGCTTTTTCGATGCACCGGATTCTAAAGACGCCGGCGATGCCGCCGCCGCCAAAATGGAACCGGCCAAGGCCGAAGAGTTCGCCGATCGCGTCGCCAAGAGAGTGGCGGACATGACGGCGGAAATTGAGAAGCTGAAGAAGCGCCATGCTCGCAGAATGGAGAAATTCAACCGCACTTCCTTACTCAAAGACGCTGAAATTCGACTTCGGGACTCAGCGACCGATCCTGCAGATACGGGCACGGAAGTCTGGAGACTGGAAGGTCGCATGGCGGTCCCCGACGAAGAGAACGACGGTCAGGACTCTGCGCCTTCCGATCCCAAGGCGACGCACAAGGTGGGCGACGTGATCAAGGAAGTCGAGACTGCGTGGCAGAAGCACATCGCTTTGGAGCCCAAGGTCTCGTGCGTGCAAAAGGGCGGATTGCTGGAGAAGATCGAGCCGGAACCGAAACCGGAACAGTCATCGCAGGGAGATGTCGACATGGACCAGGGCGCTACACTTCTCGATCAGTTCAGCGCCACTTCGGGACCGGCTCAAGGCCTTGCTGCGCCCGCACACGATGCCTCAACCGGCGCGCCCGGGGGCGCCGGTGCTGGCTCTGCAGTGCCGCCTCAGCAGCCGTCGAATATCGCGCAGCAATCTGCTCCGGGTCTGGACATTGAAATGGACATGGGCGATGGCCAACCCGTCAGTACTGCGGCGGGCGAAACCGGCGACTGGGTGATGGTCGACGGCGACAAGAAACACCAGACGACAGAGAAAGGAAATATCGGCGAAACTTCTCTCTCCGGCATCGACACGCCTGGGAGCGGATTGCAGGGTCTGACTCCGGGCAACACGGCAGGAGACAGTGCCCTGGACGGCGCCAATTTTGACTTTACCAATATGGATAGCGCGGGCGATGCTCTGGCGGCGTACACAGAGCAGAACGAAGACCTGGACCTGCCGGACCTGGAGAACTCGGCCTTTGGCGATGCATTCCACGCATCGGACAACGAGAATACCCATCACCACGACGCCGACGATTTGGCATGAGCTGGCGAGGCGTGGGTTTGCGGGATATATCCTCTCTTTTGGAATGAGTGGTCTACGGTGTTGTCGGGCTTACGATTACTTTCTGGCGCTGGTTTTGTATTCCTGTAAAATTAAGAGTGCAGACGCTTTTTTTTCTAATTTCTTTTGATATCAATTTTGGTTTCATTCTTGGGAATGGTTGTGAACACGGTTTCTTGGCAGTGAATCTGGTTGACGAGGCCGATCATCTGCACTCCCGACTCAATAGTACAGACCCTCCAGGTATTAGCTGCCTACGTCGGTCACTCATCTTTCTCGGATCCCTTCTGACTGGGATTCCGAGTACAAATATTCCGATGGAAGAAAGGGGAGACTGTCCGAGTCACCGGGCAGCATCATCCCGCCGATCAAGTGACTTGTTGCGACTTTGCCCGCGTGCGAGCGAGATCATGACTCCGACAAATCGCTTTCTCTTATTATCTTCGCTTCTGGCAGTTTTCCGACGCTTGTTGAAACCCTGCGGAGCTTTTGCCTCTTGACTGCGCAAGATCTTGGTTGCTGCAACTACAGTTACTCTACAGTGGTCTGTTCGAGATCTACATGATGCCGGACATCCACTATCAAACCGTTAGGAGTCACCCCTTCCAGTATTCTGTATGTATGGACTTGGAAATAACGTCTTTGACTTCACCAGATTGTCCCCCGCGCCGTTCGCTCCGCCATGTGTTTTGTCGAAGACGACGAGGATACCTGCGTGCGTCTCACGGAGTATCGGGTTCTGCCTGTCCGTGTTTCGTGTCCCCTTCCTGCTCCTCCTTGTCGTCGCAGGTGTAGCAGCAGTGACAGCGGTAGTAGCAGCAGCAGTGACTCGAGCTCGAGCAACAGCAGCAGCAGCAGCAGCAACAGCAGCAGCAGTAGCAGCGACAGCGACAGCGACAGCGAGAGCAGCAAGAGCAAGAGCAGCTACCACCATCGTCGCCATCATCGTCGCTATCACCATCGTCATCGCCATCACCATGACCAAGTCGTCGTTTGCCCGCCACCACCTCCGCGCCGTTCTTGCTCTCCAAGGTGCTCCTATACCACCGTAACTCGCACCATGACTCGCACGACCGAGGAGTCCCTGGTGCCCTTCTGGTCAAGGAAATCGCCGCGACTGATTGAAAGCCGCGAATGCGGACCACATCGCTTCGTGGAATGTTTCGAGCCGGATGAGTGCAGGTCTCGACGACGACGTCCTTTGGAAAGAGAGTGCGACGATGACTTGGTGTATATCTGTGGAAGATAGGTGGGGAGGGGTGTAATGAAGCGTCTACTTTCTCTCTTTTCTTTTCTTCTGCGTGCTGCGTTCTGTTATGTTTGACTTATACCCCTTGTTGCCGAGACTGCCGATCTACATTTTGTTCATGTTCGATGTTTGATTTGTTTATGTTGTCCATTACTGGCTTGATGACTTGATGGTTCAATCACCTGTTATCTGCTTGATTTTACATGTTTCGCTTTCCATAGTTTTTGAGTTGCGTTCAATCCAAGATCATCAATCACCCTCATGAACAGTTTGCCTTCATCCACGGTCGAGTCCACCACCGACCAACAAACACAAAGAAAATAGACCGAAAAAGTCAGCTGGGGTTTGTTCCAGAGCCAAGTCTGCACTCATTCCACGGTTTGCCCCATCGCAGTCCCCAATTCACAGTGACTGAAAGCGGACAAAATGACCTCAACATCCGCGCATCCCGCATGACGTCACGTCTACCACTCGAGAGCGTCGCGGTCGGTTTGTCCTTCATAATTCAATTCTATTCTCTTATGTCGGACACCAATCCTGTCCAGCGTATAGGCTCTGTGCTACCTCGACTTATCTAGGTATAGGGCTGGTTGTCGATCAGCCAGGGTGATTCATCCAATCAACTCCGAAAGGAAGGCGCATTCCCGTCCGTTGTCGATCGATTAAATTATTTGTCAGTCTATCTTTCTATTTTATCATCGTGGGTCTCCTTGTATCTTGTAAAGCCCTCGCGCTTCACGAACCCTTGTTGTGATTCTCACTGTCCAGACCATCACAAACCATGTACGCACCTTCAACTTCCAATCAATTCCCACACAGATACAAGCAGATAAAACTAACAACCACCCAGGAACCGAAACATGTCCGTCCGAAGGAGAGACTCTCTCGCCCAGAAGCCGCGCTTCAGCATCTCCACCTTGCGCGGCTTCCAGCAACCCGAGCTGAGCCGGCGTCTGGGCCGACTGATCAAGAACGAGAATGCGGCGATTGGCGCGCACGAGAAAGCCGGTCGCGAGCGCGTCGCCATCGCCTCGCAGCTGTCCGAATGGGGTGATTCCACCGAGGATGACGCCGTCTCTGACATCACGGATAAGCTGGGAGTGCTGATGGCGGAGATGGGCGAGCAGGAGGACATCTATGCGCAGAACCTGGAAGATTATCGCGGCCTGTTGAAGCATATCCGGGACACGGAGGGCTCGGTCCAGCCGTCTCGTGACCATAAACTGAAGGTCGCAGATGATATTCAGAAGCTGAAGTGGAAGGATCCGAATAGTCCGCGGCTGGAGACGCTTGAGCAAGAGCTTGTGAGAGCGGAGGCGCAGAATTTGGTCGCGGAGGCGCAGTTGACGAACATGGTGAGTCATGAGCATGATTTTCTGTTTGGTTTTGATTCCGATGCTGACGATCGGGTAGACTCGGTCGAAGCTCAAGGAGGCTTTTGATGTTCATCTGGCTGCTGTCATTGAGCGAGGAGAAAAGCAGATCCTGCTTGCTCGTCATGCTCGTCGGCTCCTGAACTACATCGACGATACCCCGGTGGTCCCGGGAGATGTGCGAAAGGACTATGATCGAGCATCTGAGGCAAAGATGGTGCTTGAAGATGCAGAGAAAGACCTTCTTTCCTGGGAGAGCACCGTCGATCCTATTCGCACCTCCGCTGGGCAGATGCCAGGCAATACCCTTCTGCCCGCACGTACAAGTGACCGCGAAGCAGACGAAAGTACCTACTCCGACGCCACTAGAGATATTGATGGTTCTGTTACCGACGCGAATCGAGATTCGTACGTCGCTGCGGACACCCCCGAGGCCAGCGCGCCAACTCGGCAGGTCGAAGAGACTATCACCCAAACGACCAGCCGCGATGCCGAAGGCCCTGTTACCGAGGTGACCCAGGAGACTATTGTTCGAGACATCAACGGATCTGCTGCAGGAAAACTCGAAGTGCCTCGGGGCAATTCCAAGCAGGCTGTTCTTCTGCCCGAGGGAGCTGGAGTTGCAGCCCAGCCAGTCGCCGTTCCATATTAGTAAATTGATCGTATTGTGTTGCTCTTGCGTCCTGTATTGTATGATATGAGATTGTCTATAATTAGGTACTAGTAATTCACATGTGGTTTGTTGTTTTGGAGCTTTTAGTCTTCTTGCAAAAGTTGGTTGGTCGTAGAGGCACTCTCTTTTAGGGCTGATCGTGCGCTGCCTGGATGCCTTGAAATTGGGGCAGCCAGCCACCCCACGTGACCGTAGGCGGCCAGCGTGACGCGGATGAACAGCGGGAGAGAGCTCCAGCAGCTTCAAGCTCCATCCTGCCTCTACCCTCTTCTACCTTCATCCCCCTCCGCTGTACACTACCCTTTCTATCTTCGTCTTGTCTTTTTGCCCTCCCAGAAATCCACATCTGCCGATCATGGATAAATTGGTCGCCCAGTACACCCAGGCGCCTCACCAGAATGAGTTCTATTCCGAACAAGAGCAGCATGACCTCACCGAGAGCCTGCCCCCGATCTCTCTAAAATTCGACCTCCCTCCTGTGGATAACGTGAGATATTCCCCGCCTGATGGATGCGGTACTTGATGGCAATGACTCCGAAGAGCTCGCAAACCGCGATGCTTATCCGGGCCTGGAGCCGGACGCAACCACCATTCAACCATCTGCCATCCGACGACTTGACCTTATTGGACTGACCTGTCTTATCCCTTCTAGTCTCGAGCTTTCCTTCGTGCGATGACCGATGACCACTCCAACCCCGACTGTCCCATCAAGTTGGCTCACGGAACGACGACGCTGGCTTTCCGCTTCCAGGGCGGAATTGTATGCCATACCCCTCCCCTCCTCGCTCTGTCGATTTGTCATTGCCATCGCCACAGATCACTGACCTATGTGTGGCTCTATTTTCTAGATCGTTGCGACGGATTCCAGAGCTTCGGCTGGTGACTGGATTGCCAGTCAGACGGTGAAGAAGGTCATTCCCGTGTCGCGGTTGAGCCGTGGTGAGGATAAGCCGACGAATGATCCGACGCCGGGTCTTTTGGGCACTATGGCCGGTGGTGCTGCGGTATGTTGTTTTCTGGATGGTCACCCGTCCTCGAGGATATTAGATATCCGATGGGATACTCTGGTTTATGGTGATACTGATTGTCGGGCATTCTAGGATTGTCAATATTGGCTGAGATATCTGAGTCAGCAATGCACACTTCACGGTAAATCTACACCATTGACGGCATTCATGCTCAACGTCTGGCTAATCCGGAACAGAAATCCGACACAAGCGCCGTATCACCGTCGCCGCTGCTTCGAAGATCCTCGCTAACCTGACATACGCCTACAAGGGCTATGGTCTGAGCATGGGTACAATGTTGGCAGGCGTACGAACCCCCTCCCCTCCCCTCCTGCAGTTCAGTTTCATCAGCATGAAAGCACACCCCGCTAACATATTCGTTTTTCAAAACTTTCAGATGACGCCCCAGGAAGGCCCCGCCCTCTACTACATCGACTCCGACGGCACCCGACTCGCCGGTAACCTGTTCTGCGTTGGATCCGGTCAGACCTTCGCGTACGGCGTGCTGGACGCCAACTACCGCTACGATCTGTCCGAGGAGGAGGCGCTCGAGCTCGGCCGACGAAGCATTCTGGCCGCCATGCACAGAGATGCGTTCTCCGGTGGTTTCATCAACCTGTACCACGTCAAGGAAGAGGGATGGGTGCACCACGGCTTCGACGACATGAACCCCATCTTCTGGAAGACGAAGTTGGAGAAGGGCGAGTTCTCCAACGTCACGTCGGAATTGTAGAAGAAGAATGAATGATTGGGGACTTTTTTTTATAATGGGTGTTGCTGGGCTCTCTTTTAGTGAATATTATACTTTGATGATGGTTTAGGCATTCAAGAGGAATCATTCGATTTACTTTAGTGTGCAATTGTAGAGCTTAGGTAGCTCAGAGTCTTTTATGATTCTGACAATACGATAGCGAGTGGCATCCTAATGTTCGTAGAGTAAGACAATCTGTTGGATACCGGAAGCTTGAAATAGAAAAAAAAAGTAAATGAAATACGAAAATGCTATGAAAAGTAAAGCCAAGACAAAAAGAACTACAAACCCCTCCAAAATAAATACATAAATGTCCACAATCAAATAAACAAGAAAAGAAAAGAAAGCAATGCTCGGCTCCACGATTCTATGAAACCAGAAAAGCTTTTTTGAGATCCCCAACCTTCAACCCCAAAACTCATTCATGTCCGTTTTTTTTCTGTCCCTTTTTCCTTTTTGCTTGGTCCTCGTCGGTTTTTAGGTATACATATATACACTAAAGTTTTAGTTCTCCACCTTGTACTTCATGCGGATACCCATAGCAGCCAGCTCGACGTCCAAGAACTTCAACACACCAGGGATAGCAACGATGGTGACGTTATCACCGCCGACGTGGCGACGACCATCACCGTCCTCCCAGATGACGGCGCGCGAGTCGTCGAAGACGGCTTCGCGGGCGCAGCGTCGGCAGCGGACGATGGCCGGGGCAGAAGAGCCCTGGGTCTGATTGCTCGCGGCCTTGGCGGCAGCGGCGGCGGCGGCGCCGTGGTTGCGGGCCTTGCTGACGGAGGAGACGGCGACCTGGGTGGAGAGGAAGGAGCCGCAGTCGCGGCAGATCCAGGAGAGGGTGGAGTCGGAGCAGTTCATGAGACGGTCCTGGAGGAGGAAGGCGGCGCCGTGGGCGATGAGCGAGTCACGCTCCATCTCTCCGACACGGATACCACCACCCTTGGCACGACCCTTGACGGGCTGGCCGGTGAGCTGGTTCACGGGACCGGTGGTTCGGACCTGGAACTTGTCGTTGACCATGTGACGGAGACGCTGGTAGTGGACGAGACCCACGAAGATGTCCGCGGCGAACTCCTTACCCGTGATGCCACTGTAGAGGGGCTCGTTGCCGTGGTAGTTGTATCCGGCCTTACGCAGTTGCTCGCCGAAGTAGTCCGTGGCCGTGTTCTCTTCGGAGAACTGGAAGGGAGTGGAGTCCTGGGGGTGGCCATGGAGGGCACCGGCCTTGCCGGCCATGGATTCGATCATCTGGGCGATGGTCATACCTGGGATGTGCGTTAGTCACGGTTCCGATCAAAGAAGATAGCAAAGGGAAAGCTTACGAGACGGGAAAGCGTGAGGGTTGATGATGAGATCGGGCTGCATGCCACTCTCGGAGAATGGCATATCGACCGCAGGCCAGAGCTGAGAGCAGACACCCTTCTGCCCGTGACGCGAAGAGAACTTATCACCGATGACTGGTTTTCTGGGAATACGGTACTTGGCACTGATGGACTGGCACGGCTCAATACCGCTTTCAGCACCCATGACGCGGACGCTTTCGATGTATCCTTCCTCGGAATCCTTGTACTTGACGAAGTGGGTGAGACCGTCAACGTTGACATACGAGTCCGAGGCGGGATCGTAGCGCACGTTATGCCATGCGGCAACGGGAGAGCCCTCCCGCACCTTAGCACCGAGAAGAGGCAGACCATCTTCGTCGATCGTGTTACGCCATTCGGCCCTAATCTCGGCACCCGGCGCGAAGCCGAACAGCTTCGTGATTTCGCGCCTGGACTTGCCTCGTCGCGAATCCTTGTCGTCAAGTGAGTGGATCTTGGTCTTGTAAACCGTACCGTGACCGAAGCCACGTTCGTGGGAAGATTTGTTGATAATCATAGCGTCATCCATGTCATAACCCGTATAGGAGATAATAGCCACGACTGCGTTGGTGCCGTTGGGGAAGTTATCCAGACCATAGGCGTTGTAGAGAGGCGGCCGCACAATCGGCGTCTGACCTGTTTGCAACCGGTAGAGCTTGTTGTCTGTGCGGAACTCGATAGATGTACCCGGCGTACCCATCGTTTGCTTGCTCATCTGACACTGGTACATGTTACGAGGGGACTGGTTGTAGTCGGAGAAGGGCGTCATGTTGGCGACAATGGAGAGGATGTTGGTGGGTGTGAATTCAATGTGAGTCGAGATGCCCGAGATAAGATCGGACGGCACGCATGCAATCTCCATGAAGGGCTGCTCAAACGGACCCACGTAGTCGAGCTTGTCGAGGGGCAGGTACTTGACGGGGCGGTACATCCTAGCGGACTGAGAGAACATGTAGATACCGGGGTATTGACCACCGTTGGTGTTGGGGACGTAGCCGATTTCCAGTTCCAGCGGGATGTTGTGAGTGCCGGTCACCTTCCAATATCTCAACGTATCGGCAATCACACGGGCCTGTTTGGGTGAGCAATATCCGACAATTCTGCCGTCCAGTTGGACAGGAACACTCTCCTCCACCGAGACAGACGACTCGGAGCGCACGCCTAGTTGGATCAACAGCCTTGGGATGTGCGAGACATTCACATCGCTGGTGGAGATCAAGCACTTGTGGGCAAGATGATTGAGCAGACCACATGGAGATCCATCAGGCGTGTGCACAGGGCAGAGGAAACCCCAACTCTCTGGAAGAAGTTTTCGGACGGTGGTAGTCTTCAGTTGGGCGAAGAAACTACCTCTGTGGATCATTCGGAAATGACTGATGAATCGGTAGAAGTTGATCTTCTCAGCCATGACCGTGTAACCGGACGTCTGTTGCAAATCAAGACCCGTGGGACTAACGAGGTTGCCTGTTGAAAGGAAGTACTCCAGCGTACCACCGAGGTTTTCGTTGGTTCTCTTGACTATCTTGCCTAAGAAGTCACGCTCGAACGCCGGGTCGGTGAACTTAGCCCCGTGGTTGCGAAGGGACCAGTCTCTGAGAATCGGGCCGAACGATCTGACCCATTCTTCGAGTCTCTCCTTCAGGATCATTCCGTACAAGAAACCGCCCAGCAGAATTTCCTGGTTGGAAACAGCATCGGGGTTATCAGGAGCACAGTCACCAGCGACGAGGGCATACAGCTTCCGGATCATATACATGATCATCTTGAATTTGTCGTAGTCCTGGGTCTCGGTGACGTTGTGATTTCCCAGATGCGGCAAAACCACCTTGCGAAGGAACTCCGTACCGGCATCCTCGTTGGACATGTCCATTGGGACTCCGAGGACGGGCTTGAACTTCTCTCCCAGGTAGGCACGGCAACTCGAGCGACTGTTCACCCGGTATCCCTTGTATGTCCGCAGCAACAGCTCCACTCGATCGGTCACGAAAGTGTTGTTGATGCCCTCTGACGAGGAACTGCCAACGATTCCTTCGAAGATTTCTCGATCGTTCGTTTCCACCAACGCTTTCAGGATCATCATGATGGGGACAAGAAACTCGTTCTTTCGCCACGAGAAACGGAAAGTCACATTGCCGTCACTGAGATAGTGCAGGACATTCGTTTGCGATGTTTGATCGGGTCGTACGGATCGGATTTGCACACCGTATTTGGTGTAGGTGTGACCACGCTTGACGAAAGAGCCACGAACGATGGCCATGGGAAAGTTTCTCTTTCCAACAATCAACATTCGAATCAACTTCTCGTTTCCGTTCACGATGAAGTAACCTCCAAGCTCCTCCGATTCTTCCTTGTGCTGCACGAGTTGTGCCGGGGTCGCCTTTTCCAAATGGCATCGGTTGGTCTGGCAGAACGCTCACATTAGCTTTTCCGAAGCGCCAAAGACGAGTCCCAACGGTAATACACCGCAAGTATACTCACCCTCATCATGATAGGGACTTGACCCAGTTCCCTAGTCGACTCCTGCCAATCGCCATTGTTGACCTGGTATTCGATCTTTGCGCGCAACTTCCCTCGGTATGTCGCATGTCGTTCTCTGCATTCAGACGGGTAGATATTACGGTTGCGCGCGGTGAATTTATTCGTCAGCGGAATAGCCGGCCGGTCGAGGTAGACTTCTCTGATGCGGACATTCAGCTTGTTCCGCTTGGGCGGTTTCCGTCCTTCAGCTTGCCGAGCTTTCTTCTGTTCGGGGGTTTCGCCTTCGCCATCGATGAAGGTCTTCGTTCCGATGTCTTTCAGGCCAGCCTCCAGTACTTTGCTGCCGTCGAAAAGCGCATTGAAGGAATCAATGTGAGGTTTGATGGCATCGGCCAAGGCGGGATATGCGGTTCGGTCACTGGGAGGGTTTCTGAACAGGTTTTCCCGTCTCAGAGTGTCATAATTGACGGACCAATTGGTGTCGGTCTTAGCAGGGGCCATGGTGAATTTTTCTCAGCGATCGGAGAGAGGACTACTCGGGAAAAAGTGTAGAAAAAAGAGGTTAGTACAACCTCGTCTGATCCAGCCAGAGGCACCGTCAACAAAGTCGGCGCAATGGAGGTACTCAATGGTTCATTCCCTCTTGACACGGAAAACGAGGAGAACGGGCACAAAGGGAAGACCCAGAGAGAGGGGGATACTCGCAATGGAGAGAGGCAAGAAAGAGAGCAGAATGAAGCCGCTCAACGCAGCAACGGGGAAATTTTTCGAGGTGGAGCCGGCGGACAGATATCGTCACGTGCTGATAGCGGGCTCGAGTTGGCTCTCTGCCTGAGGCTTCCAGGCCGCCACGATGACATAAGAGCGCATCACAGGACCGCGGGACGGGACGCAGCCGCCTTAGGCAACAAGGCAACTTTTTCGCACCCGATTCTTTCCCCTCGTCGTGACTTGAATTATCCTCTGGAGATAACCCCAGCTACAGCTACAGCTAGCTATTCCTACTGCTACTGCCACTCTGCCAGTCTCTTGCAAATCAATCTCGCTCGTGCGACCCAGCCACAGGACTAACTAACCAGTAGCCAACTAGTCTAGCTGCCCAGACTGACAAGGGACACGGGCGAACTAAGCGCTCCCCTCCGAACGGTCATGCGTGCACATAGATCGGAGCAGTTTAGTTTCACCGCAAAGCAGGACAGTATCAGAACGGCCATTATTCTTTCCTCCCACGCATCATCTCCTGAACGCCGCCCTTCTCTCGCTGCAGCGGTTGGACCCTGATCAATAATTAATTACTTTTTCTTCTTCCTCTCGTTCCTCTCCTTCTCCCCCCTCTCTTTCGCTCCTTGGCTCCCTCACTCCCCTCCTCAGCCCGTCTGTCTGTCTGTCCGCCTAGCTGTCGTTTACCTCTTCCACGCCGCCTACCTAAAAACCCAGTCCCAGTCGTATCTCGCTCGCCCTCTCATTTTTCTTCAGCGTTTGGACTACTTCGCATCATCTGGACTTTCTGTCGAAGTCGCGGAAATCTGCTTCCACCCACCCCCCACCTCCCTCATTCTTCCAGCTCCGAACATTTTTCTTTTCTTCTTCTGCTTTCTTTGCTTTTTTATCTGAGCCTTCGATATATTAAGCCCTGCGTCATCCACTTGGGCCAAGACTGACTTTCACCTTTTTGTTTTTTTTCTTTCTTTTTTTTCTTTTTTTGTGATTTGATTTGCCTTCACCGACTTTGTCACTCTGTGCCTTCCTCGGCCTTCTCGTCTGTCCGCTTAAACCGCTCTGGTAAATTTCTGTTGTGCAGTTGTTTGTCCGAGTCTGGTCTATCCTTCCAACATGGCGGGGATCTTTCGAACCATCTATGACTGGCTTTTGAGGATGTTCTGGTAAGTGGGCCGTTGTTTCCAATAGGTCATCGCTTTTCGCGGTTCCTCGGAAATAGTCCCTCCTCCGGCCCGTCCCCGCAGATATGGAGCTATTCGGCCTGACAAGAGCGGTGCCATGCGTGGTGTGAATGTAGGGCGACGGAGATGGATGTCACCATGATCGGACTTCAGAATGCCGGAAAGTCATCGCTGCTGCGTGTCCTTGCGGTAGGCTCTCCCTCCCACCCAGCTCGGCCGACCGATCGAGCGTTTCTTTTTGTCAACCACCGTCGCTAATCTGATGGTTACGTGGATGTATAGGGCGGCGAGTTTACTGTAGAGTAAGTTCTTAGCGCGTAGGGACCAAGCCTAGTCGCAAAGCTCTGTCGCTCTCTTGCTAAGGCATTATCGCAGTTCTATCCCTACCATCGGCTTCAACACGAAGCGGGTCCAGAAGGGCCATGTGACTCTGAAATGGTGGGTGTTTCAGCCTTGCGGCCGACATGAGCTTCAGCCACAGTGTTCTAACGATCGTGAAGTTGGGATCTAGGGGGGCAACCGCGGTTCCGACCGATGTGGGAGCGATACTGTCGCGGCGTCAATGCGATCGTGTAAGTGTTCAGGGACGGCGGACCACCGATCTTGTATAGACATTGCTGACTTTCCGACCAGCTATATTGTGGATGCGGCAGATCGCGCTGCCTTGCCGGTTGCGACGGACGAGCTGCACGACTTGATGACCAAGCCCACATTAGATGGAATTCCTCTATTGGTTCTTGGAAACAAATCGGACCTCTCGAACAAACTGTCGGTCGATGAGCTGATCGACGCGATGGACCTGAAGTCCATCACCCGTCGCGAAGTGAGCTGCTATGGGATCAGTGCCAAGGAGGAAACCAACCTGGATGCTGTTCTGCACTGGCTCATCGCTCGAGCCAGCCGATGAGCGACGCGACATGTGAAGACGGGTCAAAATGCGGTCTGATAGGCGTCACGATGCCTCCATGACTTCTCCCTATCTGCCCGTGTCATGCCTGATCATGAAATTTTCGTAGAAGATATCCAACACTTGGCTCGCTGCCTCAGATGTAATGACGTTGATGATGTGAACCAGGCACATTCGACTTGAGCGTGATCACTTTTTGGTCTCTCTGAGTTTTGTTCTTTTTTTTTTTTTTTTTTCTCTTCATTTAGTTTCATTTGTCAATGTGATTTGTCATGATAACGATGTCGATTCATGTTTGTATTTTTTTTTTAATAGTTTGTCTTTTGTCTCCGGGGGACGCCTATCGGCGCCCGATTCAGTGGAAGACTGAGCAATTTAGCAACGATTGGAAATAAATGCATTTTTTTGGGGGGAAAGACATTTGAAATAAGCGGCACCAGACTGACTGAATATACAGAGCAAAATAGCCACTCAGTCGGCAATTCCGCCGTACTTTGCGGGGGGGAATTTGACGCGGGACAAAGAAGAAAAACAACCAAGGGACGGGCAGGAAAGAACCGAAGAAAAATAAGATGCACGATCTTATTTATGAGGAGCGAGTTGGAGGAGTAATGCGGACAGCACACAGACCAACTGATGCGTTGGCATTGCAGATGCGAAGACGGGAACTAATCAAGCCCTCCATGACTGTCCAGCAAATCCAACCCCGCCAACCACCCCCCCAGCGAAAGTTCAAGGGCTTCTAAGGTCAGCATCTTGTGCTCCGTCCGACTTTGTCATAGGCAGCTGCCCGGTTCGCGTGCATTTCTGCGAATCGGCTAGGTGTCCGGTTGACCCGGTCAGGTTGGTGGTTGGGAGGTTTTCATCAGGGAATGACTTCAGGTTGTTGTATCACGTTGTCTTGATTGCTGCGTGGAGAAAAGTCGACTGATTACTCCAGTATTTGACCTGGGTACAGTGGGAGAATTCTTGCTCACCCCTACGGATATGACACAGAGACTTACCCCGGGTGGGAAAGAGGGGTGAAGCCACGAGGGGAAGTAGAAGAAGGACCTGGTCATTATTTGTGGTCGTTATCATCGGATAATTGCAGATGCCTCAGGTTGGATGATGACACAACTCGACTCAACTCCCCTTTTGCCTTTCTACGGTGTACTCCGCCCTACAAAGTATGATAGGCATACGGAGGTAGACTTGAAACATGCTGACGAATACGACAGTTTGTTACTGATTCCTTTTACTGTGTAGAATTTCGAGAATGTTACTAGTAAGCAAGGCAAGGCACTACCGCGTAGTAGGATCTATGAGCCGCAACAACGGCTACCTGCGAGAACAATATCGGATCCATGGATCGGATTAGATCGGTCGATGGCAAAAACCAGGTCTCAGTTGTGTCTGCCTCAGAAATTAGACTTCGATTAAGCCACGATAGGATCGACTGCGCCCTGCTACCGGGTCCAGTGTACGGAGTACGGAGTACGTACGGAATACGTTGTTGACTGATCAACATATGCGCTGTACTGGTTATTGATCAGGACCACGAGTCGGTGAGATGGATATCGAGGACCAGGTCAGAATGGGCAGCGAACAACGCAGCATATCGGGAGGGCTGCAAGTCCTGGTATCCCGTAGCGTACGGTGTAGGTCGGATGCTGAAGGCTTGAAGCCCAGTCGACCAGTAGGTTGGGTTAAATTGTATGCCGGATGACGAGTGTGGAGAGGAATCTATGAGTTAGTACTTACGTCAAGGATATAAGCTCAGTCTGAGTGTGAATTCGAGTGTAGCTGATCGACTTGGAGATGCGAGATGTGATGACTTTGCCATTTAGCGTTAGGACAGACTGATATATGAAGATAGATGAAAGACTTTCCCGGTAAGCTGTCAGCAGTTGGCAGACGACGGAGTTAACCGGAGTACAGTGAGTAGGTGAGGTCACCAAAACTATGGTGTAGCTGAGTCATCCGCAAGCTCTTCCCATCCCAGGACGGAAATCCGTGGCCGCCTGAGGCTGCCAAGGCGCCCAGCCATCCACTCAGCCACAGCCTAAGCCTTACCGTCCAATCGCCAATCGCCCCCCCATAATTACCCGTGCATGTCCACTTCTCGCTTTGCTGCTGCCTTCAGTCTCCCCCAGAAGATTCTCTACTACTCTTTTCCCTCTCCCCTTGCATCACTCCTGCTTGGGCCCTTTCGCTCGTATCAGGAAAAAAACATCACCAGGTCCTCTGTGACCTTCATCTAAGTACCCTTTTCATCTCGGCAGTCTTTCTCTCCTGTTGGCCTCTGTCTCTTTACTACCAGACCTTCGCCCGATCGACGTCATTTTCCGCCCTACAGCCTCGGAAAAGAGAGGCCTTCTTCAGCCGACATGATTCTCCCTCGTCGCGAATGGTAGGTTCTCCCCCCTTCGACTTCAGGATGGGATTGAGCTCGGCTGGTCAGAATATCAGATCAATGACTGACCATTGCGCTCTAGTGATTATTACGACCGGTACTGCCGGAGCAGCGCCTGGTGGGACTGGGGTCGTTGGGTCGCTTTCGCTGTGATCGTTGGTTGTGCTTTCATCATTTTCTTCATATTCGCGTATGTATCTCCCTTTGTCTGTTCGGACTGCAAAACACCAAGGGTCTAACGGTTTGGCAGATGCTATAACGCTCGTCGACGTCGCAACCGCGGTCTTCGACCTCATCCCGGTACTGCCTGGCTTGCCGGGCCTCCTCCGTCGTACCAGCAGCATCAGCAGCATCCGCAAACCTACGCCGATCCCTACTACCAGCATCCGCCGCCACCGCAATATACGCCTCAACCACAAGCGTACGGGTATTTCGGGGGGCAACAAACAGGCATCGAACTACAGTCGCCACCCAATGCCTACCAAGGTGGTCCGGCATACGCGCCTCCGCCCGGTCCTCCTCCAACTTCGAAGGCGTAAAAGCCGAGAACATGAGGTGCTAGACGGACTGTCGATCTTGATATCATTGCTTGCTTTGGTAGCCATTTTTCTGTGAAAGTTGTCTTTTTCTTTTTCTTGTTTTGCTTCTAAATTACCCTGGCGTTGGATCAGTTATCGGAATATCCCGCTCTCCGTCCTACACGATCGACACGAGGATTGAAAACCGGATGGATGCATGACGGTCTATGAGTTTCTTTATGTTTATTCTTATACGCTTCTACATATTTAATGATTTAGTCAGGGGAGCACTCCGGATGCATGAGATGGACCCCCTAGCATGTACGCCGGGGCTAATCTTACTCCCTGCTCACCCTTAAAATAAAGAAATGTTGCTACAGATACCTTTTCTACAGTTGGCATGGACATGAACATGGACCTGGTAGTTCCTACACCATTTACTCTTAATCCAGCCTTCTGGAGCTTGTTTCATTGCGTTACTTTTTTGCCCCCAAACCAAAAATAGCCGTCTCGTATTTGCCTTCTCTCTCTCTTCCCCCCTCTTTCTTTTCTAGCGTATATTCACACTAACTAACTCGCCGTCGAGTCTCCAGAAATGGTCCGTGAGCGACGGAGGACGAAGGGCGCTACTCCATTCTGAAGGGTTAAATTGACATCGTTGCTGCCTGCAGAAGAGGGTCGTCACGTAAAACACCGTTTACTTGCATCTTCTCGAAGCATGCACGTTTAGCACCTTAGCTCCTAATTCAAAAAGAGTGGACACTGGCAGGCATGGGCTGCCAATAAGAATGGAATCGCTTAAAGCACAGCAAAACGACTGGGATCGACAGGCGACGGTGGAGAGGCAGATGGAGTCGGGACGAACGCAGAGCGAAAAACGGGCGGTTTCAAGCCAACGATCAGGCAGGCGTGGTACCTTTCTTAGTTAATCCCGTATTACGACCCATTGCGATGAACATGCTGATCCCCGCGCTTTCGTCCCTTTTTTCTCTTCCTTTTTTCCTTAGGTGCCTTCTTTGCTAGCCTCCCTTTCCCTTCTTTTTTTTTTTCTCTCTTCGTCCAATCCTGACGCGTCTCTCATTATCTATTCATTGTTTGATCTACCCTCATTTCATTTCTCCTGGAGAGATCCTCATTTATCGTCTGCAGACTTGCTGGTCTGTTGAGACCCCCCCTAGAGAGGCGGTGCAACGGATCTCACCTGGGCGCAGCACCGCACTTCATTGTCCTTTTTTCCTTCTCGCTTCGAGTCTATCCTTTCGTTAACTCCCATTCTTACAATACCTATTGCTTCTTGCGATACTATTTTTATCTTGACCTCCAAAGTCAGAACTCTACCGCAGTCCTTTTACACAATTCGCCCACCACCCTCGACCGAGGTATTCGCCTAGCGACACATACGAGGAACTATTCCATATAACAGACCCTATCTCGGCTCGAACGTTGTACTCGACCTTGCCTTCCTGGAGAGACCCATGACGAGCAAGTTGATTTGATTCAAATTCGAGTCTCAAGTCAGCGTCGTATCCCGGCCCCTACGAGTTTATGCTTGCGCCAAGTCAGTCAGGGATACGAGCCGGTGACTGTCCGAGTGATAGTGGGATAAAACCAACGAAAGCACCCAGCGCATTGCACCATTGCCAGAGAGGTGTTTGCTGTGGGGCTCCAGGATCTCAAACATAATCGGCCAAAATGAGTCCGGTGGATACAACCCCCGTAACACCGTTCCCGATATGGGCGCGGGACATCGCAAGTGATCTGAAAGATGCACCCGAAACTTTGTCGAGTTGGGACAATTGCATGGCCAAATCCTATTGCAAGTATGTTATTTAGGCTGCTGCAGGTGGACCCTTGAACACCCTCTATGGAGTGACCACCTTATTCTTACCTTGCCCCGGATACTGACCCTTATCCTTTCGCAAGATGGCCCGTTATCGCCGCTATTATCGTTGGAGGTGTAATCGTTATCTCCGTTCTCGCCTGTGTGATCAATTGTCTATGCTGTGGCTATCAATGCTGCAAAAGCTGTTGTTGTTCCTGCTGCTGTCCGTCTCGAAACAAAAACCGGCAACCAAAGTACATGGATGATCCGTACAATGCACCCCTCAATCAACCATACAACCAACCTTACAATCAACCTCCTCCGATGCAACCGCCACCCATGCAACCACCGGCGCCGGTCAATGACCCCTATAAACCGTCTCCGTCTCCAGCCACGGGATACCGCGGCGCGCAAGTGGCGCGCTTCGATTCCCCATCGAGCCCTGGTCACAGCAAGTTCAATGAGGATGCGCTGCCTGCCATGCCTAGTTGGGATAATGCCGTGACTAGGAGGGTCGAGGATTCAGACCCCCACTCAGACGCGATGGAAATGGAACCCTTGAACGCAGCGAACCAACCTCCTCACCGGACGCCCTCCGCTCCTCGACCAAACGCAGGTGGGTATAGTGGCGCTGGCTACAACGGCAGTGACTACGGCAGTGACTACAACGACGGTGGCTACAATGGAGGTGGCCGCCATGGCCCCGGTTACATGGGGGTTACCCCCGTTCGGACGGGCGGGCCCTCCGGTTTTCACCCTGAGTCTCGGGCACACGACATCCCGAGAGCATACACTCCTCAATCTCCTGCCGTGGGGTCTCCGGCACCCATGCATCCATACGAGCAACAACCATACCATGATTACTCCCCTGCGAACGGTGCAAACCCTTGGAACTCAGTATCTCCCGCCCCGAGGGCCTACACTCCCCAACCGCAGTATATGGCCACGGGCCCGGCCATGTCTCCTTCGGCAGAAGCACCTCGTCCAATTCCTTATCGCCAGCCCTCCCCGGGCTTCGCTCAGGCGCCCATGGGACATTCCATCTCTCCCATGGATGGTCCTCGCCCGATTCCATACCGGCAACCCTCCCCAGGCTTCAACCAGGCCCCTGTCTATCAGGCCATGTCCCCAAGCATTCCTTCGTCGCCGCCTCCGCCATTCACGTCAACCGCTGCTCCTCACGAAATGACCGCCGACCCGGGCCGGCCCCCGAGTCTGTTGCAGAGTGGACGCAAGCCGGCTCCCAACTCTTACCGAGACGTATAACCAGTGACGACTGTCACTGAATGAAACAATTCCTTTTCCTTCGGCGGTGTCTTGTTTTTCTTCATGTTACCTTTTTTGGATATTATGCTTCTGATCGCTCGACTGTTTTGGCTATCTCACATGTATGTATATTGAAACAAAACGGGCGATCTTCATTACGGAGTCCGGGCGGACTATGCGATTTTTATATTCTATGAACAAAATCTGGGACAGGGCGTTGGGCTTGGTTTTTGAATATCGGTTACGTGCAATTTCAATGATATCTTTTGGAGGATGTGGCTGTTTCATAACCCATTTCTAGTGATGTATTTGGTATTGACGTTGTTGTTTTATTGTATGCGATGTCGACTGTTTACACCAAATTCCACATGTCTGGTTCTCTAGGTGGAGAAAATTATAACACTATGTATACATACCCTGCAAGCTAGCCATTCATCGATCTATTCTGCTCCAATTCCATATCCAAATTCAATACTAGGTCCTATAAGATACATGGATATACATAGTACAGCCTGACAATCACCAACCCAAAGAGTTCAAGAAGGATAAAGAAGGATAAAGAAGGATAAAGAAGGATAAAGAAGAGGGCATTCCAACCAATCTACTCCTCCAACGTAAAATCAAATTCCTTAAACGCTTCCTTAAACGCCGTCGCATCCTTCTCTTCCTCTGCCTCCGACTGCACATCATTCTTCCAATTAATGCGCTTTTCCAACTCCATCAGCTTAGCCATGACTCGGCGCCCGAATTGCAGATCGAACCGAAATTCCGGTCCCAGAGGCAGAAGGAGGGATGTTTCGGTTCCAGAAGTCTTTTGGCTTGGGCTGTCTGTTTGTGACTCGGCTTGGTCTTGGTCTTGAGGTTCGGTTTCCGATCCCTCGGAGGGGGGATCCCAGATCCAGAGGCGAAAGAAATCGCCGGCCTCGGCGCTGGGGTCGGCGGTGTTCGAGGCGGATTCGAATTTGGGGTACTTGAGGTTCTCGGCCTCGACTTTGAAGGCGGCGGAGACGAGACCGCGCTTGATGAGCGCCGACGGCACGGGCAGGAACTGCCAGTGCACGTGGATGCCGTTGCCGCGGCTCACTTCCCAGGTGACGGCGCCGAGGGCGCCGGCGGCGCGGCGGTGGAGCATGGAGTGCAGGGCTGATCGGTAGCGCTGCATTTCGGAGTAGGTGGCGGTGCGGGATTCCGGGTCGGAGATGCTGTTGAGGGTGGGGGAGTGGGAGAAGGGGATGATGAGCATGTGGCCGGGGAAGTCGAGGGCGGGGAAGGTTTTGGACGTGGGGAGGGGCCCCTTTGCAGTGGTGAGGTAACTTTCGTTGCCGATGGAGGTGATGAGGTGGGTTGCGATGTTGGGATTGGAGAGGCAGAAGAAGCATTGGTCGGGGCCCGGGGGAGGCGCGCGGGCTCGCTTCCGGGGACGGTGGGAGTGGTGACCGTCGTCGACGGCGAAGCGGGAATAGGACTCGTTTTGGCTGGCGAGGGGCTTCCGCTTGGCTTGGGGGGTTGGGAGAGGGCATGCGGTGGCGCCGACGGGGACGCTCAAGGGATGAGGCGCGTTGGGGTCGAGGGTGAATGCGTACATCCATTTCTGCTTGGAGGTTTTGCTGTAGGAGGCGAGGCTGATGAAGCGGGTGAGGGGCTTCGCGTCGGGGTTGTCTTCGGTGGGCATGTGGAAGAAAGGTTCGCGCTCATAGAAGAAGCTGCCGGAGGAGGTAAGGTGATACCGAGGCTTGAGGGTGGAGCAGAGATCTGCGATACACTGGACCTCCTGGGGTGGCGTTGCGTCCTCTGGTAATGATACTTTGGAGCCGGTGCGAATGTCCTTGGGCCATTGGTGAGTGATGAGGATGTCGGCATTGTGGGCGCCGTGGAGGGCTCGGGCATCTGGCTCCGTGTAGACAGGGTGATACTTGTCGGTCGATTTGCTTTCGGCATCGAAATTACCCCCGAGGGCAACGATGCGGATGCCTTCTGCCGTCTTGAGGGTGCCGCGTCTTCCGAGGAAAAACAAATTCGGGCAGACTTCATCGTTGGCCTCGATCCTCTCAATCACCCTGGTGGGAAGAGGGCGATTGCCCAGTCCAAAATAGGTTGGGAGTGGGACGTTGGTATTCCCATTCAGCAATGCCGTCACCTCATCTAATTCATGCTCGGTGGAGCAGTCGCCGAAGAGGTCACCGGTGATGATAGCAAGCGAGAAATTCTGCTTGACATGGAGCTTGGCAAGTTTCGTGAACACCTCGCGCAACTCGCAATTCACGTCACCAAGCACGATTCTAAGCATGTGTTAGATTAATGGTGCGTTATATAAAAAGTTTCTTTAGACTCACATTTTGGATGCCATCATTTAAATTTTGATACGGAGCCTGATGGAGGGTAGTTTTATAATTCAAAGACTGAGGTCACCATATTCCTCTATGACCATGTGTTGCAGAAGTGGTGGAGATCAGAAGTAAGTGTAGTATTGATGAGGAACTCGAAATGCGCCTCTGCCAAAGTCGCCAAAAACGGAGGAGCTTGGACCAACCTTAATTCCCACGTGACGTCCACCCTAGTCCACATCTGTCTTAGTGTCCTCCTGCAAAGACCGACGCTAATCTCCGCACCGGAAGAAAGCTGCGGCGCCGCCGATGAATTTTTTTGTCGATGAGATAGACAAGAAAACACAACTGTCGAGTCTCTTCACGTCCCAAATTCTATACGATACCCCCACCGGCGCTGCTTTGTCGGGATACCGTCGCTTTCAAGATGGTAGCAGCGTCGTCCGCCTCGCGGTCCAAGCCCGTGAAGCGCGTGAAGAAAGGAACAGAGACGACCAAATCGCATCGATTCGAGCCGTTTTCGCAGCGTGTCGCGAAATTGAAAATCGATCCCATCCATCGCGTGCGCCAACCCAACTTCGGCGAGGAGGATGATGAGACGTCGTCCTACTTCCGGTCCGCCTTTGACCACTGGACCGAATTGAACTTGTCCGATAATTTTTCGAAGTTTGTCCGCCGAGTCAATCCGCTATGCGAAAGTCTCGCCCAGATTTTGTACTATGAGGATAAAATAATGGCCCTACTGGTGGAATTTATCGAGAAGCGGGATCAACTGTCGATGGAGCCGCTGCTGAGTCTTCTGGCTCAGTTCGCGAGGGACTTGGGCGCGCGGTTTGAAAAGCACTTTGCTACTTCGGTGAGCTTGGTGGCGTCTGTTGCTGCCACTCATCCGGAAGTCGAAGTCGTCGAATGGAGTTTCACGTGTCTCGCCTGGATCTTCAAGTTTCTTTCGCGGCTTCTCGTTCCGGACCTGAGACAGCTGTTAGGCATAATGACTCCGTACCTGGGAAAGGAGCGACAGAAGCCTTTTGTGGCCCGGTTCGCCGCCGAGTCCATGTCCTTCCTCATTCGAAAGGCGGGCCTGGTTTACTACAAGAACAACACGCCGCTCCAGCGTGCAGTATCTTTCTTATTACATGATTTGCGACAGACGGAAGCGGAATCTAAGAATGTCGAAATATACAAGGAAGGATTGATGGCCATGTTCTCCGATGCCATAAAGGGCATCAAGTACGGGATCCACTCAAACGGAACCGATATATTCAGCTGTCTAATGGACAACATTGCTACTGACGATGGTTTGCAGAGCAACCTGAGCTTGGAAGTCGTCAGCGGTGTTCTAGTCAACGTCATGCACGGCACAACTTCCCAGACATTTGAACCGATATTGGGCACGGTCACATCATATGCTGAAAAGAACGGCCGAAAGGCTGGAAAGCAGCAAGCGAACGCCGGCTGCCGTCTACTCTTCCTTTGCGTTTCTGTCCGCAAAGGCTCGCGTGTGCAGAATTGGAAACCCGTTCTCCAGACCTTGCTCCTTCTTTTGCAGTCGGCATCTACTGGATCCGAGGCGTATGCAGAGGCTGTGCCCCAGCTCCTCACAGCTGTCGCCTATGCGCTTCAACTCGCTCCCATGGACGAAATGCTACCGTTCATGCGTCCCATGATGGAAGCCGCTACGAGCGACCAACTTTCCAAGCACTTCTTATCGTTCTGTGCCACGTTTTCGGAGTGGGGCGCAGAAAGGTTCCATAGCGTTGTTCTGCCCTACTTCCAAAAGTAAGTCATGTATGGACCTATGATGATTCGGCCCGTATCCTAATGATCTGATTTCTAGATTCGTCAACGCCTCGTGGCAAGAGCACGAGTATGAGCTTTGTTTGGCCCTACTTCGCTTAAGCCAGACTGGCTGCATTACATCCGACGCGTCCAAACCCGGCTATATCACCTGCCCCGGTCCCTGGAAAAACCGAATCAAGGAGACTCTCAGCAACAAAAAGCCCAGCGCTACTGACGTAACTCTTCTTAACGCCTACTCCCAGCTTCCCTCAGCCTTGTCTTTGTCCACCGAACCGTCGCTCCTACCCGAAATGAGCCGGATTTTCCATGATCAATTGGACCGCACCTTGAAGAGCACCGATTCCGACTTGTCACCTGCTACCAAATTCTTCCTTGGACAAGGTTTCAAGAGTTACGTTGAATTGGCAAAGCTTACAGGGGGTGTCGACCCAGATCTCTGGGACAAAATAAGTGCAGTTGCGTCCAAGTATTCTCGTCTGGATGTTTTCCTTGAGGCAACGCTTGCTTACGTCTTGACATGCTCTGAGAAACTTGATCTCAAGAAGCCTTCACTGGAAGAATTTGCGGACGTTTTAATCACTAACCTCGGTGGTCCTTCCCATCACCTGAGGCTCCTGTCGCTGAAGATTTTGCGAGCGATAGTTGAGGCCTCGGGCGAGGATTCCTCGTTGATTTCCGTGGCCATCGAGATTGAAGAGAGCCCTCTAACACTTCAATCCGCCCGATACCTGTCAATGCAGGTCCGTAAGCTTTCCATTGCTTACCCGCAAGTCGTTTCACGCAGATGGATGCCTCGACTAATTCCAAATTTCTGCTTTGGGTTGTTCTCGAAGAAGATGGCCCCCTTGTGGGATGACTCGGCTGCTGCTTTGAAGACAGTGAGCGAGCAGCCGGAGGGGGAAAAGATTGTGTCGGATTTGGCCATTCAGTGGCTCGAAGAGAGAGGCTCGGTGTCCACGGAAGAGCCTGAGGACGACGAAAACATCGATAACTACGCTTCAGGGGATTTCCAATGCTACAACGCCGCCAAGGTCGAGCACCTTTGTGCCAAACACTTTGAGGGTCTCGAACAGCCCGCCTCGGCTTTGCTACGGAACTTCGAGAAGGACCACGGTTTTTCCGAAGTTGTGCCTCCTTCTCCTCGGACCCACGCGCTGCGAGTTTTGAATGCTATCCCGAATATCGCCGAAAAGCGTTCCCGCCAGGTCATCCCACTGTTCCTTTCCTGGGCAACCCGGGATGAAGAAGATGTTCCTCCTAATGACAAGTCCGAGGAGTCTGGTTATATTACGTGGGGCTTCCACGATCGACTGGCTTTCTTGGGGCTTCTAGGTCAATTCGTCAACCCCAAGGTTCTGTACAAAGCGCCTGAGGTCCACGATGCATTGTTTGGCTTGCTCTGCCACGGAAACTCCGAAATTCAAAAGTCTACCCTTAAAGCCCTTTTCACTTGGAAGACGCCCAGTGTCACGCCTTATCGGGAAAACTTGTTGAACATTCTTGACGAAGCGCGGTTCAAGGATGAGCTCTCGATTTTCGTCCATGTCGGAGGTGAAGACAGTCTCATTGACGAATCGCATAGGGGCGATCTTATCCCCGTTCTTCTCCGACTGCTGTATGGTCGAATGATCTCAAAGGCCGGTGCGAGCTCGACCCAAGCAGGTCAGCAGGGACGCAGGAAGGCCATTCTGAGAACCTTGTCACAGTTGCCTGATCGAGAATTCGAACTGTTCATGCAGGTATCCTTCGGTCCTCTCAGCGATGTCCACTTGATTCAAGATGGCAAGGTTGACAATCAGGCTCTTTCTCGCGAAACCACCAGCCCAAGAAGGCAGATGGGTTTGCTAAGAATGATTGAGACTGTGTTTGAGACGCTTCAAAGCCGGATGGCACCTTATGCGCAACAGTCAATGGATGTCGTCTTATACTGTCTGGTCCAGGCGTGCCGAGAGCTAGGAAAAGAACAAACGACCGAGGCCGCCGATCCTCAGAGAGAACGACTGTTGACAGTCTTGCGCAACATTCGATACACGTGCATTAGGTGCCTTGAACTCATTTTCTCTATCTCGCAGGACCGAGACTGGTCTCCCTATGTCCGTGTCACCTTTGGTGAAGTTATCAACCCGAGACTAGATAACTTTGCGACAGAAACTACTCAAGGCGTTTCTGGTCTTCTGAAATTGTTCCGTGTCTGGGCTTTGGCTCCTAGATCCTCATTCTATCTCGTTGAGTACAATAATATTCTCTTGACCAAAATCATCGACTGCCTGGGAGTGGAGTCGGCTCGTGATGAGGTCAAGATCTTTGTACTCGATGAGATTTTGAACCCATTGATCAACCTTTCCACTGGGAAGCAGCTTCAAGAGCAGGAGACAATGAGTGACTTCTCGGCGGATGAGATCCGATCCACAGTTCTGGCACCCTATATCGAGCATTCTCTGTCTCATCTTGGTGGCCTTCTGAAGCGGGGCCCATCGCGACATGTGCTGAATTCCGGTGTCCAAACTCTATCTCTCCTTGCCCCATGTGTGGAATCTTCGGGAGAGACCTCACGCTTGGTCAACATCACGACCTATCTCCTTCGCCAGCCCGCTGATCGAGTTTCGCCGAGGACCAAATCTGGTCTTTTACGCAGCTTGGAACACTTCTTGCCCCTGTTTAATCCCCAGGAAGATTCGAAGCTTCTCCATGAAGTTTTCGAGGCGGTCTCTTCCATGTTTGACTACTTTAGGGATGATGCGAACCGAGAGGTTCTATCTAGAGTTTTCGCTGCATTTTCAAAACATGATCATGAGCTCATTGAAGTGGCAAGTCTTTGCGAGGACCTGAACTCTAGGTCAATGAAGAAGCTCGAGGTGGATTATGAACGGCGGCTGCAGGCTTTCAGAAAGATCAACGAAGGCCTGTGGGAAACATTCAACGCTAAGCAGTGGCGGCCCCTGCTTTTCAACATGCTGTACCATGTCAAAGACGATGAAGAACTTGCCATCAGATCAAGCTCCTCCTTTGGTCTGAAAAGGTTCATTGAGAGAGCCGCCACCAATAACGGCAGCGACGCAGAGGAATTCGAGCCTTTGGTCCGGGATGTCTTGTTCCCGGCCTTGCAAGGTGGTATTCGGCAAAAATCTGAATTGGTTCGGTCAGAGTTTGTCTCAGCTCTCGGCTATTTCGTCAAATTGAACCCTGAAAGACCTGCCGTGCGGGATATGCACGTGCTGCTTGTCGGCGATGATGAAGAAGCATCTTTCTTCAACAACATCCTCCATATTCAGCAACATCGCCGTCTGCGAGCTCTGCGCCGTCTTGCTAGCGAGGCAGCTCAAGGCAAACTGCAAGCTTCGAACATCAGCACCATTTTCATTCCTCTCAATGAGCACTTTGTGTTCGATGAAGAGGCTGAGGAGAGTGCCCATAACTTGATCGCAGAGGCCGTGGCCACGATCGGTGCTCTTGCCGAGTCGCTAGACTGGAGCCAATTCAGGGCTATCTTCCGCAGGTACCGTGGATACATGCAGGGTAAGTCAGAGATGGAAAGGAACATCCTCAGGCTCCTGGGTAAGATGTCCGATGCCTTGACGACCGCCATGAGCCAAAAGGGCGTGCCCAAAGAAGCTACAGAAGCCACAGAAGCCACCGACGATGGAATGGAAGGAATTGAACCCACGACTACTTCGAAATGCAACCTAGCTCGAACATTGCCCTCTGCGGCCAAGGTTGCAACGGAATTAACCACGAACTTCATCCCTTTCCTCACAGACTTCATTCACCACAAGGATGAAGCGCAGATGAGCCTGCGACTACCAGCCGCGGTGACAACTATCAAACTTTTGAAGTTGCTGCCGGAGGCAGAAATGGCCATTCGACTACCGCCTGTTCTATCGGATGTCTGTAACACTCTTAAGAGTAAATCACAGGACGCTCGAGACACAGCGAGGAAGACAATCAACGACATTGCTCTGCTCTTGGGACCTGTCTACTTTGCTTATATTCTCAAGGAGCTCAGAGGTACTCTGACAAAGGGTTACCAGCTCCACGTTCTTTCTTTCACCGTCCATTCTATGCTCGTGATGACGACAGATGAATTCAAACAAGGAGACCTGGATTACTGCTTGGGAGATCTCACAGCGGTGGTGATGGACGACACTTTTGGAACCGTTGGTCAAGAAAAGGATGCAGCGGATTATGTCAGTAAGATGAAGGAAGTGAAGAGCAGCAAGAGTTACGACTCGATGGAACTGCTCGCAAAGAACGCCTCTGTTTGCAATCTCGCTCGCCTAATCCAGCCTCTCCAGTCGCTCCTCCGGGAGAAGCTGAATTCCAGCATCGTGAGAAAGGTCGACGAACTTTTACGGAGAATTGGCGTGGGCCTGCTGAGAAACCCCGGTGCAGAGAGCCGTGAACTTCTGGTTTTCTGTTACGAAGTCATCAAGGATTCCTACAAGGACCCTAAGCAAGGCGAGAAACGAACCGACGTTTCTGCTGCCGAGGAGCGGTTTTTGGTCCGGATTAGAAAACGCGGCGAGAAGAAAGATACGACTTCTTCTCACGTTTACAAGCTGACCCGCTTTGCCCTGGATATTCTGCGCTCAACTATCAACAAGTTCGACTCTCTACTCACCCCGGCGAACATCTCCGGCTTCGTTCCGGTTATTGGCGACGCACTGGTACAATCGCATGAAGAAGTGAAGGTATCGGCTCTCCGGTTGCTGTCGACAATCATCAAACTTCCTTTGCCCGATCTCGACAGCAACTCCCATGTGTACTTCACTGAAGCCGTGAAGGTGATCAAGGAAGCACCCAGCACGAATACCGAAGCCGCGCAAGCATCATTGAAATTGATATCCGCCATGCTACGGGAGAGAAAGAGTACCAAACTTAGGGACGGACACCTTGCCTATCTTCTGCAGCGTCTAACATCTGACATTGAGGAGCCGGATCGCCAGGGCGTGACTTTCAACTTCATCCGGGCTGTCATGGCTCGAAAGTTTGTGGTTCCTGAAATGTACGAGCTGGTTGATCATATCGCTTCTATGATGGTTACCAATCAGACTCGCTCTGCGCGTGATCTCGCTCGCGGGGTTTACGTTCACTTCCTTCTCGAGTACCCTCAGGCTAAGAACCGGTGGACGAAACAATTAAGTTTCATGGCCAAAAACCTGGAATACAAGCATCCTGAAGGCCGTCAGTCCGTTATGGAGGCGATCAACCTGTTGCTGTCCAAGACAGGGCATGAGTTGGCTCAAGATATTGTTGGCACTTTCTTCTTGCCCATCGTCATTGTCATGTCGAACGACGACGCACCCGAGTGTCGTGAGATGGCAGGCGCTCTGCTAAGTCAGTTCTACAGCAGGGCGGACAGGGAACAGATGAAGACTATCCTCACGCCCCTGCGATCGTGGCTTGAGCAGACGGACAATATGCTCCTGACCAGCACCGGTTTGCAGGCCATGAGGATTTACTTCGAGTCGGAAGAGACAGAAAAAGAGAAGCAAGCTCGTTTCGTCCGAGAGACTCTACCGTCCGTGATGAAGCCCATCCTCGAAGCTGAGGGTACGGAGAACTGGCAAACGCTCTACTTCTCGCTCCAGCTCTTTGCCAAGCTCTGCAAGGCTGTCCCTTCGATTGCGCTTTCCAAGGACTGTGCTAACATCTGGGTCTCTATCCGGGAGTGTCTTTTCTATCCCCATGCTTGGGTCAAGACCTGCGCCGCGAACCTTGTTGGCACATGGCTTGCAGACCTTGCCCGATCGAACGCCGAGAATGGCTACGGTTCTATTCCCTTGGCCAGCACCACCGGGTTAGCGCTAGACAAAGACGCGATGATCCACTTGATCCGCGCCAGTTTGCGCTGTCTCCGTACCCCAGCCGTCAGCGAGGAGCTTGCCATGCAGAGCGTGCGCAACATCGTTTTCCTTGCCCGCTGCTGCGCCCAAAATGGCCTCGTAATCCCCAAGGCAGATAATCAGGAAGCCGAATCAGAGGATAGCGACAGCGACGAGGACGCCGATGAGGAAGAGACGAAGCCGAAAGAGCAGACCGCCCTTCATTACATTTTCGTCCAAGCATCTTCCATCCTCCGCCGAGAATTCATCAACACCCGAGCCGCGGCTCTGATCCCCAAGACCGCCTCCATTGGACTCCTGGCTGCTCTTTTCCGGCATCTCGAGGCCGAGCAGATCCAACCGTCTCTTTCCGTTATCCTTGTTCCTCTTCAACACATGACCGACGCGTCCATTCCTCCACCTCGTTCTTCCGACGAGGGCTTCCGCAACTCGTACAAGGCCCTTGTGTCCAACTGCCACGAAGTCCTTGACCTCATCCAGAAGAAGCTGGGCACTACGGAATTCGTGAACCAAATGGCCCTCGTCCAAGATGCCATCAAGGAACGACGGGAGGGCCGGCGAGCCAAGAGACGCATCGAGGCTGTGACCGAGCCTGAGAAATATGAACGTGACAAGAAGCGCAGAAACGACCGGAAGCACGACAAGAGACGGGAGAGGGGAATGGAGCACCGGTCCAGAAGACGGGGCTGGTAAGCCTTGCTTTCTTAGGACCAATCGTATTTGCCAGCATGTTTTTGATGTGAATATACAAAATAAAAGTCCGGAGTCTGGAGATTTGGGATAGATTTTCATTTCATAGTACAGAACATTTATACATCTATCTTATGTTCACTTCTTGTTTCCTCTCCCTCTCTTCTTTTCTTCAAGATAGTAGTTTATAGTACATAACGGAGCAGAGTGTGTAGTGTATAATATCGCCAAGGTATCTAGGACAAAAAACATCAATCAAACGCCAACCACTTTTCTGTACCTTGCGAACAAAAAAGCGCCAACTTCGACATAACACCAACAGAAGTCAACCATTTTGAATCATTCACGCAGATGACTCCCCAGAACCGGATCTCTTATGCGCCACACCATCGTCCCAGAACTCCATATCCCCATCCACATATCCCTTCGTGACCTTTGCGCCCTTCTCGGCCAAAAGATCTTCTATCGTGGTCTTCTTATCAAAGAAAATATTCAAATGGTCGCTCATGACATGTCGGTTGTGGCACTTCGGGCACCGAATCAGAACCGTGCCGCGGTGATATCCGTGCTTGGAGACACGATGCGCCGACCGCTCGCCGCACGGCTTGCAGGTAAAGACGAGTTGGTAGGCAGGCTCCTCTTCGCGGCGCTTGCGGTTCTGTTCTTCGTTCTCGGCGTCGCGGGCCGCGCTGGACTCCTGGTCCGTGAGGGGTTTGTTGGTGGGGGCGGAGTTTGAGTTTTGGCGGATAGACGTAGGGAGACGTGCTCGGTTCTGAATGTCCAGGGGAGAAGAGAACGAGGCGAGGGAGGGACGTGTCGAGCGGTATGTCAATTGTGAGAGAGATCGTGAAGTCGAGTGAGAGATGGTACGAGGGAGAGAGGATTGGGCGGCACGAAGGCCGTTGAGGAGTGAGAATGCAGGGCGCATGGTTGAATTGAATGTGATGGCTTTGGAGTGATCCGGAGAAGAGCCAGGAAAGAATGTTGTAAAGGAAGGTGTAGAAACGGTAGGAGAGAAGATCCGTTTCGATGACGGAGTTTGGCTGGAGTTGCGCCGGAATTACGTTGTTCCAGGTGCGGTCGTCCTCCGCGGCGTCAACGAGAAGCTTTATCTTCCCATCCACTCTTCGAGTCTCGTTGCGAATCCAGTGAATCGGTGCTCTAGTTGGTGGCCCCTGCTAGAAGGACTCGGTCAGTCTGCGTCTGGATCGTGATTAGTCCTTTATCGCGTTGTCCGAGAGCTCTCATCCTCAATTTGCTCCGCTCAACTGAGGTCTCCGCGACGCAAGTGGATGCTAACTCACCATTGCTTGACAATATGGCTATGAGAGCAAGACACAAGATTCGGGCTCCCCGGAGGGTAAGACTTTTCTCCTGACATCTTTTTTCAAGCTGGAGTCGTGATGGTGGATGTGCTCAAAATCCCCACGGACGAACTTCTCCGATGGCGACGAATACTCGGGCAACGGCAGTGGAAGCCCATGATTTATTTCCACGGCAGCTAAGTCTCAAAGTGTCTATACTAACTAGGTACATGTAGGGCCTGACCTCGAGCAAGACTGACGAATTCGAAACCTACTGGAATGTCCTCTCCACGTCTCTTAAGATGATCCACACCAAGAACGCCTCCAGCCTATCCTTCGAGCAGCTATATCGTAATAGCTATAACATAGTTTTGATGACGCGCGGTAATGACCTTTACGACAAAGTCAAAGAGCTAGAACAGGAATGGCTAGATACCGATGTCCAGAAGCGAGTCACCGCGGCAATTGTTCCTGGGCTTCTTGTGGCAAAGGAGACGGCGGACGTGAGAGACCAAGCGAACGAAAAGAGGGCGGCTGGCGAGAAGTTCTTGATCGCTCTCAAGGAGGCGTGGGAGGATCATCAGCTATGCATGAGCATGATCACTGACGTTCTCATGTACATGGTAAGTCTACATGCGGCAATGAATGGCTTCTTAGGATGGGAAGAATTAACGAGTTTCTCGATCGATAGGACCGAGTGGTTTCCTCGGATAAGGGACGGCCCTCAATTTACGTTGCAGCCATGGCTTTGTTCCGCGATTCTATCCTCCGAGCTCAAATCCGATCGGATCTAGAAACGAGCGTCGTTAGCGTCCTAGAATCCACGATACTCTTTATGATCCAGCTAGAACGGTCAGGGCATATCATAGACCGGACATCGATTCGACACTGCATCCACATGCTTGAGGGTCTCTATGAGACCATCACGGAGGAGGAATCATCGAAACTCTATCTGACTATATTTGAACCAGCTTTTCTCGAGACCAGTCGAGCTTTCTATCGAGCAGAAGGCAAACGATTGCTAGATACGGCAGATGCGGCTACATTTTGTAAAGTCGCCTCCGAGCGCATAGCGGAAGAGAAGGAGCGTTGTCTCTACACGCTATCCCATCTGTCCGAGCCGAAAATCAAAGATGTCCTGGACAATGAGCTGATCCGCAACAACATTGCAGAGGTTGTTCAACTCGAGGGGACGGGCGTCAAGAACATGATTGACAATGATCGCTTGGATGTCTTGCGAAATGTCTATACACTCAATGCGCGAGTCGACAAGAAGAAGACCCCTCTGACTGCGGCTGTTCAAAAGCGTATAGTGGAGTTGGGACAAGAGATCAATGCTTCTGCAGCGTCTGCCCAAGCACCCCAGGTAAAACTAACAGAGAAGAGCGCCGACGGCAAAAAACCGGAAAAGGAGAAAGAACGGCCTGTGAATCAGCAGACGGCCTCTGCTATCAAGTGGGTGGACGACATCTTGGCTCTCAAAACGAAGTTCGACCAGATCTGGCAGAACTCTTTCCAGTCCGACCAGGTCATGCAAAGTGCCATCTCCACTAGCTTTTCGGAGTTCATCAATTCCAATACACGCAGCTCGGAGTACTTGTCACTTTTCTTCGATGAGAACCTGAAGAAGGGTATCAAGGGCAAGACTGACAGCGAAGTTGACGCTCTCCTGGATAACGGCATTACGCTCCTGCGCTATATCAAAGACAAGGATCTGTTTGAAGCATACTACAAGAAGCATTTGTCCCGGCGTCTTCTGATGAAGCGCGCAGTCAGCATGGATGCAGAACGACAGATGATCTCGAAGATGAAGATGGAGGTTGGCAATCAGTTCACGCAGCGTCTAGAGTCCATGTTTAAGGACATGACAATATCCGAGGATCTGACTGCCAGTTACAAAGAACACATTCGGCAGGCAGCGGACCCCGACCGCAAGCCGATTGATCTGGAGGTCAATGTTCTTACTAGTACCATGTGGCCGATGGAAGTGATGTCCGCCACCAAGGGCGATGGCGTCCAGGCCTCTTGCGTCATCCCAAAGGAAGTCGAGAGCGTCAAACAGAGCTTCGAGAAATTCTACTTGGGCAAGCACAGCGGCCGGAAGCTCTCATGGCAACCCAGCATGGGCTCGGCAGATATCCGCGCGACTTTCCAGAGGTCCAACGGCAAGACTCAACGCCACGAGCTCAATGTTTCCACCTACGCTATGGTCATTCTGTTGCTATTCAACGACTTGCCCGCCGAGAAGTCTCTAACCTTTGAAGAGATCCAAGCTCGGACGATGATCCCTGAACATGATCTGGTTCGAAATCTACAATCCTTGGCCGTTGCACCTAAGACACGAGTCTTGAAGAAGGAACCAATGAGCAAGGATGTGAAGCCTAGCGATGCCTTCTTCTTCAACAACGACTTCCACAGTCCATACATGAAGGTGCGCATCGGCGTTGTCAGCGGCGGTGCCAACAAGGTCGAAAATCAGGACCAGAGAAAGGACACGGAGAAGCGTATGACCGAAGAGCGTAATTCGACTGTTGAGGCAGCCATCGTGCGAATCATGAAGTAAGATGCACAATATTCGGTCTTATTCCTCAACATTCAGCTAACATGCAATAGGCAACGTAAACAACTTGCGCACACCCAGCTTGTCGGCGAGGTTCTTAGCCAACTCGCATCCCGCTTCGTCCCCGACGTGAACATGATCAAACGACGTATTGAGAGCTTGATCGACCGTGAATACCTGGACCGAGTGGGAGAAGATCCTCCAACTTACGGATACCTCGCCTGAGAGTCTTCCGAATCCTCTATCCTTCCGGGTCCTCTACTCTTCTTCTATTTTCCTTTCTTCTTCTTTCGTATCGTTTCATTGATCTCGGGTTTTTACGATGGGATATCTTTACATCTTCGTCGTCATTTTGTGGGTTTGAACACTTGAGCTTAGCGGTGAAGGGCGCATAATGAGGCATCAATTTCACGTATGTTCACATAGATTTTGGCCTGGTCGTTGATCTGTCCTCTTCTTTTCTCGGTCCTTTTCTTCCTTTATTCCTTCTTGTTTTTCTCTTCCTCTTCCATCTGCACCTTAGGGTCAGTAGATGGATATGGACCGATGAGTTTCCGGCGATGCATGACCAGCAATATGAAGTATTATGATGATTCTGGGATGAGCTGAATGATGTGAACGATCAGAGATAAGCGATATGGGAGTAATCATGTTTGTTTCGAGATGATAACAAAAAAGCAGTAAATCAATTGTGTTGAATCCTTCTTTGGTCTTAGGATATGTGTTATGTATTCGAGGAAGGAAGAGCCTCTTTGCCTGAGTAACCTCTGCCCAAACAGGACTAAGCAATCTCAGATACATCAGGAACGGAGAGAGAGAAAGACCCAGTCGGTCGACAACTAATGATCCTACACGATCACGGAGCATTGGGCCTTGACTCTACTGCATCTACTGTACATCTGAATAAGCTTCAAGGAATAGTCCTTAATCATACCGAGCGGGCAAGTAGGTAGGTAGTAGGTTAATCGACGATGCGCATAAGATTACCCCCCAGCACCAACCATGTACATAAATTCAGTACCTTTTTCTTCATACATACCAAATGAAAATAAAAAAAATAAAAAACCTACATAACGCTTAACATGAACAACTAATGTCATCACATATCTATATTACAGACTAAATTTAGGTGAGTTCCATGAAGGGAACAAAATATGTAATACCTTGACAGGCCCGACACGAAGTATGACAAACCTCGAAATATAAAGGTATCTATCTATTTATCACATCATGATAGCATTACAACAAGATAGGGCAGGCAAACAGAAAGTCAGAGTTCAAAGACACACCCCATGCTAACGCCATAGAAAATGCTGAAGATGACATGGCAGATGCAACAATCCATAACCAGAAAAGAAAACAAAAGAAACCAGGTTATCCAGACAACACTCACTCACTCACCCACTCACACAGAGAGAAGAAAAAAAAAGAGCAAGATAACTCATAGAAGCTCAACCTCCCCCCGAACCCAAGCCCCCCTGATCCCCTCCCACCGAACAGCCCAAACATCGCCCATGCGCATCGCGGTCCCGAACTGTTCCTCCTCAATGCCATCTCCCGGCGGTATGACAACCAGAACCTCCTCCACTAGACACCGCACGAACACGACCTCCTTCAACTCGGGCCCCTGCACCATACTCGTGCCGCCGGCGTTATCGTCGAGACGGCGCAGCTGCGGCGGAAACGAGGAGAGGAAGGAGGCGCCGAAGTGGCCCGCCAGAAGGGTCTGGTGGGCGTGCAGGAAGGTGACTTCCTGCGGGGAGAGAGGCGAGGGGTCTGTGGCGTTTGTGAGGTCGGGGATGGAGTCTTCGGGTTGTTGGTTGGTGGGGGGCGGTTGTTGGGAGGCGGAGGAGGATTGGGTGTTGGCGGGGCTGGAGGCGATGAGGAGGAGGTAGTGCATGCTGTGGGTGGTGAGTTTGGAGAGGCGTTGGCGGAGGAGAGAGCGGATGAGGTATTGGGTGCGGGCGAGGTCGGTTTGGAGGATTGAGAGTTTGAGGTTGAGTGTGGGATTGTGCGTCGTGGTTGCGGGGAGGGGGTCGGATGAGGAGGCGGCGAGATCTTCGATTGTTTCAATCTGAGGATATATCATTAGTATTAATTTCATCCGGAAGAGGTAGAAGAAGGTAACTAACCTGTCTTTTCACGCGCTCCATCATGCGCTCCATCAGTGGTCCCGGCCATGGGAGGAGCTCCGACACGCCGCGCTCGGCGACCCAGAAGCGCGTTAGGAGCTGGTGGTCGAGGCTGGCGGATTCCGGCGTGGAGACGTCGCCGCGGTCGACGGAGGCAAGGATGTCGTCGATATCCATGGCCGAGGGAAAGGAATTGCGACTTGGGGGGGTTGAGCGCGCGGGTGGGACGGAGGGAAATCGAGAAAGGCGGCGGGATGGAAAGGCGGAGCGGAACAAAGGCGGAGAGGAATGCTGCCTCAGGCAGACGGTCCAAGATTCTCCGTTCGGAGCGTTCCGCTCGAGACTTGCCCGGAGACAATCCGTCTCCGTTCAACGTTTACGCCCCTTTTACCAGACTACCATTTTATCGTGCACAGAAATAGTCATCAAGTTTTGTTCATTCCAACAAAGGAAATTACTATCTTTTGACCCTCGTATCCTCCCCAGGTTATGCCATTATATGCCAGTGATGTACCGACTGCCAGGAGTTATGTATGTATGTACAGCCGCATGGATCGGACTCGGTCCTTTCATATATTCGGATCGCGGGTGATAAGGCCTCGCAAGGAAGCCACCATGCTTGTCGAGATTATCGCCTTCATGACGAGCCGTACATGGATATGTACTGCGTACGGCGAAGTGTGACCTGATCCCTCAAGTGTACAGGAGGAAACGGGGAGAATGGATTAAAAGACGGTATGGGTGAAAAAGAGCCCAAAGATGTTTGAGAGAGAAAAAGAGATGCCGGATGGCGTGGTATCATGAGGATGTTCAGACCGAAGAGTCGAACTCGAATCAGAAATCAGGTAGGAAAGTCGTCCAAGACATAGGAAAAGGAAATGTTGTGAAGGAATGGTCGCTGAAAGAGCAAGAAGATTCGAAACTGGTGGCGAAGAAGAAAATCCGGTGGGTCGGGTGGTGGACAATCGGTTCCTGGCTTGAGGAATCCGCAGGTAATCAAAATCGAGAAGATTGTCGTGTCGTCAAAAATCAAAATGTTCTATCACTGGCGCCGGCCGAAAATAAGAAAAATCCGAGAAGAAAGATAAGGAAATGAAAAGCAAGCGAATGGACAGGACCTTGAAGGACCCCTGGTCTTTAATTATCGCAGATCCAGGGGTCCACCTAGCGGTTTCAAGGCCCAAGTAGATGAAGCATGCTACACCAAGAGCTTCATAGGTTTTCGCCGACCCGGTGTCCAATTGATCGATGTATCCTGAAGGCGTGTCAAACGAGGAAAGATGATGTAAAAAGAAAAGAGCCGGATGATTCGGCGGTGGCTAAGGCGCAACGCTTCAGATAAAAAGTCATGTCATCAAGCTGTCGTGTAAGTCAATGTCGGAAAGCCCGGAAGGTCAAGGTCCAGGTTTCAGTACGACAGCATACGGCGCCCGGGGAATCGAGCAGACCCCGGGCTCTCTGCGAAGGGAGATCCAAGGAATCGACCACGATCGCCGGGGTTGTTGCGGCATCTCCCAGTGGGGCTGTCCTCCATTCCGGGCGAAATCTGTCCAAAGGCAAAGGTTTGAGCTCGGTTAAGCTTGGACCGTTGCTTGACTTTTCCAAGGCCACGCTCACAAGCAAATTCGTGCTCCTTGGCGGACATTTCAACGTAGTTCTGAGGATAACAAAAGGTTCGATGCTCGGCAAAGAATGAACTGTAACCTCCTTCCAGGATGTACAGGTCCGGATAAGTCAGCTGGGGGTATTGGTCAATGTTGAAGGCGCGATCCCGATGGCGAATGTACTTGGCCATGATGGGAGCTCGGTGGGCGGAATATTCGCAGTGCAGAATCAGCGCCGTCCTCGGTTTGGGGCTGGCAAAAAGCTCCGCCGCCAGGTTTTCCTTGTCGTTGTAGTTCACAGCGCCGTTGATGTGTCCGCCCTCATACTCGTACTCAAATCGGCAGTCGATAACCAGGATGTTGTCGAACTGATCGTTGAATTTCCCATCCATGAGCTCCAAGAGAACGGTTTTGTCGATACGGGGCAGAGAGTCTCCTTGATCCTCATGGATGACATGAGGTAGGTGGAGGCTCGGGGTAGCTTCAATGTCGCAAATCGACTGAAGTGGTGCATTTGATGTAAAATTGGCCTCTTTTTCGACAACTACATCCTCTGGATGCTCATACATACTCAACGATCGCCTGCACTGTTTACGAGGGCGCATCAGGGGGTGGGAACTCTTGCGAATGGACGCGGCTGAGGGCGATCCGTTTCCACGAACATGGCTGCCGCTGTTACTAGCCACCAAGGGCGGACGCAACCGCGGGTTGACCAGACCGCTCGACGAATGGTTCCTCAACATAGGTCGCTCACGCTGGGGGGATTCGTTGAACATATCCTCCAACGACGCCGACGTGCTCAAGGAGGTCTTGCTGCCTTTGCTCTGGAATCGAAACGGGGGTGCCTGGCTCTCCGGGGCGGGCTTCGTCATGCCCAATTGAAAGGACTGGGCTTTGCTTTTGGCGAGGCTGGGCCGCAGGAACGTCGGACGCCGTCTCCTATAGATCAATCTGTGATTAGACTCCTTGCATTCCCACAGACATTTCCAAGTATGCAGGCAGTTTCTCTTACTCGGGCTGAGCATCCTTGGGGGGCACAGAGGGCGAATCCTCTAACGGGCTGGGCATAGGCGAGTCGTCCGTGCCTGGCGTAATGATCTCGATCTCGTTTGTCATGCAGAATGGGGGTTTATGCGGCAAAGGCGACATTTCCATGATGTCAAGGCCAGGGGCAGGCGAGGAGGACGGAAGAGGAGGGGTTGTCATGCTGTCTTCTATTTGTGGTGGGGTGAGTAAGTATACAGGAACCTTCCCTAGCTAAGAGGGGGGACAGAAGCATGACCACATACCATTTCCATGGCCGAACAGGTTCGAGGCGAACAAAGACCGCCGGGGTGTTGCCAATTGCGGACTGTCTGTGGTCAGCAGGAGAGTTTTTCCACCGGAACCTTTGTCCAACTGAAAGGATAAAAGGGCACCCGTGACGAACCTTTGATCGATATGAAAATTTTGAGAAAGATCTGCCGCTAAACTCGCCGTGGGCGACGAACCACGGACCGGTTTCACGTTAAAATAGTCACCATGGGACTTCTTCATGGACAGGTCTTTGAAATTGAAACTAGGAGGTTTCAGCCCAGACCTGGGACCAAAGGAGCCATAGGATGTTGGTACATCCGAGCGAAAACAGTGTCCAAAGAGGACCGACGGAGGCTGCATAGCAGCCAACGGTGATGAATGTTCCATTCTTCTTCAGAAGATCTATCGTTTCCCCTTCCTCTTATTTCTTTTTTTGTTCGAAAATTTTTCTGGTTTTTCCCTTTCTCTTTCTCTCTTTCTTCGTTCTTGTCCTAATTGACCTAAGACACCGTCGGGGTAGAAAACTCGCAGCAAACAGTAAAGCCAGACAGTCAAACTGCACGCTATCTACCTGGCATGTACTACAACGACAGAGCAGAGTTCTCCGTCGTCACGGTGTCTATTCAAAGATCCTTCTGCCACAGACCCTTTTGTCGAAGAGTGTTGAACCCAATTCGTAGTGTTGAAGAACGGCTTTCCAAAACCCACGTGCAGCTAACCAGCATGTAGCGGCACTTCCTGGTGTCGAAGCCGGACTCAGAGCGACATGGCTGACGGATAAGAAAAGCGACGATCAGGGCTGAGTAGGAGACGGTAGAAGGAGGGAGGGTCCGAGGTGGGAGGCAGACCAGGAAGAGGAGGGGCTAAGAGGATCAGAAAGCCTTGGAGTTAGCAGAGTACTTCTATAAGTATCGGCAATAAGCAGGGAGGAGGAGCAGCAGCAGCAGCAGCAGCAGCAGCAGCAGTCAGACAGCATCAGGGGAGGCATCGACGTGGTACGCTAATGCATTGGGGGAAAGTTACCGACGAAGAGGGTGTGAAGAAGTCTGGACACGGGATTGGAGTGGAGGAGAGACTGCTAGATAAAGCATGGGAGATGGAGGAGCGACGCAGGTCTTAAGAGAGGATAGAAAAGAAGAAGAAGTTTAAACCAGGCTGAAGAGCAGAAAGAAAGAAAAAAAAAAAAAAAAAGAATTTCAAAAAAAAGACCTGGAGAAAAGGTGAAGCTGAAGGGATGACCTTGTTGCAATGGCAACGAAAAAGTGGGGATGCGATCTCCAGATGCTCAGGAAAAGACGAGCTTAAGCGACGACGGGTTTAGGCCGTGTCAGAATCCCGGCGTCGAACCGGTTTGGCCGGGTTTTACTATTGGTTCTCGAACCGCCGGCGAGGTGGATTTAATTGATCTCCTTGACTACGGAGAAGGCATCTACTCAGTGTAGATCTGAGAAGAGAATAAGATGTACGGGAGGAGTAGAAGCAGAAGAAGAAGAAACTACTCGTAACTGTACTCCGGAGTGCGCAAAGGCGTACAGAGTGTATGTACGGTATCGGGAGGAATCGACGTATGTATGATGTACTTGCGAGGTACCGCAGGGATCTCCGAACGGCAGGTACGTCGGGGGTATCACGCAGGTACTGTACCCGTACTCTACCTGGGTAAGTACCTGTACCTGTACTTCTAGGGCTTCGTTGCCCGGACTCCCTTGCCGCCATCGTCAACGCTAGCCGCTGCTCAGCAACCCCCCGCCTATCAGCGTTTCTCTCTGCCTCTCTCTGCCAATCTGCCCTGGCTGGCTGAGGCATGGATCGTGCCTGTAGGATCATCCTTTTCATTACTTACGTTGCTCCTGTCAGTTCACCGGTCTTTACGCGGGAAAAACCGTTTGATCTTGATTACGCCCCAGACTCCCTGCTCTGACTTTTGACACTTGCTGCTGGCAGCTTGCCCTACCTACTCAGGCGGATCCCTATGCCCTTCCTCAAGCCTCCTGGCATATGCTAGGTGAGAGATCCTCTCTTAGTTTCACTTTTAATTTTTTCAGAGAGGGGGGTTTCTCTTCCCTACTTAACCTAGATGGGACTTTTTCTTTCTAGAGGCAAAAGAGGACCACGAAATGGTCCGACAGGACGGTTCCATTTGACTACTAGAAAAGAAGAAAAAGAGGATCTCGGCCAATAATCGACCCAGTAACGAAAAAATTTACCTTATCCGTGTGTGCCGTTTTCTTTTTTTTTTTTTTTTTTTGGGTCCCGTTTTATTATTATACATCATTCCAAACAGCCCAAATGAGAGATCGAATCTAATAAAAACTCCACCAGAGCTCCACTCGGTCGGAAAAAAGAGCTTGTCCGGAATCTCTCAGGAACGAGTCTCGCCGGCCAATGGTGAAAGCTCGAAAGAGCAAGCTGTCAGTCGTGAAGCTGCCGCATTGGGGTACTTCGACATATCTGCCCTGCCCTGGGGAAACTACATCCCTGGGGACCAGTATCAATCCTCCGAGATCTCAGATATTGAAGCCCTTCCTCGCCAATCCTACCTCTCCGGGCGGACTGGCCAGCTGCGCATACCGATTATCTCATCTTACTTGACCCTGGCCGATCGGAGAACTGCGGATTAGCCTGATCCGGTAATGCGTGCGACGGCGAGTACGGAGTAGCCCTAGGATAGATTAATTTGGCAGCACATACCAGGGCAATCATCATTGATCGATAATTCGATAGGCCTGTGCAATTATCGAGTGCAAATCTGGGGGTTCATCCCCCTCCCTGTTCATCGCGATAACCGCATCGGATGGCGCCTAAGCATTTTCTATGAGATCGCTCCAAGTCTTCAACTACAGTATGATCATCGAAGCTCTCTCCAAGAGCTACCAGCTCTTTTCTCCAGACTCGTCCAGTAAGCGATGGGGGCCGTACGGTATCCATGCTGCCCGGGCATTCTTCCTTCCTTACTGACGCATAATTATTACTCCCGCATTCCCGCCGATCTTGGCTGGGGGTATTCTATCCCTGTCGGTACCATTGTAAAGGGAGCTATCTAGCTGGGCATTATCACTTGCCCCTATACCGCAAATGGTCACCTTACAAATCTTTCTATATTAAGGTATTGGCACCGAGCCTTGATTATCAACGATGATAGTTACGCGGTAATAGTGCCTCCGACGGCGCCTGGAGCTGATGTCCTCGGTATGATTATTGTGGGGATCTCATAGCTCCCAATTGCACCCGAAGAGCTGACGACGTCACGACGAGGGGCTAAAACTTGCTAGGTCCGAGGCTCTGGGTCGCGAGCTCAGCTCTCAGTTGGGTCGTTGCTCGCTGCTCCCCGTCATTACGGCTCGGTCTTGGAAAGGAAATTGTGTGCACCGCGGCGATATCATCATCTCGTCGAGGCCTCCGGAGTCGGGATTAGCGTCGCGGCCGCACGTGTGTCCTGCTGGTCCGAGATCCAAAATAGCTCGTTGCATCCCTGATTCAATCGATGCACAGTGCATAGATTAAAAAAAAAAATAAAAATAACCAACATTTCGTCCCGCACACCGCCACTAGTAATATGACGCTCATATGGGATGAGGTCGACTTACTGCTGGACGATCGCCGGGCCTGCATTATCTGGATTCTGACCTTCGCCAGAGCCCCTCACTTGTGAGACACCGGCTTAAGTCTTGGGGAGGTAAAACAAAGCCGAAAGAAAAAGGCCCCAGAGCTGAGGATCCTTCCCCCGTGCGGTATTATTATTTGTATGGCCAAGTGGGATGATGCTGACCGGAGGGGTGCGGCTCGTCGGCTCTTGATCGAGAACTCGACTCTATTCGAGACGTCCGGATAAGAGGAGCGACCTAAACAAAACCACCGATCGCTACGGAGTATAATTGACAATCGCCTATCCGATTCAATTTGGAATGCGACGTGACAATGGTGAATGGAGGCCCTTGACCTGCATCTGCAGGCCTAAGGCACTGTGATCGGCCGTGATCTGGCGGTCGCGAGGTGCTATTTGACGGCGTAGGCGCCGGGCTTGAGACTACGGAGTACGGTCGTATCTCGGACCCTCCGATCTCTTAGTGGATGGAGCCAGGATTGTGATCCATCAGCTGCGGTGACATGAGCATGTGCCCGCCTGACAGATTAGCCGGTGGCTAGAAGTAGGCTTAATCTAGGTGTACGGTGTACACAGTATATACGGAGTACGTACACGGTGTAGGGCATACATCCGGGTACGAACAGAGCAGGGAGTACGGAGTACGGAGTATACTCTGTACATATAGGTAAGGCCATCCCGATGGACTTCCAGCGACTAAGTACTGACTACTGAGTAAGTCCTACACTACGGGGTACAGCTGAGGTTCCAGAGAATCCAGACCCGTCGCCTCTTGGCTGCCAGTGCGGGGTTCCTGTCCGGTTTTGGCCCCTGATTGGGAGCGCTGCTTCTCTGCTCGTGCCCGGCGAGAGTCTCGCTGCTACTTTATTCTCCCAAACCTGATCGGAATCGAAACATGTTAGAGACGGAGAACCCGCCAGAGAAAAAGAAAGCTGGTGATGTCACCCAACGAGGGGATTCCGGTTTCCTTTCCCCTCTTCCGCACCCACGTTAGTTATGATGTGCTGCGTGGATGCGTTGGCCACGTCTTGGTGCTTGCTTGCCGTTGTTGTTGATTTCCCTATTTTAGATATTTGCTTACGTCTTTGTTTTCTTCTTTCTTGCTTTCTTCTTTGACTTTGTTTCTTGTTCGATAGCTAGTCATGTCCCATGGGTCGCGTTGTGAAAGTAAACAAAAAGCAGAGGGCGAACCGTGGTACTGTGCCGTGTGGTGTAGTCAGGCCTTCTCCCGTGACCTTCCCGTCCGGCGGTATGAGATCATCGACTCCCTTGGTTTGTGCCTTGCTTTTTCTCTTTACAGTATGTTCTTCGGTGTTTACCCTGGACACTTGGATGGATGCTACCCCTCGATCACACCATTGTAGTAGTACTCAGTAGTCACTATCAGGAGGAATCAATATTGGCCCCTCCCAGGAAGATGACTGCCTACTAGCCACAACACTGCCCTCAGCCGCGTTATTGGCCATTGACCTTAGGACAATCGGGAAGAAGATCGACATACACTATTAATATTCAATATTCGGTCCCCCCTCGATCTCAATCAAATTCTCCAGGGGCATCCCTCTCGGCCCATGTGCGTTGTTCCAAACCATGCCCAATTCTGGTCCGACTATTAGCTATCGAACTTTATGGGCTCCCCTTCAACCCCTCCTTTCAGATACCTACTGTAGACAGATAGCACTTGCATACAGGGAGGAGTCGTCCCTCACGGTGGCGTTTCCTTATCGATGCCTTGCACGAGCTTTTTCTCCGATCCCAGGGCCGTTACCAGTTAGTCCTCCGTGGCGATGCGACAGGGACCGAGATTGGCCCTGGCTTTCCCTTTCTTTTCTCTTTCGTTTCCCTTTCTCAATTAGATCGTCGGTTCTAGTTACCCCGTAGATGGTTAGGTAATTCTCCGTAGATACTCCGACCGAACATACACTGCGTACTGTGTAGATTCTGGAGAAGGGTTTGTCCATCCCTTGATAAGGGCTCTGCCGCTTATCGAGGCATATCACGTCGGAGTTTTGATCGCAGCATCGATCTTTCTCCGTGCTTTGTGCGTGCTTTTATTGATCTTTATCTCTTGTTCTTTCCATTTCTATCTGTGAAATAGGGTTCATCATCGGTTTATGCATGTTGTGTTTGAGACGGGTAGGCTGACCAAGATATAGTTCCGTTGCACCGAGTATACAATCTAAGGGTTCATTCTTACTAGACTCAACTCCCATCAAGTTCACCAGTCCCAAAAAGAAAACACCCCATCCCTACTACTTCTATTGAAGCTTCATTCTATAAAATAAAGTTTAATCGTCCCTAACTACACTGCAGACAATACTGTACCTAGACAGGCACCGTAGGGATAAGATATCCCGTCCGGAATATAAAAGCCACAACGCAAGCCAATATATGCATGTACTTACATGCATACCTACACCCCCTCTATCCCTACCTAGGTATTGTACCTACGTAGGTTCAGTAGGTAAGTAGGTACCCCGTACTCCGTACAGCATTGACCTTACCATGCCCCCAAAGCCTCCACAAAGCTTAGTTCTCCGCGATTTGAGTGGGAAATCGCCCCATCTTACCTTTTTTGTGTTTTATTTCCCCGCAGAAAAGATATTCAGAATGCACACGTATAACCCGAGTCAAGATGCATAAATAATCAACTCCTTCTTTCATCCTAGCTTGCTAGATAGTGATGGCAATCTACAGATCGAGAAAGGTAGATGGGAGGATAAGATATCTTTATCTGCGACCCTTACACCTAACACCGCATTCACCCTCACCGATATCCATCAAGCTCCAAAGCGGGAATAGTATAGTCAAAGAGAAAGATGTCTTCTCTGCCAAGGAAGTAAATAGAGTTGACAAGGGCGTCGTGGGTCCTTGCTGACCCAACCATACCAGACCGGTGTTCTGCACTGCCGGATTTCAGACATTAGGCATTAAGCATTAGGCATTGAGCATTAGATTAGACATTAGGTCTCGGGCATTGGGCATTGAGATATTCCCAGGAGGACAAACATCCTCGCTTTAGGGAAAGAAGAGCGGGGATTGTCTTGTCCTGGTCTCGGATTTGAGTTTGGCAACTGCGTCGTATGTATGTGTGTTTGTACTTTGTACCTGCTTAGGTACTGCACGGGGCATACTAGGTAATTGGACTGATAGGAGATTTTATTTTACATTGATACTGGGGGCCTCTTTCTCGCTTTTCTCTTTTACTGTAGGTACCATGTGTACCATGTACCCCGTACATACGGAGACTACCTACCTATACCTGTGCGATGTTACGCAGGGTTCATTTTGCGAGGTATAATCCATGCTATAGTACTACACATTTACAATATACCCTAGTAATAACAGGGTAGAATACATACAGTAAACCCAAAGAACACAGCAAACAATCTACCTAAACACATACATAGATACTGTAGGTAGACACTAATCACCGACCTACCTACCTACCCATACCAAGAACACGCCACAAAACCGGCTCAAACAGCCGTCCAATCAACCCCAACGGTCCTATATTCTTCGAGGGAAGAACCCGCATTCCACGGCCCGCATTCCTTCATCTTCAACCTTCATCATCTGGTAGCTGTTCCTAGAGAACTAGTCCTAAAGGGTAGGTAGGTAGAAACAAGTGGAGCTTCGTCAGTCAGGGACCGGGAATGTCAACCTTGGAAATGCATCCACGGACTAACTAACTAACTATAGCTACTTACGGAGTCCTCTCATGAGCTAACTATCCCATCCGCTCAGCGATACCGTAGTGACGGGACCCCCCCCCCCCCCCCCCCCCCCCCACATTCCAAACCAGAAACTATATGCCGACGAGCAAGGGATTGAAGTTCGAGTGGGGAAGAGGCGCCGTTAGCTACCTAGGTATGTATGTATGTATGTCTGATGGAGATCGGTAGGGTAGTGTGACTATCGGATCTGCATGTCTTCTGTATTATATGTAACCTGCAAGAACCGTGTGGGGTGTATGTACAGTATGTATGAAGATACAAGATAGATCTGCCTCTGTCTATCCTCTATGCGTTACTAGCAGAGCGCAGGGACCATGTTGCGTGCAAGGGATATGTACGGGGGTTGACCCCTGTCGGGGTTTTGGGGGCGGAGAGAGAGAGTCTTGCTTGGGTAAGTTTTCTGGGGGCTGGGAATGTAAGGGAAGGTAGGTGGGTGGTCTTTTGAGAGGGGTGGTTAGTAATGCTTAAGGTGATAGCTATTGGGCTTGGAGGGTTGTGGTAGAGAAGGGTATGTATTTGATGGTGATGTGTTCTTGGTGAAGTTATGGGGGGATTGGATGGTCAGTAGTACTGTTCTTGATTCTAGGGTGGAAATTGAATCATGTAAAAGAGCAAGAAATAAACGCCGTGAGTGGCGTACCTACAGAGTCAATGATACTGATGGTTGCTTCGGTAGATAATATTCAGACACGATGGAACAGAGAAGTTCATAAGATGTCAATATGTGTTCAAAATTACTCCGCATGATTCTTCTATCGTGGAACATATACCCTCGACAAAGCAGACAAATATATCTGCGTCCGAGCACAACTAACTGTCTCTACATATTGTACGACTACTTTATAGCTTGGTATCTTATATCCAGATAACCTGAGGATTCAACATTGAATGCCCTCGGGCTCAGACATAGCTGCAATGACCGGGCTATATGAAGAGTTGTTCGAGGCCCTTTGTTGGAATTGATTTCATTCACTCAATAGAAGATGTGTTGAGCAATATCAAAGAAACATTATTTCTATGTGGGTTCTCTTGTGTTCATATGTCACGGGTCAATGGGCGAAATTCTTATGCAAATCCTATAGTATATCTTCGATCGGGTTCATAGTTGTTCCATCACAGATGCTCCTACAGTCAGGACTCACAATGACATCTACGGTTAAGTGTTACAACGCCTCTAATGAGTCTCGTGAATTACCCTTTTCTCCTCCAAATAGACTCATCGTTACAATGCTTTCAAATAAAACCGATGAACTGAATTTGTAGATAGTCAGTTGTCCGGTCGTACGTCCTGAGCCAACGAATCGATTTAAATAGAGCGAACTAAGGAGTTCGCATTGGCCATCGAACACTTTTGAGGAAGAAGTCCTTGTTCTGGGATAATGGAACGAGATTCATTGTACCTGACATCTTGCGTCAGTAGTGACTCAGTTTACTTGAAAACATCGAATGAATACTTGGCCAGAGATAGTAGACTACTACCACTTTCGCCTCAACAGCTATATGTGCCATGAACCTCTATGATAAGCCACTTAGGCTTTACAACAGTAATGACGAATAAAGTAGAATCAAGAATAATTCAGACCAAACTAATATGAAGCAATATACATAACCAATCACATGACGGCGATCCGTTGCTCTATCAGATGGCGCTAACCGGATTCGGCGCCACGGCTCATAATTTTTCGCGGCTTGTCACCACCAACCAGATCACTGTCCTCCAACATCTAGAAGCTGATTCTTGTGCGGAGTTTGGCTTCACAATCTCATTCCCCTGAACCTATCTTATCCTACCTCTCATTCACACAATGGCCCAGAATTATGCCGCCTCGAAGAAGCGGCGTCGCGAGCCATTCAACGTCGACACCAAGTTGGTCGAGATATATGAGGATCTCGCCAGCGAGAAGGACGAGATTCGGTTGAAGTCCGCACAGGCTCTGGTGTCGCAGTTCACTCCCGACAAGAACCCGACCGATGAGCAGATCCGAAAGGCCTTGCAGAGGCTCTTCCGCGGTCTCTGTAGTAGCCGCAAAGCTGCCCGGATTGGCTTTTCGATCGCCTTGACCGAGATCCTCACGCAGGTCCTTGGATCCCCCCGAGATTCGTCGGAAATCACGGTGTCGAAGGTCATGTCCATCTGGGAGTCGCAATCGAGCTCCTCGGGTAGTGAGTCGGGTCAGGTATGTTTCTAACCCCGTCGTGGAAGTCTCGTACAAGTCGGTGTGCTGAACTTTTACCTCCAGGAACAACGAGACCACCATTTCGGACGTCTCTTTGGAGCGGAAGCTATCATCAAGTCTTCCATTCTGTTCAAGTCTGAGGCACCGTTCAGTGAGTGGACTAAACTCTTGGACCTGGTCTATGACCTGTCCAAGAAGAAGCCATGGATCAGGGAAGAGTGCGGCTGGATCGTCTATCGCTGTATCTATGAGCTTTCGACCCAGAAGGCGGACGCCAAGTTCGTGGAATCTGCGTTGGAACAGTTGTGCTCGAACGACCTGGCAAAGACGCCTGAGGGTGTTTCCATCTGGCTGGCAGCCAAGGAACTGTTCCCGACTGCCAGCTTCCCCAGTAAAGTGTGGAAGCATGATGACCCGTTGGACGCGCGGGAGAGGAACAGTCTTGCCAAGGTCATGAGGGACTCTTCGTCCTCCGAAACCGAGAACGACGACAATGCCAACGCCACTAAATCCTCTGGAGTCTGGAACTCCAAGCTTCACTTTGCCTGGGAGGCTGTGATCTCTAGATTCAGCGCTGCTCCTGTGAAGGAGAAGTCTAAAAGCAAGAGCTCTGGCTCGTCCCGTTTGAGCTTCATTGATTTCTGGACTGAAGTTGTTGACAGTGAGTTTGGTCTCCCTAACCTAGTCTAGAATACTTTCTCACACGTAACCTTACAGACGGACTCTTCGCTGCTGCTTCCTCGGAAGAACGCAAGTATTGGGGTTTCCTTCTTTTCAACAAGGTCCTCAACGAGGCCCCCTTGCACCTGGCTTCTCAGATCTTCACCAAGAATCTTGTCAGATGCCTCATGAACCAGCTCGCCGTCGACGACCGCTATCTTCACAAGATGGCCGCCAAATCGGCAAAGACCATCCAGACCCGCGTGGCGAAAGAGCCCGAGTTCGCCGGCGCCTCCGTCATCGGCTTGATGGGCACAGCCGGATCCGTCAACTTCGACCAAGTGACCAAGACGAAAACTGTGGAGAAGATCGTGTCCGAGGCCAACTTGGACGCACTCAAGCAGATCGTGCCCCTTTTCTCCAAGCTGGTTGCCAGCCCCGGAACGGATGACAGCAAGACGGCCGCCTCTACTCGCCAGATCCTGGCCGGACTGCTCCTGGCCATCGTGAGGTCTCAAGCCTCGACGAGCGGGGATTCTCATGATGAAGCCGAGTCTTTGCTGGAGCATATCCTGTTCACTTTTGTTCAGTTTGCCTACTTCACCGAGGGCGAGGAGAAGAAGGCTGCCGCGCAGCCAGCCCTCACGCAACAAACGCAGGAGCTGTTCCGGAGCAGGATCACGTCCTGCCTCAACAGCCTGATCGCCTCGCAGAAACACGCAGCTACCCTGCCCTACGCCGTGGTTCGCAAAATCCGCGATGCAGTCAAGTCTGGGGAATACGGCAAGTTCATTATCAACATGGATGACACGCTAAACGAATCGGTAAAGACCTCATTCAAGTCTCTGAAGAAACTCTCAAACACGGTACGTATCCTCGGCACCTTCCAGCCCTATCGATTTCTAATACTCATTCATTTCCAAACAGGAGAAGCACAAGAACGCCGCTGGCGTCGACGCCTTCAAACTGCTCTACTCCATGACCATCCTGCAGGTCTACAACGGCGACGCCGATGCCGTATCCATGCTCGACGAGCTCGACTTCTGCTACACCAAGATCTTCGGCGACAAGAAGTCCAAGAAGGAAGAGGCGTCGGATGCATCGGACGCGCTGGTGGAAATTCTGCTAAGTTTCGCGTCCAAGCTCTCGCAGCTGTTCCGTCGCATGAGCGAGCAGGTATTCAATGCTTTCGCGAACCAGGTCACTGAGAATGGTCTGGAGTCTTTGATCTCTGTATGTTATCCCATCACCCCACTTGCGGATGTCAGCATTCTATGAATTGGTAGAGTAGTCCTCGGAAACTAATGTGGCTATTCTAAACTAGATCCTCGAAGCGAAGGAAAGTCTTGCCGGTCAGCAGGAGATGTTCGACCAGCAAGACGACGACGAAGAAGGCGACGAGGAGATGATGGACGTGGACGGCTCAGATGACGAGATGGACAGCGACGTAGAAGTCGTCGACGCCGAGGGCTCCGACAACGAAGACGGTTCCGAATCCGAATCCGAAGACAACGGCGCCGGCGACGAGGATGACGCAGAGACCGTCGCCTTCGAAGCCAAGCTAGCCGAAGCGCTAGGCACACACCGCGGCGACCAAGACCTCGACGCCGAGTCCTCCGATTCGGACGCCGACATGAACGACGACGAAATGGAGCAGGTCGACGACGCACTGGTCAAAGTGTTCAAGGCGCGCCGGGACGCCCTGGGCCAGAAGAAGGACAAGAAGGACGCGCGCGAGAACATGGTCAACTTCAAGAACCGCGTGCTCGACCTCCTGGAGATCTACGTTAAGAAATGCCACTCGAGCATCCTGGCGCTGGATCTCATTCTGCCATTGCTCCGTCTGACCCGTCGGTCGACCGTTAAGCAGGTGTCGAACAAGGCGAACGCCGTGCTGCGTGAATACACCAAGCTGTGCAAGGGTTCGTCGCTGCCCGCTATTGAGGAGACCGAGCCTGTTTGGGAGCTGCTGAAGTCGATCCATACTGAGGCGACGCGGAGTGGACCCCCTGCGCATGCGTCTGGTTGCAGCCAGGCCAGTCTGTTGGTGGTCAAGGTGCTCGTGGCGCAGGATAAGGAGGCGGTGGCAGGCGTGGTGGATGTGTATGCTGCTACGCGCAAGCAACAGCTTCTGAGCAAGAAGTGCCATGTTCAGCCGTCGTTGTTTACGGACTGGAATAACTGGTGTGTTTCGGCCAGCAAGCAGATGAAGAACTAGGTAGGGTGTTTATACAATGGTTGCTATTGAGAGGAGACTAGAAGACTTGCTGTGGTTAACACAGTATGTAAAAAGACTAATTGATCATATGTATGAATTGTACTCGCAGGACTATAAGCACATAACTTCATAGCCACATTATCTGTAGACGTTTCAGGTGCCTGAGCGACACCCAAACAGAACCTCACTGTACAGTCAAACTTTTATATACACATGGTCTACGCCAACTCAAAATCCCTTCACATACCGATGATTCCTCGTTTCCTCCAACACCTCCAACACCATCCCCACCTCGATCGCCCCTTCATTGCGCGGCGCACTCAACATCGCAAAGCACGGTTTATACGTAATCCCCTCATCGATGCGCCGATAACCCATCAGCGTATTCCACGGCTGCGTCTTATGCTTATCCGCCGTATCCGGATCGACATTGGGGACCTGACAGCGCGCACATCGCGCTACAACATCAATCGTCAGCGACGACCTCGACCCGTCCGCACCCTGTCCACTGATCCGAACCACCTTCCATGAATCCTCTATCCACGGCGCACTGCCCCGAATAATCACATTCGGACGGAACCGCTCGATGGTAATCGGCTCGGCACCGTTCTTCTCCAATCGCTCATTCAGCTCCTTCAGCGACGCTTCGGACGCGATTGTCACCGGATGCACGTCGGGGAAGTTCGTGCTCTGCGTGCGGCCGAGAAGTCGCGGGTCGCCGTTGCCCTGGAGGACGCGCGGCGTAGGACCCTTGTAGACGAGACAGACGTCGCGCTTCAGGAAGGACGAGAAAAGGTCGTTGACTGACGCCCCGTAGACGTGTCCGTCCGTTACGGTGTCCCAGATCTTGACCTGTGCGAGGGTCGTGTGCGCCGACAGCCACGCCTCGTCTGGGTAGGCCGGGATGCGGACGCAGCCGTCCACGCCGGTGATGGTGAGGACGAGGGTATCAATTTCGAAATCACTGCTGCCATTGCCATTGCCAGTGCCATTAGAGGCGTCCTTGTTGTTCTTGCCGTCCAACGCCGTGTTAATAAGCGTCATCTGCGGAATCTGGCGAATCGTCAAGAACTCCTTCGTATTCGCATCGACGAACATCCACCTCCGATCGAGATCCAGACCGTGCATGCGTAACTTGGTCTTCGGAAGCTCGAGCCCGCGACATGATTTGATCGGGTACACGCGCAGTGACACAACCTCGGACGGTGGCTGACGGGATCCTCGGAGGCGTTGTAGGAGACTAGATCGGTTGGGCTGCGTCCGGCTGGATGAGAATCGCGGGAGGATGAACGCCGGGGCGGCGACAAGAAGCAACAGGATGATTGCCGAGGTGGGGGAGATGGAGTCGAGCATGGTGATGATTGATGGATTGGGTTTTGCTCGGTTTGGTTCCTGCAGACGGAGAGACGAGAGAAGATAATTACTATTCTGCCACATGTGACCGCCTTGTTATCGGGGGCGGAATGATGAAGTCATTGATAAGGGATTGAGGAGACTGTTCAGTATGCAGTTTTTCTAAATCGTGGTGAATGTCCTTCTGTTCAGCTTGTTTCATCAATTCATTTCCAATAACAATGCTTTCCCGGAACACTTTCCGAGAATTTCGATATACTAGTCCTGATCCTCCGCGCTCTCAAATCCATTCACCTAATGTTGAAGATATTCTGTAGTGAAAAGAAATTATCAAAGGCATGAAATCACGCTTGAATGCAATTTCCTAGTTGCTCCCCAATAGACCAAACGCCCTCAATCCTCCATGCTTCATTCAGTCTTCCCCTCAGTCCAATGCATAACCAACCCCTTGATCAGGGCAATTGCCGCCTCCTTGCCTTCTCGAATGGCGTCATCACCGCAAGCCGCAGGGACGTGAAAAAACACGACATTGCGATCCTGCCCTTCCCGAAAAGCATGGGACAAGCTGGTATAGTAGATGAATTCGCACAGGTAACGTCCCGCGTCATCTGATATGCGAACGTCGGTTCCCGCAGGAACGAAGGATTTCCATAACCCGAGAAGATCGTCATTAGGCGGGCGAGGGGTCAAGGAAGGATGTTGTACCTGGAGGTGATCCCCCGTTGGCGATGGTAGTATTGATTCTGCCGGAGTCAGGTTGAGGTCCGTTGCAGGTCCAGCTTGCAGCACCGCAGGTAAGCCTAATTCACGCCACAGCTTTTCGCCGTCCTCGTAGCCGCCTTTGCCTTTGATATCGGACATGTGGTAGGCATCCCGGCGGGCCTGCGTCTCGATTGAGTAGAAGTTCCTCATGGCCGCTATACCCATATGCATCACGATGTCTGGCCGACGGCCCCCGTGGCTCTTGGCGTAATCTTCGAGTATAACCGGGATGGTCTCGCGCACCGTTGAATAGGCGACGGGGATCGGTGAGGGATGGGCATGGATTGCAACCCGCCGAGAGACAGTCCCCGTTGCATCCGTTGTGGATAAGTCGAACGATGGTGGCAGGGATGATGCGATTAGGTACGAGGCGTTGACTAGGTTGGTTTTGAAAGGCTAATCGTCTCAGTCAGACGAGGGCCAGCTGAAACCCAGAATCAATCACTTACTCCGAAACCGGTAACCAAGACCGATATCTCATCAGGCTCCGCGGCATACCGAGGAGGATTGTTCGGTATTTGTGCCTTGGACAAGGACACGTCTGGCCCGTAATCGCCCATATCTAGGTACTAGAGGACTATACGACAGGCGTTGGGAGTATGAGTGATGGATGAGAATATGGTACGACTTCCAGCCTCGCTAACAGCAAGTAAGAGGCAAATGGAGTGACAAAAAGACAGACGGGCACAGAGACAGAGAGAGGAAGAAAGAGGAAGAGAGAAAGCGAGAGTCAAACGTCGGTCGATCCCCCGCAATCCGAATGCGGGGCTTGGCGTCACGGGAGCAGTTTGCTTGTTTGCTTCATCTTCCTGTCGCTTTGAGATTGAAGTCTTGCTCTTGCATCGGTAGGAGAATCCATCCATGCAGCATCGACATGAGAGACGTTGATCTGGCTCCATTCAGCTATGGCTCATCTGCCCCTCACGGTCCACCATGAACATGCCATCGGCCAGGTGTCAACCAAGTAACCGATGTATATATCGACTGCCGCAGGTTCTACCGATTGACCGTGGAAAGCCCCATGGAATTCTCTTCTGGACCAAAATATCATAACAGTCAATCGGACAGTCAAAAGCAAAGGGCTAATCATGCATCAAATAGGCAAATGCACATCAGTCGGAAACCACCGCGAACAGATCCACCAGAGTGGCTCTCCGATCTATGCTCTATCGGTAAAGAGTCAAGTCCACATACTTTTGAGGCGGCTTTGAGCAAGTCTGTTTCGTCGAATCAGATGGGTATTATTAGAAAGATCTAGAATCTCGGCCTCAAACTCTTTGTGTGCATGCGACATGTCCAAACATTCTCCAACACCTAGAAGCCCTCGCTATTTCCTGGGCAGCGGATAGATGCGTTTAGGCCCAACATTCCAAGAAAAAGAGTCGACAACTAGAGGTAGAGTCTGAATCGGCAGAGTCCTGTGTCAGGAAACTCAGGACTCAGGTTGTATACGCTTTCCATCTTTCAAGACATCGAGGATCGTCGCACGACCCGGTGTGGAGCTGCTCGGTTAGAGTCCATCTGGGGGTCTTCCTCGCTCAGGCCCAATCGGATGACACTTGGCACCGCCCAGCGTGGATAGTTACATTTGTTTGGGAATGAGGTTGATACATAAACCTTGACCTACACTTTCCAATCTTGGAAAGAGGCCTGGAAAGAGGCCAATCGTTCTGCATTGTTTGCCTGGCATCCTCAGCCGAGACCCACTCAGGGGAAATGGCAACTGCTCCTCAAGGACCTCTCGTTGGCCACCGGTGCAGATCTCTCGTTTCTACTTAGACCGCCGTATTCTGCGTATCCAACGCATAGGGCGTATCCAACGTATCCAGCCCTTCGCGACCGCCCCCCTTTTTCGGCATCAATCCGCATCCCCGAAGCAGTGAATGCCAGTGCCTATTCTCAATGGCTGCCTGGTTGGCGAGCGGGTTGGGAGCCGGAGATTTGGGGGCAATGCATAGGTCACGTTGCTGCCATTCAATCGCGTCGCTCTCGGAATATTCCCACCTACGCCCTCTACCTCCACCAAACTGACTTTATATACTTCTCTTAGCTCCTCTCACTTCCCCTCAGACTGCGCAACCTTTTCACTTACTCCGTTCCCTGGATGTCCATCAGTCCCTCCTCACGCCTCCGACCTATCCCGCCACCATGGCTTCCATTGTTGACATTCTCGACATTCAGACACTTATCCGAGGCCTCTCTTTGGCGTTGGTTCTAGTCTTCGTATCGCAGTTTCTCAGAGAGCTCGCAGATGGCTTTCCCTACTCGCATATTCCTATCGTGGGACGCGGCAGATGGGAGCTTTCCAATTCCAAGGCCAAAGCACGCTACGTCCATTCGGCAAAAGAGCTCCTTAGCCAGGGTTTTAGTGAGGTATGTGGCGGGAGCCCAGATGTTTCCATGTTGGATCCAGAAATTAAGCTTTGCATACTGATGGTTGAGGTGTAGGGCAAGAAAGTCTTTCAACTCATGTTTTCCCACGCGACGGTGATTGTTTTGGACCCTTGTTTCGTTAACGAGGTCAAAAACAATGTCAATTTTAGCTTTACGCTGGTCACCAAGAAGGTACATTAGTATCTGAAAGGTCTTTTGTCTCTGTGCTGAATCTCGTTTAGTTGTTCTTCGGGGAAAGAATCCCGGGTTTCGAGCCCTTTGAAGGTGGAGATGATAAATACGATGTGGTTCGTGAAACGATCAGCAAGAAGCTTACATATCAGGTGCTCGGTCAGTTGAGCTCACATTATAGCCTGCTGAGAGGCTGATCTAACTTCGTCTTTCTGTCTGTAGGAAAACTCGTCTTGCCTCTTTCGAGAGAGACTGCCTTAGAATTGAAGGAATCTTTTCCCGAATCCCAGGGTAAGTAGCTCGCTGTGCTCAATGATCGACAGCATATCTAACGGACATCGCCACATATTTAGAATGGCAAGAGGTCACCTTTGGATTCAAACTCCCGTATATCATCGCTCGCATTTCCTCGTTGGTTTTCATGGGAGACTCGATCTGTCGCGACAAGGATTGGCAGAACGTATCAGTGAATTATGCCGTCGACGCATTCGAAGCTGCTCGTACCCTGCGACTCTGGCCAGCCATCCTCCGCCCAGTAGTGCACTGGTTCTTGCCCTGCATGCAAAAGCTGCGGAAGCATATCACGGTGGCCACCGGTATAATACAAGACGAGATCAACAAACGAGACATGATTCGGGATGGCAAACTACCTGCAGGTCCCCCGAGAACCCACGAGGATGCACTGGACTGGTTACCAGAGATTGCTCGTGGCCGGCCCCTCAACCTCACGCGTTCCCAGATTGGATTGTCTCTGGCCTCCATCCACACGACATCGAATTTTTTGCTCAACGTCATGTACGACCTGGTCATGTGGGACGAATATGTGCCGATGCTGAGAGACGAGATCAAGGCTGTCGTTGAAGAGGACGGAATTCTGACGAAGAGTAGTCTCATGAAGTTGAAGAAAATGGACAGCTTTCTGAAAGAATCTCAACGGATGAATCCCATCAGTCTCGGTATGTCAACGTCCCCCCCTACAACCTCACATCCCAAGAACTGACATGGAACCACCAATGCAGCCTTCCTCAACCGCGTCGCCCTCGAAGACGTCACCCTATCTGACGGAACCCTCATCCCGAAAGGCGCTACGATCTCCATCTCCGCGCACGTCATGCAGGATGAGAGCGTATACCCGAACGCACAGAGCTTCGACGGTCTCCGCTTCTGGAATCTGCGCCAACAACCCGGCAACGAGACGCGGTACCAGCTGGCGTCGACGAGCGCCGAGCATTTCGGGTTCGGTCACGGCCTGCACGCATGCACGGGACGGTTCTTCGCCACAACCGAGGTCAAGATTATCCTTATCCACCTGCTCATGAAGTATGATTGGAAATTCGCCGACCGCACGAGCCGGCCGAGCTCGATAATGCACGGGATGGAAATCCTCAGCGACCCGACGGTCAAGTTGCTGTATCGGTCTCGCGAGCCAGAGATTAATCTTGGGAAGTTGGGCGAGGAGGTCGAATCGGGTGTATCCAGCTCTAGTGGCGAGAGTTTTGATATCCTGTAGCGAGGATTGTCCCTATCGATCATTGTTTAGTGAGCAGTGCTTCTGCCATATGGGACATTCCCATTCCTTTTCTTTTTTCCCGTTTGATGACCTCATGTCCTTGCTGTTTTGAAATTTCCTTTTCTTTCTTAGGGCTTTTTATCTGCTCTCAATCTCTTGGGTGGAAGCGCATCTTGCTTTCTTTTTTGTCAATGCTTCCTTTTTTTCTTGATTACATGTCTACTACGTACCTACCACCAGGTCGTCATGCCAGTTCGGAACCGATCGTTACCGGTGAGGCCGAACGGAAGTGAACAATCCGGTTTCTCAGCTGCATTGATGCAATCATGCAAGGGAGTCTTGAGTGTACTGTACATACGGTAGACGCTAGGTAGATACGTAAGCACAGGTGCATATGTACATAAGTACATAGGTGCATAGGTAGAAAAGTCAACGATTCCACGAGTGTGCCCCGATATGTGTGACTTTCGACTCTCGACTCAAGGACAGCAGGTTAGTCCATGAGGATACCATGCAAGTGTTGACTCCGTAGAGTAGATGGATCTGGCAGGAATGAGCTACGGGCATCGAGCATGCTCCTAGGTTGGTTAAATACAACCTCTCTCGGGCACCGACGAGATGGGTATTGACTGCAACCACCACCAGAGAGAGGACCGAGCATGAACCACTGCATGCGTCTGCGTCTGCATCTGCATCTATCCCACTCCTAACGTGCCTCTGCATTTGCAGACAGAACTAGCAAGGGAGACGAGGAGATGCAGGATTTGGTTGGGATGGGGAAACGGGGTGGCATTTCCGAGTTTTCGCGTTTGTTTTGATCGAGGACACGCCAGCCAAGATCAGCTTTCTGTACGGAGTAGAAGCTAAGCGAAAATGGATAAGATGGAAATAAAAAGTGGCACCGTGTCCCGGTATCTACTCTAGTGTCCAGTGTCCACAACCAAGTTGATGACTACTTTTCTCAATTTCGATCAGCTAATGAACTGATAGTCACGCCAAAGGGAAGATGATGGGGCCAAAGGAGGTGGGACGATTTCACCGGGAACCAGGAAATTTCCTGTATAGATATTCGATGGGCTGGTTAGCGAGTAGCGAGTAGCGACTAGCAAGACTTTGATGCCGAGGGAATGGCAAGTGGAATAGAAGATATTATTAGAAACCGATAGAGATGGCGGTGGGCAAGCTCCTCCCTCGTTCTCCAACGACTCCGGCGAGAGAGAAAGAGCCAGGATGGGTTCCTGCATAGACCCATTGGGGAGGACCCGGAGGAGCAGGACAAGAGGTGATTACCGAAGAGGGCAAAGACGATCTAAAAGGGCCTTAGGGCCTTAGTGCCTTAGTCCAGGAACGGGCCAGCCACGAGTATCGGCGGAACGAGCAGCACGGACCCTGACTGGCGAGATCGCGCCCGGAGACCGTACCGTTACCTACACGCGCGTGTACGCGTGCCAGACGCGTTGGGACGCGACGAACCCCACTTTGACGCGACGGGCACGGGACTGGGGTAGGCCTTAGTCCTCAGGCTCGTATGGACGGTACTACGAAGTATGAAAGGAATAGACAAAGTCTTTGACCCGTTCCTTGGATGATCTCGCGCTTCTTATTCTGACGTCCGCACATGCCCGTCGGCAGAAGTGTCTTGTCAACTGTCAACTGTCAACGTCCACTGTTCACCGTGTCAAACTTGGTCGGCCATGCTCAAAGAGACAACCAACGAGGCGGTTAGTCGCGTCTACCCATCGTTACAGCCAGTACTCAGTACGGTGTACGTGGTCGCACTAATGCACGCCTCGTCCATCTTGGTTCGTCCGTGACTCGGTGGGGAACGCTTCTGCAGGAGACTGGAGTTCACCTCTTTTCCAAAATTCGAATCCTTTTTTTTCTCCCTCCTTCCACCAAGAGAATTTTTTTTAATAAAAAAAAAATTAGAGACGAAGGCTTGGACGGCTCAACGACTGGCGTGATCCCGTCAAATTTTTCCCAGCCCCCCGACTTTTGTTTGATCAGCCGATTCACCAAGGTCAACCGACTCGAGGTCAAGGAATGCCTTTGCACGAGCCCTTGTAGATCACCGGACGCCGTGCACAATTGGGGGGAGATGAGATGAGATGTGATGATCAGATACTGAGAGAGCACCGTCTCTGGTCGGCGCTCACCAAATTCCTTGTCGAATGAGAAAAATGACTGGCAACGAAAGTGCGGCCACCGGATTTTCCACGCGCTCTCACTGGACCAGAAAGGGACCAACCTGGCTCAAGAAATAAAACTTACCTGTGCCGTTCAGTCGATTCGCTAGCGCTCTGCAGTGCATCCTTTTCGCGCACCCTTGCCGCAGGTGGAAGCAAGCAGCTTTGCGAAGATACTTTTAGTGAATTTTCTTTTTCCTTTCTGAAAGTGGGACCCCGGACGTGCAGCTGTACTCGAGGCCGTACTTAAGTGACCCCATAAGGACCGATGTCATTTGTCCATGGCTTTTCTAGCTCTGGAGAGACCATCGTTGGGCGGCGCAGTGAGGCGGTTGCAAATCGACCATAACCATTTACCAACCACCGGGAATATTTCTTAGACTCGAACGAACAACTTGTCCTTCTCTCCCCCATCTCGACGAGTGGAGTTAACACGCTGTTTTTAGAACACGGGTTAAACAAGAAAGAAAAAGAAGAAGAAAAAAAAAGACAGAGAATAATTTACCAGGAAAAAAGAAAGGAGCGAGATCAGACGGGAGTGGTTCACGCGGACCTTGACTGAACACTCCAGCAGCGAAATTCTCCGCATTCCACAGCGCTACACTTGTGATGATGACCCGGAATTCCTGATTTTGGCTGTAAATTTGCACCTCCGACTGGATTTGCGCCCCCCCCTGCGGCGTCCCCATAAGGAGGGTGAGATGCTCGTCTCTCCTGACACCGTATCACTGTGCCGGGGCCTGCGGATTGCTCGCAATTGTAAGTTGGACTCGAAATCACATATCATACCATTTCATATCATATCATATTATATTATATTATAACCTGTCCCGAAACGGCAGATTGCAATCGAGTCAGCGAGCTAACCCTGCCGAGCGAGACAGAAGGGAAAGAAGAGTGAGAAGTCATTAAAACCAAACCCTGACGTGGTGAACAATTCGGGCAGTGGAGCCCCCAATCTTAGGCTGCTGCTGGCCTTAGCAGTTAGGCCCGTTCCTTCCCCTCTTGGGCGATCTCCTTCGCTCTTTCCTCCGCTTCCCTCCTTGCGTCGTCGCTTTCCTCTCGCGCTCTTCCCTCTCTCTCTCTCTTTCTCTTCTCCCTCCTCTCTCTCCCTCGCCTTCCCTTGTTTTTTCCTTCCCCCCCCCCCCCCCCCCAATTCACCCTCCTCCCTCGTGCACGGCCACTGTCGCTATTTCGCGCGTGGCTCGTAGAATTCCGTCTTTTATTGTTTTTCTTTTTTTCTTTTGTGTTGGTCTGGCGTTTTTGTGTGTCAATGTCCGGCTCCCTTCTATAGTTACTCCGCGGGAACCCTTCGATGTGATCTCCCTCAACCACCAATCGCGAATTCACTTTGCGCATCGCATCGCCATTCACACAGAACCGGTCGCTGACTTTTCCGACCACTCACACCTTGACGAGTTCTTTTCCTTTTTGTTGTTGTCTTCCTTTGCTTTTCCTTTTTCTTTTAGGAGGTTACGATTTTACGACATCCCTGTTACGCGCCCGGTGGAATTGGTCTCACCTCGATCGAAGACGCCTTGCATATTTAACGAAAAAACAAAAATAACAACTCCCGAACAGATACAACTCCTCTCTTGAATCTACTGCTCTACGGGATACTCACCGGCTCTTTGGTTATCGCCGTTACGGAAATCCGGTTACGCATTCATTCAATTAAGGCTAGGACGACAAGCGTGCGATAGAGGAATCAATTCCGCAACGGCTTGGATTGGACTAATTCATCATTCGGACCGCGCAAGAATTTGGACAATAAGCGAAATGTTATTGGTATAAAGGCTTTCGAACGATCTGCTGCGCGAACGACCCTTAGATATCCTTGACGTCGCTCGCGAAATCGACATTCTTGCTCCGGTGGTCACGACATACGAAGTACAACCATGGCGTACCGACAGCAAGGTCTCTCGCGCACCCTGCCGAAAAACTTCACTTTCCCTTCGGCAGGGATTGGGGAACCTAGAACCCCCGAACGCGCCTCGACCTACCTGGATGTTCCGCCTCCCCCCCCTCGCCATTCAAGCTGTCGCTTGCGCAGGTCCCGCGTGCGCTCGGGAACTGACGTCTTTGCGCAGGCCGAATATGATTTCAAAACCTCCTTTTCTAGCCGACCCGATATTCCGTTACCCTCCATTGAATTTCCGCCCGGCGAAGCTTCAATGGCTCAGCCACCTTTGGTGATGCCCGCCAGTAACGACCGCTTTTTAGCTCCCCCGCGGGATCGTGTGGCCTTGAAAACCCCACCCGCCCAGATCCGCGCAGATCCCATCGAGCCCAAATCCGCGGAGCCTTGGACCACCGACGATCCTCAGTTGTTGGGAGGAGAGATAGAACGCCCCGGCTCCGCCTGTTCGCATGCTTCGGACTCTTCGGTCTCGTCAATCGAAACGTTCTCTTCCCGGCGTTCGGTGGGTGGAAGCTGCACCAGCATGGAAAGTGACTCATACGATCCATTTTTCCACTTTGAACTCCACCCGAAACCGGTCGTAGAGTCGCCGTTACCGAAAAGTCAGCGCAACAAGTCACGGGCATTACCTAGAAAAGAACGGTGGACATTGGATATGGACAACCACCTTTGGAACACCTATCAACTTTACCTCCAGAACCCGACAATTACCCCGTTTAAGATGACACCGGGGAGCATCCCGCCACTTGGGGTGACCCACCGAGTCGCGCGAGACGCGAAGAGAACTTGGGAAAAGAGGCCTCTCCTCTTCAGCAAGGACATCCTGTCGACGTCGCAACAAAGCCGTAGCGGTGACTCCACACCGACTCAAAAGACGGACCCGCCAAAGCCCCTCTGGCCTAAGTCGGAAGCCTCAACTAGACGGAGATTGAAATTCCTATGCAAGAGGAAATTCTCTATCGCCCCTCATTATCAAAGGATGATGCAGTCCAAGAGCCCGACACCCGCGCTCGACTTGTTCTCGCAACCTTCGGGCGAGTCTTCGCACATGGAGGCCCCGGAAAGTAGCTCGGCGGCCTACGCAACCCGCGACTTGGGCGTTTCGCTCGTTTCCAGCTCAGTTCCAGGGCCTCTCGCCCAACTTGCCTCGGAGACGGTCTCCCCTCAACAGACAAATAACGAGTGGTTCAACAACCCCGTCTCCCACGAGCCCCCTCGCGCGACAGATCCTTTTGCAAACAAACCCTTCAGTTTCGACGAACGGGATGTGGCGCCTCCTCGTCTTGGATCGCCGTTCACCTACCATACGTGGGGTCCTCACAATTCGAAAAAGCGAGCTAATCGCCACACTCCCCGGGTTAGACGTGAAACAATTCATGTTACCGGTTCACGACTGCAATCCCCGCCTCGCATGGATGTATTCTCCGGTATCACAAGCCGCCAGGCTAATGGTGCTGAGTCGCCTCAGGAGCAAGACACTCGGCGTCACCTCGAAGAATTGTTTCGCCAGGGTAAGCTGAGCGATGTAGGCCAGCGTCGCGTGCGGATCAGGAACCGTGGTGCCACAACCAGCTCTGTCAACCCCAAGGGCCTTGACCAACTATTCTCTCCCCCGTCATCTTCATCGAGAAACGAGGAAACATACGACATGGTGAAGCCCGTTGCCGACCCGCTGCGGAACCTGAGCGGGGAAAGTATAAAACGACTCGGCTCGCCTTTCAAAGTGGAGACCTTCAAACGCTCCGGACCGGTTGCTAGATTCGTCAGACATGCGCCTTCACGCTCGGAGCCATTCTCCCGTGAATTGCTATCGCAAATTCGACCGACAACTCCAGATGCTCAACTCATGCCCCAAGGATTGCCCAATGCACTCCCGCATGATCCCACCGAAAAAGGCATATCTGATGCAGAACGGATCCGGAGACAAATATTGAACATGTCTCACTCGAGACAATAGTTTCGAAAGTGGTCGAAGAAGCAAAGAGCAGATCGGGTCTTGCATTGTTAAATCTGTTTTCGACAAGGTGTCGACCTCACTTGAATTACCTTGCTTAATGACCTGGATGATTTAACTGCAATCTTGGTTTTCAAACTAACCAGGAAATCTAATGACAGACATGGTTTTGACGACATTGATGATATACAAGAAAAAGAAAATAACAAAAATATACACGGCAAAGACAACACAACGACGTGAAGAAGGGGTTTCCTCTCGCGAAAAATGCTTCATCCGAAAACAACCGAAAAAAGAAAAAACAATTCCTTGGACGATTTTGCATTTGCAATTCTCGCCAATATAGCACTCGTCAGCTACCTGGATAATGTACAACAATGTACCTGCATATGCCAGTGTGGTTGGTCGGGTTGTCAAACTGAGTCGACAGAATTTCGCTCCTCATTTCCCTTTTCTCATTATATCATATCTCCAACTTCTACTTTCTTTTTTCCTTTTCCCTCTCTATCATCCAACAAAGCAACATTGGGCATTGATTGATCTTGAAACGACCTCCAGCATGACACGACCTAACAATTGCATCTGTGTCAGACCCTTTTGGTTGTTCCCGAAAAATGCATGCCGTTGTTGAGCCCCAGTCTAGACGACATTTCTCGAATTTCTTTTCCTTTTCTACAAACCGAATCCTCGTCACTCTTTGAAACAACACATACCTCATCGACAGAATATTCCGACCCAGAAGACGAACGAACAAAAAGCCAAAAAAAAAAGAACAAAAACCAAGTTCAGGGTCATCACTATCTTTGAAATTTTTCTCATCTCTTTCTATCTTCTTTGAAATACTTCCAGTTGAAATCCGCTCCCTCAATACCCAGATCATCATATCGTTGTTTTGTCTTATGATGAGCCATGTTTGCGATTTTTTGTCTTTTTCAGCATGCATGATGATTGGAATGGAGAGATGCCGGTATTGAATGAAATGACTCATAGATGAAATGTTCATGATGCTGCTTAGCAACGTTTACGAAAGCGTTCACAGTCTTTGCAGCGCTCAGTCCCAGTCTGATGTTACCTGAATGACTGTTGTTTTTTATTCATTTATTTTATGTCTTGCATAAGTCGGACGTTTTTTCTTTATTTTCTTCCTCAACTCTCTTCTCTACACTGCAATTTAACCCAGATGTCAATCTTTCGTTGTATTGCATTCCCTCCATTATGGAGTGTCTCTTTTAAGAATACACCATTAGCCTTCGTTCCAGATTCTATACAACCAATCTAGTCAAGCTTGCCTTCTAGATGCAAACAAACTATTGACATTGAACTTGCATTGACGACATACATGACCTGGCCTGATAGCAAGCTTGTAAAGCTTGGCATGAATAGAACTTGCTTCTGGAATTTTCGCACCAGTTCCCTCGTCAACTTAGGTACCTTGATTAGATACGAAGGAGTGAGTAAGTAGTAAACGAAGGGAAGTGTGCTCACAAGCAACGTATATACGATTGGACAGAGAAGAATAGAATAGAACATGGTAGAAAATAATCCGATTCGACATGATATAGTACGAGAAGAGAAGCGCGAGGAAGAAAGATACATGAAAGAAAGTAAATATGAGACTATGTATGTACTGTATGTATGTATTCCATCACCGAGAACGCCAACGACAACGCCAACGCTGCAAAGAGCCAAGACCCAGTAACTAAATCCAGAGACAAAGCAAGTAAGGCGGGAGAAAGAACAAACAGATGACAGGGGGTATTAGATAGAGAGTGAGATGTGTGGATCGTGATGTATCGTGAAAAGAGACAAGATGGGAGGATATCAGGATGAGGATAAATATGAGTATGAGGATGGGGTATGTATGGGAAGTCAGGACAGGAAAGGAAGAGATGCAAGGGCATAAGCATAGGAGGTGGGGAACTAAGACTTCTCCATCCTCTTCCTCCTCTCCGAGAAGATAGCCTCCAGCTTCCGGATCTGCAGACCGAGACTCTTCTTCTCTGCATTAACCAGGAGCCACGCTTCCATCCTCTCACGCAGATGGCGCATGGAGTTGAGAACCGGCAGAATGGGAGAGTGAGGATGCGCATTCTCGTCCGAGATGGGAGCGTTGATGGGGTCGCTGCTAGCTTCCAACTGGGTCCAACGCTCGGAGCCAGGGTTGAGAAGGAGATCGAAAACGTCGCTCCAGATCTCTCGCTCCCAGTATCGCTTGAGGGACTCGCGGATCCGGTAGGTTCGGGGGCTACCCGCAGCAGGGGCCGTGCCGTTGCGGTTGGGGGACGGGGCGGCGCCCTCGCTCTTTCGACCGGGAGTCGACTCGAGGTATTTCCCGAAGAGCATGACGTGAACGGTACCGGCGACGCCGTAGAGATCGATCTGGTGGGTCCAGGGTCGGCCCTCGCGGATTTCGTTGCATTCGTGCTTGCCGGTTTCCCATTCGGCGATGAATTGGACGGAAGGCTGGAAGGCGCGCATGTCGATTCCACGGCCGAAGTCGATCAGGGAAAGGCCCTTGTTCCGCCAGCCGTACAGGCCGCGTGGGGAGTAGTGCACTTCGCGCGGATCGGAGTAATCTTCGCCATCACCAAAGTCAATAAGGGAGGCATCTGGCGCGGTTGGCTTATCCTCGAGTCGGACCAGGCAATTGTCGGCCTTGATATCTCCATGCAGGATACCACAGGCGTGAAGAGACTCTACAGTGCGGAACAGTTCGACTGTGAAGAACATGGCAAGGGCTTCGTCGAGACCGCCATCGGCTGTGGTGTTGGTCGTAAGAGGCTCGTTGCGAACGAGATTGACAAGGTCCAGCAAGGTTCCCTGGCAGCGATAATCTTCGACCAGGATACTCTCTCCCTTGAAGACGTGAAGCTCGTGGGCACGGATGATACTTTCAGTAGCTCGCGACAGCTCGGGTTTCTGGTTCAGTCGCTCGTGTGCGCATCGAATCATGTAGAACTCCCAAGGGTTCGGGGGCCCGACTTCCAGTTTAATTGCCTCGAATCCATAGCGCGACGTGTTTCGTTTGACCGACTTTCCTCCGTTTGAAGGGTGGGGTTCTTCCGCATCGTCATCCATGGCCTCGCTCTCCGAATCAGAAGACAAGTTGTCAACGCTCTCAGCAAAGTAGACTGGGGCATAGGCGCCAGCCCCTAGTTCTCGTCGGATGATGTAGCTTCTGTCGGCCTCGGGAAGGTCGAGAATTGGCACATCGAAGGACGCTTCGTCACCGCTCCGAGGACGCTTGACGTGTGTCTTCATGTATTTTTGGATGTCGGAAGCATAGTGCGTCTCCATATCGGGGAAGTGATGGAAACCGGCAAACGCAGCGGAAACCGGGTTCATCGAATGGTTGAGAATAATGTCACGGATGTTCTTATTGGTGGGGTTGCACTGCACATCTGGGATGATTGGAGACTGCTGGCTTTTGTCGCTCAATCGAAAGGAAAGCTTGAGACCGGATTGTGTCTTTTTGAGAGCCGTTGGACTCAAGGTCACGTCTTCAGGCAGATTCTCGAGGTACGGTGTCTCGGCGACCAAGGGAGTGGCCAGGAGGTCGATCTGGGGCATGTGAGGTGTCTTGTCGACAGGATGCGTGGGTTTCGACGGCGTCTTCGCATTGTAAATGTGGTTTCTGGCTGCTGTCATCGAGGCAAATGAATGCTCGGTCTGCTCCACAATGGGCGTCATGAAGGGCAAACGATTTTGCGCCATTATGGCAGGATCTCGATATGGACCGCAGGGTGGATTGTAGTCATCGGGCATTTGGGGAACGAATCGGCCATCGCCTGTCTCGTCATCAGAGTAGACCTCACCTTCTTGTCCCTCATGCGAATCGTATGCTGTCGGTGAATGAGTGGAAGTGTCTGTTTTCGAATCGACGGGCTCCAAGTCGTGAATGTCCTTTGTAGGAGAGAACTGAGTCCATTCACCATCTACAACACTCTCAGCTCTTGTGTTATCATCAAAGCCATCACCATCAAAGGACCTATGAAACGTGTCGTCGCCGAAATCACTTGAGGCGGCTGAGATCCGTCCAGTCACCGTACTCTCACCAGCACTCGTATAGTCGTCATCCTCAAAATCGCTGCTTTCGGCTACTTCTGTCTCCGCCTTGAGCGGCTGGTTGAAAATACTATAGATCTCATCTGTGGCGGCGCGAGTGTGCATAGTCATGGTTGGTTCATGTGTACTCTTTCGTCGAATCTTGCCGCCAGTAGGCGAATCAAACTTCATTTTCACTGTGCATTGGTCAGTTTCAAGTGACAACAAAGAAAACCTTGAGAGTGAATGCATGCATATTTATAGGCAGCCACAAAGGGACAGACCCAGAATAAAGCATGGTTTCTTGATGGTGAAACACAAAGGGAACAAAAGGCAAAGATCAGTGAATGAGTATTTGATTGTTGCTCACCCGTTTGTGTTTCTCCTTTAACCTCACGGACTTTCAATTTCCGTGACTTGCTAGATTTGCCATCGAGGTCGGCAGCCTGTTGCTGAGGGATCGACTCCGAGTCTTTGACTGTCAATTTACGGTTAAACTCTTCAGGCAGATCCCTTTCTTGATCAACCATGTTCTCATTGCCAGAGATCTGCTTCAGGGGCTCTTTATGCGCGCGCCAGTTCTTATTCAGCCAGCCCCGTTTCATGGCCCTCAGCTCTTCAAAACTAACCTCGACATTGGCGTTATGATAGTCGGGATACACGGCATCCAGGTTGACAAAGACGCGCTCCCGTCGCCCTGTACGTGGGTTTGTGGCCTCCCTTACACGGTGCTCTGGAACATGCTTTGATTGCACGGGTTCTCTATATTGTAGATTTGAGCTTGACTGAATACATAAATCGTAACCAAAAACAGGTTCATGTCACCAATTAGTCCTGTGATCGTAAATATACGGAATTCAGAAAAAAAGGGAAGACAGCAGGTATGATGCCCGTGTTTGACTTACCTCATCCCTGAAGATCGCCATCTTCTGCGCTGGCACAGCCTTCTTTCCAGCCTTGAGGGTCTCTCCAGCCCACGGCTTCGCCTCTACCTTATTCTCCTTCCGTCGTTCGCCCATTGATCCAATGCTCTCCCAGCCCTTGGTCGGCGCGGATACTGCAGGCTGACTGGCCGACGAGTCGGTGTCGGAAAAGATGGCCATCTTGGCCTTGCCGGACTTCGTCTTCGCGGGGGCCGCCGCAGCGGGGGATGGTTGCTGTGCTTGCGGGTCACTCGTCGCTGGCGTTGCCGCCGAAAAGGGGTCCACCTTGGCAGCCAATGCCGGGCGCACCGCCGGCAGTGCAGGGGAGGACGGGCCGTTATCGTGAGACTTCTGCTCGTAGCGTTGCTGGAACTCACCATATTTCCGGACCAGGCGTTCGACCGGCCGCGCCTCTCGGTCTACACCTAGCCGGTACACTTCGTCTGCCTGGGTCCATCGTCCCGCGCCCTCCAGCCAGGCGGCGAATTCCTCATAGAAGAGCGCCAGGCCTTCTCCGATGTGGTGGCGCGCCAGGAAAGCAAAGGTCTCGCGCGGTGAGTCCGAAAAAAGTCGAATGTAGTGAAGCCAAAGGCGTAGGTAGCGAGGGTCGTTCTTGTAGTGGTTCGACGACAGGAAGGATTTCACGGCGCGCTCCAATAACGGAAGCAGGCCGGATTCGGCGGTTGCTTGGGCGGACGGGTATGCGTTGAGGGTCCATTTCACGTAGCGATCGTAGATGTCTAGCGGGTCGTCCGACTCCCCAATCGTGTCCAGCTCGGCCTCGTACTCCTGTCGGATAGCATCGTTCAGAGTTCGCGTGTCATTTGGCGATGGCACTGCGTGCTTGCTGTCTGTTTCGCGCGGCGAAAAGATGCGAGCCAGCTCTCTCGCGGATCGGCCGCCTGGTAGCGATTGGATGTTTTCCTTCTGTGTCTCGATGATATCAAAGTCGATGAGGTCGTCGTTGGCCGCCATGGCGGCGACAAATGCGGACTTGTTGAGTCCGAATGAATAAACCGGTCTGTGGTGGTTAGTGATGGTCGTCGAGTCCTGTCGGCGTCGGGCTGAGACAGTCGAAGTCGAGGGGGCGTGATGGCGGTCGTATTATTGTGTAAGTGCTGAGAGAGATTGGCGAAGGTGGAGATTCTTTTTTCGAGTTTATCGATAAACAAGCGCCCTCCGTTGCCCGGGAGATGCGTCACGTGGCGGCTAGTCCCGATCGGGATCCCTCATCCAGTGACGTTCGGCATTTCTTGCGCTCTGAAGATGTACATGTGTATCGACTTGCCACTGTGAGCTGGGTTATCGAAAGTCTTTTGGTTGACGCTGGCGAAGCGCAGAGGTAATCGCACTCGATATCCCAGCTTTCACTCGACTACACCAACCAGCTGAACAATTCAACCCGGATCGCAAGATACCAAGATAGCGTTCAACGTCTCCAGCGTCAATTTACTAGGACCCTGAACAGAAAAGTAATAATCATCAACGCTGCAAACTGGACTGCTCAACTGTATCTACATACTCGGCTCATAGCAGCCAACTCCATCTTTCCTGCACCCGAAAAGCATCTCCAAACCCAAGTATAAAACAATCCTATGCCTCCTCGCACTACCCGCAAGGCATCCGGCGGAGCGCCACGCGCAACTGAACCAACCAGTCCAGCAAACAAGCGCAAGACCAATGAACCCGCAGAGCTAAGCTCTCCAGCCAGGCGATCGAAACGAGTCAAGTCAACGGACGAGCTCAAAGCCGTGTCCGCGGGGTCCGCGAAAGCCAACGGAGCCGTCAAGGAAGAGGTTAAAGAGGAGACCAAGGTCGCAGTGGTCGAAAAGGCAGATGACAAACTTGCCGTGATCGAGAAAAGCACCACGAAAAAGCGAAAGACGAAACAGGAGAAGGAGGCCGAGATGTTGCCTCTGAGAGCGAGAACTCCGGGCTTGCGTATGTTTGTCGGGGCGCATGTTAGTGCAGCCAAAGGTTTGTTGATTCTCATGTTCTTCTTTGATCACTAGGGCAAGATTTGACGAAGAGAAACCAATCGCAGGGGTGTTTAATTCTATCAACAACAGTACGCATATCGGGTAAGAATCGCCCCATCTGGTTAACAGTCCTCAAGCTTATGCATGCATTCCCGTTCCAGTGGCAATGCCTTTGCGCTTTTCTTGAAATCGCAAAGGAAATGGGACAACCCGCCCCTACAGGATGACCATCGCGATCAGTTCCGCAAGCTCTGCGCAGAGCAGAACTACGACGCGGCGCAGTACGTAAAACCCTTCACATCTATACCATGTCTTCTGGCTAACCCACCACCAGACACATCCTCCCTCACGGCTCCTATCTCGTGAACCTAGCCCAAGAAGACAAAGCCAAAGCCAAGCAAGCCTACGACGCATTCCTCGATGACCTCCAGCGATGCGAAGCCCTCGGCATCAAACTCTACAACTTCCAGTACCTCCACCCCTCAGCCCTACCTAAACCCCTCCCTCTAGGCAACCCAACTAACCCCATCACAGCCCCGGCAGCGCCAACCAAACAACCCACAGCTCAGCACTCGCCCGACTCGCCAAAGCGCTCACCGCCGCCCTAACCGCCACGACGAGCGTGATCCCCGTCCTCGAAACGATGTGCGGCCACGGATCCACGATCGGCGGCAAGCTCTCCGAATTCCGGGACCTCCTCGCGCTGATCCCCTCCGATCTACACCCCCGAATCGGCATCTGCATCGACACCTGCCACAGCTTCGCAGCAGGCTACGACCTCTCCTCACCCGCTGGGTTCAAGTCCTTCCTCTCAGAATTCGACTCCCTGATCGGCCTGCACCACCTCCGCGCCTTGCATCTCAATGACTCCAAAGCCCCCAGGGGCAGTAAGCGCGACCTGCACGCGAACATCGGCACGGGATTTCTGGGTCTTCGCGCGTTCCATAATGTCATGAATGAGAAGCGGTTCGAGAACCTGCCCATGGTGCTGGAGACGCCGATTGATCGGCCGGATCCTTCCGCCAAGGCCGGGGCTAAGAAGACGAGCACAGTGCCTGATCCGAGGGTGTGGGCTGAGGAGATTGCGCTGCTGGAGTCGTTGATCGGGATGGATCCGGAAGGGGAGGAGTTCAGGGCTCTGGAGAGCAGGTTGTCCGAGGAGGGGAAAGAGATGCGCGAGAAGCAGCAGGAGCAGTATGATAGGAAGGTGGAGACGGAGAAGAAGAAGCAGGCGAAGGCGGAACAGCGGTCGTTGATGGATATGATGGGTGGGTCGAAGGGGAAGAAGGAGAAGAAGCAGGAAGAGGAAAGTGAGGATGAAGGGTGTCAGAGTCATTCTGAGGATTAGCCAATCCATCGTGTCGGTGTAGCAGAGCGTGTGTACTGAGTGTCTACTTCGGGGATTGATAAGGATAATCAAGCAGAGGGATTACGCGTTCGATCCCCTTGCAGATTGGCATACTACTTTAATTCATCTTGTGCATATGCACACTAAGTCCTGCAGATCCTCGACGGTCTGACTACCTGGAGCAAGGAATATTGCTAGCCTTATCATAGGTGTATAGCCTTGGCATTAACACGCGGAATAATGTTACAGTCAACCATATACTCTCGGATAAAGAATCATGTAGGACGGTAAGGTTGGCTCCTTGAGCACTTCTTATGCATGCATCCTGCAAACACTAACGGGGAATATACATCATCGCTATAAATCAAAGAGTGTTGAGTGAAAATGATTGTGAACTGTAATCCAAATGGGTATTTTGTAAGACCTTCAAACAAATATAATAATGCCAGACGCTGAAAGATGCAACACCACCACCTGCTTTATATGATGCAGATGGCAAACCAGGATATTGCTCTGATAAATCTTTCTATATGAGACTTCAGTCCATATGTGCGGGGCTTCTTCTGCGCTTCAAGTCTGTCCTCCTCCGAAGCGTCGAATTTGATTTTTGCAAGAGGGATAGTTGTGTAGAGCACAAATAGCCGTACAGTAACGCCCCCAAAAGGGACCCTTTTCAGAGGAAAAGCAGGGGTGAGGCAACCGGGCATCAACAGAGGCCAGAATGAACCATGCCAGTGGTTCTAGAAAAGTGAGAGTAGTGTGGAGGAGAGAGAAAGCGTCGTAATCCCGCCTATTGCCTTCCGCTATCAGAGAGCCTATCGGGAGAAGCCTGCAGGTGTCGTCCCGGAAGTTCGGATTCTGCGGAGAATATCACAGGGGGTGCAGACCGCAGGGGCGACGGGCCAGACACCCGAGGAGAGAACGGCCGATCACCGGCACTAAGGTTCGTCGTGTTAATGCTGAGTCCGTGCATATTGTGAGAGCCGCTGGCTCGGACCCGGAAGGATCGCCGATCGCCCGTCAGATCATCTGTAGGGGTGATGTTCACGTTATCATCGACATGCAGAGTCGGTGAAGAATGAAGCATGCTGGTTTCCGGGTCGGCGACCTCGTGGTACCCATGGTCTCTCGAAGGAACCAGACGTTCTGTCTCGGGGTCGGAATCCGGGTTCCGTTCCCACGAAGGGCTTCGCGCTTCGGCTCGCATCTTGGAGATCTTCATGTAATTGTAGGAGCCGATGCTGAGGATCGTGATCACCAGGCCCGAGATGTTGATAAGGGTGAGCTTGTCGTGGAAGACTACTCCTGCCGCACTGATCGTGATCACTTCCTTGAAGATACCGCAGATGCTCAAGGTGACCACGGACGAGCGCTTCAGAAGGGCAAATTCCGAGGCAATCATGCAAAACGCCAGCATTCCGGGGAAAATCAGAAGAAGCATGCCCACCAAGGCTCCGTGAACATCAGCAAGAGCCACGAAACCGGTCACAATATTGGTCGGGCCCTCCACAGTTAGAGCGATGAGGATCAAGGAGACAAACATGACGGGAGTCAGGAAAAAGAGGGTCGAGAAGGGGTTGGCGGTGGCCGGGTGCCGCAAGAGAAGAATCTGGGTGAGGCCCCATCGGAAACCCGAGAAGAAGGCTGAAGCGATGACCAGAAGGAAACCAACCATGTTGAATGCCGTCTCGCCAGCAACCATCATCACTACACCCAGGGTCATTGTCGCAATGATAACGATCAATTTCACGGATGGAGTCTCGAGGCGGAAAAGGAAGGCGAAAATGAGCACGAAGGCCAGGGCGGAAGATTTACACATCGTGAGAAAGGTCAAGGAGATGAACTTCAACGACATATTCCCTAATCCGATATCAAGAGAGGTCGCCGTGCCGCAGGGAACCAGGCGTGTGAGGTAGAAGAGCTTGGTAAACAGCGGAGGTTTGGACTCTGCTTCAGCAGGCTGACTGACGGGGGAGCCGGACGGCGACTGGGAAGCGGCGGGTTGTTGCGGACGCAGCGAAGGAATCAGGTATAGCAGTATGGAGGAAAGGGTAAACTGAACGAGCATGTGCAAGCTGGTGGTGAACAACGGGAAGGGAAACACGACTTCATCTTCGGAAAACATCCATTTATTGTACTATCCCAGCCATCCCAGTTAGCCAGAAATCCAGATTTCCGTTTCCCATTCGTTGAGAGGGAAGAAACTCACAATAGAAATTGCCAACGAAAAGAAATACCAAAGCAGAATCAAGCCAGCGTTGACCAACAGCTTCTGGGTCACCTCGTTATCCCCAAACAACGGCGTTAGGAAGTTGTACTGCGAGGCCTTGACATCGGCAATGCGAGCATCCAATTGTCTGCGTTGCTTTCTTCTCCGACGTCGTTGGCGTTTCTGCTTGGCCGTGAGACCGGTCTCCTCGTCGTCGTGAAGGTCATCGTCGGAGCTCATGAAGTCCATCTCGACGCTTTCTGCAATGGACGAAAGGTCGGAAGCATCGAGGTCCTCGGCACCTCCAGGCTTTAGGTCCTCCCGTTTATTATAACCAGCGCTATCGGCGGTGGGGGTCCGGGAATGCTCATCCCTTTGGTCGGTCGCGGGCGGTTGTGACGGGCCTCCAGCGCCCGTCAGCACGGAGCTCCGCCGTCGATGGTGATTGCCCGACGGAGGGGCCATCCTGGAACGTGGAATGGGGTATTCGAGGAAGGGGAAATAAAACACAAAAGAAAGGGTAAGAAGGGACTAATAGAGGAAAAGAGGATAAAGAATCTGGGAGGGTTATTGAATCAGAATGAAAGGGACTCCATCGGTGGTAGGGAGCAAAAAAGAATCGGATGGGAATAGTTAAATCCCCGTCAGCCAGCAATTGAATCCAAGTTCACAGTCGAGGAGAACGAAGATGGAGCCAGACCAGGCAGACAGAGGGGCGACAAGCCGAAAGGAGCGAAGACAACCGGTGAGGGCCAGTCGAATGATGTCAAAGGACGTGGAATGGAGAGGAAACCGGACAAATCAAAGGACACAGGAAAGTCGAAAAGGAAAGGAAAGGAAAGAATCCAGGACGAAAGGAGCAAGAATGGAGCCCGGAGGAAGAAGTCATGCAAGGGCGACCGATAGACGCCGCATGAGCTAGAATTCCCGTGCAGTCAAATGCGAAGGGGATGGAGGGTACGAAGTCAAAGGATGAACTGGAAAATAAGAAAGCAAGTCAAGTAGGTACAAGGAGCGAGGATGCCCAGAGAGAGGGAGAAGGAGAGAAGAAACAAGAGCAGAGAAGAAAATAATGAGAGAAGAACTAGAACTAGACCCGAGGGATCGTCTCCTGACCCTCTCCAGAACTTTTCCCTTGATCTTTTGTGCCTGAACAGAACTAACAAAACTATGACTAGTGACTACTCCGGCACATCCACAGGGGAAAAGTTAAGTTAACCATTCCATGAATTATGATACACAGTAAAGATCAGGCTGACTTGCTTGGACCAAGTGACATAAGTCAACGAGAATACGAGACCCTCCCGATCTCCAGCGCTATGATTCATCGCAGGATTCCCTGGACTTACCAGGAATATCCAGATCCAAAGGCCATCAAGCCATCAACAATTAGCAAATGATGATGCAGGCAGAAGCTTTCTCCCCCGTCAAGTCTCGTCACTTTGTCTCTCCCTACTCCGAAAAAGTCAGTCTAACTCGATAGTCTCGAATCTAGTCAGGATCTTCTCAGGCGGGGACTCGACCCTACCGATGAATTAAAAATCACCGAAAATTCATCAGAAAACTAGTCAACTTAGTCGACTTAGCTTGCTCAGTTAGCTACCTGCTAAGTGCTAACTTTCTGCGCCCCCTTCCGGACGATCCGGGGTCGAATGCTGGTTGGTTTTGGGCGTCCTCCGTCCCTTGGGTACTTTCCACGCTTATCCCCCGGATGGGCTAGACAAATGTCTTTGTCTTTGTTTCCCCGACCCGTGAGATCTGGACGAAGCCATTTTCTCAAGACTCCCAGACTTCCAGAGGGAGGGGGGAGCGACAAAGAACTCTTTTCGATTTCAGGCCCTCGTGCCCTTTTCCGGTCGGGTTAGTACTCCGATAACTACCTAACTAGCCCCGGTCAACCGAAACGCCCCCATCGACGGTGGTTCCAAAACCGAGGGGCTGAGTCCCCTCCAAAAGGGCCCTTCAGTTGCCGTGGATAATCGAGAAATCCATTTCGTTTCTCACACCGACTTCTTGGCGAGTGGACCCATTAGCATATCGCATGCTACTCTTTTGCCGGACTGTACCTGCAGCCCTGGTTTGCTGGATGCCACAGTTACTCCGTAAGTAGTTACCTAACATACTGTGCATCGGATCCCGACGTGCTTTGACGGACGGTGCTGCCTGCCTGCCTGCTGTCATGTGTACAGTACTCGAGAAAGGGGCTAGCCTGTTTTTTTTTTATTCTCCCCTCATTTTCTGACTATTGTGGTGCTCGTATTCGGCGGTATCTAAAGGCTCTAAGCTCAGTCGGGGTCTGATCTTTGGTGGTCCCTCGGCACGCACCGAAGTAGCGGTATAGAAACTCGGACAATCAGTCGAATCGAAGGAAGGGCTCATACAACGGTCCTGGCGCATATGATGTATAACATGAGACAATATAATCTAGTTAGTAGGTACTCTGTTAGCTAATAGTTATCGTATATAACGTAATCAACGGGCGAGCCGCGGATACGACCGAGCCGCGGATTTTCACCGCGGCCACCACTATTTGAAGCTATTCAACCACCAACGTCATTAAATTAGACTATATGAAATATAAAATGAATAGCTATTTACTAGGGCAGCTTCGTATTGTATGTCCAACTGTCCCACATCCACTGCAGCGTGGTGGAGCGCGTTGGCGAAGCACAGGTGTAGATTGCTCGGGTTGCTCATTAAGTTGCGTATCAAGCTGCTCAACGCGATTTTGGCCTTCCTGTACAGATAGAAGGACATCATTGCCTAGTAGAGCACGCTTTCTTGTCTTCTTCTTGTATTTTCGCTCATTTTGAGCTCGTAAAGTCTTGATTTCTTGTTGCAAAAGAAGGTTGGTATGCATAGCCATTTGCGCAGCTTTTTCAAGGTGTTGAATATGAGCAATTGGACTGCTGGAAAGCTTCCCTTTCGAATTAAGACTCTTCTGTAGACTGCGTAATTTCCGATCTAACTGGCGAGTATTCCGTGGTGTCTGGAAAGCAGAGGAAATTGAGCCTTCAGTTAATTGTGGCGTAGGTGTACGTGATTGAAAAGTAAACTTAAAAATAACAAGCTCTTGATCAAATGGCTTAAGACCTGCCCCTGCAAAACCACCGCAGATATTCGCTAAAGTAAATACTTTAGCGCGGACATCTGGATATAGAGAAAGAAAGTCTTCTTTATCAATGTGGTTATTGCCGGCAATCATTTGGCATTCAAGCAGCTTTCCGTATGCGCGTTTAAGCGGGCCAAAAACACCAACATCAAGTGGCTGTAGTAGATGAGAGGCATGTGCAGGCATGCAGAGACAGATGATTGCATTCTGCTCGCAGAAATCATCAAATTCAGCAGTTAGATGGTTACTATGACCATCTAGAATAAGCAATCGTTTAGCACCAGTCATAGAGCGCCTAGAGGACGGTTCAAACACCTCTTTTAACCAGCGAAGGCCTATTTCATGTGTTGTCCAGCCATTCTCACTAGTTGCAATCCACCAGTCTTTATTAAGCTTAGGTTCTTGGAACCAGGCAGCTTGCTGATTGCCTGCCTTCAGTATAATGACTGATGGTATATGCAACCCTTTTGAACTGACAGTTTCAATGATTGTGACCCATTCACGGTTACCCTGAATGACTCTGCGCGGTCTCTCACTGCGCTCTACTGCAATAATCACTTTAGAAGTAGAGCATAGTCCCATAGCAAAGCCAGTCTCATCGAAGTTCCAGATATCGTCCTCATGAATACCGTGTTCTTGAATAGCTGCTTGTACAGTCTGAAACCAAGGTATTATGACCTTAGGATCTTTCTGTTTTGTGCGCTGATATGTTATTTGTCTTGTATATCTTGTATGTATCTCAGGATAGCGTTTCGTAAAAGAATAAGCCCAGTTAACTCCTATAGTTGCAGCTGAATTTTGGAGTCGTTCACGAAGTAAGATCTGTGCCATTTCACGCAGAAACTCAGGTCGAATGGGAAATCCTCGTTTATCTGCCTCTAAGAGCTTTCGTAAAAGGGATTGCTCTTCAAGAATAGATAGCTTATGACTATTAGCGCGTGTTTCTGATCGTGGTTTTATTCCGTGAAGCCGATCGCGTAGGGTACTTTCAGGGATTGAAAAGACGTTTGCAGCACGCGATATTGATTTAATTTGACCTTTTTGATAGGCCTGCATAGCCATCTGAATTCGAGATTCTTTAGAAAGAGGCATTTTCGGCTATGATGGTTGAATTTTGACGCGTTGAATGGAGAGGATGGGGGTTCTGGTGGAAATCCGCGGCTCGGTCGTATCCGCGGCTCGCCCGTTGATTACGTTAATATACTATCAATCATATTATATAACATGAACAACTAACATATGCAATGCAAGTAGCCATGAAATACTAACTAGTTATTATTGCTTTGATGGTCATTACTTACTAGTTAGTGGACTGCACGCAGGGGATTGGAGGATCATCAGAACAAAATCTCATCCAGTATAAGTAAAACACTTTAATTATTGATATGATATGATCCAGGTTATAAATCAAATGAGCTAAATGTCTATGTACTCTTCACCGCACCTAGTCACTTACATATAATCCATTCTACCACCCCCCCTCAAAAATATCAACCCTTAACGAACAGGGGTTTGTCGCCTGGCCAAGGCGTCTGGTTACATCTGTCACACATGGCGTCTCCCCGCTGAAAGGCTGGAAGCCCGTGAACCCTTCCAATAGATGAGCACGGAGAAACAGACCTTGGGGGCTGAGATACCAGGTAACTACCTACATACGGTGTAGTACAGTGTATAGGTGATTATCAAGCACACGCTACACTAGACACACAGCCTCCCCGTTAGGTAGAGATGAAGAACTCGAGAGCTTCTGGAAAGAGATTTGGCCCCCGGAAAGTCTTAAAGGAATGAGGTGGGTATTTGAGACTCCCGTCGTGTGGCTGGGTTTTGGGCGAGTCATGTCGATGTGCTGATATGTGATTATGTATGGACGCAGGCCAGTGCGTTCTGCGACGCTAAACTTCGTGTAGATGACCGGGATAGGAAGTTATAGATAGACTCCCGAGGAAGGTCTCTAAGGAGATAACTACACTTCCGCAGTGACCACGACACTTCATTTCCTCAACGTTAAAACCTAATGGACAGGACTTTGATTCTAACCCATTCATGTCTGCCTAAGTCTTGTTCGCCTTGCCCCTTTAGGATGAAGTGAAATAAATATACAGCGAGACCCATGTATCCAGCATACCGTCAACTCCATCATGGCTTGTCGCTTGGATTTCCCCGGCCAAAAGACATATAGAAAAGCAAAAGAGAAGGACGTTAAAGTATGTCAAAAGAAAAGGTATCCCCGATTCATATCATGCTTGCATCTATCACATCACCCTTCCTCGCTTACATTATATTGCGTGCTACTGCCTTGTGGTTTTAGTTTTACCCTTCCCCCTCTTTATCAGCCCTAGCCGCATTGATGTTGTTTCAATATAATTGATACTCGAGCCAAGGGAGGCGCTCTTTTTCTGATTTCTTCACTCCCACTTTCCCCCCTTTTAGCCCGACGCTAATCGATGGTTTTCACCCCACCTGACAAGAGCCGTTTCGCGCATTGTGCGGCGGAGAGGTTTGGTAAAAGTACTTAGTTCAACCGCCCTTTCTTTGTCCAGTAGCACCTGGCCCTGAAGCTGCGTTGGGGTTGCTGGCAGTAGAGTTTCGCGAGAAGGTATTGGTGGTTCCGATCGTGGCGCTGGCAGATCGCAATTCGATCTTCTTGCGTTCCATCTCAAGCTATTGAAACCGGATGATTAGCCCTCGTCTACTTTTTGGTACTTGGACCTGCTAAACAAAACACATAGCAGGGAGCTAGGAGTTCTTTACGTACCACCTTGCGCACTCGAGCAAGAGCAGCCGTGTCACCCGCCACTAGCGGTCGACAGTCATCAACGCGGTATGGAGGAGCAATGACAACGGCTTCCGCTATGATGATGTTGGGACCGTCCCACTGGACCGGCATTGTGCGATAGAACGCATCGAAGAGGTCCTGGGCCTCGCGTGTAACGCCCTTGCCACGGCGCTTCTCGTCCTCCTGTAATTTGCCGACAGCGGCGGCCTCTCGAGCCTTCAGGGCGCGGATATCAAGCGCATGGACCGAGGGCACGGCATCGGAGAACGACGGTCCATCGGAAGAAGTGGCTGACGGAGCGAGCGAAAGGAGCTGGAAGGATTGTATCCGCGACACTGGGATGATGCGATAATCGCCGCTCTGCGTTTGCTTACCGTCGGCAGTGTTGATAGCAACCAGGTTGGTGATAGGACAGGCCGTGAAGAGGGTTCCTTCGATCGTAGAGGGGGTGGGTGCGGCGGTGCTGATGCGAACACTTTGGGCGGACACGGAAGAGAGAGGGTTAGCATACCGAATGACAAACAATTTCTCCGCAGACACAGAGGCTGCTCGATCTCTTCTGGTAGAAGACGCCTCGTAGCAGTGCAGGAGTCGAAAAAGATCCAGTGGCTTACCGTGCGCCAATTGCACCGCTCAATGCAGCCTCCAAAGGCACCATGGCTCCAGCCATTCCCTGACCCGCAGCGCCTGAAGATCCCTGTGACGAAGTTCTTCCTCCTACGCTGTGGCGCTTGCTGTCTGCCATATAATTCCCTCTCGAAGGAGAGTAATTCTCGATTGCTCCGTGCGAACCAAGCAAGGTGAGGACAGGCTTCCGCGTGAGCTGTCACCGGAGACGCTGTGAGGGGAACGTTCACAGAGAGCGCTCTGGATGCCTTGTGCTCGGAAACGAGTATTCCTCAATTTACCTCGCGAAGCCAATCCGTCACTGAGGATGCGAGTTATGCGATTCCAGATTTCGCGGGAGCCGCTATCGTTTGGAATAGAGATGAGAGGTTCGAGCCCGGCCAGGCAAAGTGGGACGTAGCGGGAACCGGAGCTAAAGGAGCGACGGAAATGACAACCCAAAAAGACAAGCCAAATGAGACCGAAAAAAAGACAAAAGAAATTCCGTCAAATCAGAAACAGCCAAGCAGACGCGGGAGACTCTACTCGGGCGGCTGGCATGGATCTGGAGGAGGTGAAAGGGGTGGGCGATGGTCCGATTCAGGATGCCAGCAAGAGCGAGCGATGGAGGAGGTCGTCGCGGCGTGGATCATTCAGGCGGCGGGCACGGCGATCCGATTGGGTTTAGCGCCACACTGTGTGTCGGCCTGCACTTCCAGGTGTCGACTGTCGACTGTCCCTGTTTTCTACGCAGTACTCGGCCCGGAGCAGATGTTACTACTGACTCTACCTACAATGTTCCAACGTGCTCCCCTGCCATTAAGATTAATTGAACAACTAAAACACATTCATTTCATACGTTTCAGCATAACTAATAAAAAGGTAAACCCATCATCTAAATACATTGGGATTATCCCATATCCTTTTGACATTTGTTTTGGTCCCGTCATCATTCTATGTGCTCAAGAGAGCTCGACTCAGCTCTCTCGATCCTCGGCGTGTACCGTCATCGTTCAGGGCGAGGCTCCACGTCCAGCGCATTGCATCGTTTTTTCCTTATTTAAGCCACGTAGGTCGAGGCGGACACGTCACCGCCACGGCCGGTCCAGTTAACGTGGATGTCCTTGCCCTCGGGGTAGTTCTCGTTGGCGTGCTCGGGCTTGATGCGGAAGGTGTGAGCACCGAAGTAGTCACGCTGAGCCTGCAGCAGGTTGGCGGGGAGGTCCCGGGTGCGGTATCCGTCGTAGAAGCTGAGGGCGGTGCTGAAGGCAGGGTTGGGGATACCCCAGAGAGCGGCCTTGCTGACAACGTTTCTCCAGCCGCTCTGGGCCTTGTTGATGGCGGCCTTGAAGAAGTCGTCGAAGAGCAGGTTCTCAAGGTCGGGGTTGGTGCGGTAGGCGTTGGTGATGTCCTTCAGGAAGACGGAGCGGATGATGCAGCCACCACGCCACATGAGGGCGATGGAGGGCTTGTTGAGCTTCCAGCCGTACTCGCGAGCAGCCTATATCACATCACAGAAGAGTCAATGGTGGTTCTCATGACGATCAGTCTCAGAAGAACGATGGATTCAAGCTTACCTCCTGGATGAGCATGAAGCCCTGGGCGTAGGAGATGATCTTGGAGGCATACAGAGCCTGCTCCAGGTCATCGATGAAAGCCTGCTTGTCACCGGTGAACTCGGGGGTAGGGCCGCTGAGAAGGCTGCTGGCGCGGATACGCTCGTCCTTGAGGGCACTCAGGCAACGAGAGAACACGGACTCGCCGATGAGGGTGACGGGCATGCCCAGGTCAAGGGCGTTGATGGCGGTCCACTTGCCGGTACCCTTCTGACCGGCCTTGTCGAGGATCTTCTCAACGAGGGGAACACCGTCGTTGTCGTTGTACTTGAGGACATCACGGGTGATCTCGATCAGGAAGGAATCCAGAACACCAGTGTTCCACTTCTCGAAGATGCTAGCGATCTCGTTGGCACCCAAGCCGAGACCACGCTTGAGGAGGTCATAAGCCTAATCAAGAGTCCCTCGTTAGCTCCCGCGACTCATTCGTTGGGAGTCGAAATCTATCAACGGATGGGCTTACCTCGCAGATCAGCTGCATGTCACCGTACTCGATACCGTTGTGGACCATCTTGACGAAGTGGCCGGCACCCTCGTCACCGACCCAGTCGCAGCAAGCCTCGCCGTCGCTCTTGGCGGAGATGCTCTGGAAGATGTCCTTGATGTGGGGCCAGGCCTCCTCGTTACCACCGGGCATGAGAGAGGGGCCGTAACGGGCACCCTCCTCACCACCGGAGACACCGCTGCCGACGAAGCGGATGCCCTTCTCGGCAAGGTCCTTGGTGCGGCGGTTGCTGTCGGGGAAGTGGGAGTTACCACCGTCGATGATGATATCACCCTTCTCAAGGAAGGGCAGGAGAGACTCGATGAAAGTGTCGACGGGCTTGCCGGCCATGACGAGGAGCATGATACGACGGGGGCGCTTGAGCTTGGAGCAGAACTCCTCAACGGAGTGGGCACCAACGATGGACTTGCCTGGATAACGTGTCAGCCCAATTGAGTCCCAGATACAAGAACCATCTGGCGGTTCAGAGTGGGAGGGGTATCAATCTTACCCTTGGCCTCGTTGTCGAGGAAGCGGTCAACCTTGGAGGTGGTACGGTTGTACGCGCAGACGGTGAAACCGTGATCCGCAGCGTTGAGGATCAGGTTCTGGCCCATAACGGCCAGACCGATGAGGCCGAAATCAGCACTAGGCAAAGGACGCGCCGGTGCGCCGACATTGATGCCGGCCAAGCGGGCGCTAAAGTCAGTTGCCAGATTCTTCTGTCAATAGGTGGGTGGAGATGCCAAAAGATATAGGGAGTGAGGAAGGGGTAGAGGGGTAGATTTTGCGAAGCTGGGATCGATCCCGACCACCGCGGGGTGAGGGAGAATCTCCTAGGCGACGCTTCGTTACGAAACTGAACCAGATTGTGCCCTGGCGGCTCGAACGAGTTATACATAGCGATGCAGAACACACATGTCCCAGTGGCATTGCGATGGGAAAAATGAATGGGCAGGTACATTGTGATCAAGGGGGGGGGGGTTATGAATGAGTGCGGAGGGGCACGGTGACAAGGAGAACTTACACAGCCTGGTCAGCCATGATGAAAGAGTGGGGAGACAGGATGGAAGAGATGGGAAGGAAGTTAACAGCAAAAGATAGCTGCCCCGGGAGGAAGATAAGATGGAGGAGAGATGGAGAGAAGAATGAGAGAAGAGAAGAGGAGAGAAGGAGAAGAGAAGGAGAAGAAGAAGAAGAAGAAGAAGAAGAAGAAGAAGAAAAAAGAGACGGAGAAGAAGTTCGAAGATGTCAGAGACACAGACGGCTTACGGAGCAACTTTCCGTCACGAACGGCGTGGGAGGGGCTTTCAGGGAGCAGAGTCGTCCGGGTCCGGTGAGGCCAGGCGTGGGAGTTTGGAATCGACTATGCGACAATAATTTACTTGGTTTTGCGCGGTTATTTCCTGGAGCGTTGGTCGGAGATGGGGTGAGTTTATAGATGCACATGAACATAGAGCTATTGATTCTCTTTTATGATATTCACTATACTACAACAATGACTCCATCGAGTGCTCAACCTCAATTCCAACACAACAATTTACGTGCGGAGAGTTCATGGATATCGTCAGTTCTCGGAGACGACGGAGGACCAAAAGCTGTGACGCTGCTGATGGCGGGGCACATGGAGGGGCAAGCAGGAGGGAAATCGGCCTCTAGTCGCCTTAGTCGCCTTAGTCGGTCCCAAGCAGAACCGGGAAATTTGGGTGCTTTCGGTGAGGCAGATTCGGCGCCTCTCCACTTCTTGTCATCATCGCTTGCCTCCTCTGTCTCCCTCCGGAATTTTGTCGCATTGGGGTAATCTTCTGGGATGAGAAAAAGAATCCGAGATCGCAGGACGGAAAAATAACCGCGGATTGGGTTTTTGTAGTTCCTGCAGGTTGCAACGCCAGCAGAAAGAATATAGAGAAGAGAAATGAAGAAAGATCGTCTCGTCTGGTCGGCAACTGCTCTTCCCAAAGGAGCTTAGAGTGGGGGTGTCCGGATTACATCATTCATTTTCCGTTGGGGGCTGTCCCCGTGACCCGGAGTAACCTGCTCCTTGTGGTTAGCCTGCGGGATGGCACATCTTGCTGAGTCACTGGAGGGTTTATCATTGTTCCGCTCCCGTCCGGCTGTTTGCTTGCAATGCACTGCACGGTGGCCAAGAACTGCCAAAAGCGTCTTTTTTCTTCTTATCGGCCTAACCTCTCTTGCCTTTTGACTCTGTACCGACCATCTACCGTTGATATTCTGGAACCCTCTTGACCGTCACAAATACTTGATCTGATCTCACGGAATCGGTTCACCCTTATCCCTCCGCTAAACTGATCGTTTCTCAGTCCTTGGGTTGAGCAGACAAAACGCCTCCCTCAACTCAAAAGAACTTCGCCCGTCCGTTCTTTCTCGCGACTCGGAACCCTTTTCAGGCGTGACGTCTGGCGTGTGACTGTTGCGTCAGTCAAGCCCTGAAGGTACGTGTCCGTTGCTAATCTGCACACGGCGCATCACATATCCTTCAAGTCTCTACGAGCATTCCGTTCATCATGTCCTTTCCGCCTCCTCCAGGTCTAAACCAAAACCCGTCGTCGCTCCCTCCGCGACCACCTCCGCCAGCCGGTACCGCGCCGGCTGCGTCGCGCCAACCCGCATACTCGGCGGCCCCGTCGTATGCATCGTCAGGTGCTAGCAGTGGCTATGGCGGAACCGGGTCCCGGCCGGGCTACAATGCCTTCACCGCATTCCAGCCTCGCACCGTAGCCTCGAGCCAGCCCTACCGTACCAATAGCCCCAACGTGTCTGCTCCGCCGGCTACCTCGGCCGGTTACTCCACCCCGACCACCACGGCCGGCTACGGCAGCTACTATTCTCAGCCGCAGCAAGCGTACCAGGGAGGACCATCGTACTACGGGTCTGCGCAGTACAACGAAAACTCCTACGGCCCGTCCGTGCCGCACATTCAGAACCCTTTTGGTCCGGGAGGTGACCAGTCCAACAGCTATGGTTCACGCGGGAAGAGCTACGGACGCAACGAGTCCGGCTTGGATCCGGAAACGGAAGCGCAGATTGCGCAGTGGCAGAGCGCCTACGCAAACAAGGAAGAAGTCCCCGCGATGGGTAAGATGCCCGGTCGTTTGGATCGGAACCCCGCCATGCCCGGACCCCCCTCAGGTGCAAACACCCCGTCAGGCAGCACTCCCACCACAGCGACACCGGCGCCCATGCCCGGTCGTCCCGAACAAACCCCTAAAACCGTCTCCCGTTCCGGCGGCGGTCAAAACTGGACCGACTCGACTCTTCTGGAGTGGGATCCGGCTCATTTCCGCCTCTTCGTCGGGAACCTCGCAGGCGAGGTGACGGACGATTCACTGCTGAAGGCCTTCGCGAAGTATACGTCAGTGCAGAAAGCGCGCGTGATCCGCGACAAACGCACGCAGAAGAGCAAAGGATATGGCTTCGTCAGTTTCAGCGACGGTGACGACTATTTCCGCGCTGCCCGAGAGATGCAGGGCAAATATATCGGATCGCATCCGGTCCTGCTGCGTCGAGCCACCACCGAAGTCCGCCCTGTTTCCAACTCGAAGAACGGCAAGAAGAATGGCGGTTCAGGCGGTGGCGGCGCCGGCGGCAAAGTGAAGCACGATGGAGTCAAGAAGCCGGGTAAAACGAAGGGTGGGTTGAAGATCTTGGGATGAGGCACATGGAAGACCCAAGTTTCTCTAAATCTGCTGCTATTGAGGTATTAGATTTTAATGACATGAATGTATTATACAAAATTTCTCGATGTGTCTGGTATTCTAATTTCATTTGTATGTCATCCTTTCGTTCCAAATATATTCCGTAGGCAAGGCCATAAAATCCTCCAACCACTCATGGTATATGTATGAACTCAACCAGACACACTTAAACCAATATATGCAACCCAAAACAAGATAATAACCAATGTCATACACATATAATGAACTAAAAACGCCATGTACGGAGGCCCGGGGCATATCACTTTTCACATAACCTCCCCATAAACATGAACATGAACATCAAAGTAGATCATGCATAAGACATGAGACATAACACAGACATTAAAGAAAACCAACCGGAACAAAAGATATCATGACCAAATTGAAACATGAAAATAAGGAACAAGAATAAGATAGAGAATTGGAGATCATGCTGTCTCGTCACATAAACATCGTCACGACTTGTCCACCGATGGGAGAATCAATGAGCGTCGTGGGAATCGCGAGGAATAGCAAACCCCTCTGTACGGTCAGAGTTGTAGAGCCTGATGGATCAATTGCTCAAGTCCAAAAAAAGGGAGTCAAGAATCATGCAATTCGGGAGTCGGAATAAGTCAGGTCGAAGATGGTGGCCAAATCGTCGATGCTCCATTGAGTATTTCCAAAGATCGCAGCCAAAGATAAAGATAAGAATGGATTCGTGAAGCGTAACGTCGTACATCGTAGGAAGTTGCATAAATGTATATATACGTATGCAGATAGGGGGTAGATAATAGGAGGGAATAATGTCGTGGTATCCGTAGATCCGTCAAGATCATAAAACGTAAAAGAAGAAATTCAGGTCCAGACTGGGGCCATGCAAGACAGTTTTTCAGCCTCACAGCTTGGAATCTAGGTCCCAAATCAGACCCAGTTAAGGTAGCTGGACAAGCGTATCAGTCACGATCAGGCTTCTTCTCCACTCTCTTCGTCGACGGCTCGTTTCTTCGAGAATAATGAGACGTGGTTCTGCATGGCGTAGATGCCGAACCCTGCGGCAGCGAGGACCAAGAAGAGGATGATAATGATAACGGCGATGGCGATGTTCCTCTTCATTGTGGAAGTGTTGGTCCGATACCGACGCCGGTACCCTGATCGGCGAAGTAGGATAGAGCCTAGTAAGGTGTTCTAGGCACTGAAGGGCCCGAAGACGCAGGCAAGGAGAATCCGTCCGAACACGAGACGACTCAAACCCAGAAGACGAATAGGCGGCAAACGAGCGAAGGGATACAAAAAGAGGGAGGAGTACTCCGTATAGACCAGGAATGGGATAGAGAAACCGTTCTAGACCCAGCAAGTAGGTCCGATAGGGTTCGATAGGGTTAAGCAATGGTCTGTCCTGGAATGCGATTCCAGAGACAATTCAAGGGATATCAATATCGACCAGAATGTGGGAAAGAGGGAGAATGTACGGGGACCACCCGCTATAAGGGAGGAGCACGACGTGGCCCAGCCATGTTGATTTCTGCTGCGATGCGGGTGGCTGGGCAAATCTTAAGGCACGGGAGGTCCTTCCTTCGACGCACGGGAGCTGGCCGGTGGGGCCGCCCGAGTGGTGCCTGATTGGGTCACGGGTACTTAAGCTGCCCGCCCAACTGTTAGCAGCGTCAGGTACTGGGTACTTGGCTTGGGCCCAGCCTCTGCATTTGTTTCTGTTGTTTCATATGATGGTGCTATAGTCTATACTTACGAGTTTTGGGTCTTGTTTTCTTTATCAGTCCGTGCTATCTTATTTTACAGTTATTTGCCCCCAAATTATCTTGTCTTAGCTCACTGATAAGATCAAACAATTAGAACCAACAACTATATTTTGGATGGTTCTACTGCAGCATAGTATGGAGCATGCAGCCACTGAACCTTCAATGCTCTGAAATCGAATTTTATACAGCGCAATAATGGTCGAAGATTCAAGATACAAATTAATTCTCTAACCCCTGACAAAGTCCTAGGTTCAAATTGGCGACGAATGCTTGAAACATCAGAAATGAGTGAATTATTTGAAAATGACTAGAAACAAGCCTGCTTTATATCCTTTTACCGTACATCAATGACCTCCCTACAGGGGTCTCAGATAGTCAATGTATTTGTTTAAAGCACTTGCGCCGCAGTGAATCAAGAAGTTATCCGGTTCCTCGGGCCGTATTAGTTCCGGCGCATTCACCACGGACGCTCCTCCCTTCTCTGCGACAATCGCTTTAAACAACTATTCTATCATGTATCATGGCTCGACATCGTCACCAGTCATCTGTAGAGTCTGTCCTTGAATTTTCTCCTCCTTTTCCCCTCGCGCCACATCAGAAGAACAAAGCCCAGATACTTCTCCACAATTTTATCCGGCATTATGGTCTTGAGCAGATTGTCCAGAAGGGTTACAAACCTGCAAAACTTATCCAGGCAACACACGATCGTGTTGCATGCCAGGATACATTTTTGAGATTCTTCTTCTTATTCATCTACGTAAAGCCAAGCGATTTGAAGGAATCGAACGTCGACGCTGATTTTTCTGCCGCTCTCTCTTATGTCGAGAGTTTCATAGAGGACCCGACGAACGTTAAGGCAGCGATCGAGGATTTCGCGGAGTATATTATGGATAACTTTCTCCTTCCTCGTATGATATGGATGCTACAATATTTCTGGTCCTATTATTGACATAGGCCACTTAGTCAGAGCTTCATCCGCTAAGACACCCCAAGCGACGCCGAGATCATTATCCTCGATCCAAACACCAACACCAAATGGTACGAGACAGCGTGTATCTGTTTTGCGACAAAGTTGTCTTGTGCGTGATCGACATCGGTGTGTGGTGTCCCGTAAATTCGATTTAGTCGAAGCTAGAAAGCGCACCGAACAGCACGGTGGTAATTCTGAGGACGATGAAGGCAACCTTCTCATGAATGAATCTCGCGGTGGATTCCAGTACTTGGAAATTGCTCATATTCTCCCCCATTGTCTGACAACAATTGCACCCGGGGAGCCAGAGCTGGTGGGTTCGAGATGGGCTACAAGCAGTCCTTTTACTAACCGCACTCTAGAGCGAGTCCAAAAGGAACGTGCTTCGCATCCTGGATATGTTTGATCCCGGGCTTAGCCATCGGCTTGACGGTCCGAAAATTGACAGTCCTGCGAACGCTATTACACTGACGCTTGATTTGCATCGACTCTTCGGTGAATTTCAGATATTTTTTGAGCGAACAGGGAGACCGCATGAGTATAAAATCGACTCGCTGGAGCAGGGTTTCTTGCGTGACCCGCTCTTCCCCGTTACTCGCGCACTAACGCTAAGCCCCAGTCGCACCATTGATCCACCGGATTATCGACTTCTCGGTGTCCACTGTGCCATTGCACATATCATGAAACTCAGCGGTGCAGGCGAGTATATTGAGGAAATACAGTGCGATATGGACGAAGTCGATGTAAAAACGGATGGGTCAACTAACCTGGGATATATGATGGAATTACGACTTAACGGCTGGTTGAATTCGTTAGCCGTGTTTTAATTGTGTGCGGATTCTTTGATTCCTACTCCGGACTGTTGACATACCAGGCACTGCAAGGACTGACTCAGCCAACTGAATTTTTTGGTCTAGTTGGGAGACGGTCAACCTGATACCTGGAATTTCTACATTTACCATAACATCAATATGATACCCACCTTTCCTACTCGATATAAAGCGTACTGTGGCGAGGAAGAAAGGAACCCGAGCCGACGCATTGTTTCTGGGACTTCAGCTTCATCGTCCGTATCAGCGTAGCTGCTTATTTTAACCTTACTTTTTTTTTTTTACCTACATCTATCAATAGTGTTGGTTTAGTAAATGTATAAGCTAATTGATTCTTACCCTAAGTAGTTTCGCAGTCTACTGTAGTATTGCTTATATCTTAAAAGGTTAGAAGTTGTAATATAACATCGGTGAAGTAGAGCATACTACCTATCAAGCTCTACCGGCTAACGCGGGGAAATTACGCCATCGGCGATAACAGCCTACCGTAATCGGGAAAACTGCCCCAATTGGGTCTGCTGCGTGCCTTTGTATTCTTTAGATTCCTTAGATCCTTTGGAATGACAAGTCCGAATAAAACTATCGATCTGCACGGGGTGCACATCATATCCATTGAAAGCCTCTGAACTACCTAAGAGATATCTCATAGCCCGTGATGATCAGGAATGGGCCGAGCTCACAGTCTACTATCCTTGCTTGCTCAATGCCTATAAATGGTATGTATACCATTGGGACAGCTGACAAGGGGCTTGCCAATTACATATCCATGCAATAAACCAGCGCTCGGATCGGACCAGCTACGAACGACCGAAGCTGACTGTTCGCCATGGATAGATGGCAAATGTCCATTGATTTTGGTTGGCGCACCAAAGGATGAGCGGATGATGACTTCATCATCACCGCATCCGGGCCCTCAAGGTCTGCGATCTAGACCAACGATACCTATCATTCCATCCGATCGTCTCGGATACTCGGGGCCTTGACAATCCGATCACATTTAGGCTTTGATCGGTGTTGTAATCTCCGATCTATGGCCTAATATCTGGTGCTTCCATGCCGTATGTCTTGTTTTCGAAACATTGGCATGCCTGACGTAATTGCCCTTCGATCGAGCTTTCCCATCTGTTCAAAATTAGGGATTGTGTGTCGAGATATATTATTTCAATGTTGGCTCAAAGTTCTCGCACATATGCGCTTGATGATGATCTGAAGGAAGATTCGTCAGAATGGATCACAAGCGCCAGGACGAAGTAGACTTTCGGGGAGAAAATCTCGCCGTTCAAGATGCGGCTTCCGACACATCAGTGAGCGCGCACTCTTATTCCAGCTCGACGGCCCATGATTCTCCCATCCGCAATGACCCTTCAGCCCTGTCTGAAAAGCCAACTCCAGAGAGGAGACCCTCTCTGGCACGACAGCTCACCGACGATGAGATTGCGCGAGCGCTAACGCAGCGACGGACCGGATCTGTCCAAGGCGAATCGGACGAGGATACCGCTCAGATTGTGAGGCTGGTCTCTCGCATGTTCGGACAAGACCGAAAAGCGAACTCAGACGAAGAGAAAACGAGACATCACGGTGTTGTATGGAAGAATTTGACGGTGAAGGGCGTCGGATTGGGCGCGGCCATGCAACCTACCAACTCGGACATTCTTTTCGCTATCCCCAGGTTTATCAAACAGCTTTGTACTCACGGCAATAGGCATCCGTTGAGAACAATTCTGGATGATTTCACAGTATGTTTTCCGCAGGACGTGCCCCTATCTATCCAAGATGGCAAGCTGATACACAATTAATCCGAAAAGGGTTGTGTGCGGCCAGGAGAGATGATTCTAGTCCTTGGACGGCCAGGTTCTGGATGCTCGACCTTCTTGAAAGTCATAGGAAATCAGCGATCTGGATTTAAAAGCGTCGAAGGCGATGTTCTATATGGTGGAACAGATTCCAAAACAATGGCCGACAAATATCGTTCGGAAGGTATGTGGACTCAAGCACAGTTTGGCAAACACTAGGTATTGAGATGTGCAGTGCTGTACAACCCCGAGGATGACCTCCACTACCCTACGTTAACCGTGAGGGATACTCTCATGTTTGCTCTGAAAACAAGAACCCCGGACAAAGCGTCGCGATTACCTGGGGAGACCCCGAAGGAATATCAGGAGACGTTCTTATCGACTATTGCAAAGCTGTTCTGGATCGAGCACACACTAGGAACCAAAGTTGGCAACGAAATGATCCGTGGGGTCTCTGGCGGCGAGAAGAAGCGTGTTTCCATAGGGGAAGCTCTGATAACCAAAGCAAGTACGCAATGCTGGGATAACTCTACTAAAGGCTTGGATGCTAGCACCGCACTCGAATATGTCCAGAGTCTACGGAGTTTGACCGACATGGCAAATTCGTCCACGTTGGTGGCTTTATATCAGGCCTCCGAGAATCTGTACAATCTTTTCGATAAGGTCATCCTGATCGAAGAGGGGAAATGCGCATACTTCGGGCCTGCCAAAAATGCGAAGGCCTATTTCGAACGTTTAGGATTCGAATGTCCGCCGCGTTGGACGACACCTGATTTCCTGACATCAGTTAGCGATCCCCATGCGCGGCGTGTGAAGAAGGGATGGGAAGATCGCATCCCACGATCTGCTGCGGAATTCCAAAAGATATATCGCAAAAGTGACATACACAAAGAAGCAATTGCCGATATGGAGGACTTCGAGCAGGAAATTGAGTCCCAACAAGAAGACCGCGAGGCGGCCCGATCCGATATGCCGAAGAAGAACTATACTGTCCCATTCTACAAGCAAGTCATGATTTTGACTCACAGACAGTTCCTGGTTATGTATGGCGACAAGCAATCGCTCGTGGGGAAGTGGAGTATTCTTACCTTCCAGGCGCTCATCATTGGAAGTCTTTTCTATAACCTTCCGCAAACCAGGTAAGCGGAAATCCTTGCATCTTCTGAGGACCTCGCTGACAACCCATCAAGTGGCGGAGTGTTCACCCGTGGAGGTGTGATGTTTTTTGTTCTTCTTTTCAACTCACTACTTGCCCTGGCTGAGCTCACTGCGTTATTTGAAACCCGGCCTGTCATGCTCAAGCATAAAAGCTTGTAAGTATCAGCGTGAGAACACAGAATCAGGCATCATACTGACTGATTTAGTTCCTTTTATCGACCGTCTGCCTACGCCTTGGCTCAAGTAGTCGTCGATGTACCCTTGATCTTTGTCCAAGTGACAATATTTGACTTGATCGTCTACTTGTAAGCTCCGGAAATGTTATGGTCGATTGCTTATCGCTGACCCTTTTGTTAGCATGTCAAACCTCTCAAGAACAGCATCTCAGTTTTTCATTAACTTCTTATTCATTTTCATGCTCACGATGACCATGTATTCGTTCTTTCGGGCAATTGGTTCTGTATCTGCCTCGCTTGATGTTGGTACGTACCTGCAAAGGAATGCACCTGTTTTTAGACATCTACTGACCCGATCGAAAAGCTACGCGAGTCACTGGAGTAGCGATACAAGCACTGGTAGTATATACAGGTAAGCTGAGCCATGAAGCTTCTGACTAAGGTGCTAACAACTATAGGCTATCTGATTCCGCCGTGGAAAATGCACCCGTGGCTGAAGTGGCTCATTTGGATCAATCCGGTTCAATACGCCTTCGAAGGCATCATGGCAAACGAATTTTATAACCTGGACATCCAATGTCAAGCGCCAAATATTGTGCCAGACGGACCCAATGCATCACCCGGACGCCAGACCTGTGCGCTACAAGGAAGCGATACCGACCGGCTGACCGTCCAGGGCTCAAACTACATCCAAACTGGGTTTACCTACAGTCGCTCTCACCTATGGCGTAACTTTGGTATCATCATTGCATGGTTCATTTTCTTTGTCGTTTTGACAATGCTTGGAACCGAGCTTCAGAAGCCCAATAAGGGAGGTAGCGCTGTTACAATATTCAAGCGGGGAGAGGCACCTGCGGCGGTTGAGGAAGCTGTCAAGCAAGGGGAACTGCCTGAGGACGTCGAGACAGGAAAGAAAGAGAATGGCTCCAATAGTGTTATGGACAGCAAAGAATCGGATGACAATGAGGGTGAAGTCGAGGGCATCGCCAAAAGCACATCCATCTTCACCTGGCAGAATGTCAATTACACCATACCGTATCAAGGAGGACAGAGACAACTCTTGCAGGATGTTCAAGGATATGTCAAGCCTGGCCGCCTTACCGCTTTGATGGGCGCTTCTGGAGCAGGGTTGGTTTCCAACATTGAATCGAGTTGGTTGATTCTAGCTGATCATATGTCTCCATGGCAGAAAAACCACTCTTTTGAACACGCTGGCGCAACGAATCAAATTTGGGGTGGTGAGCGGTTCGTTCCTTGTCGATGGAAAGTAAGTCTTTCTACCTACCATTCACCACTGTCAATTGCTTATCCTCTTAGGCCGCTTCCCAAGAGTTTCCAAAGAGCCACAGGCTTTGCCGAGCAGATGGATATCCACGAGCCTACAGCAACAGTGCGAGAGTCACTTCGGTTTTCCGCACTTCTCCGACAACCCAAAGAAGTACCGCTTCAAGAGAAGTACGACTACTGTGAGCGAATATTAGACCTCCTAGAGATGCGACCAATTGCTGGCGCAACTGTGGGCGCTGGAGGCGTGGGTCTTAACCAAGAACAGCGTAAACGACTCACGATTGCGGTGGAACTGGCAAGCAAGCCAGAGCTACTACTCTTTTTGGACGAGCCTACTTCTGGGCTTGATTCCCTAGCTGCGTTTAATATCGTCCGATTCCTCAGAAGACTTGCCGATGCCGGACAAGCAATTCTATGCACGATCCACCAGCCATCAGCAGTGCTGTTCGAACATTTTGATGATCTGATCCTGCTACAGAGTGGAGGTAGAGTCGTGTATAACGGTGAGTTGGGAAATGATTCGGAAAAGCTGTTGGAATATTTTGAGAGCAACGGAGGCAAGAAATGTCCTCCTCATGCGAACCCTGCAGAGGTATGTCAAACCACAAATCCCAAGTGATTTCACCATCCCTGTGCTGAATTGAGAGAATAGTACATGCTTGAAGTCATTGGAGCCGGGAATCCCGACTACAAAGGGCAAGACTGGGCCGACGTTTGGGCCAATTCTCCTCAGGCCAAAGAACGGTCCGAGGAGATCGACCAGATCATCGAAACTCGACGCGACAAGCAAGACACAGGGCGAAAGGATGACAATCGGGAATATGCCATGCCAATCTGGGTCCAGATAGTCGCTGTTACGAAGCGCTCGTTTGTTGCATACTGGCGTGCTCCAGAGTATAATGCCGTAAGCTTTCTTGAGTATCTTCCCTGACATACTCGATATTGACGTTCAGCTTAGGGCAAATTCCTCCTGCATATTTTCACCGGACTATTCAACACGTTCACGTTCTGGCATCTAGGAAACAGTTACATTGACATGCAATCGCGCTTGTTTTCCATATTCATGACGCTGACAATCTCGCCTCCTCTCATTCAGCAACTGCAGCCCAAGTTTCTGCATTTCAGGAGCTTGTACGAGTCGCGAGAGTCCAATTCCAAAATCTACTCCTGGGCAGCCTTCGTCACAAGCGCCATCCTCCCAGAGCTACCATACTCCATCATCGCCGGATCCATCTACTTCAACTGCTGGTAAAACTCTATACTTTCCCTTCCATTATTGAACCCTCTCTAACCACAAGATAGGTACTGGGGCGTCTGGTTCCCCCGGGACTCCTTCTCATCCGGCTACGTCTGGATGATGCTGATGCTCTTCGAGATGTTCTACGTCGGCTTCGGTCAATTCATCGCGGCCTTCTCACCCAATGAGCTCTTCGCCTCCCTCCTCGTCCCGTGTTTCTTCACCTTCGTCGTCTCCTTCTGTGGCGTCGTTGTCCCCTACGCGTCCATGATCCATTTCTGGAGATCCTGGATGTACTATCTCAGTCCCTTCACCTACCTCCTGGAGGGCTTCCTCGGCGTCGTGACTCACAAGGTCCCCGTGCGGTGCGTGCCCCGGGAAGAATCGACATTCACGCCGCCGCCGGGCTCCAATTGCCAGGATTATGCGGGCTCGTTTGCCCAGCAGGCTGGTGGTTATGTCCGGGATATGGGCAATGGAATGTGTGCTTATTGTCAGGTTTCGGATGGGGATAATTTTGTACGTTCCCCCCTTCTTCTCTTCCTCTCTATACTTTTTTCCTGCTTCTACTGCTTGCTCAAAATCTCTCACCATGAATACGAACAAGTACACCATTTACTAACCGCCTTCTCTTCTCTTTCAATGAAACAGGCCTCTGGATTCAATGTTTACTACTCGCACAAATGGCGCGACTATGTATGTTATTCCTTTCTCTCCTACCAATCTCATCTTCTCCAGCCAGAACTCACCTAACTAACCGATTCCCCATAGGGAATATTCTGGGCCTTCGTGATGTTCAACTTCGCCGCTGTGTTCTTCTTCTCGTGGCTTTATCTCCATGGCCTCGCAGATATGAAGAGATGGTTTAGTAAGAGGAAGGCGAGGAAGGCGAGGAAGGCGAGGAAGGCGAGGAAGGCGTCTGCTTAGACTTATGGTAGGGAGGGTATTTAGTTACTTGGTGTTCTATTCACAGTATATTTGTGTATCTAGGGAGTTCTCTGGAGTTACTATAATCTGGAGTTACTATAAGGGCTGGGAAAGGCAGTTCTACTTATATATTATTCGTCATGTATACGATGGGTATTTATGTGTGGATTGTTTAATCCGCTCTTCTACCTATGTATTTACTGTACCGTGAAGGTGAAAATTCAGATTATTAGAGGGTTGTTGATATCGAGATAAACCATTGAGGATAAAGAAAGATAGATTGACACAATAGATGAAAATCTGGTACATAATGCTAGCTGCTAAGGTCAGTTCAGAGGTAAGAGATATATGTACATGAAGATTGCCAGGTACTGGTCACATTCTTGTGCGAAAAAAAAGGCCCAGTGAATCAGATACTAGAAATTCGAGCTAGACAAATAGCGGGAACCGCTCAATAGGGACAAGAAGAATATTGACTTAGAGATAATCGGTGACAGAATATAGCTTCCAACCATTTTCTTCATGTGCCTGAAATCGAAGAGGGAGGCGTAGGTCCCGATGAGCCCGCAAGATTAGAAACCATCAGGTTCTGCTGGGGGTTCCATGAGTTCGTCGAAGAGCCGCTAGGCCCTTGGTTGCTGGATGAGCTGGCGCCCTCCGTAGCGTTCGCTGGGTGATGACCGTTCATCAGGCGAGGCCGTTTGACCTGAGGGCCGGTGCTGGGGCTTGGGTTGCTGTCATGCTGGTGGTAGGGAGAGGTGTGTTGGTTGGGAGACGCAGATGCGCCACCGGTCTGAGAGGGCGACGGACCGCCTGGGGGGCTCATTGCCGAGGGAGGCTGCAGAGACCTTGGCTTAGGTTGATTTGCTGGCTGCTCATCGCTGGCACGGTGCTTGTCTGTTGGGTTGTGATCGTCGTTCATGGGGTTTGCGTATCCGACGCCCACCCGGCCCATGCTCTTGTCGTGCATGACGACACGCTTCCATTTGGTAACTACGTTGTCGTAGTCCCAGTGAGGCGAGCCAGGGCTGATTTGACTTTCTTTTGCGTCTAACTCCCGGGCAACTTCTCGAGGGAGAGGTAGCGTATCCGGCGGGAAGAGAGCAAACTCTCGCGGCCATTGACATGATCCCAGCCGCTCGACTTGCGCGCGGAGCTGATTTGCCTCTTGCTGGACCCGCGCCAACTGGTCATCAAGCGACTTGCGTTTTTCCATTTCCCGAGCGAACGCGCGAGTGATCTCGAGTTGCCAGGATTCCTGCCGCGCATCTGGAGTAAGCGACACCCAATGTTTGAATGCCAGCTCCAGATGCCTCAAGCTGATATCTTCATGTTGTTGCGCACTGCGATTGATCATGTTTGAATCCAAGCCAACACAGGCTCTGCCGGACTGGGAGCTTCTGCTTGAATCGGCAGCGAGCTGGTCGGATTGCCATCGCTCAATTTTGGCACGTAAAGCTTGTCGAATGATGTCAACATGCTCGACGCCGGGAGGTTGAAGAGGGAAGGAGGATGGAGAAGGGAATGGGTTCGTCGAGAAAAGGCTGGGCGGAGGCGGAAGCAACTGCAAGCAGAGCGAAGGAAACGTTTGCGACTGGATGTCAAATTCGAACGGGGATATCGGCGGACGCATCCTAGATCTATCGCATATGTTAACAACTGACTTGATGGGCAAGTGCAGGTAAGGGTGAAACATACGTAGCAGCCTTGATGTTGTCGAGAACTTCCTGCAAAGCCAATTCCAACGCCCTCACAGTATCAGGATTGCTGCTACTAGCGCCCCTGCTTGCGTATTCTGGGAGATGCATGGAGCTTGCCCTGGGCTGGACGGAGCTTATTCGGGAAGAACTCGAGGGTTCCGGGTGAGTCGGGTTGGGGATATCGTTGATCACACCGGTCGCATGCCATGTTGGAGTATTGAACATCATCCGAATCCCACTATCTCTTTGCTTCACTCCTGACTCACCACCGGTATAGGAATCCAAGTGCCCTTTGCCGGTCGTGCGTTCAGGAGTGTCTCGTTTCCCCGACGAGGTGCGAGCCTGTCGTCGGGTGATGCCGCTTCGAATGCGCCGAATTTCCTCCACATCATGAATTCCATCTGGCTTCTTCTTGAACAGGAACTGATCCAAGTGGCGCCCTAAAGAAGACGAAGTAAATGCCTGATCGCAATACTGACATTTCCGATCCTTCGTGGCCGCGTTTTTGGCGGCCGACTGGGCATTATCATCGGCGCCACCCGACTCTTCGGGGGTATTTGTCGGACGAGTCGATTCGCCTTCATCCATGTTTCACAAATACGCGAAAGTTTGGGCTGCAGGCGATTGGCAAATGGGGGTAGAGTGGTGGAGGGGGGTGAGGAAGACGCGTTCACGGAAGCCAAAATGTACAGAGAACTTCTGCAAGCTCAATGCATGACAAGCGATAGGCAGATGCGAGGGAGTAAGCTGCGACAATAATGCAGTCACCAGAAAAGAGTGGTAGTGCGCAGCGACGCGAGGGGTACAAGCAGCTGCAGGCGAAGAGGTGGTCGTGGACTCGAAGGAGCGGAGAGAAGAAGAGAGCGGAAGAAGGGAGGAGAAACGTGACGATCCTCGCCAAGCTTTGGCTGTGGGGGAGAATCAGCCTCCTCGTCTTCTGCCTTTCGCATCGACTGTCCTGACCAGGGACGACGATCTGTCATTCTGGATGAAGCTTGAGATCTGCGTGAAAATTTTATGTCTACTCTAGCAATCCGCTCTGGCATACACCCGACATAGCCAACCTGTCCTACGAGTGCTCGTTGACCAGAGATGCACGTGGAATGTCACCAGTACGAGTCGTTCAACGCGGTAGAATACCCCAAATTTTGTGATATTGTGATGCCTTCATATATCCCATCGTCCGCACATTACCAAACATGTCACTCTAGTCAAATCCGTGTCTCAAGTTACAGGCTCTTAGACACGTTACCCCCAATATAGTCAGCCAATGTAAGCACCTTTTCTTCCTGGAGCCGTCGCCCAATAAGCTGCAGTCCGGCAGGTGCGCCGTCGTAAGCGTCAGCATCGTCTAGTCAATGATTAGTGAGTCTTGATACACTTGGTCTATCTGAAAGCAATCCACTCACACTGGCCGTGTACCCGTTGATCTATTTCACTCAAGAAATTGGTTTCAGACCGAGGCACGTCGATGTTCTTGTCAGCCCGAGTCACCGGGAATACAACGCTCGTATAGTCGAGGACGTTGACGAAGGAACTATATCCGACATGGTCGTATTTGCAGGGTAGCACCGCAGCATGGGGCGCAACAGGGCAAATAAGCCCATCGACTGGTCGTCCAGTACCAGTCAGCTGGGCTGTGCTGTTCCAATAATCCATGTATTGTTTCTGATACTCGCGCTTCTTCACGTTGAGCGCAGCAATCTCTGAGGCACTCTTTTGTGGCCCAGGTTCAAGAATAAGATGATAAGGCCGCTCTTCTCCCGACAAACCAAAGTGATGCTCGATATCAGCTCCGCCATCCAGGTGGTACGTTGCAATCTGTTATTGTTAACGGTATCTAAATATATGAAAGTGAGAGGGTAAGTCGGAGTGAAACTTACGGCTAATTCATGCGCAATTATGTGAGAGGGAGGGCTCCATTCGATGATCTGTCCCAAAGAATTAGCACCATCAACTCAATAAGCTTGTACCTTTCGTTTCTTTGGTACCTTATGTCCTAGTCGTCTCAGAGTTTGCTCCGCGATCTTCATGGCCCGGGCAATCGGGGGATGAGGTCGCACGACACCGTTGTGGTGCATGAGACCAAATGCCAGCTGAGAAGATCCTGATTTGGACTGCTCAATCAGCGCGCGCGTCTCTTCTTCGACCGCATCCCTCCATGGCAGTTCTATAACTAGCGGGTCATAATACCATGGCTGCTGGCTGAGCACGGCCTTGAAGAGCAGCTTCAGAGAGCGCGCAGTGGTTGCCAGGGGTCCAATTACCGACAGGATTGTATTCTGACCGTCCATTGAGTTCGCCGCACCCTCATAAGGCACTCGGCCCGCTGACGGGCGCAATCCATAAAGACCGTTGAACACGGCCGGAATTCGAACACTGCCGCCAATATCAGTGCCAAATCCTCCGGGAGAGCCCTTCAACGCAATGAGCGCCCCTTCGCCTCCAGAGCTTCCACCAGTTGATAGGAGCCGATTATGAGGGTTGGTGGTGTAGTCAATGATATTGTTGACCGTCTCACCACACATCAACGTGGCAGGGACACTGGTCTTGCAATACAGCACAGCTCCCAGACTGCGGAGTTCTCGGACAAGTTCGCTTTCGAACACTTGGCTCCGGGGGTCGTTCTTCTCTCCCTGGAACGTGCCAATCCACCCTACATATCCCATCGTAGTCTCGACGCCTTTGACATGGAATTGATCCTTCAAACTAACCGGCAAGCCGTGAAGAGGACCAATCGGTTTTCCGTGCGTTGCGAAGTAGTCGTCGACCCGTTTTGCATCGTCAAGTGCAGCGTCAAAAAACACTTCATGCAAACAGCTCACCTGCAGCCTGCATTAGCTATTGATGACCACAACCACCCATTAGATGTTGATACCAGCTGGTGAGCAAGCGCAGCTCGATGACAGAAAGCCTCTGTCACCTGGACGGCAGTCCAGGTTCCCGACGTAGTTTTCTCTGCGATACCAAGGGCATCGGTCTCAGTGATTTCTATCTCTCGGGGAGTTAGGAACTGTTGTATATAGGCGCCAGTTACGTCGCGTAGCTCATCCGTCGGAGGGATGGGGTCCTGAATCCTCCATCTTTCGGGGATCGCATCTAAGATTGATTGACGTTTCGAATCCGCCAACTGTTTCCAGCCTGCAAGGGTCATATTGGGAGAGTCGGGGTGATATATAACTAGCGCGGTAAAGGAGGAGTACGTTGGGGAAATTATCAGAAGAAGACAGGAAGAGACAAGAATGGAAACAAGAGAACAAGTTGCTTAATTTAAGACCGCAAAAATGGGTTTATCATGTCTCATGCATGGTCGAGGGGTAGCGCTGACAATCGTTGGAGTAGCTTGGGGATCCCCTCAACGTCGGGCGGGGTTAATCGGAACAAAGACTGACGCCTCGGATTGCATGACTGCTCGTGTTGATGAGTCAAGGGTATTTACTGGGTAGTTATATGAAGAGCCAACCTGGGAAGTCTTCTGGATGGGGCTGGAGTATGGATCTTGGGAGTCGATTGTACATACAATCGTACTTATGTACATGCTTAAACCACTATTCATCATCCCCTTATGAACAGTACTTTTCTGAGGGCCAAGGGTAGGATTCGGAGGCCTTATCAACCAATTCCCCGAGTGGCTTGCCATTGTATCTCGTATCTCAGGTACTCTCTTGGACACCCTCTAGGATGTCACACTCTTTTCTCTGAGCCGGTTCATGACGCCATCTGCCGGACGTTTAAATTAATTCTCTTCCGCGACATCCAGCCCTTCCAGGCGTGATATTGCGATGAATCCTTCTCGTCAGAGCATACCGGCCAATCGGCTAGCCAGTCTGGACAAGTATCGGGAATGATCTTAGGCACTGCGTGCCACGCAAAACGGGATGTGCCATCCATATACACAGCGTCTCCGGAGCGGAGTCGAATGATGTCGCAGCCGGTGCCATCGTCATGGCTGATTAGGAACAAGCCATCGCAGCCAAAGCTGATGCTGATCAGACCCACGTCGCATTCTTCACTGACATCGCGGTGGGGGCTCAAGGTGTCTCCCGGGGTATAGAGATTCAGGATCGCCGCCTGAGCATCTGTCTTTGGAAAGGACGCGCGCAGCAGGTTGGCAATATCCTCCGGGAAGACTGGAGGGCGCTCTTCTGGGTATTCTTTGGTTGTCCAGTTGTATTGGCCACCGAGGGTGATCCACCGGAGCTTCTTATCCAAGATGTCCCTGACAGCAAGCGGCTTGTGCACCGTTGCGTCTAGAGGATATATCAGGCGGGTCTGGTCGTCTTCGAAGAAGGACAGGGTTCGAGCATCTACTGAACTACTCTCGGACTGCGTCTCATCCTTATCCACCGGCCGCGGATATGTGACATCGTAGTGCAAATGAATATTGGATTGGTGGTCCGGATTAGATACATCGCGATGCAGTAAACGAGACAACAGTTCTATTTGCAGAGCCGGTGGGAACAGCGACGGGATCATTTGCAAACCTACCACTTGTTAGGTGCCTATTCCTACGGCCTTTTCCTTTCTGGTGTTCAGTTGGATTCCAAGGTTGCTGACCGGAAACGGATTGATGTGTGTAAATAGGTATATTTTGAATAGTATGCAGCCCCTCCTCATTTGTCTCCTTGTCCGCTGGCATAAATTCTCGGAAGGCAGGTCGAAGATCTTCACCAGACATCCATTGAGAGAGCGCGATGCCCGTTGGAAGATCATTGGGATCTAAAGTCTGAAGATCGATGATTCCGACATCCTGCTGTATCTCTGAAGTTGTCGACTTTTGGTATTTCTTGTATCGCTGTCTTATGGACTCGGGAGGACGCTCGTGAGCATTGAGGTCATTGATGCGGGCCATCCCCGCATTAGGTGAGAAATTAGTAAATGGGGTTGATCTGTTGATTTAGATGCCTCGCATGTGCATATTCTCGAGGATTACTGCGGTTATTCGCGGGATATCAAGAGTTGATCATCGAGGCACGAACCTTAGGATCGTTAAGGTGCGGACAAAGACAAAGAAAGACGGAGAAAAGTCAGCGAAAGTCCGCAGGGACGCGCTCACCGCCTTTGGGACGCGGGTTTGTTTTGTTTGTTGTTGACCGCCTTCGCTCCCCACCAGGGATGAAAAGACAACAAAGTGAGCCTTCATCTCGCCAAAAAGTGCTCTCGACAGTCTGTTGCCGCCAATTTCCCGGATTCTGGGCTCGAATACCAGTCGACGATCGATTTCTTACATTTCTTGGATCCCGTCGACCCTCCCTGGTTCCCCCAATCCCTTCCTGCCGTGCTCTCGCCAACCACAACCCTCCTTGTTTTTCTCCTTCTCGTTTCTCTCCCCGGGCAACAAGCACCCGGCGTTGTGTAGTCCATTTGTGCCCTCCTTACAACCCCACGTGCTGGTGGGCTCAGACTTGGTCTTTTCCGTGATCAAATATCCGACTACCTCGTTGCAATTGCCGTCAAGGTCGACCGATAATCATCCATCATGGAGAACTACCAGAAGATTGAGAAGATCGGAGAGGGTACGTATCCGACTGATAAGGACATGTCTTTTTTCTCGGCTTTTGATGACACAGCTATATCCCAACCTCAATTGATGGGTTTTTTTGTATCCAATGGACAATTAGTTAACCGGTTATGTTGTGATTAGGAACGTACGGTGTCGTTTACAAGGCTCGTGAGCTCACACATCCCAACCGTATTGTCGCCTTGAAGAAGATTCGATTGGAGGCGGAAGATGAGGGTGTTCCCAGCACGGCCATTCGTGAAATCTCGCTTTTGAAAGAAATGAACGACCCGAACATTGTGCGACTGCTGAACATCGTTCATGCCGACGGCCACAAGCTCTATCTCGTTTTCGAATTTTTGGACCTCGACCTCAAAAAGTATATGGAGGCTCTTCCTGTCAGTGAGGGTGGACGCGGTAAAGTCCTCCCAGATGGCTCCAATCTCAGCAAGAACATGGGATTGGGAGATGCCATGGTTAAGAAATTTATGGCCCAGTTGGTCGAGGGAATTCGTTATTGCCACAGCCACCGCATCCTGCACCGTGACTTGAAGCCCCAGAACCTTTTGATCGACCGGGATGGTAACTTGAAATTGGCGGATTTCGGATTGGCAAGAGCCTTTGGTGTTCCGCTGAGAACCTACACCCACGAGGTAACATAACTGCATAGTCACCGTTAACTGGACCGAAACTGACCTTTCTAGGTTGTCACATTGTGGTACCGCTCTCCCGAGATTCTCCTGGGCGGGCGTCAGTATTCCACCGGTGTGGATATGTGGTCCGTTGGAGCTATCTTCGCGGAAATGTGCACCCGCAAGCCCCTGTTCCCCGGTGACTCTGAAATCGATGAGATTTTCAAAATCTTCCGGTATGTCATGCCACAAACTAAGTTTCCCAGATGACCCGTACCTCCTACTAACACGGACCCTTTTTCAATAGACTTCTTGGCACTCCCGATGATCACGTCTGGCCTGGCGTCACCTCCTTCCCTGATTACAAACCCACATTCCCCAAGTGGAAGCGTGAAGAAACTCATGCTCTTGTTCCTGGCCTGGAAGAGGACGGTCTTGACCTGTTGGATTGCCTGCTGGAGTTTGATCCAGCCCGACGGATCTCTGCCAAGCAGGCCTGCATGCACCCCTACTTCCAGAACGGCAGCTCATACTACTCCGGCCGCACATCTTCGCGAAGAAACGGCTTTCATTAAATAAATGGTGAAACGACGGACTGTGGATTGATACCTTACGTGTAATGTATGTATGTGGGTGGCTTATGGCAGACAGCAGTAACTTGGGGATGGCTGCCCGATAGATTCTACCCTTTGCTCTCTTTCCCCCTTATTCTGTCCCCAGTGTCGGCCAACAGCCTCTCCCAATGTCCTTTGATGTTTATGTCCTCGACTTTATTTCCTTCGTTTACGGCGTTGCTCATGGTGTGTGTTATGGCTTGAGAGAGACTAGGTTACTGGATATGCAAGGAGTGTCTCTTTTTTCTATTTTCTTTCTTTCTTTTTTCCTGTCTATTCTGACTCGCGTACATACCCATCTGAATGAGTCCTTTGGTGCAAAACGTACGGACAAGGAGCAGGAGAACAGGAAAAGCCAAGCCGTAGAATCCTGGTAGTCCACGTGCTCCTCTCTTCGTCAACTCCGCCTCCGCCATTCTTCTCTCTTTCCTCTCGGCATCGACGACAATCTACACCGCATTCTGGACGCTTGGGACTAATCTCAGCCTTTCGCCAGAAATTGGCCTTTCGTCCAAAACACAGCCTCAGGCTAACAACTCGGGATGGCCTGGTGCGCCCGTTTTCTTTGCGTCGGGAATGGCCGAATCATCGGCGGCGTGCCCTGAGCGCTTACCAGCCGCTCACACAGCGCTCGTATAGGTATGGGCTACTATTAATATTGACCATTCATTGCAGGCTAGCGGGTCTCGTCGCTTCCTCATCATTGACAATGTGCGGACAAAGAAGATTTTTCTTTCTCATGGCAGTCCAGCCCGTCAGCTTGGATCTCGCCGTTCAGCTTCAATCCATCAGCAATCAATGGCCGAGCCCGGCCACTCAGCACACTTCACACGTATCTAGTGCCGGAATTTGCCCAGCTATCGTCATGCTTAGGTGACTCGGGCCCATAAAATCATAAGCACTACGCTGCTCTTCGGTCGCGACTGAGCGGACACCCTCTCGGCACTCCGTATGCAAGGCTCCCCAGTCTAAGGATGCAGCGATTGCTCAGCCCACCCCATTGGTCGGTGATCCCTATGGTGCCAGTTAGATCCCAGAGGTGATCGCCGTTTCGTGATGACCGGCAATCTGGTTCGCTCATACTCGAGGGGACCCAGTCGATGTGGTTGCATTGTGGCTCTCCTGCTTTTAAGGCGATGGATTGCGCCTCCAAGCGTGTCCTCAATGTATCACATTGAGTACGAGTGAGAAGCTTTTCCCTTCGCTTATTTATAACATCTCATCGAAGGCCAGTTTCCTCTGAAAGGTTCAAAAGAAAATCTCACGAAGACTCTTCACACAATCCGCAAAAACTCACCATTATGGATCACGACGACGATCTGTCGGATATGGTATTCACCCCTCCCCTTTCCACCCGGTCCGGGAGTCGAGGCTCGCGGCGAGTGATACATTCGCCGCAAGAGACCGTGCGACTGTTCTGGGATCAATTCAATACCAAATTCCCGGGCAAAGTGTACACCGTGCTGCCCAACAACCCGTACGCACGTACCAAGGCCGCGAAGCTTCCCAAGGGGGTGATCCAAGGACAGGATGCAAGCAAGTCGTACGAACAGGTCAGGAAGGAATGCCAGCGGACTGTCGATCGCATCGTCAACGAATGCAAGCGATTGAACCAGAAGTACACAGATCCCCATTTCGACATCGAGGTCGATCTCAAATCCGGGAGACGGCATTACCTGGATGGGTTGGAGGAAAAGAACATGGAGATGCGCCCTAGGGGGGTAAAACGGGTCACTGTGAGTTTAGACTACGAGCGATAACCGATCGGACCTCTGACCCTCTCGCAGGAAATATTTGAGAAGCCGCAATTTTTCGTTAATGGCCCGACTGCTTCCGATGTCCGGCAGGGCCGAGATGGAGACTGCTGGTTCATGGCTGCTCTATGTACTATGGGGAACAAGCAGGGCTTGATCGAGAAGATCTGTGTCGCTCGCGATGAAAAAATTGGTGTCTACGGGTTTGTGTTCTATCGAGGTACGTGAACAGACCGCGTTGCATGTGGGACATGGTAATGACAATGTATAGATGGTGAATGGCAGCAATGCATTGTGGACGATAAGCTCTATCTACGAGCAGCAGACTATGACGAGTCGATCGATGAGCGGCCGATCTGGGACGACATCAACCGGAACGACACCGAGGAAGAGTATCGCAAAGTCTGGCAGACAGGGTCTCGGGCGCTGTATTTCGCTCAGTGTGTAGATGAGAACGAGACGTGGCTTCCATTGCTTGAGAAGGCTTATGCAAAGGCACACGGCGATTACTCTGCTATCGAAGGCGGGTTTGTAGGGTATGTTATTCGATCTTGATAAGTGCGACTGGTATTAACACATTGAAGGGAAGCGATCGAAGATCTTACTGGCGGTGTTACCTCCGACATATTGTCCAGCAATATCCTGGATAAGGATAGATTCTGGGAGGAGGAGCTTATGAAAGTCAACAAGGAATTTCTATTTGGCTGCGCTACTGGTTTGTTCTCCAACTGGCTGGACCCAAAATACCAAGGACCCCCAAGAGACAGAAAGGGTATCTCGGAGAACCACTCTTATTCGATCATGGAAGCGAGGGAGATTGACGGCCATCGTCTGATTCGATTAAGGTATGTGCACAGCTACTTCGTCAAAAGTCTGTATAGCTAACAGATGCAGAAATCCGTGGGGCAAAAAGGAATGGAACGGTGCCTGGGGGGACGGTTCCGAGCAATGGACTCCTCAGTGGATGGAAAAGCTTGGCCATAAGTTCGGAAACGATGGAGTGAGTACTGTTCTGATCTCAAGAATGACTGCCTACTGACAGCGTTTAGTTCTTCTGGATATCCTACAACGATTTACTCAAGAAATACCAGCATTTCGATCGAACTCGCCTCTTTGGTCCTGAATGGACAGTCACGCAGCAATGGACTACTCTGAATGTCCCATGGTCTGCCGATTACCACAGCACCAAGTTCATGGTAAACGTGACCAAGGATGGTCCAGCGGTCCTCGTCCTTTCCCAGGTACGTTGGCCTCATTTTGACCAACTCGATAAACTTACTGACAACTGGAAAGCTTGATTCGCGCTACTTCAAAGGCCTAGCCGGAGAATACGACTTCAAACTAAAATTTCGGATTCAGAAAGAAGGGGAAGACGACTACATGGTCCGCAGTAACTGTAGCTACGTGATGAGTCGAGCCGTGAATGCGGAGGTAGAACTGAGCCCCGGACGCTACCACATCTTGATGAAGGTAACTGCCTACCGATGCAGCGACATGGCGACAGAAGATGTCGTCAGTCGTGTAGCGCCAGTTGGGAGAGAGAAGCTAGTCCAGATCGGACTATCCTACGACCTTGCTCACGCCAAAGGTCTGGTCTTTGAGTCTGAGAAAGAGAAACGGGCCCGTGAGGACCGCGAAGCACGCCGCAAGGCAACGGAGAGACGCAAGCTGCGGAAACAGACCAAGAGAAGGCTGCAAAAGGAGTGGATTCGCGAGCGCAAGATCGATGGTCGAAAGCAGAGGCGAGCAGAGCGACTGTCCGCAAAGAGCTCCACGGAGAATTATCACCGATTAGACTCGAGTCGCAGCGTACAAATCCTCTCTGACGGATCGGTCCAGTCACCCTTGGACATGGACTACAGTACGGGGATCGACTTGGATATGAAGCACGTCGGCAACGGCAACGGCAGCGTTCCTACTATCCAGTGCAACGGCGTCCATGTGACCGAATACCACATGTCGAGCAAAAAGGACTCGGGACGCTCGAGTCTCGACACCTTACATTCGCCGTCGTTCACGCAACCGCACTTCAATCAGCAGGAGCTGGAACTCCTGGATGGATTTGAATTTGACTCAGACCTCGACATGCCGCCCGAGGAGCCAACCGAGCCAAGAGCGTGTCAGCTGTCACCGACAAGTTGTACGGAGGATAGCAACATCGACACCTGGAATGCAGTGTGTGTCGTCGGATTGAGAGTGTACTCCAAAGATCCGCAGCTGTCACTGGAGGTTGTTCGTCCTATACCCGAAGACGAGGCCGAGGCCGCGCTCGACATGGACGATCCGGCTGCGAGCGCTGCTTGCGAGAAGGGGCAATTTGGTCGAAATGCGGTATTCTTTTAGGTGATGCCACATAAAAGTTTGAATTCGAGGGATCTTGGAGGTTTGGAACCATGTCTAGATAGCTAGGTTTTATGTTGCATTCATCTCGGCGTCTTCCAATTGTTTAGAATATTGTCACCAGAATGAATGTGTTGGTTATATCGCAGTACTTTTGCACACAATGTGTCAACACCACTCGGTCAGCACCACTAAGAAGAAGTCACACATGGTCAAGACTACCTTAGACATGACGGCCTAGAGCTTACTGCAAGGACTTCATTCCGTGGGGTATCGTTATATCCGAATCGACCAGATAACCCCCTCCACACTTGAATACCTGACCTGAACTCCAAAACCAGGGCCAGCCCGGTCCTTCAGAGCTCTCTCGAGCTCCCCGCAGCTGACAAAACTCATACATGACAGGGAAGTCCATCCAACACGTTGCCTTGGCCAACTATGGCCCATATTGCTTCCACTTGGTATCTTGGATGTCACGGACCACAAACTATGGACTCTGGGATAAAATACCTATAATATGCGAGTATGGCACCATGGACGATACGGCGGACATGGTACCAATCCTGCAGACCGAGTAACTGAGAGATTTTCTGCTGGGTGGGATATTCGTCAGATTGATGCCTAAGAGAGACTCAAGATCGGGTTCCTGGTCTTTGGTTCTCAGGTGAGGACTATATTTTCATGGAGTGTTTCGGGATGTTTGGGTATTGATAACGGATGTAATTGCATACTGACCGAGCGTATGTATGGTATGTAAGGTAAGAGGATATCTTGTATGACAAAAACACAGACGGACTTGGAAATTGCAATTACCCGCAACGAGAATTACCACCAATGTTCCATGGTGCATCATCCCTCCAGCAGGGAGCATCTCAGCTTCTGATACTCTGTTCGGTTTACTCTCATATCTCTAACACATACTCATCCCCAAGCCTCCCCTATCCTTCCAATGGAACACGCCCCTAATCCAATCCTGCTCCAAAAAGGAGACTCTTCTCGCACGCCGCTCTTCCTGCTCCACGATGCCGGCGGCACGGTATTCAACTACTACAAGCTCGGCAACATAGGCAGACCCATCTACGCGATCTCAAATCCGTGGATCAAAGCAGAGACAAAATGGGAGGGCGGAGCAATGCGGTTCGTACATGAGTATATCAAGTTGATCAAGAGCGTGGTGCCGTCGGGGGAGATTCTAGTCGGAGGTAGGTCCATGTCTCACTGACGGATAGAACTTACCCATAAAGCTGCTGTCCACGGAATTCTACCTACCCACCTACCTATCTACCAACCAACCTACATAAGGATACTGACAGTGATGGACTGTGAACAGGCTGGTCCCTCGGCGGCCAACTCGGCATCGACATCGGGCGAGTCCTCGCCTCGAACCCACGCTCTCGCCTCTCCGTTGTCGGCGTCGTTATGATCGACACCCTCTACCCCTACTGGGGACCACCCGAGACCCCTCACGCCGAGTTCCCCGTCGACCTAGTCCTGCGTAACTGTCCGGACGACTTACGCGCGGAGATGATCCGATGCATGCAGTGGTCGAAGGAAGACAGCGACGAGTGGGTGCGGCGGAACTGGAAGGACAACGCCGACGAGCTGGACGAGCTCGAGGCCGAGGAGCCGCCACCCGGGGTGCTCATCCTGGCTAAGGGATTTGTCCCCGTGGGTGAGGGACAGGGGGATCGACGCGTGATGGTGGATTATCTGCGGGAGAAGAGGGTCGGGTGGGATTTGTTTCCGCATCAGTTTATTGCGGCGGTTTGGGAGGTGGGAGGGCATCATTTTGGATTGTTTGAGAAGGACACGGTGAGTTTTCTGCACTTGCCCTTGCTGTGATTGATGGCTGGAGAAAGAGAGACTGACTGAATAGATCCGAACAACGACGGAGAAAGTTCGACTGGCGTGTGATCTGTTAGCGGATGATTGAACCGTCATTACATACGTTCCGATATTCATGAATATAGACAACCATATACTTCTTTTCTACTACAGAACATCGTACTAGAACCCAATTACCAAGCACATACAATCATTCCCGGTCCCGACAGAACCCCCGAATCCCACAAATGCAGCACACTCGCCCGAAATCTGCCCTCATCCTGCAGCAAATGTCCCGCATGACCACTATCCCCATACCGCACTCTGAGCACCTCATATCCGCTCTTCTCCGCCTCGTCCGCATGCCCTTCCACATCCTGCGCACGTACCAATTCGTCTCTCCCACCGTAGATATACAACCTGGTCGCGTCGTCTCTGAACAGGGTCTTATCATTCAATCTTCTCCTCACCACTCCCACCACATTCTCGATACTCATCACGAGCTCAATGAGAAACCATACACCGAAGAACACCCTCAATGCTACACCCATAACCAGAGCTTTCACTCTCCCCAAGACCCAGTCCCAGCCTCCAAGACCACCGTCCCTAGAAGTAGCCAATCCAACCGAAAACGCACCCACCGTGCTCCCCCACCCCTGCACTCCAGGACAACTATCCAGGACCATCTTCGCGATAGGTAAGCGCGTCCCAGATCTCGCCTTATACGCCTCTGCGATCTTCATCGCTGCCGTGGCACCGCCTGTCGAGATCACATGCAGTAGGATCTTCTGGCCCTCTTTCTCAGTCCCGACTCGTTGATCCTGTCCTTGTCCCTGGCCAGATAGAGCGAGGAGGGCTGTGACGGCGGGATCTAGGTCCGTCGTCCAGGACTTGGACGACCGGAAGAGGAAATGCTCAGAGGACGTCGTGACAAGGAGAATGCGAGAAGTTGGAAAGAGGCGTTTGTAAAAGGAGGTGTATTTGTTAATGTGCGCGGTGGAGGCGTTGAGGTATGTGCAGAGGAGGATGAGGGGCGGAGGGGCGGTTATTGTTTGAGGAGTGGGTTTGGCGGTGGATGGGGGGATATAGATAAATGTGCAGGGGGAGAGGGGTGTGAAGGAGGGGATTTTAAGGGGGGTGGGCATTTTGTCCTTGAATTGAGGTATTTAGATGTAGATATGGAGGGTATGAACTGTGGAGTGTAGAGTATAGAGTTTAGTTTTGAGTGTAGAGTATGAATGAGGGTTGAGTTGGGTTGAGGGGAAGTGAATGTGGTGGTTCAAACTAACTCAATCCGCTGGTTTTAAGGTAAAGGATAAATAGGAATAAATGAACGAGTGTATAGGCAATTGAAGGGACTTAGAGTCTTGGGGGAAATTGCAAGAAAGCAGACATTCTCTAGTGTAGATGCTCATTCTCAGGCATACCTAAATTAGGGCTTCAAGATGAAAATTACCATATGCAGTTTATACAATACCCGCCCCATTAATTACATTCCCGTAATCTAACACACCCCGGACTCCGCAACCCGTAATTTGCAATCCCCACGCAACACACGGCTGCAAGGATCCTGCAGAAACCCAAATTAGCGGTCTCACTATCAGCATCAACCATCAAGCCAGCATCTCAGATGAAAACTTACACCGTCCCTCTAAAGGAGCCATCTATCTTGGCGACTAATGTCAGACCAACAAGAGGCTTGACGTTCCATCCGCCTAACGGTGCTAATCTAGTCGTCCACTCTTCTACCTACTCGGCATCGGCGCTCTAGATAACCACACAACTAGGAACGGAGCTTACGTCGGTGTCTTCTGAGAGCTCTTCGAGAGCCTTGCTTACTGTGGAGTTCTACGTGAAAGCTGAGCGTAAGATTGAGAACTGGACTATACCGAGGCTGAGAGCTCGCTTCCGTTTGCGTGTTTGCTTGCGCGGACAAGATTGAGAGACAGGGGTGTTGTTTCGGTGGAATCCTTCATTCATCCCTCGGAAAGGATTGTGCTAGGAGGGAACCGAGGTATTGGCTCCGGGGAGTCTGAAGGAATGAGGCGAGGCTGGAACAATCTGACTATGAGTCTTGGACTCTTTTTCCGAGGATGGCCTTGCTGTTGAGCTCTCGAATGCGAATCCGAATGCTAAACCATGTCTCATACTATACGAAAGCACCTATCATCATCCGAAACATGTATGTTCTACCCACAGCCTCAATCCTACCTTATCTATCTGTTTACCAGTGCCACATGATAGTCAAGACAACCAAACCAAAACTCTAGACCTTCACCCGTCTCACCGACTTCGCGTACACCGGATGCGCCATCTTAGTATTCAGCTCTAGCTTAACCATTCCCTCCTGTCTCGGTGACTCGGGGAGTAAAGTGACACTCTCGAATTCCTGACACAGTCGCGCGAAGAAATACTCCATTTGGAAGTTGGCGAACTGTTGACCTAGACAGATACGTGGGCCGTGGTTGAAGGGCACGAATTCCCATTTGTTGGTGGGTTCCCATGTTTCTGGTTTCGAGTGTTAGTTTGGGTTCTTGTGTAGAGGTGCTGGCTTGGAGTAGTAAGGGCAAAGAGAAGGAGGGAGGAAGAGAGGGAATACCCCATCGTTCAGGATTCCAGACAGAGACGTCGTCGACGCCTAGGTCCTCGCGCATTTGAAGAGAGAGGAGGCCGTATACTTGTGACTTGTTAGTAGTTTTCGTGTTGAGTTGGGAAAAACAGGGAGCTTACAGATCTGTGTGCCTTCGAGCACCGCAATCGGGGACTTGCCGTCTGGGCCGCCTCCGCGAGGAAGAGTCATATCTTTGACGGGGACGCGAGCATTGAATCCCACTTATCTGTTAGCTAGTTTGAGAAGCTATAGAGAGAACTTACAAGGATGATGAACTCTCAGGGTCTCCTTGATCACCGCTTTCGTATATTTCAATTTATGGAGATCAGACATCACGGGCAATCTCTCGAATCCGATACTGACCAATCCATTGTCAGCGAGGGTTGTCATCTCAAGAGCCATAAAACTTACTGCTCCTTAACCTCCTCTCTCATCTTCTCAAACACATGCGGATGACGCGCGATCTCGTAGTACGCCCAAGCCAGCGACGTCGTGGTCGGATCTTTCCCGGCCAGCAGCGTGGCCGTGACTGCATTCTTGATATCTGCGCGCCGCTTCCCCTTGACGATCAAGTCGTCGACCAGAGTCAACGAGTCCTTTGCTGTCTTGCCGCGCACGTTCCGAGCGTATGCCTTTGTCGCGAAATTCTCGAGGTAGGTGTCGATGAAGGCGACGGCTTTCGGGGCAATCCATTCATCTTTCAGATAGACGCCGACTTTCCTGCTAGGAATTAGCGGTCGCAGGTGTAATGTAGGATTGGTCTTACCCGAGAAGCTGTCGGAAGCTGGCGACTTTCAGTAGAGTGTCCATTGCGTCGCGGAAGGGCTGCTGGTCAGAGGTCAGGGAGTTTGTAGATTCGCCGCAGAATACCTCCGTTACGACGTCGAGCTGTAGACGGTCGATCACGTCAAAGGCATCGACCCCGTCTTCGATCAGCTTGAATGCATTTTGGATGTGGCGCTCCGTGACTTCGAAATCGGATTGTCGGACGCGGTTCATCTGTGGCAGTTAGGGTGTGCATTTACATTGAAGAGAAGAACATACGTGTAGACGGAGGAGTCCAGCCTCCTGTTTCCATTCCTCGCCATTGACTGTCTGGTCAGCTTGGGACGAGAGGCACTGGAGACGGAAAAGAAGGCATACGCGCGAAAATAGCATCCCCGAGAATGTGTTTAAAAATCTCGTGCTGCTCCTTTGACTTGGCGACTTCCCAGAACTGAACCCATTAGCGGACGTTGCGCAAGCAGCCAGTCCCCGTACCTGAGTATCCTGAACCGCCTTGATATTCTCCGGATCGTCCGTCAAGAGCAGATTCGCCCCCAGGAGATGCAGCTGCAGCGTGTGATTGTTCTCATCGAGCAGGCGTTTCGTCCAGTGCCAGAACCGATGTTTCCTCAACTCGCTGAACATTTGAATCACATAATTCAGGCCTTTCACTGTCAGTTAAGTCATAGACAGCGATCAAGCGACAAACCCAAGGTGTTGGAAGGCAGTATCGCCGGTGGCCCAGCGCCAACATTGTTGTATCTCTTCTGTCGCGCATTGGCCGAATATACTTGAAACAGTATAACGGCCGCGAGACTGACGCCCGCTAAGGCGATGGGAGATGTGAAGATGCCCATTTTGCACTGACATGCGCATACACGTACAAACTGATGAATGTTCCCTACTTGACATTTCTCTATCCCAATATAAGCAGAAATAACCCCCTCACCTTCTCACACAGACCTTACCCCATTCGATAAGTAACGTCAATCCCCACATGGCACTTAATCCCTGCTTTGTGGTCTACCATAAGCCACATCCACGAGGGCCTCGATTTCGTCAGTGGAAAGTTTGTGCCCGCGAGGTCGGCCCAATCAAGGGGACGACAATGCTCATGGTCTGATTATTGAACTGTTGGTTAGTGGATCTAGGGTAGGTACCTAGTAGTATGTATGTACATACAGTACCTCCGGCAACGTAAGATTCCTGTATTGTTCGGCGTAATTTGAATCGAAGTCTGACCAGACCGTATTCTCGGCTTACCTGCTGTCAGCTCTTGGCCGCTGTCAAATTGCCTTCTCTTTCTTCTTTCGCAGTGACTGGACTCCAGAGCGTACCTACTCTGTCTATTCCGTAGTATATTCTGTTCACCTGCAGTTGGGAAACCCGACAGACCTCCACCACCATGCCAGCCCTCCCCGATCAAATGGCCGAAAAGTCCCAACTCCTACCCTTCCGACAAGTCGTCATTATCGGTGCTGGCTTCGGTGGCCTCGCAATGGCCTGCGAGCTGAAGCGCAAGTTGAATTTCCATGACTTCATCATCTACGAGCGAAATTCCGGGCTCGGAGGGACGTGGTATGATAACAATTGTAAACCGCCTGCCTAATGTCCAGATTCAATGTAGATGCTAACGAGTATAGATCCCGGCGCAGTATGTCTACACTACCATCTGTGCTTCATGGATCCTTACTCGTGATACACCAAATTCAAGTCCCGCTGATAGCATGCTGTAGGCAGCAGACATCCCCGGCTCAGTATACCAGCTTTCATTCGCCCCTGAGCCAAACTTCACGCACGCTTTTCCTGATCGACAGCAACTGCACACCTACATGCTGAATGTCGCGCAGCGATTCCACATCCTGCCACATCTAGAGTGTAATGTCACCTGGGTTGGAAGTACCTGGATAGAAGACCGAAAATGCTGGATCGTCGAGCTCCAAAACACGCAAACCGGGGAGCGATACGTCCAAGAATGCGCGGTTCTGATCAGTGCCGTCGGCCATCTGGTAGACCCCAAGAAACTCGATGTCCCTGGGAAAGAAACGTTCCAGGGCCAGATCATTCATTCGAGTAAATGGACGGAAGAGGTGGATTTGACGGGGAAGAATGTGGTGGTGTTGGGAAATGGAAGTATGTTTTCTCGCCTCGTTCTTCCATGCATGAATATATCCTGATAATGAGCAAGGTACTGCGGTACAGATTGTCCCTGCGATTCTGGACGACGTTAAGCAATGCACGCAGATCCAACGAGTATACCTACCATCCTGCTATCTATACACTTATAATGCTTAAGCTAACTATACAGGCCCCCCAATGGATCCTCAACCGCCCAAACCCATACGTCCCCGAGAGCGTACGAAAATGCCTCGCCCTCTTCCCCGTCCTCTTCGTCATGCTACAGCATTGCGGATTCGCGCTTGCAGAACTCTTTTACCCTCTCTTAGGTCGACGGATTCCTCGCATCAGCAAATCGCATCTCCAATCCTGCGGAGTCCCCGAGAAATACCACTCCCTGCTAACGCCATCGGTCCGTAATCCCCTATCCCCGTATCCACCCAAGTAAAACCTATACTCAAGAAAAGATAGTACGAACCCGGCTGCAAACGCCTCGTCTTCGCCTCCTCGTACCTTCAAAACCTCTCGAACCCGAAACTCCACCTCCTACAGGACGAAATCACCTCCCTTTCCCCCTCCGCCGTTGAATTAAGGTCCGGCCTCTCGGTGCCCTGTGACGTGCTGATCCTCGCGCACGGATTCGAATCTGATACCTTTCATTTCCCGATCAAGGGGCGAAAGGGTCGTACGACCGCGAGGCATTGGGAAGAGGTTGGAGGGCCGAGTTGCTATAAGGGATGCGCGATGCATGGGTTTCCGAATTTCTTTATGATCAGGGGACCGAATATGGCGTCGGGGTTGGTTTGCTTTTCTTTCTTACTCTTCCTTTAACACCCCCTCGTATATTCAATTCTCTGCCCGCGAGCTCCTTTTGTACCCGGTGTTGGTGAGTGGGTATTGTGTTGCTAACAAGTGGGGTCAAACATAGACATAACTCCGTGATCTACTACATCGAAATGACCGTCGCTATGATCCTGAAGGTCGCGACCCCACTCATCCAAGGACGCGTACGGAGCGTCGAAGTCAGGCCCCAGGTCGAGAAATCATACGTCGCTGTTGTTCAGGAGGCTTGTAAAAAGGGCGTCTGGGGACGAGGATGCTCGACATATTATGTCGACGGGACGGGGTGGAACCATACGATTTATCCGTGGAGTGAGTTTCGTTTCCTCTCCCGTTATTCTATTTTCCTGTTGAGTGTGGGGTTAAGAGGTTCTAAGGGATGGCTAACGTTGTATCGAATGAATGGTGTAGACAGCTATTGGTTGTGGTTTCATCAGTTTGAGCGGGTGAGAAATTGGAGTTTGGAGGTTTGATTGAGTGTTGGGTTATTGGTATTGAGTTAGAGTTGACTGATATGTAAGAGGCCATATAGAGAAGTAAATTGTTGGAACCTGGCGATATAAATTATAAATCCATATCGTTCGCTCGACCCATCCAGCACCTATCTATAAAACCATCCCCAGTATGGCCATACCTACATAAAGCCCTAACAGTACTCATCCCTGACCCCAACCCCAGCCCCAATCCAAACTCCTATGGCTAATAATCAACCGTCTCATAAAAACTCCTCCTCCTGAGTTCCCGTCCCTTCCAAAAGAAAATCCACGGCACGGGAATCATCGCTACACTCACAAACGCAAAAATACTCCCCGCCCAATGCACCCCCAAATCTTGATACATCTGCAACGTGAACAGCGGAAACACCGCGCCAAGCAGGAACCGCAGGATACCGTTCGCCGCGACGGCCGAGGCGCCGTTGGCCACGCCGTACGTGTCCACGAGGTAGCTGACGGAGCTGAGGAAGACGGCGAGCGTGCCCCAGCCGAAAGGCACGCCGGCGAGGACAGGCACGATCCAGTGGACGCTGGGACGGGGGGTCCAGGCGAACCACTTTTCTTGGGGTTAGCGATCTTTGGGTAGATTGGGGCAAGATGAAGGAGGGGAAAAACGTACGAAAAGCCCGATGGGGAGTAAGAGACTGCCGAACATGGCGGCGTAGAGACGGTGTTCCGGGGCGACTTTGCCGTTGGTGCGCGCGGCTTCTTTGCGGTATCGAGTTGCGTCGAAGAAGGCGAAGGTGGCGAGGGAGAAGATGAAGCCTGTTGAATGTTAGGGATTCGTTCTGCTAGATTCTGTCCGGGGAAGGTGACGTGCCCACAACAAGACCGATAAACGCCAGTCCGTACTCCTTGGGCGTGAAGTTGTAGTACGTCTGATAGACGTATGCATACGATCCGAAGAACGAGAAGATCATCGCAAAGTTGAAACCGGTGTAGATACTCAGGAAGAAAGCAAGCGGCTTGTCTTTGTCAGTTGCTTCCCTATCGTCCGATACGCACGAAGAAAGCAAGCGTGTCCTACCTCGAAAATACACATATGCAGAGGACGCAACATCGCCTCCTTCACTTTCTTCATCTTCGGCGTCTGATCCTGCTCCGCAAGGGCTTGCTCGCCGCGCTTCTTCGCCCGCAGGTACAAAATGCGACTCTTTGACGTCTCCTTCATGAACAGGATCGCGAGGCCGACCGGCGCACACAGAATCAGAATCACCCAGATCGAATACTTCCAGTCATAGTCATACTGCGCGATGATGTACGCGCCGACGAGCGGACCCAACGAGGGACCTAGAAACGGGGCCAGGATGTAGGTCAACCCGACACGGCCTGCATTTTGAGGATCCCATAGATCGGCCACGGTGCCTGCACTGATCAGCACACACCCAGATAAGGCGACATATACGGGAGGGAATACAAACCAGCACCCACAGCCAACACACCCGAACCTCCAAAACCCGCCAGGAATCGAAACATCACCAGCACGGCAAAGTTATCCGACGCTGCGGCGATGGCATTAAACACCGCCAGCAGGGGAAAATTCGTCCAGTAGACGATCCTCCGCCCGTACAGCTCCGAGACAGGCGCTGCGACCAGAGGACCGAGCGTAAAACCCACCGTATACAGCGAGACAGGCAGAAGGGCGACGGTCCTGCCGACGCCGAACTGGCGCATCACGTAGGGCAAGCCGGCGACGTAGGTCGACGTCCCGACAGTTCTGCAGCCATCAGCACGGGTAGCGCGAACATAGAAGCCTCCTCCACCAGCAATAACAACGAAGATGAGATGAGATTGAGCCTACAAAGCAAATCCATAGATAGCCGGAATAGCACTGTGGAGAATCCTCTTCCACAGCGGCCAGTTGTGCGGATTCTCGACATCATCGGGCCCGTCCCAGTCCAAGGCCGGAGACCTTGGAGGACTCCTTCCGGGGAACCTCGAGGCTGACGGATCCAAGAGACCCTCCTTAGAGCCGATGCCCACGGTCGGGTCCGTGTCGGGCGGATTCTGAGTCTGACGGACTGAGAGTTCGACCATCGTACTGAGCAGCGAGGAGCGAATGATTACGGGCGTGAGTGCAAAGACATTGATTAGAGGGATTGACGATAAGCCAGCGAGTGGGTTGGACCTAGACACTCCTCTTTAGCACGCCATTGTATGGAGTAATGCGTGTTGTCTGGGCCCGGACCGGGGTGTAGTTTCTTTCTTTGTTGCTGCTCGCTGGTATAGACCCGAACAGAACAGAGCAAGGGGAGGAATCCCGTGCGGGGGACCAGCCGAGGTTGAAACAGAAAGCGTCTGTGAAAGAGAGCTGTCAGACGAGGAGCAAAAGAGGTCAAGATGATCGAACCAATGGATCCGTTCCATACGAATCCTGTTTTTGGGGCCATTCATTGAGCTATCCTCCCTTCCCCGGAATGCACCCACCCTCTCAATGCCGAATCCCTCTGCTAAATGTAAGGATATGCACCTCGGACACCCCGAACAGCCACTCTCTCGGCGCTACCAGGATCCTCGTCGTCGGCTGTCTTGGCTGGGACGACAGTTGTCCCGAAGCCGAATGATCGACCCATTCTCTTTGGATTCTTGGGTTTTACAATACGGATAGCTGCGCTCGTAAGTGTCTTTCATCGAGGCTAAATCAACGTCTCAGTCAGGTGTAACGTCTACGTTGTACACAACACGAAGCTCTATCCATGTCTGAGACGGACAATTCACAAGCTGGGAGTTCACTACCTAGGTATCGGAAGTAAATTCCCGACTCCCGTCTGACATCCAGTCTCTGCAGGATGCCGTCCACGAGCCTATTCCTGCAGTCAGCCAGATCCTCCGAGACATCAGCAGTCGACGTGCCTCATTTCTGTCCATTCAGGCGTGATTGAATTGCAAAGATACGGAAAATCGACCCCGGATACGCGGTACCTTACAATCTGACGCAGTAAATTACACAAATACCGATAAATACACGCCATACGATCGAGTAATTTGCAATTCATCCCGTAAGCCCTAACTTCTCGATGCCACCCAGCGACCTACTCCAGGTATCCCAAGTGAAGGATCTACGAGGAACTAACTTTTCGTCTGAGCTCACTACCTAGGTATCTGCGTGTCGATGCAGAAGGTAAGCTGACAGAGATGCAACTATCTGTATTCAAGCCGAGGAAAGACGAACCTACATGCTCGGCCAAGATGGCAAACAAAAGTCCTTTGTACATTAATCGTTTCATCCTTCAGATGTTGGCTGAGCGTCTTGTGCTGAGGGCTGCAAAAAGACATACTGTCCTCCACGTGATGTAAGCTGACCCTCTGCATGTTGTATTACATTGTCAGTACTGCTAGTAGTGCAGTATGATAGGTTGGAACACAAGATACAGAGAGCGTTTTTTCATTGTACAAAGAAGAGATATAAAGCAAGATAAATTGAGAAACAAGTCCAAGACACGATAGGATATACAACGCCGAAGCAGGTTTCCAACATGGCGACCGCGCCTTGGGGTGCGAATAGAGTTACAATGATCGGGGAGTGGGTCTGGAGTCGCTTTCGGTAAGAGACTCACCTACTTTACGCAGTACTTCCTCCGTACCACTTATCAGTTCTCCTGGTTTGCACGTTCGGGTTGGCTGCGTCATGTTCAATTACCCTTCTGCGATTCACCCGTATCCAACCCTTACGTAGATCTACTTACGTAGTATCCGTCATCCGCAATGAGCATGCAAGGCTACCAGTCTTCGTGTCCTACCTGAAACAACGTCGTTCGCGAGAACTAGCAAACATAAACACTAAACCAGAGCCCCAAATTACAAGTATATAGATTTGGAAGTTTTATTGGCTTTCTGCGCGTAACTTCTAGCCTGGGGCCAAATTAAATCCCCTCATCCGGTTGCGTGCGGAGTGTGTACGATGGAAATACTACCAGACCGGCGAACCAATTCAATGCCACCGTCTCATCTCTCATCCTCCGCGACCTGCCTGCATAGTATCCCCACAGTAAGATGGCTTGGGCTAATGATGACAGCTCACAGGATTTAGATCAACGCGACAAACGCCTCGTGCGGCATTTGAAGGCTCAGATCCATGTCATGGAGGGGAGGAAACGTGGTCCACAACCCCGGTCCTCCACGAGACAGGCTATCTGGGGTCTGTCATAAAACAGCTAGTGGGGTGGTGCGATACCGCGAATCGTATGTCTGATCAATTCGCGTATGTTGCCTCAGTAAGACGACATGAACAGGCTAGATGGGCCTGGGGGCTGGGCTGGCTTGGTTAAAAAAGTATCAATGTGGTAAGGTAAAATGTGTATGTCAGTCTGATATCAATTACCGGTAATAATTCAAGGCGGAGATCCTAGGGTGTAAGTGGAGTGTGTACGTAGTAGCTGCTAGCGTAGGTACCGCGGCCATCGTATATAAGTTCCAGATCGACCCTTGCCTGCGACTGGGTGAGCTTCTAGTAGACCGAGACTTAGAATAGACTGATAGATTTGAGCGACGAAGACAACCAGCAATATGGGTCAGGAATTAAACGGTAGCGCCAACGGGAATGGACTGAATGGACTTACCAAGGGCCATTTGAAAGGACACACGAATGGGTGTGTGGCAATCATTACTCTTCTAGAGGCCTTAGCTGACAGCCTGATCAGACACACCACACCACAGAAGCCATCCTCAACCCCCCCTCCCCCGATTGCCATCATTGGCATGGGAATGCGTCTACCCGGCGGATGCAATGACACCGAATCTTTCTGGGATCTCCTCATGAATAAGAAGGAGGGCATGATCCCCGTTCCTTCTACTCGCTGGAACGAAGATGGTTTCCATAATCCCTCCGGAAAGCCGGGCACGATCCGCAGCAAAGAAGGTAACTTCCTTCAGCAAGATCCTGCAGTATTCGACGCGGGTTTCTTTTCTATGACTGCGTCGCAGGTGGAACAGGTAGATCCGCAACAGCGAATTCTGCTAGAAACTGTCTATGAATCGCTAGAAAATGCCGGAGAAGGTAACGTCAGAGGGAAGAATATCGGTGTGTATGTGGGAACTTTCGCAGAGGTATGTTGGCTGTGTCGAAGTGCGGCGCGGTGGCCTTGCTAAGCGACCCAGGACTGGATTGAAATGCACGCAAAAGACTCAGAGCCACATGCCTTCTTGGGTCTGACAGGCCATTTGGACTTGATGACAAGTAAGTTAAAGGTTTTTGGAAAGAATAAGGCGTTTTATTTGACCAATCATAGGCAATCGTGTATCCTACGAGTTCGACCTGAAAGGACCAAGGTGAGTGGCAAGGAAAGCCCGATATTGACAACGGTCTAACCAGAAATATAGTATGACGATCAAAACTGGCTGTTCAGCTGCAATGGTCGCCCTAGATTCGGCATGTAAAGCCCTCGCCAGCGGCGACTGTGAATCGGCTATCGTCGGCGGTACAAATTTGATCCTTAGTCCCGCCCTCTCTTGCGTACTGGGCGCCCATGGAGTGAACTCGGGTGATGGACGTTGCCGCTCTTTCGATGCCAATGCATCCGGCTATGGCAGGGCTGAGGCTGTCTCGTCGATCGTAGTTAAGAAGCTTGATGACGCTCTGCGGGATGGCAATCCCATCAGAGGTATTATCCGCTCGACTGTCTGCAACGACGATGGAAAGACACCCGGTATCACACAGCCAAACACTGAAGCACACGAGGCATTGATGCGCGCAGCATACGCAGCAGCTGGCTTTTCCGAGGATGAATACTGCCAAACGGCGTTTTTCGAGTGCCATGGAACGGGCACTCCAGTTGGTGACCCAATCGAGGCCAGCGCTGTGGCCCGGGTCTTCGGAAAGGAGGGTATGATTATTGGATCGGTGAGGAGCTCTTATTGAACCCTCAATTGGATTATACTAACACAACGAAGGTAAAATCCAACATTGGTCACTCCGAGTCTGCAAGTGCCAACACGGCGATCATCAAAGCTGTTCTGGCACTGGAGCATCTCACCATTCCACCCAACGTTAACTTTGAATCGCCGAACCCTAAGAGTACGCTGATGACCAAGTACCTTTCTTATTCTATTCTAACAGATTGATTAGTTCCCTGGGAAGAAGGCAAACTTACCGTGCCTCTGGAAGCCATGAAATGGCCAGTCGGTCGTCACGAGAGAGTCAGCGTGAATTCGTTCGGCATTGGTGGATCCAACGGACACGTAAGGCATCACTCCTGAGACTTTGTTTAGTATCAGCTGACATCTCAGGTCATCGTGGACTCGGCTGCGTCCTTCGGCATTAAACAAGGAGGAAGTGTCACCGAAGCCGAAGTCCCGAGACTCAGCTTGCTCCTCTTGTCCGCCAAAAGTGACGTTTCTCTTCAAACATCCGTCGAGAAACACTCAAAATATATCGAGCGACATGGACCATCTCGTCTCCAAGATCTGGCATACACCCTCGCTACCAGAAGACAGCATCATGATTACCGCACCTTTGCTGTGTCTGACGGTGTCGACCCTCTGCTAACGCAACCTACCGCCAAGGCAAAAAACACGCCAAAATCGCTTGTCTTCGTCTTCACGGGCCAAGGTGCTCAGTGGGCCCAAATGGGACAGAAGCTGATTGAAGACTTCCCTCTCGTTCGCGAGGACCTTCAAGGCATGGATAACATTTTGTCGCAATGCCACACTCCTCCATCGTGGAGCATCCTAGGTAATGGCGGTGTCCTTCTGGTTGAAAGACTCTATTAACAAAGATACGCAGATGAACTTTCTAAGCCAAAGCTGAAGAGTCAGACCTCCAAGGCTGAGTTCTCCCAGCCGCTTTGCACGGCAATCCAGGTCGCCCTTGTCAACCTCTTGCGCAACTGGGGCGTCAACCCAGCTGCTGTCGTGGGCCACTCCAGTGGCGAGATCGCCGCGGCATACGCAACCGGGGCTATAACCAAGAAAGACGCGCTGCTGGCAGCGTATTTCAGAGGTTTGGCCACACGGGAGAAGCTAGCAGATGGCGCCATGGCCGCGATAGGGTTAGGCGCCGAGCATTTACGATCGTCTCTAATTGAAGGTGTGGTTATTGGATGTGAGAACAGTCCGAACAGTACAACGATATCCGGTGATCGTGAAGCACTGGGGACCTTCATCGAGAAGCTGCAAAAAGAGTCTCCAGATGTTTTTGTTCGTCAGCTCCATGTTGATAACGCCTATCACTCGCGTGAGTACCTTTTCGTTTCTGGTGTGATGCGATAGTTGTTAACTGCTCTCAGATCACATGAAGGCATACGGTGCTGCCTACGAGGATTCAATTGCTGAGATTCGCACGAGTGAAAAGCCCAGAATTCCATTCTTCTCGACTGTAACAGGGGAGGTTATTGACACTGCCAACGAGTTCAATGCATCCTACTGGCGACGAAACCTGGAGAATCCTGTTCTCTTTGATACCGGAGTGAGGAATATCATCAAGGCCAATTTCCAGAATCCTATTTTCTTTGAGATTGGGCCCCATTCCGCACTCGCAGGACCGTTGAGACAGATCTTCCAGGCCGAGAAAACCTCTCTAACGTACGTACCAAGCTTGCAACGTGGTAAGGACGACACCGAATCGATTTTTAATGCCATCGGGAACCTCTGGGCAAACAATGTTCCAGTGGATCTGGAAGCTTTGAACCCGGTTGGAGCTGTACTTGCAGATTTGCCGGCTTATTCATGGGACCATTCGGTGAGGTACTGGGAGGAGAGCCGGATTTCCAAGGAGTGGAGAGAACGAAAGTTCCTCCCTCATGAGACCCTTGGTGTTCGCCTCGGAGGCAGTAGCCACCTCGAGCCAACATGGCGAAACCTGTTGAGACTCGATGAAGTGGGCTGGGTTCGGGATCATCAAGTCGGCACTGACATTGTCTTCCCCGTGAGTATCCTCTTACCTGTATCCATGATGATATGCTAATGGTGGAAAGGGCGCCGGTTACGTCTGCATGGCAGGTGAAGCCATCCGTCAGCTAACTGGAAGGTCAGACTACTCCGTACGAGGCCTGGCAATCCGCACCGCTATGATTGTCAGTGACTCCAAATCGAACGACGTAGTGACCACATTCAAAAAGGCCAAGCTCACTACCACGACTGACTCTGACTGGTGGGATTTCCGCATCACCTCTTTCAACGGTTCAACTTGGAGTGAGCATTGTTCAGGTCAAGCAAAGGCCGGACCAATTAATCCCACGGAAGGCCGCAAAGTCGCACAGCCCGACTTCCTCCGAAAGATTACCGCGAGTCGCTGGTATACCACGATGCAAAACATCGGTTTCACTTACGGACCAGCCTTCCAGGGACTGCGAGAAATCTCGGCTGACCCCACGGGCAACGAAGCCGTTGCCATCATTGAAAACGCCCATCTTGACACCGAATCATTCTATGAGCTTCATCCTTGCACACTGGATAAGCTGTTGCAGTTAATGACAGTGGCTCAGCACGAGGGCAAACCGTCGCTCTTCAAACAACTGAGCATGCCCACATACATTGATGAGATCTACATCTCCGGCGGAATGAAGGAACTGAGGGCGACCGCTTCATCTTATAAAGACTTCATGGATGCGTGGTCAGGCGATGAAGTTGCCACCGTTGACGGCAAGGTTGTGTACGAGATGAAAGGCCTGAGAGTGACCGGATTGGGCAACAGCATAGACGTCGAGGAGAAGCCCAAGAATGCCGTTCAACTCGTGTGGAAACCGGACATTGATTTCCTTGACGCCAAAGATCTCATTCATGCTCCGTTGGATCTTCGAAAATACCTGATCGCTCTTGAGAAGTACTTCTTTCTGCTTGCAACAGATACAGTGAAGTCCATCCAGTCCATAGAGACGCAGGAAAGTCACCTCATCAAATTTCGGGCCTGGCTGAACACCTTCGTCGAGACCACAGGGAAAGGCGAGAACAAAATACTCCCTGAGGGTAGAGAGCTCGCCACGCTGAATGAACAAAGCCGTCTATCGCTCATTCAATCCATGACGGAGGAGTTCAATGCCGGCCCTGTTCATTGGGTAGCAACGGCTATTCGACGTGTCCATGAGAACGCTCAGGCCAGATACGAGGGATCAGTGGATACCCTGGAGCTCCTGATGGAAGGAGGTGTCTTGACGCAGGTAAGCAGATATAAGACGAACAAACGGAAGGCCCGATCTGACTCTCTAGATTTACGCGTTTTTCGATCTATGCTGGGATTATTCTCCCTTGCTGCAGAGCCTCGGCCATAACAAGCCCACCTTGAGAGTACTGGAGATTGGAGCTGGCACAGGCGGCACGACGTCCAATTTGCTTTCGGGTCTTCAGTCAGAATTTGGCGAACGACTATATTCCAAGTATAGCTATACTGACATCTCTTCCGGCTTTTTTGTGGCGGCGAAAGAGCGTTTCAAAGATCATCTCAACATCAGCTTCTCCGTCCTGGATATTAGCAAGGATCCTCTGGAGCAGGGCTTTGAAGAGGGCTCTTATGACTTGATCCTAGCAGCCAACGTGGGCTTTCCGATCCTATATCACAGCTTCGGAGTTCTGACCTTGCCAGGTAATCCACGCAACTGCATCACTTCAAGGAACACTGCGAAACGTGAAGAAGCTGCTTCATCCGAATGGCCGATTCCTCCTGCAAGAACTGGACATACGTAAGTCAAACCCGTCCCTAGTCGACACAGCTAACAATGGTACCAGAGGCAAAATGGATGAGCTTCATCATGGTACGTTGCAACAACGCTTTGCGAAGTTATTCAGGTTGCTGACAGATCTAGGGTGGCTTCCCGGGATGGTGGCTTGGGGATGAAGATAACCGTCTTGAGGCACCATTCGTATCACCTGAGAGATGGAACAAGGAGTTGCAGGACGCCGGGTTCACAGGTGTTGATGCCCTTGCCTACGACAATGAGCTTCCGTATCAGGTCACCGCCAGCATGATTTCCTCCGTCGCTCAACCAGCGCCCGAGAAGAGGCGGGTTACCGTGCTATACCGAGATGAGATCAACTCATTGGTGGAATCGTACAGGCGTGCTTTTGAGGATGCTGGTCATCCCACGGACCTCCGCTCCTTGGAGGAGGATTTGCCTTCGGGTCAAGATATTATATCCTTGCTGGAACTGGAGGCGCCCTTCTTTGACAATATAGATCAGCATGATCTGGAGCGAGTGATTCAATTCTCCTCTAGCCTCGAGTCCGCAAACTTGTTATGGCTGACCCGACCAATCCAAATGGGTGCCAAAGATCCTCGGTATGCACAGGTACTTGGATTTGCGCGGACCTTGCGATCAGAGAAGCAGGCTAGCTTTACTACGTTCGAGATAGACAACGTCCAGGATATTGTGGCAACCAAGAAAGCAGTGCAGGTCTATGAGCAAATATTCAGGCCAGACAACGACCCCCAATTGGATCCAGACTATGAGTTTGCCTTGCATGAGGGCATCGTTTACTCTTCCAGATATCACTGGGTCTCTGTTCGGGACGAACTTGCGTCTGCAGCCGAAAAGGTTGTTGACAAAGTCCTCAAGATTGGGCAAAAAGGAATGATTGACAGTTTGCGCTGGGAAAAGAACGTTGATGCGTCTAGGCCACTGAAGGGGCAAGAGGTTGCCGTCCGTCCTCACACTGTTGGTGTGAATTTCAGAGTAAGTCCATTGTCTCACGCTTCAAGTACGTAACTAACGATTGTAGGATGTCCTTCAAACTCAAGGTCTTATTGATGGAGATGATCTGGGAGGCGAATGCTCTGGGGTTGTTGAGGCCGTCGGTCCTGATGTCACAGACTTTGCTCCTGGTGATCGGATCTTCATGATGGTACCTTACTGCTTCTCAAACCGCGTCATCACCACTGCAGATCTTTTGGCGAAGATCCCTGATGGCTTGGATTTGGAGGAAGCAGCAACAATGCCTATCACGTTCATCACCGTGATATATGGTTTGCTTCATTTGCGTCACCTTGAAAAGGGCGATGTAGGTGCTATACGCAAGTTACCGTCATGGGTTTGCGGCTAACCTTATTGCAGACAATTTTAATTCACTCCGCTGCCGGTGGCGTGGGTATATCAGCTATTCAAATTGCTCAGATGGTCGGGGCAAAGGTAAGACACCCCTGGCGAATGTGTGTAACATCGCTCACAGCCTTTTCAGATCTTCGCTACCGTGGGCAGCCAGGAAAAAGTGGATTTTCTCATGAAGAATTTCGGCCTGCCCCGTTCTCAGATTTTTGACTCGCATAGTAACTCCTTCCTGCCATCTGTCCTCGAAGCAACAGGAGGACGTGGTGTGGATGTTGCACTAAATTCCCTGGCTGGCGAATACTTGCACGATACCTGGAAGTCGATTGCTCCATTCGGCACCATGATTGGTGAGTAATGCAGCTACGGTCGAAGGAACGCTCCTCCACTGACCGCGCTTTCTAGAAATCGGCAAGCGAGACTTCTATGGTCATGCAAAATTGGACATGATGCAATTTACCGAAAACAGAACGTTCATTGGCCTTGATGCTCGTCATTTGGAAGCGGAGCGCCCAGCACTTTGCGGAAGGTAAGATTGAACGAGCCGGACAGTTGATACGGATTGCTAAGTTTGACAGGATCTTGCGTGAATGTGCCAAGTACTTCGAACAGGGCTTTATTAAGCCCATCCGACCTATCAAGACCTTCGCAGCTAGCGAGATCGGAGATGCGTTCCGGTTCATGCAGAGAGGAACCCACATTGGCAAACTTACCGTTCGCATGCCTGATGATCTCAAGGATCTTCCTTGTGCTGCTCGCCATCCAGATCTACCTTTGCATGAAGATGCAAGCTACCTGCTTGTTGGGGGCCTTGGTGGCGTTGGACGATCAATCGCCTCTTGGCTCGTCGAAAACGGTGCCAAACATATTGTCTTCCTTTCGCGGTCGGGGCGATCTGAGAAGACCGAGCATTTCATCCAAGAATTGGAAGTCCTGGGTTGCCAGGTCCAGGTCTTCAAAGGCTCGGTCGCTAACTTTGACGATGTACAACAAGTTGCAACCCAAGCAGAGAAGCCCATTCGCGGCGCTATACAGTTGTCAATGGCTCTCCAGGTAGGATCCTTGTGATTTCCCCCGAAGACAACTGCCATTGCTAACATTCACCATGGCAGGATCGGGCAATTGACACGATGACATACGAGGATTGGAAGACCGCAATTCTTCCAAAGGTTGACGGTACTTGGAATCTACACAATGCACTGGGCGACCTCGACTTCCTGGTGTTGTTTAGTTCGGTTAGCGGACTGATGGGCCAGTTTGGTCAGGCTAACTATGCCGCTGCCAACACTTTCTTGGACGCATTTGTGCAGTATCGACACTCCCTGGGCCTTGCAGCGTCCGTTATCGATCTGGGTGTCATGGAAGACGTTGGCTTTGTCTCCGAGTCACCAAATTTGATCGAGTACTTCAAGTTTCTGTCCGCAAATCTGCTAACGGAGGAAGACTTGGTGGAGACCGTCCGGCTCGCGATCGCCCGGTCGCAACCCAGTCAAGCTGCTAACGCTCTCACCAACCCCAGCGAGATCTCCGTGGGCGTCGCTTCCTACATGCCCTTGGCGGATCCTAACAACCGCATTATCTGGAAGAGAGATCGTCGTTTCTCCGTGTACCGAAACCTCGAAACCACCTCGGATGCCTCGTTGACCACCAATGAGGGGCTGAAGTCCTTCCTTTCGCAGATCACGTCAAGAGGAGTCAGTGGTCTCGGAGACGACACGGTTGAGTATTTAGCCAAGGAAATCGGAAAGACCCTGTACGGGTTCATGATGCAGAGTGCCGACGACATGGAGTTGGAACAGCCTCTTGCCACATTGGGGTTGGATAGTTTGGTTGGGATTGAGTTGAGAAACTGGTGCCGACAACAACTGGGGTTAGAAGTCAGTATTCTGGAGATCATGCAGAGCACGCTCAAAGACATGGGCCAGAGGGCGGTGGATTCTTTGGTCGCGCGACACAGTTAGAATTAGAAGGCCCACGGGCAGATCGTGGGCGGCTTTGTTGAATGCAGTTTTGTTTTTGAACCTTATTGTAAACGTGCATCCATTCATCTGGCGGGGCCACTCAAACTCAATCTAGTCGCGAAAACGAGGTGTCACGAGATAGGGAAGGGTGCGCGAAACAGTCCGCAGGACCTGTAGTTCCGTGTCCCTTCTCAGTCCCTCATGTCTCGTGTATCTTGTGTCTCTCGTATTCCTCCGGTCTCTCCTGCCTGGCGGAGGCCAACGTGACGCGACACAGGCCTCAGGCAAGAAAGCCTCGGCGTGCTCTAATTGGTCCACGATCAGCACGTCCTCCTGTCAGGTGACTTGGCCGCCGCCAAGCTTCAGAGAGGATCAGGGAGCTTCGGGGCGGTGATCATGGCAAAGAATGACTGGGGCTGTGCGAGCGATGAAACTTGCCAACGAAGACCACGAATGTGGCCGATGATCGCAAGGTGTCAAACGCCAACGCTGAAACCGAAAGCGAACGCTCTGCATCGCCCACTAGTCAGTCTGGCTGCCGTCGTGGGTCTCGGTCCGTTGATCCACTTGAAACACCCACTTGGCCCGTTGCGATATCGAGCGAGGGCCAGCTGGGATGGAGTATGAAGCATGGAGTTAGCTAGCTTGCAGGTACCCACGTTCGCCTAGTTGGACGCAAGGGATGAGATCAGGAGAAGCCGAGGCTCGATGGGCCGACGGAGAGCGAGAGAAGAGAGAAGAGGAGAAAGGCAAGAGGGCAGCCGGCGCCAAGGAGGGGAAACGCGGCGTAGTCAGCAACATCCCCGGCCATCTGTTCTTAATAATAATAATGTTTATTTCAATTGACTCGATTGAGCCCGATCGGATCACGGCGCTGGTCAGCCGACAATAATACTATGGCTTTGGAGCCCAACACTTTTTGACTTTGGGGCCTTTCCGGGGGATTTTCCAGCAAAGCGTTACCCAACATCGGCGCACGAGCAGCGTTTCTGCCGAGACGCTGGGCGAGCTCGTAGTCTGGAGTCTAGTCCGGTCTGGTGTTGGTGCTGCCTGCACGCCGACAGAGCTCTCTCTCGTTTCCCCGCGACCAGTAGCGGCCAGTGCTCTGTTGGAAATTAATTCGTTCCTGTCCCTGCCGTCTCTTCTCCGCTCTTCTTTCTCACTTTAATTCTCTCTCTCGCTCTCTCTCTCTGTCTGTCTGTCTCCCTCTTCATCACTTTCTTTGTTTTCATCAACTCTCCCCTCCGCAAATGAACACCTGTAGCTTTTGATTCTCGTGATCTCTCGCTGTTTCCTTTTTCATCAGCTGGAAGCGCCCCCCAAGTTTGCCAACTCTCAGTCTAAGCTTCTCTTCCGGTCGGCCTACGGAGCTCTGATCAAGCACCGCGCACCTTCAATATGACTTCCAAACAACCAACAAAGATTCTCCCTAAAATGGAGAAAAAGGCCCCCTTCTCCTACGAGGTCCCGGGGGTGGAAAAGGTTGACGGTGAGACGGCACCGCGCCGAAACGTTCGGTGCAAGGATGGTCTCATCACTCAGCCCGATCCGTCGGTCAGGACCGTTTACGATATCGTCACTTACGCCGCCAAAAGGTTTGGTAATGCGAGATGCATCGGCTCGAGAACTCTACTCGACGTACACAAAGAGAAGAAGAAGGTGAAGAAAATGATTAACGGCCGGGAGACGGAGGTCGAGAAGGAATGGTCGTATTTCGAATTGAGCCCTTACAAGTTCTTGTCTTTCGTCGAGTTTCAGAAGCATGTCGGTACGCTAGGTGCGGGTTTGAAGAAACTCGGATTGACCAAGGGCGACAGAGTACACCTTTATGGCGCAACCAGGTAAAGATCCCTCGTCTAGCTTCTCACTGCGCGCGTCTCATCGGGAACCATCACTAACTGCATATGTAGCATGAACTGGCTCTCACTTGCACATGGCGCTTTCACTCAGACGCTTACGATTGTCACTGCATATGACACTCTGGGTCTCGAAGGTCTCCAGTCCTCGCTCAAGCAGACCAAATCGAAGGCTGTGTTTTTGGACGCTGGTCTTCTACCGGTTCTCGTAAAGGCACTGTCCGAAGCACCCACGGTCGAGCATGTCATTTTGAACAACGAAGCCAAAGTCAACCCGGAGGAGCTGGAAAAGCTCAAGGCGCAATTCCCCAATATCCACGTGATCGAGCTCGATGAACTCAAGACGCTTGGGGAGGAGAACCCGGCGGAACATGTCGTGCCGGAGCCGGAGGACCTGGCCTGTGTGATGTATACGTCGGGAACTTCGGGTACGCCCAAAGGTGTCACCATCAAGCACAAAGCTGTTGTCGCCTCCGTCGCAGGTGCCACTTCAATCGTGGGTGACTATATAGGACCCGGCGACGGTCTCTTGACCTACCTCCCTCAAGCTCACATTATTGAGTTCATCTTTGAAAATGCTGCTCTCTTCTGGGGTGCCACGATGGGCTATGGGTCTCCGAAGACCCTCACCGATACCTCCGTCCGCAATTGCAAGGGCGACATCCTTGAATTCCGCCCGAGTATCCTCATCGGTGTTCCGGCGGTCTGGGAAACTATTCGAAAGGGCATCGTGGCCAAGGTGAATGCAGGCGGCTTCGTTACCAAGAACCTATTCGGGTACGCTTTGACATGGAAGCAGTTCTTGCTTTCTACCGGCATTCCCGGGGTCAGCCTTCTCGATGCCCTTGTATTCAGCAAGGTTCGGGATGCCACGGGTGGCAGGCTCCGCATCTGTATGTCCGGTGGCGGTCCCCTTGCCAAGGACACTCAGAAGTTTATCTCCACGGCTATTTGCCCGCTCATCAGTGGGTACGGACTGACCGAGACCGGGGGTATGGGCGCACTCAACGACCCTCGTGCTCTAACGTTTGAGGCCCACGGTGATATCCCCGCCTCCGTCGAGGAGAAACTGGTGGACTTTCCGGAGGCCGCTTATTTCACTTCCAACAACCCCCCTCAAGGTGAACTGTGGATCCGCGGTCCCTCGGTCACTGGGGGATACTATGAGAACGAAGAGGAGACTAGAGTTGCTCTGCGAGATGACGGATGGTTCATGACGGGCGATATTGCCGAGTTCGACAAGAACGGCCACGTCAAGATCATCGATCGCAAGAAGAACCTTGTTAAAACCTTGAACGGCGAATACATCGCCTTGGAGAAACTGGAATCCATTTACCGCGCATCGCCGTTGGTCGCCAACATCTGCGTCTACGCCGCCCAAGATCAGCAAAAGCCTGTCGCAATCATTGTCCCGGCTGAGCCAGCTTTGCTGCGGCTTGCTCGGGAGAACAACATCCAAGGCCATGACCTTGAGGATCTAGTTGACCACCCACAGATCAACAGCCTTGTTCTTCGGGAACTCCAGAAGGCCGGTCGACAGGGCCGGCTTTCTGCCTTTGAGATTATTGACGGAGTTGTTTTGGATAAGGATGAATGGACTCCTCAGAATGTAAGTCCCGATCCTTGCTCCTAGAAAGTGTCATTCTAACATAAGACCATCACAGGGCTACGTTACCGCTGCTCAGAAGATCCAGCGCAAAAAGATCTTCGAGAAGAACAAGAAAGGCGTCGATAAAGCGTACGGGAAAGAATAAACTTCCTTCCAGTGCTTCCCATCTCCGTTCGAGATAAACTAAACTTCCGCATATTGGTCATCTCGGTTCATTGAGCAGGGGAGAGATCTTGGTACTCACTAATGACAGATCAGGTGTGCCCCGGCTGTGGGTCTGTAATGTGTTCTTGTATAGCGTTCCTTTGATAATATGTTTTGCCATAGTACAAATATATCCATTATTGTCTCCGCTCCGCGATTTCCTTGAATTACTGTATTGACTTCCTCACACCCTGCTAGCCACCCCAAAGGGACACATCGCTTCTTCCTCATTCACAGTAGTCGCCGACCAACCAGACCACGGGCATGTCGCCCCTCACATTACCCTTGCCAACAATTCCAACAATGTCAACGGCGATCCGCTACTCGCAGAATGACTCATATTGGAATGGAGGAATGTGAGTTAGGGAGGGGAGGGTGTTTAGCGAGCTGGAGAAGAGGTATAATAGAGGTAATTAGCGACGTTGAAGCCGGACACTCGCTGGTCAACTGATAGACCAGCTTATTGGCATCACCAGTCGTTGAATTTGCTATAGTATAACTAGTTAAAACCCAGGCAATTGCTTTAAACTGAAGTTCTACTTCGCCGCGTCCCTAGAAGAGAAACTTACCTTAAGAGAGTGGAGTGTTCCCTTTAGGCAGCATGTATATCGATCTACCACAGCACACATGCCATCATGTCTCCCTGTTTTGCATCCCTTGTTTCTGTTCGATGGTCAAAACGATGAACATGATGAGTTGCCAATCAGTCGTGCTCGGTCGACGAGGCTGTGTCCACTATCCACAACGTACTATGATTGCACAGAGTTCTTGGCTACATGGTCGGGCCAGTAGCTGTCCGGTGTCAATCCTAAGCACGGACTCTGAATATAGACAAGCTCGACGATTGCAATTGGTGGGGGTGGTTATAATTTATTTGTGGCTCTTCTACCTCTGTTCTCCCTAGTGAGTAACTGAATGGAGTCAACTAAATATAATGGCCGGGGGATGAGCAGACGGCGAAATGCTTGGCATAATTCAACCTTAGGCATGGGAAACATCCAGAGCCATTGTCAATGGAGAACCTGGCATACGGTGCACTGAGCAAAATCAATAGAGGTGTGCAGCGTCCTGTGATCAAGAAAAATAATCGACGGTCGGCGTGAATGTCTATGATGTCAGTGGCTTCCCAGAGGGCAACGCGTAGGGACCACCTGCGCATCGGATCGGATCTTCCTCTTCTGTTCGTCGTTTCCATCCCCCATCTTTCCCTCCCCGTTCATGATACATGGTCTACGGGTGGTACAGATTCAACTTGACGGCCATCCCATCTATTGCTGCAGAAACGCTCTCCACATGTCAATAAGTATTGTTGCCCTGTACTCAGGAGAGCAGGGAATGAAACGGCCTCCCTTCGGCGCTGACTCGGTAGGAAAATTAATCCTGTTCCACTGTGGAGAGCGAACCCATCAGGGACCAACGCATGGTGGGACCTGAGCATTGGATCGTCCCGTCGGCTTTCCCTCTGCGTCATCGTGGCTTGCAAAGATCACCCAATTACGGTGTGCCATCGTTGAGACTGAAGACATATCCGCCTTCGGAGGGCCTTCGTCCAATAGCGGACCCCAGAGAGGAGAGCTCAGTCGCATCGGAGGGACACTTGGAGCAAATACCCCCCTCGAGCAGTCCATATTTCGGTGTTTGGAAATCCAAATTATCCCGCCAAATGATAACTACCGCCCGCCCGCCCTGATGTCACCTCTATTTTTCTTGTCCTTCGCTCTGAATCCCAGCCGTGCTGCTTGACTGCACCATCTTTTTCAATTTGAGAAACACCACCAGATTTCTAATTCCCTACACAATGTTCACCAATAGGTAGGCATGCCCTTTATCTTCTTGGCATGGTCTCGAAGCCTAAATCCCTCCGAATGCATTGCACCTTGGGTGCCCCGCCAAGTACGGGCACGAAACAACAGCAGTGATAGCTCAAGTCATTGGTTGAACTGTGTGCTAATCTTTCTGTCTCTCGAACCCAGGGAGAACAAGAAAAAGCCGAATCAGAACCTCATCAATAACTTTCAAGAAACGTTTTCCGACGTTGTGCGACCGAATTCCGACGCCACTGGGTACGAGCCTCTTACCCTTCTAACCCCCTTTCGCTCTTGTTATCTTACAATAGGCCGATTGTTGTTCGCACATCACTGACTGCTTCATGGGATTGAAGTCTGGCTGCACCACCGGTCCGCGTTACCCCAACCCTAGACGATGCTTCCCTTCCTCCTACGTCTATTCGGAAACAAAATCACCACGATGATACTTTGAATACAACGGGGCTCGTCTCTCACATTTCAGCTGGCGACTTGCTCACTCCATCCAGCAAAATGAACGCAATGTTCGACGAGACGCTGTTTGACCAATTTACCAACAACTCGCCCGGGACAGTAGTCCACAACACATACGACGCAGTCGGAGGACAATATCATTCTCACCTTGCTCAGAACCCGGATCCATATCTTAACTATGAATCTTTCTCACCCGAAGGCTTTGAATACCCTCGAGAAAACGGTCTAAACACTATTTCATTAGGGAAGGTGAACAAACAAGGCTGTCACAGTGCGAACGTGACCAACAGGATGCCGCAGTCGACAGAGGCCATTGGGACTAATGACGAGCAGTAAGTCTTTTCTGTCATCTCAGATAGGTCCTTTTGAGTCTATCTTGTGTCTGTTCACCTCTGTCGCCAAGGTTAACCTTTTGCTCCATCTAGTTTCCGATATTGCGTGACGCTGCATGCACCAACCGCTATGATCAAGGATCAAACCGAAGCTCCCATGACATACCTCAACAAAGGTCAAACCTACATACTTTCCATCGCGGATTTAGTCCCACCGCCGGCGGGTAGCCGGCCTGCCAGGTACCGCACATCGGTGCGTGTCGTCTTCGATGAACCGGCACAGGCGATCGATCCCTCAGCTTGCTGGAAACTTTGGAAGGAGGTACGGGGGTCGAAGGACGCCAAGGAAAAGGGTAGCGATGCACAGGCGGTTGACTGCCTCGATCCGGCAGAAGGGGCAGCGGGTAAACCACGGAACCAAATACAGTTGGAAAGAATGTCGGTCGATGGGTTCTGCTGCACGTGGTCGGCAGACATTGAAACAGGTGCGCGGGAATGCAGCATTGGCGTCCGGTTCAACTTCCTCTCGACCGACTTCACGCACTCCAAGGGTGTCAAAGGCTCCCCGGTTCGACTATGCGCCAAGACAGAGATGATCGCCTCCGGTGATGACGCAGTAGGCGTCAACGAGGCTCCGGAAATGTGCTTTTGTAAGATCAAGTTATTCCGGGACCACGGAGCGGAACGAAAGCTCCACAGCGATATTTCCCAGACGCAGAAGTCTATAAGAAAACTTCAGAGGGAGACCGCGATGTCTCAGGCTGGAGAAGATGATCAACTCGGAAAACGAAAACGGGGTAACGTCTCGAGCGTTGCCAAGAGCGCTGCGGCGACGGAGGAGGAGGAACAGCGGCAGGCGCAGATCTATCGTGACGCGGAAATGCATATGCTTGGCGACTCACTCACTTCCAGCCTGCCAATGACTGTCTTCACCCAACGATCCGAGCCGAAGGACGATCCGGATCAATTCCCAATCCGATTCCCCGGTGCTTCACAGAGCCCCCCCAAATCAGACGATAGTCCGGATAGTACGGGTAGTACCGTGCCCTATTCCAATGTGACGTCGACAAGTTCCAATTCACCTTCCACCACCATTACCGAGCCCTCGAGGGTATCATCGTCCAGTGCTGCTGTGGAACAGGATTCTCCACAATCGGTGTTCAAAGTACCACCGCTCCCTGCAAAATTATCCAAACGTCCTGAATTGCCCCATACGGGATCAGGTAGGTCCATGCCGATGAATGCGTCCAGGGATCTCTGTGCTAACAAGGTTTCCTTAGCGGTTTGCTTCTATATTCGGTTCCATGACGACTGGAAGAGACAGGATCAATATCATCGAGCTTTGTATTTGAAGGAACGCACGGTTCACGATTTGACGGTGCAAATCTGCCGGAAGCAGAACATGGACCCGGACTCTGTAGCCCGTGTGCTTCATGTCAACCCGGGCGGTTTGAAAGTGATCATCGATGACGATGTAGTCCAACAGCTTCCCGATGGTCAAGACATGATGGTCGAGATCACGCGGACCTCGAGACCAACTGCGCCCGGCACGAACACTGAAGTTGAGATCATATTGAGTTTCTGAGCTCTTGTCATCTTTGCACAGGCCTCTTGATCCAGATCTCCCTTACCCTCCCACCCAACAACCCACACATACACGCACACGCGCACGCGCACGCATCGTCTTTTTTCTGAACTCCTGAATGGGTCAATTTATTTACGATAGTCTCACGAGTAATGATCAAAACTCAGCATAAAGACGCCAACCAGGTATCATGATTGCTGAGCATTCTTTATTTAGACACCTCGAGCCCTGTGTGCAATTAGCCTTGCGCCCATCGAAAACAATGGCCGGTGATCTCTCAGATTGCCAGTCTCAGGCATTGTGATCCTCCGATCGCTCGCAGGACTACCTGAGGATGACTTGGCCCTCATGGCAGTACAGCCGCACCCACGGAATTGCGCCCTTTTTAAAGTACAGATCTCAACCTGACTCAGCCTGACCCAGTGTGGTCGTAACAACAAGGAAGTTGTGGTATCAATCCGGTAGTAAGATCTATTACCGTTTTATGACGTATTTCGGTAGCAGAAACTACGGTGTAGATCAGGCAGTCAGGTATACAATAGAAGTAACTCCCACGGAGTAAGTGCAGTACTATAGTATCTATAAATCCTGCTCTTCAAAGGCCAAACCAGTAGGAAATAGGAAGTAAGATAGTGTGTGGGGATGAATTGTGTTCTGGACTTACCACGCCGTCGCCTCACCTCGATCCCCTAACTCCAGCATGACGATATTCAGAAGCTACCGAACCAACAGTGTAGGAACCACGCTAACGCACTAAACCAGCCCCATATCTGGTCGAGACCTCACAGAACGAATGTCTTCGATCGTTCTAGAATAGTAGCTTCTAGTTCGGCTAATGATTTACATGGTCCTTGTGCCTCGACACTGTAAGGCATTCTGATATGCATCTCGCCGGGACAGCACAACAACTGACCCACTATGGCATCTAGTGTATTCCGCGCATCTGGCATGTGGACGTGACTACCATGTTGCCAATCTGTGGGTATCACGATCTCCTTATCTCTCGAAACACAGTCCTGATTCTTGTCGCGTGGATCAAGCACCCTCTCATCTGATGAATGACGTCATTGTTACATCAGGGTTGATCTGTCGTGTACTCCGAACAGTTACACTTGATGCACACATTACGTGCATGTATCACCATGATAGCCTTCATGGGAAGCACTTCCTTGTGGGGTTCTGCATTCCTAGGACACATGCCGGCGCGGTAGGGGAGAGAAGGGAGAGTCTGACATGAATACCACGTCATGAAACAATAGCCTCCGGCGTCATGCAACGACGCCTTTTCGTGGGATAGATACTCCGTAGTAATGGGATGAGTCGAGAAGAGGGATATAAATAGCCGTGCTTTGCCTGGCTTGAACCAAGAAGCAACAACCTCTCAAGTGACTTTCCACTATCTCTACCTTCCGCAAGTACAATTGTATCAACATCTTACTTGATCATTCACAATGTCTGACTCGGGCCGCAAAGACTTCTCTACCAGTACGTCCACTTCCTTGCCCTTGCTTGACCTATTCTCTTGACAATCCCTGTCTAACACACTGCAGAGGCCAAGGAGGAACTCACTCCTGACTCCATGAAGTCCACACAGGACAAGGCTAAGGAAGCTACCACCGACACGACGGATCGCGTCGCACGGGGATTCCAATCTGACGACAGCAAGTCGGGACCCCAGGAGGCATTCGACAAGACCCAGCGTGGTCATGACAACAAGGAGCATGGCGGTGCTACTGAGTCTGTGTAAGTCTTATACTTGGAGAATCATGGGGACCGCTATGATTTGGTCAGGGCTAATTGTATCTCGTGCAGAGGCGACAAGGTCAAGGGTGCCTTGGGTATTGGGAAATAGATGATGATTGATGAGTTGATGGCTCGGTGTATACCACCTTATGCTTGTGCTAGTTACGGGATAATGACATGATTGAATTTGATCCAACACCTATATAATCAAGAACATGGAACAGTAGAATAACTAGAACGCTGAGATTCCCGGATCTAAAATATCAGATCAAGGATTGTAGCCTACTGTGTACATTCTCCCGTTCAGATGCTTAGAATCCTGGTGTAGTGGGGAAATGACCCACTCTTCCAACCAACCACCCTTTCCGTTCTTTCCGGATGTTTATCCCGACCTATCAGACTAGAATGCAAACCTGCAAGTGTGGGACTTTTTACTGACACAGTAAAAGAGCCCATGAATTGAGTGGAGCTGTTCGCTCCCGTCCGGATGGCCGCCGATCCCACTTGGTGCCGATGAATGACATACTTGGTAGTCCAGGGCCCACCGCGGATTGACATGAATAACATCATCGCAACCTCCGTCGGTCTTTTCCTTTTCATCTCTAATTCACCTCCATTCGTCTCCATTTGTCCCTCCTCAGAATCTCTCCTCTCTCACATCATCTCTCATCCCTCATCCCACTTGGTTTTCTTCTTTGCTCAGTACACGCGAGAAAGGAAAGGAAGCACATCCATCATGCCTGATTTTGTGCGCGTCTCAGTCCTGGGGACGACTTATGAGATCACCGACAGGTAAAATTGCCATTTTTTTTTTTGCCTTGTGACAAAGCGGCGATCGGAGCAGGAGGCTTACCGGACTGTAGATATGGTGACCTCGAACCGCGAGGTTTCGGTGCCTCCGGTGTTATTTGGTATGTTTTACCTCTCTAAATCCTCATGATAAAAAGAAAAAGAAAAGAAAAAAAAAGCGGATAGCGACCGGATGGCTAATAGTGGTGTCTCGGTAGCTCCGCGCACGACTCCATAACGAAAGATCAAGTTGTGTTGAAGAAAATCGCAAAACCATTCGATAATGTCGCCATCTTGAAGCGGACGTTCCGAGAGGTCCATTTGCTGAACGGGTTGCGCCATGAGAATGTTCGTTTCTGAAGACAGATACTTTGCAGGGAATGAGGGCTAATGCGACGCAGTTGATCAACATGCGAGATATCTTCATCTCGCCATCAGAAGACATGTAGGTTTTGTCTTGCTCATAGGCTCTTTGTTCGCGATCGATGCTAACCCAAGCAGTTACATGGTCACCGAAGCCATGATGACTGACCTCTACCAAGTGATCCGATCGAAACCGCTCGAAAGCCAATTCGTCCAGTTCTTCACCTATCAGATCCTCGTACGTCTCCCTCTGCCTCTCGCGAACATCGCACCCTCGAGTCCGCCGCTAACCGCTCATCCAGCGAGGATTGAAATACATCCATTCGGCAGGTATCATCCACCGGGATCTGAAACCCCAAAACCTCCTCGTCAACGACAACTGCGACCTCAAGATCTGCGACTTCGGGCTCGCCCGCCAGCAAGACCACCAAATGACCGGATACGTCGTGACGCGGTACTACCGCGCCCCGGAGGTGATGTTGACGTGGCAGCACTATAGTTACGCGGTGGATATCTGGAGTACGGGCTGTATCCTGGCCGAGATGTTGCGCGGGACGCCACTATTCCCCGGGAAAGACCATATCGATCAGTTCAAGATCATCACGCACATTTTGGGGAATCCGCCAGCGGAACTGGTTGATAGGGTGTATAGCAAGAACGTATGGCCTCTCGCTTTTTATGCGGTAGTCTCAAAGAAGGGTTCGGATGACTGATACTCGTTACCTATGCAGACATTGAAGTTCTTGGAATCTTTGCCGCCACGAGAGCCACGACCGCTCTCGTCGTTCTTTGTGGGTGTTGAAGAGGAAGGTTTGTTACCCTCTCTATGAACAACTCTCTCGACGCTTGACATCGGTGCTAACTATGCTAAAAGCGGTTGACTTGATCGGAAAGATGCTCCAACTAGACCCATATAAAAGAATCACCACCGAAGACGCCTTGGCCCATCCATACATGGCGAACTTCCACGACCCGGAAGATGAGCCCGTGGCGGATCGCAAAATCGACATGTCCTACGAAGAGATGGAGCTGTCGGCAGAGGAATGGAAGAAGAAAATGTAAGTCCTGTTTTCAGCGCGCCTCAAGCCTCCGACGGGAGAAGTAAATGGCTAACGATGGGATGCACTAGGTACCAAGAGGTGCTCGACTTCCACGAGGGGTCCTGCTCCAATGTTGTGCAGAGCATCGAGGAGGAGTAAGAGAAGAACAGTGACGACCTAAAGCAGCGGGACTTCGAGTTCTGCGAAGATATCTTTTCATGTCATGTCATGTCATTTCGCATTGTGTCATTGTAGCGATATAGATAGTTAGCCACGATCATTAGTATATACAGATATTAGTATATACAGATCTACCGCTTTTTGCTCACCAAGTAGCTAAGCACACCTAAAACGGCCTAGAATAACCACCAAACACAAGGTAAGCGAAAGACCAAAGATCTGAAAACAGGTAACTTTAATGAATTATATGCAAGTAGATTATACGTATAATCGCGACAATGAAAGAGTTATTCTTCTTGGAAACCGTCCGAAGATACTATGTAGTAGATAAAGATAAAATTATATAAATAAAGAAAACTATTCAGTAGCGATTATAGCCGTTGAAATCCGGTTATAAAGAATAAATTAAATTATGTTTCTACCCGGTCGGATCAAATTTCGCAAGGTTACTGACAACGTCCTGAAAAGACAGCGCCGAGCTCAAGATTCCGTGGGCTGTGGCCCGAATAATATTCTTTCTCTCCTTCCATCTCTTTGTACTACACCTCTGTCGCCTAAACTACCTCGTCTAATTTCTTTTTTCGTTTATGTATTGCCAGCGTCCTGTCAATTGGTTTCTATCTTTGGAATCCCTAAAACTGCCTACTAGGTTAGGTTTACTTCCGGATGTTTGTTTTTGTTTTGTCACGTACTCCGTGACAGTCTTTTTTTAATATGTATTCTCCTTTTTCATTGGCTTTTAGCTGGATCTCCAAGGAAGGAAGACAGAAAACGCGACAAGGTAAGCACGCAAACTAAACTCAATATCAGCAGGGATTCGTATCCTCTTTACCCAAACCTCAGTATTTCCAACACCAGATCTCCAGAACAGACCACTGTGATACGTATGCGCCCTCTCAAGTCACGTCCTGCTAAGAAAGAATGCGTCGAATTCGAAGCGGAGGTGAAATCAAAGTCTGCAGACCCAGGGAGTCTGTTATGGCATTAGTCGTCCTCATCGGTATCAACGTCCTTCCATTCTAGTGGGCACGCAGGATGGATCCGCCAACGTGGTCCGCGAACAACTTCCAACAAAATTTCCTGTGCATAGTCAAACACAAAGAATTGCCCTCTAGCTCCGTCCGTACACCACATGTCGTAAAAATAAATACGACGTTCAAGACCATATACATGCTTGTTAATCTCGTGGTATACGCTCCTAATACGTTCCCCTAATGCCTCGATGCTGGGGTAGCTGCATTCTGGCTTGTCCCTGAATCTGTCATTCAGCTTAGCATCACGGGGCAGGTAAAGATCAATGCGCGAGAGTTCCTGCATGATTATCAAATCCTTCGGAAGTTTTCGTGCAATTGACTGTAGTCGATGCTCCCGATCCTTGGGCTCTTGAATAAGTAGCCCCCACATTTGATAGTAGCATCGTGTCAAACGACGTCGCTCTGTGGGCAAAAGATATTGCGGACGTATGCCAGACCTGCCGTTGAGGAAATGATAAAATTGCACCCGAGTCGGGAGAAAGTTATGGAAGCTGCATTTGGCACGTATTTGAGGAATGATATGTGTGTTGAAGTAACACATTACCTGATTTACAACGGCCAGGTTGCGCGCCATGCGCCGCACATCCCAGACCGTCACAAGAGAATCGGGACCTGAGCCCCCTTGATCCGCAAGCAGGTTGCGCGCATGGCGGTGGCATCCTATCTCGATTGGTGCAATCCGTTTGTATATGGTAGTGGTATTTTCAGACCACACCGACTGAAGACGACGGCATGTTGCAGCTAGCCGGTGTACAAAGAAAAATGACCCAAGGTCACAAAATATCTCAACCAACACTTCTGTAGGCAGTGTTTGGAGGTAGTAATTGTCACAAGGCGGGAAATCGTCATCTGTGAGAACCCACCAATCGCTTGACCGGGATGGAATGTGTTTCTCCATGTCAAACACTTGACTGCTTCTGAGAATTTGAGGTGCCAGGGGTAGGCTGCCAAAGTGGAAGAAAACAATTGAATTGGTTCAGATACTGAACTATCTAGGGATGGCAGAAGAAAGCCCTTCTATTTTCAGTATCACCTGGTCTTCATGACCGATTCCATGGAGGTTTCCTCTCATTTTCAAGGAACCTGCCCTAAGAACTTGCCTTTAGCGGAGGTTTGGCGGGTTGCTCGAAGCATCTAATTCTTCTACAGAACCCACCAACCGTTTGGCTGGGACGAAATGTGTTTCTCCATATTATCATCTATATATGCAGTTAGATAGAGAAATTGTGAACGCTTGCACAAAAGAAAAAATAAGAAAGAGGAGATCGGGGACATTTTAGAGCCGCCTGGAAAGGCGAAGAATGGGAAGCATTCAATAACCACGTTCAGCTTATCCCAAATGCGAAGCACGTTTTCGTTCAAACTCCCTCAACCAATCAATCTTTGTGTCGATAATCATCTAAGAGCTAGGCCCAGACGGCACAACTAGAGCGTTTGAACGTTTGATTGTCTGGAATCAACCCCTGATTGCTTGACAATCAGGGTAACTCAGTAATTGCGCAGCAACTAGATATTAGACTACCTAGCCGGCCCCAGTGTAGGAATGTAACCCAAAAAGGTCACCCTCTGCCTCATCCTCGTGCTACGGTTTTGTCAATATCTCTATTGACTGGAATATTCTGCCTGCATTTGATAGCTTGAAGTGACGTATTGAGGTAGCTAGCATTCCGGCCAACACACATGCAGTTATGGCTTCAAATCCCTTATCCCGTTTCACAACTCAGCCCTTCACCCCGCTCCAAGGATCTCATCCTGGAATCGGGGTAGAGTTTGAGACTAACAGGGTTGCACTCCGAACCAGTAACCCCAACTTTTCAGACCGTGATCTACAAAATGCCAAAGGAAAGGTACTTGCGAACAGAAAGGGACGGCATTGGAAGTTAACAGGGGATGACACTCCTGGGGGTGGCCTCCTTCATGCAGAATACATACTAGACGGGAGACGACTAAAGCTGGGTTCTGGGAAGGCCGCTCGAGCAGCATGAAGAGTTGAAAATGACCTGGTACGTTCAAAGAGACCTCTTGCATTTAGTATGATTTAACAAGGTGCAGGAGGACTGGTGCCCTCGCTCAAACGCACCGAATTTTGGCAGTTTCGTCTGGGTAAAGGGTGAGAAGATTGAGCATTTGAACCCATTTATCATCATGGCACCAGGGGGAAACGAAGATCAAAACAGAATCATATGGAGTCGACAGGTAACCGCGCCAATGCCGTTGCGGGTCATAAATAGATTGATGGGGCAGGTAATCCTTCGTGAAGCAGGACCTCTATTGCCCGGAGTATCCACATTTGAAAGGCGAATGGTATGGGTTCGGCCGGGGTATTTCCAGTCTAGGCCACAGGGGATCAATCCCAGGCACCTCACTGAGGACGCCCTAGGATTTTTTGCCCTCGTTCTAAGCTATGCCAAGTCATCAGCTTCCCCAAGGGGCAGCAGCCCTAAGTTCTTGACCTCGATTATGCCAAGGACGAACTTCCCCACCATGTGTCTTCTCGCTAACCTGCATAACATTTTGAGGGATATGTCATTCTACGAGTCAGTGAAAATAGCCGCGTGCTATGGGACTGATGGAATGGGATTCATCGAGTGAGTAAGACTATCTATCTTATTTTTAACATCGGCTTACAGAAGAATGATTAGCATCGATCCAAGGTACAGCAATGGTACCCTGCAACAACCCCTGCCGAACAATAGGCTCGATACAACCCAATTCGTCATCGGTCAGAACCAGATCAGTGTGCGGGACTGGATTGAAGGAACCCAGCATGACACAGACAGTCTCAGTAAGTTTGACAACGATCACGCTGATACCCAAATCGGGGCTCTTGGAACGCGCACCGAAAGGGTTTTTGGTAGACTGGAGCCCGCCCCAATTTTTGAGTTTAGGGACTTGGGCAGTTCAAAGAGAGAAACATTCGTCCGTGACGTTGTGGACGCCGAGGGATGCGTGATCAAGCTCCATCTGGCATCTTAGTAGCTACACCTGGAGTATGGAGGCGCTTGTCTCGTGTTTCTCGAATCTCCAAGCACACGAACGGATGGTTCTCTCGATACAAAAGCTCCACCACCGTCCGGCTTCTCGCGCCCTCAAAAACAAACCCACCAGGATGAATTCTGATTTACAATATCGCAGATCGTAAACGGCGTCTCATGAATAGCATACCTCTTCTCCGAATCTTCCCTCCGGCCACAAAAACAAGAACAAGAAGAACTGTTCTTGGGCTTGAACGTCCATCAAATCTACACAACCGCCAAAAGAGCTTCTCTTATACGCAGATCGAATAACCGCCGGAACTGTTCCTCGTCTCCTCTATACCATTGAACATATACGATAACCAACTGTGCCATATGGCCAGACATCGCGGCCAGACTCACTTTCACCCTTTCAACTACTTGAGCTTCGTTGTGGTGTCGAGGTCAGCGGAGAAGAGCCTGGGATTGCACCGAGCTGAATCCGCCTCGTCGTGTTCTTATTTGGAGGATGCTGTGAGTGTGGAAGTAGAAATGGTTTATATTTTGTGTGATAGATGTTCCTGTTCAGATATAATGAAGTGGGTGATAGAAGAGGAAGAGAATTCCCATATTATTAAACATGTATACATGCGCAGGAGCAAGTTAGGGCAAGTCACGGGAAAGGATTGCAAATGGCCAATGTGGACTGGTAGGCTGGGCAGCGCTCTTCTTGTCATTCCCTGGAGTTACCAGTTGCAAATTCACACTACAGAGATGAGCAGTCTCCTGGGTATTTCTCCCTATAGCAGACACCGTATCTTGTGGGATAAGTGATGAACATCTATTGCTCTAAGTAATCTATAAATAGGTTCCAAGGCTGGATGCAAGGTTGAGGACTAAGCGTTTCCCAATCTGACAATACATGAACTAAGAGCCCCTTATTGAATATTGTCACCCAAAGGAGAACAACAGACGACGTGACCAGCTTCGCAGCTCCTGAAAGTCGCGATAGATAACATCACGCTCTCTATTCACGTTATCCAGGACATAGCCTACGACCCTGGCGCGTAGGTACGCCGAGATTTGGGCAGACATCCCCGACGTCACACATCCTATGGACTTGCATGTTCTCAGATCACCATAACATTTTACCTCTACAGCTTCAACTAGACCATGCCACGTCTTTCCCAATCCGTATCCCCCCAGGGCCGATGCACATGCCTGAGGAAGCATCGGCAGCACCGGCACTATCAGCTATCCAAGACACGATACACGACAGCAGGAGTCCTTGCCTTTCCCCCTCCGGAGATTTCAAACGACACCACCCGGCATAGGATAGTAATTATAAGTAGCCTCTGCTCACCGAGGACGCCGGCTAGCTGATTAACTTCTTATAAATTAACGGCCTCTAAAGCTATGTATCCCGAGACACTGCGACTTTCTGGTCGCTGAGTTATCCGAAGAGAAACTCCACTATTAACTATATCGTGACCGACAGCTCCGACCGACTCATTAAATACCACCTCTACTATAATAACTGTATCTCTGACCACCGAGTAACATGGAATAGAATCTTTAACTATAGCGCAACCCCGCCGCTAAAGCAAAGAAAGTCTATAATCGAGTCGATTGGAAAAGATTAGAAAGGAGATATAAAGACCTATAAGACTCTGAATGATCCCAATCACAATCAAGATATTAGATACTTCTATAAAGAAGTCCACGGAGGAAACCGCAAGAGCGGTCGATTATATTCCGGACCTACAGCCGCCTCCGCACGCACGGCGTAAATAGTAAGAGAGCTGCGTGATGATAGAGCGGAATGACCCTCAGACTATAATGCTCTTCGAAAACACGCTCTAGAAGCGACGGACACGGACGCGAACAATTTAAAAAGTTAAGATATTCTATCAGAGTCCTGAGTATCCTTACTAAAGCGGCGGCATCTATAAGAGGAAAGTCTTAGTTTGTGTTGGAAATTGCGGTACATATAGGTACCTATTAATATTATTGAATTTCAATCTGACTCCTCGTCCTCACATCCCAGAAACACCACGATGCAAGTACAATTATCACTGTGCTTCTCCCTGCCCACCAACTCAATCGTCGCGCCCGAGATATCCTTCGCCGAATGGCCCTGCTTCTCCATCGTCCCGATCAGGGTCACCAGCTTCTCGTCCTCCAACGCATCCGTCACGCCGTCGCTCGCCAGAATCAAGATCTGCTTGCTACTCGATCGCGAGAGCCTCCTGGTCAACGTGAACGGTAAGCGCGACATAAAGTCGTCTTCGGTGTTGCGGCAATCCGATTGCCCCGCGATCATCTCCAATCCTTTCTCGACCGCCGTTTCGTTCAGCGGTCGCTTGAGTTGTAGATCGCCTAGAGCGCGCGTCATGTTGATCGCGCCTAGTCGGTCCTCCCCGGTTACGTCGTTCAGCTTTCCGCCGGCGAAAAAGATCCGGTCGCGCTCGTCATTGTCGGACGGTTTATGCGAATGGGAAAGTCGTTCCTAGATAGTTTGCTTGTTAGCCAAGACCCCTCCTTATGTCGATGCCCCCGATAGGCGCGGCACTTGATAACCGAAAAGCGACCAAAAGAATAGTCACCAGAAGAGGACGACTTACAACACGATACCCATCCCCATCCTTCTTCCCCCAAATGATCGGCGAATCACCTAGATTCGCCACCAAGAGACTCCCGCTCGTGAGATCCAGCAGACACAACGCCACCGTACACCCACACATAGCGGACTCGTCGCTCCCGCCACGAAACCGCTCGTAAAGTTCGTCGTCGATATCCTTGAGACCTAGCACGATGGCCTCTTCGTACTTTCCGGAGCGGAACTCCTCGCGGTCTGCGATGCGGCTATGCAGACTCTGGAACGCAAATTCGGATGCCTCGGCGGATCCGCTGGTTCGGTGTTAGACACCTATCCAACTAGGACGACAACAAAATAAGAAGACAAGAGGAATCTAATTGACGGGAAAGACACGTACTGGCCATCGTAGACGGCAAAATAAGCTATTTGGGCGCCTTGGGGCGGGGAGAAATCGTGTGGAAGAATACATTTGTAGCGGTCTTCTTGATGGTCTCGACTTCCTTGGGCCTAAGGGGAGGCGGGGTTAGACTTGACCTAATGTACGTGGAGGAGAGAGAAAGCTAAGAATATACTATACCGTACCGTTTGCCCAGCCGAGTCTAAGATACGAAACCGAGGCATTCCGTTGAAGGAGGCAGGAGTTGGGGGACACGAGAAAATTGCACGTCTATACAGCTTGGACGGTGGGATGACGGGTGTTCCTGAGATATATGGGATTTGGGGCCTCGGAACCCGACGATCTTCTAGTTTTGGAGGGGAGCAACGCATAGAATGATGTCATACTTTGGAGGCAGACAATAGAGAGAGAAACTTCTTATGATTGGACGGCAAGGTTGTCCGGAGAGCCGCTTGCGCAATGCGGTGGAGCGTTTATTTAAGCTGTCCGTAGAGAAGAAATTAGGTAGTGATTACATATTCCGTATAAGACCAAGGCAATGGCCACCCCACGTGATACCAAGCATCGACCTTGTCCACGGAACGCGGGCGCTTTCCATCCGTCTTACACCTATCCATGGCATCCATTCATCGGCTTGGACTACTCCAGTCATCACAGTCCGAAGAAATTTCCGTTAGGAATCCGTGGCCGGATGTGGTTCCCATCGACAGATGGATGGATCCTACACATTCACCCATCGCAACTTCACCGATGCCGGATCTTTCACCGTGAGCGTCAATTTCGAAACCGACTCCTTCATCAACTCTTTCAACTCGGTCCGCTTGTCCTCCATATGCTCGCCCTTGGCAACCAGTGGCTCACATCTCGTCGAGTGGAATAGGGTTACTAGCGTGGCCACAAACTCCACCTGTGACATCTTCATGCCAGGACAGACTCGAGGTCCGCCCGACCATGGCAGAAACGTCCCCGAGGGAGGAGTGATAAGTTCACCGTCGCTGCCGATCCACCGGGATGGGTTAAACTGCGAGACGTCGGGACCCCAAATCTCAGGGTCGGCGTGGATAGTGTGCGCCGACACAAATACCGGCATAGGACCTGTGAGTAGGTGAACCTTGTCCGATGATGCGAGCTGCTGCGACTCGGCGACGAAACGAGTGGAGTGGAGAACGGGAGTGAAGAAACGGAGGGTTTCGTGCTGTTACGCATGTCAGTCAGGGTGAAACTGAGCCACAGAGAGAGAAATGACGGACCATTACAGCCAAAGTGCGAGTGCATTTTGGAAACACCTCCTCATACCTCCATTGCGATACGTCCGAGTCAAGACCACTCATTTCCTCGCGCATCCATTCTTGCCATTGCGGATACGCAGCCAGGAGAATCACCGCGTACCCCATAGTGTGAGCCGTGGTATCGAACCCGGCAGTGCTGAAAACAAACAGATTGCCGCTGATTTCGTCTTCGGTCAGCGACAGCGACGAACCCGACGCTTCGGCATGGCCTTTCTTCGCCTGATCTGAAAACCGGACCAGCATGCTCAGTAGATTGTCGCTCGACGAAAGTCCATCTGCCGCAAGTTTGCGTTCCTCCTCGAGCACCTGCTTTGTATTTGATGGCATCTTCTCGATATGGCTGCCGAGAGCACGAATAGCGTCCGGCCAAACTGGCAGCTTGAGCATCCATGTGGGAACAATAGCCGCAGCAAGTAACATGTCAGCTACCATGGCGATGGTTTTGAAGTACGCGCCTTTTGCGTCGACCTTTTCGTCCGCGCTACCCTGAAGCTGAGGTGCCCATGCATGTTGTTGCCCGTAGCCAGCTCGGCCAAGCACGTTGATTGCCAGGCATCGCAGTCCGCTGAGAGCTTCATTACCAGGGTGCTGGAGCATATAAGCAAGCATTGATTGTGCCTGTGCGCAGCTTTCCTTCCAGACAATTGTACTGATGCGCTCGTTGAGGTTGGGCGCTATGATACGTCGTTGACGCTGCCTAGATGAAACTGTTATTAATGAACTTGGTGTGGATAAACAGAGGTACGAACCAGTCGTCGCCATCTACCTGTATAATTCATTAGCAGATGCATATGAAACGCTCAACGGACAATCTACCTGAAGCACATTCGATCCGAAAATCCCCATGAATTGAGCGACGGCTGGCGATTGAACAAAGTCCTTCCGTCGTTGCAGGATCACCTTTCCAAGGACTGGATCTGCAGACCTATTACAATGTCAGCTCCATATTCTAATCAACGTCTCCCAATCGACCACACACGCAATGACACGGACTCACCACAAGCTAACTTCTTCTGGCGTGACCAACGCAAATGTTTTGCCCACTCGACGATGAATTGCCCCATTTTGTCGAAACTCCCAACCATGGAGGGTCACGTCAAGTCGGTCATGGAGCCATCCTGGCAGATAATTCTTCAAATAAGGCAGGAGAATGGGACCAGTGACCATCCAAGCTGGGTTCTGAGACAGAGCCGGGGAGATGTATACCGGGAAGCCAGTTCGACGGGCCCGACTATAATTTTTCACTAGGGCGACGCATTTCACCAGCAGGAAGACCGCGCTCAAAGCGGTGATGATCAAGACCAGCATATTTGCGATGGTAGGATCAATTTCTCCAAAGGCAGACGGATTTCGCAAACAAGCGGAGTCTTCGTTTAAGTAAATACACCGTTATGATTTTTAACATCTCAAATGGGCCCACTACGTGATCGCAAGGCTAGCCGATGGCCACCGAGACAGATACTACTTTGGTTCATATTGGCGCTAATGGCTCCACGCCGAATCCTACAGGAGCCCTCCGCCATATTAGTTTTCGCCAGGATCCTTAGTTATCACTACTCTACCATAGGCGTAGGTGAGGCTTAATTTGTTCGGTTCGTTTATTTTAGCATTGGTGCCTAGCGCCCACTTGGTGGATCCTCTCTCATGCACTAGCCGAATTTACCGGAATGTGAAGTTAATCTGCGCAGGGAAGAACTGGATGTTTGCAGTAAGGGTCTTGAGCGACAAGTTCCGGCTGGCTGTGGCCATTCCGAATCATGCTCCATTCGTCTCCGTCTCCATAAGCTATTCACATCCCGAAGACCTAGGATGACATATCAACCTTAGAACTTTGTGCAATCCATGAACAGAGCCTCACGATTATATACCATGCTATCTTTCGGCTCTCTAAACTTGAAGTCCGACATATCTCTACCAACTTCAGTCTATGCATCCACTACCAGAACAACCCTCTCAAGCAGGATTATACCCCTTACTCCAATCCACACAATTCAGATCCAGCTTCGTCCGATCTACGTTCCGACACGTCACCAAATTCGACCCGTTGATGGACCGAATATCGACATCCTTCGCCTCAATTCCTGAACAGGTCTCCGGACTAGAACAGACCAGATGCGCAACTAGCGGCGCAAACACGCGATTCGTCCGCCCCCGGATATTATGGAACTTCACATCGGTGATGTTCAATTTTGCCTGGTCACAGATCAGCCCCCTTTCAAACCCTCGAAATCGAAACGAGAGGGACAAACCGGATGCTTAAAGCATTCCTCCTCATCATCCTGCCCATAGCACTGCGTGATAGTCAACCCGTAATCAACATTATCCAACCACATCGTATCGTAAGTGACATTGCGGACGAGCCCGCGACCTCCACCACCGACCAAACTAGTGGATTTCTCGGAGTACGCGTCAGGCCATACTTTGATACGCGCGCCCTCGGACGAGTTATACATGCTCACGTTGAAGACGTGGATGTTCTCGACGTAGTCGACGCGCGAGGGGTACTGGCCCAGACTGCCGACTGAGATGCCGTGGGTGCCATTGCAGTGCATATTGCGGACGGTGATGTCGGTGCTGTTGGGTTTGAAACTGACGCAGTCTGTTTTGGTACAAGGAATTTAGTTGTGGGTTTGGGGGCGTAGGTAAGAAGAACGACAGGGAACCCAGAGGGAGTAGAAAGAGGACAACAAACCATCACCATTATTCACCGTCGAGTTCTGGATCGTAATCCTCGTCGAGCGATACGTATCCCAACCGTCGGTATTCTTCTCGAAATTTTCATTATCGCTGACCGAATACATATAGATATTATGGAACGTAACATCCGCCGAGTCCATCACAATATTATGCCAAAACGGCGAACTCAGCATCTTCAGGTCCGAGATCGACCCGCCCTGCAAGCCCGCCGTGGCCAGGAGAATAGGTCGTTTAATAGTCTTGTCTTTCGCATAGGCATCCCACCACGGCTGCCCGTTGCCGTGGATTGACCCGCCGCCGTAGACATTGACATCCTTACCGCCTAGCAGGACGAAGCTGGTGCTGTTCTGGAACTCGAGGTCGAAGGTGTGGTTCTGCCAGTATGTCAGGTCATCGGAGAACTGGATCGCGCCTTGGATGTCGAGGTCGACGTGCGAGAGATGCGTGAGGTTGAGGGCTCGGCCGATTAGATAGTTCTGCTCTCGTGGGAAGAGAACGTGGCCGCCATGATTGCACGCATTGACGGCTTCCAGGAGGTACTCCGAGTCGTCGGTGGTGTGGTCATTGTGGCTCTCTGCTACGCAGGTCCGGTTGCGTGCGGGGGAATCCCTGGCGTGGAATGGTCGAGGCGAGCGAAGGCTTTTCAGAAACGATTCAGGAACGCTGACCCTGTCGGAGGCAAGGGATCCTGAGAGTAGACTTGCTACTGCTAGGGTTAGGGCTAGTGCGGGGGACTTCATCTCTAGAGAATTGGACTGTCGAGTGTAGACATCCTCCCAGATCCGACTCATATGCTGAAGGCCTCTTTATATAGATAATCGCCAGATCCATACGAATTCTCCGCAGGCCATTCCTCCGGATTGCAATTTTCCGTCTTGTCTGTCGTGGCATTCGAATTCTGTCAGTTGTTTGGTTATCCGAGATCGTCGGATAAGGCAAGACTCCGCATTTTCCCCACGCTTTGTTGTTGTGGGGGAGTTTGCGGTGCGCTATGACGACATTTTCTGTTTGCTGCACTTAGTAGATCTAGATATTTGCGGTAAGTTAGAGGATAGACTGGGACTGGCTATAGTAAAAGCCATAGCTAGGGTCCTGGTAATATTTATAAATTGAATGTTGCGTTCATCTAACTAAAGAAAAAGGATTCTTGTTTGTGCATAATTGCTCCTATTAAATACTTTCACAGGCCACTATTTATTCTGTAGCTGGACCATTTGAACTCGATATGAGTAATATTGGCTCAACCCAAACAGGACTAACTGTGCTCGAAAGAGGTTGATACGCCAAAGCCACGAAAGTCATGCCCAAACATCATAATCTGTCTGATAGGTCGAGACCTGGGCGTCTAGTTCTTAACGGATGATGCCGATAGAATTTGATAATGGCAGGTTCATTCACATCCAGACCGATGATCAGGTATCCTGGCTCTGAACTAGTGAAAAGGAACAATCTGGCGTCCAGAATATGAATCACATTTGACTAGTCTCGTGGTCAGGAGCAGCCTGCTCTACAGGAATGCTGAGAGGCTATATCGCTTTGGTCCAGACACAGAATCAAGCTGTATGTTATCTCTACTTCTTCCTTTATAATCTAAATCTGTGAGCACAAACCACTAATGAGGTCAGGTATTCTTATTCCCAGGGCCTTTCAGCATTGATCAGAAACACAACAGGCTATCTCGTGGCCAGCATGGCGATACTGTGAGTGGATCTTATCCTGATGTTATTATCCCTTCAGATCTGATCATTCGTTCAACAAGGCATCCTACTATAAACAACAACGTGCTCGACATCCTTGCATGCAAGTCACAAGACTGTCTGGTGATTTCGCAGTATCTTATTTTCATCTTCATTGTTTGTGGCCTGTGGGTGATGGGTGTCATGCTGTATCATGTCTTGCCATGTCTCTCTTATTCATGGTAGATTGTTCTTGATGGGTAGGATCGTTGAAGCTCTTGTGGTATTATGCTGAATGAATGGGCTTTGTGAGCTCATTTCGGATTCATTTCGAAGGAATGTTCATCAACAGATAGTGATATGAGCATGATGAGCCCCTATGCTATGATGTTACTACCGATGCCGCATTCTCCCTGAATTTGAATCTGCAACCTCAGTTAATTTACTTTATGTGGTCATGAGAGTTTGAAGCCTCAGCTACATGCTTTGTATTTCTTGTCAAACGGTCTCTATCACATCCGATTGCTGTCATGAGCTTCTTGCCACAAGGGAGAAATGGTTAGCTGTGCCAGTGTTTCAACTTCATTTGTTTCTGCTCCAAAATAACTGGAAATTATCTCTAAGTATCCCTATCAAACTAATATACGGCTTCAACCCTTCCACTGAATGACTACTACCTGACTCGTTGATTGGTGGATAATTGTATTCCGACTGGAAGGAATTACTCCACTGGTTACTAGGTAACTCAGGCTCATTTAGGGGACACTTCACAAGGAATTCTCTAGCTCGTGTCTCTTTCGCTACAGATCCCACAAGAGAATGATCAATGACATGCTTCGGAGCGAAGATATCTCAACACCCGCGATACCGAGTGATCCATAGTCTCCGAGGCCCACAAGTCTTAAGGATGGAATTTTATTTCCACTTATTCCTAACCATGCATCATGAAGTCCAATTTTCCATGGTGCTCAAAGACCTTTCGGCATGCTAGCATATATTTCCATCGAGCTGCGATGTCGACCAACACCCAAAACCAGAGACAATCTAGTGGTATACAGAACGAGTGTCACCTAGTAAATATCAGACCATCGCTCTCGCATCTCTGGCGTGATCCCTGCAACTGTATGCGCAAACTCTACTCCCAACCAACTGTCCCAGTCCCAGTCAATCCAATCCGAAAACGGAAATGCGTGATCCCTACGTTCATTCCACCGCAAAATGGGAGATATATACTCTCCCAGGAAAGAATTAACCTTCAGCGCAATGGGATCGTCTCGTCTCCGATTGAACAGGGCGTGGGCGAAGTCAAAAAATACCACTTGAGGGTGAGGCTGGTCGCTCGTTGGCGAACGGATGATGACATTTCGTGGCTCGACGTCCAAAAGCAATAGATCCTTTTCATAGATCCGACTTTCGAGATCTACGATTGATTTCATGATGTGCTGACGGACTGGCTGGGGGAAGGACTTCGGGTCTGCGTTTGCAAGTGTAGTTCCCGAAATGTACTCGATCAGAATCATTCGAACGGTTCGTGTTTGTTCTCCATCTGTAGGTAGGTATAAGGAGTAAGATCCATAGTATTTCGGGATCGAGTGACCCTGCAGCTCGCGAAGCACTGGATACGCGTTTGCCTCATGAGTGTAGTACTTGTCCATGCAGGCGAACTGGTTGAGATAGCCCTCGTCGTCATCGAAGTAGACCGGGTCGTATACTTTTGCAACCAGCTTGGTGCCCTTGCGAGGAGGTAATGGAGACGTTGACGATGACAACTGGACAGTGAATACCTGGGAGTTGTGCTCATCGCCTCCCTTTAGGATGTCGATAATCTCAAGGCTGATAGTGTCATCCCCCTCTTTGCCAGGCAAAGGGGGCCACTTTAAGCATCGATCGACTGGGTCCATGTGCTGTCTTTCGGTTCTGTCGCTTTCACTATTGATGCAGCAGTCTCTGGCCACCAGAGTCGGAGGTGGAGGAGTGTGAGATTTTGCATCAAATTTCCATCCGGGGATGTACGGAACTGGAGGCTTAGGATGCTCCATCGGAGGAAACATCATTGGTGGCGGCGGGAAGACGATTCTGTCTGTGTCCATTTTCAATAAGAACACACGCGCAATCTGAACTCGGCGGGGGTTTGAAGGAGGAAAAATCGGCAATTAGGGTGTGAAGCCCCTTGCTTCGCTGGCGAGCTTAGGCACTACAGTATTCTCCAACTCCCCCCTATAGATTCTGTGAGCCTGGGCGCTGCAAGATTGATATACGAGCAAAAGAATCCTGTATAAGTGCGTGGGTAAGACAGGGAGGAGAGTGTGGGCGCGCGAGCAAGTACGCTTTGACTGCTGGCATCGTCCGCGAAGCCCTACGGGCTCCTTAAATAACGCTAACCACTAGCTGCCGAAGGCTTCCATCTTGACGAACAGAACGCCCTGGACAGGCATCATCCGTTCGCGAATTTAATAAACAGTGCTATAATATACAGAAGCAGACCGTCCCAAAGATTGGTAGAATCGAGGGCCAGGGGGCAATTTCGTGTACATACGAGGGACTGTACGTTCACGCGGCAATGAAAGTGATATATGCTACAGCAAAAGATTTGTAAATTTTTCTTCTCTAATCTGCTTATAAAGAGCCATTTCCAAGCCCGTTCCCAGGTGGAGAATCCCACCAAGGCTCGATATCCGATAAACTGGGCATTGTAGGGTCGTCGCCAAACGCATTGGCACCTCCCAACTGACCGAGTCCGGGATTGTCCAAAGCACCCGAGAGCAGCTGCAGATCAGAATTCCGGATCCAGTCGAATTCGCCCGGTTGGCAAGCACCCGGCTGCCGGCTGGGATCTAGCGGTGCTGCGGCGCGAAGAGGATCGGTTTGGTTCGGTAGTAACGGACCAGGGGCTTGTAACGAGTTCACCGGCATCGGGAATGGATATGAGACATGCTCTCTTGGCGCGGCGATTCGGGTCTTTTTTCGGGAAGTATTCGCTTCTGAGCTGCTGCCTGCCAGCTGCTGCGAAGATGGTTGCCGGCTGACTTGTCGCTTGGCACCGGAACGACGCATGTGCGCTTGCCATCTTCTCTGAAGACTGACAAGGAAGTCGCGCGTGCGTTTGGCGTTTTCGAAAGACTGGCCCAGTTCGTCTAGGGCCCGGAAGCAAAGGTTGAGATATGCGACCATTCCCGCGTTGCTGCTGCTACTGTCGCCACTGTTTCTGCTTGACGGGGACGAATTGGAAATAGTCACGTAAAGAAGCATCAGAGCTGCACTGAATATCATGGCCACAACCTGGTTGTTCATGCGACGGAAGGTGTAATGTTTTTCATAGAGGTGAAGAAGTCGTGCGATGGCGGTGGCGGACTCAACGCACATTCTTCGAGCATGATGATAGCCAGGTCCTTGACGCGGACTGCGTGGCTGAATGTAACTTTTCGACACCCACGGCCGATGGGTGAAAATGACGATTTGATGATATTGCATACTGTGCCAATTAGCCTGTGCCTTAGTCTGTTGTTTATGAAAGTCCCATGACTTACTGTAGCATGAGAAGATGGGGTAGTTTTGGAACCGTGTCGTTATCGAGGTCGATGTCCAGGGTTGAAGGCAAGTTGGCCTTCCAGGCGAATAGGTCATCTGTCACCTTATGGCACAACCTTTGGAGGTCGTGTCGACCAATATCGGAACAGCCATATCTATGTCGACATAAGCTCATGCGATTCAATCACCATTACGGAATACTTACAGAATATGACCAACGGGAGAGATTAGCTCCCAGAGGACAGCGAACTGTCTGCTTACAAGTTCGTTGGGATTTCTAACCCCATTTTTCGAAGGTTCTAGATCCCCTGGTAGTCCGTATGGGTACCATGTGCTTTCTTTCCCTATTCCCAGGCCCGACGCAGGTTTCGGAACGGTGATATCGCCCGCGTTCATCCGGAACGGTCGACCTAGGTAGAAACCCCAGAAGCTAAAGAAGTCAGTTACAAGACTCCCAGTCGGTAGTGCTCAGTGGCAGGGATCTAACTTACTGATCCGCTGTGTAGCTCCCCCAGAACGCTGTTCGCCGTACATCGGCTTCAAAAGCGCTGATGTCTCCCTTTTCCACATACGGCGTCATGTCAATGTGTAACCCAAGGTCAAATGCAAGCCTCATGGACATTCCTAGAAACTATTAGCCCGCGTGTTCCGCCGATTGTAACTCCAGCATACCGCTATACAGCCAACCACGCGCATCGCGGTTAGATGATCCTTCATGGCAACTCAAGATGACGAGTGCCTGTACTGTGGCGACACACGGCGAGTCTAACTCAATTTCAAGCAGAGCCTTGGCTCTGTCTGCAAAGAATTCGGATAATGACTTGGGGAAAGTGATAAAGGTCGGATGATACCGTGCCTCGAAGGCACTACCGATGGCGCACCTAGAATATGTCAATAAACAGTAATGGAAAAAGGAAAGTCGGGAGCATACATTGCGTTTGTAAGAACCTCCGAGTAGAATGGAGTATCGTCAAGCTCATTACGCCACTTCGACCTGGCAATCATATACATCTCCTTATCCACGACATAAGTGCTTGGGTTCTGCCATGTAAAATACAGCTCCACGAGATGATCCTCAAGAGCTTGATCCACAGGCTGTCCAACGCGCAGGTGATTCAGGATATCCTGTCCGTCATGACGAACAGTGCGCGCGTCAGGGCGTTGACGTTGCTGCGTAGCCGAGACATCCACCAAGTTCAGGTTCGAAGTGGCCCCGTAGAAGCGCAAATGACCATCCCCGGCAATTTTCAACGTGCCGATTCGATTCGAGATCTGCTCGATGACATCCTTTTCAGCCTCGTCTTCTTCCCCGCTGTCCGAGTCATAATCCCTATTATTCCATGTTTGCCCCAACAGCACACCGGGTTGCTGTTGCATATCTTGGGACAAGTGGAAGCTGTCGGGACTGAGACTATTCTCATGTGAACCGTTTGGTGCGCCATTGATATTCGCGTAGATAGTGTCGAGGCTCTCCGCTGTGGGAAGAGTGAACCCCCAACTTGGCGGCGGATAGTGGCTTGACAAGCCAGGATGAGCTCCGAGCGCGTTCATCGTCTCCTGGCTTTTCTCGGTCGCGGGAAGAATTGTGTGCGCAGAAGGGAATGCGTTCTGCGCGGGAGAGGGAACCCCGGCCACACTTTCAATCGAATCTATCCTTCTATCGAACGTAGACGGGGCGGGTGTATCTTGAGCCGGCGACGGCGTGGCGGCCGATTGCGAGCGCGCATGTTGCCTGCTCTGAGAATCCGTGCGTTTCGCCAACCCTCGAGGAATCTGAAGCGTATCCAATACTCTGTTGATGCCCGACTCATCCTCGGGGTTCATCAGGGGTGGTTCCAGCCCGTGATCGTATATAAACTGACACAGTTGGTCGATTCGGGCGGAAAAGAGCTCTGTCGCCGCTCGCAGTGACACTCTGGATGGGACGTGGTCAGCCCCTCTTCTTCGACATGTTACACAATGTCCTTAGACCACTTGCGGGTTCGGGCAGCAATTTCCCTGATATGGAGGGCGCAGAGTCAGGACTTACTTCCTTTTGTCGTCCCCATGTTGGTATTTGCATTCCTTGCCTTTTCGCTCACAGTTATGGCAATGGGGAGTCGCTCCGTCGCACTAAACATAGAATGTGTTAGGCGTGCATGCGATATTGTGGGATCGCAGGGAAAACTCAACATACTCGGATCTTACTCTCACGACAAGGAACGCAAGCGGTGGTGACATGCTTACGCGGAGCCCTTTTGGGCTTGGGGTCTGACTCCATGGTTCGAACGACTGGAGAGCTGCGACCGCGGGGAATGGTGGATTTCGCCCCGACCGTGAGAGGGAAGAGAAATGTTGCCAAAGGTGGTCGGGTGAAATGGATTCACGGAGCGAAAGCGAAGATAAATATGTGGTCAACCGACATCGAGAGAGAGGACAATCGACATAATCGTATGCAGTGTAAGGGAGGAGGGAGTTGGCATGGCACAGCAGAGTCCAGCTGGAGATGGTTGAGTCTGGGGAAGAAAAGGTGAAGATGGTTCAATGGCGGCGGGCGAGTAGTAATCGAGTCGCCGTGCGGGCCAGACTTTGGGGAATTTCCCCACTTCGCTGATCTTGGATTATGGAATTCACATTGTCTGCTTTACATACACTCATCATTTTGAGACTACTATATACTCCGCATTACTCACTACTAGACCTGGTAAATCACCAGTCGCTGGTGCGCTTGAGCGCCTCGTTCTGCACCACCTCAACCCAGTAGTTGTCGGGATCCAGCACAAAGGCCACATTTCTCATGCGTCCGTCCGTCAAGCGCTTCTTCCAGTTGACATTCAGCGACTCGAACCGATCGCAGGCGGCGTTGAGGTCGTCGACAGACACGCCTGAGGTAATTTTGTTAGCAACCGCAGCCCTTCGAACCCGTCCAGCCTGCCTAGACTAAATGGTGATACTTACAGATATGTCCGAATCCCTGGGGCTCGGTGTTGCCGTTGTGGTAGACCTGGCCCTCCTGGTTCTCGGTGCCATAGTTCCAGGTCAACTCGAGCAGACCCTCCCACTCGGCCACCGGGTTCTTGGCGTTCTCCTGCACCTGCGGGTTGGACTTGGGGTATCCCAAGAAGTACAGGTTGAAGCCGGCCTCCTTGTTCTCGGAAGTCCGCAGCAGAGTCATGCCCATGACCTCCTGGTAGAACTTCAAGCTGGTCTCCGCGGACTTGACTCGGAGCATGGTGTGGTTGAGTCGGTAGTTGCCGGGGTCGGTGGTAGCGCCGACATCCTCGTCGTGACGGCGGATGAGCTCGACCCAGTATCCATCGGGATCCTTAGCGAAAGCAATGCTTCGCATGCGACCCTCGGTCAGTTTCTTCTGGAACGGGTATCCGGCATCCTCGATTCTCTTGCAGGCCGACTCGATGTTATCCACGGAGATGGCGATATGTCCGAAGCCGCGGTGGGGTTCCGTGTTTCCGTTCACCACGCTGTAGTTGGGATCGCTCTCCGTGCCGTAGTTGTGGGTGAGTTCCAAGAGAGCGTTTCGATCCGTGAAGTGCCGGTCACCACCCTGCAAAGAGTTGGGGCCGTTGTAGCCGAGGAAGTAGAGGGAGAATTTGGCTTCGGGGAAGTCCAGATACTGGATCTGGCTAAGACCAAGGAACTTGTAGAATTCCACTAGAAACCACAGCCATGAGCATTATGGCCGTCGACCGGTCGAGGGGGGAGGTTAACGCACGGGATTTCTTTGGGTCCTTGACCCGGATCATAGTATCTATTTAAAGAGATACCATTGTCAGCCATTAACCATCAACCATTGGAGGATCGTCTATCACTTACGGTTAAGCTTATACTGGGAAGTGTCGGAAGCCATGGTTGCGAGGGTTCTATTGGTTCCTGCAACAACCTTGTGAGCGAGAATGTCAGATGGGTGGGGAAGAGAGAAGGAATCGGAGGGGCAGCCCACCTGAGAAGATCGAAGGTAGATTTGGGCTGAGGACCCGGATGGAAGATGGACGAAGGGAGGAAAGCGCACGCCAGGCGAACATAAGGAGGGGAGGACGAGGAGGGGTAAAGGAGAGAAAAAGTCGAGATGATTAAGTCTGGTCTTAGTCCCAATTAGTGAGGGGGGAGAAAAAGCTATGACGTTATGTCTGCATGGGGAAGGCGGTGTCAGTGGGCACTTTGAAGCTATCCCAACCCTCCCCAGTAGTGTCTCAAGAGCCTCAACTCGCAGACCGCTGAATCCTGCGCGGATCAAGTGCGCTGGGCAGGATTCCGTGTCTTCCGAAACTCCACTGCGCCTTTCTTTGCTTACACCGTGTACACTCGTACATCTGACCCACCGTAACCAACCTTAACCAACCATAGAGCCGGAGAACCATATCACCAGTCTGCGCTGCTCTAGGCTGCTTCGGTGAATCCTTTAAAGGCGCTGGACGTCTCTCCTTGGGCTTGGGCCATGGGATCTTCTACAGATGCACATACATCCATTTCTAATAATCAGTCTAACTACCCCGGTTAGAGCTGTTCAAGTTAGTCCTAGAAATTAAGACTGCGACCGTGAGGATCCAGGCATGCCCGGTACTAGGGTTCCCACTCTGGTGGCCATGGTAGCCGTGATCTTGGGTGTTTTGGTCGTCTACTTTGAACTCTCTCGTGACTTCCTTGCCCAAAGAAGCGTCGAGTATGGGTTTCCATCACTCGGGGTGTTTTCTCTCACATCAACTGTTGTCGACCCTGTCCGCGATATCAAATACCTGGGCATTCGTTCAGCTGGAATTGAGCATTTTCATGAGATTTTCTACGCAGAGAGCCCAACCGGCGAAAAGCGATTTGCGCCACCGGTCCCCGTAGAGCCTACTAGAGGATCGATCGTCGATGCGACACGTCCTGGGGCCTGGTGTCCCCAGGGTACTGGAGATATACTTCCTTTCACGAGTCGTGTGGCCAACATCAGCGAGAATTGCTTAGGTTTGAGGATCGCCCGGCCCAGCGGCGTGAGCAAGAATGCCAAATTACCGGTGGTAGTATGGATCCATGGAGGTAAATAATTCAAGTCCTTGTCTTTGACACCTCACTCAATGGAAGCCTAGGCGGTCATGCGTTGGGTTCCGGGTCCGATGTCTTATACACCCCAGATGGCTTGGTCAAGCAAGCTGCGGCAGATGATCGACCTTTGATATACGTTGCGATTAACTATCGCTTCGGCTGTAAGATTTCGCTTTCCAAATCATGATAGCAACTGCGCGTCTAACTAAAAGATATAGTGTTCGGCTTTGCAACAAGCAAGGCAATGATCGAGGCCGGACAGACGAACGTGGGTCTTCGTGACCAACGGGCCGCTCTTGAATGTACGTTCGGGATCGCATTCTCTTCCGAGTACACACTGAAATTCTTCACAGGGGTTCGAGATAATATCGAAGTGTTTGGTGGTGATCCAAATAAAGGCAGGTTCTGTGGAAAACGTCGATCATCAGGGTCTAGAACTGACACCGGCATGAAGTGACTGTCCTGGGACAAAGCGTAGGAGCTAGCGATATTGGCCTGCAGTTGACAGCATTTGATGGAACGCAAGGGGTTTCATTCCAGCAAGCAATGTAAGTTACCTGCATTGAAAGGCTTTAATTTCCCGCTAAGCTCGAACCCTTCACCAAGAATGATGTCGGGCGGTCCAGGCCTGAACTTCAATAGCAAGCCCGATCTTGTCGCAGAAAACACCGCAGCAATCGCAAGACAAGTCGGATGTACTGGGGATGGCGATTCTCAGTCCTCGAAGGTCCTGGAATGCCTACGGAATGTACCCTTTGAAACACTGGCCAATCTCTCCGTCACGGCTTCTCGCGCCGCTCGCCCACCTTTCGGTGAGGGTTTCTTCTATCCAACCATTGACGGCGACTTTATCCGCGATCGGCCATCCCAGCTGTTGCGTGCAGGTAAATTTGCCAAAGGAATTCCGGTGATTGGCTCCTGGGTAACGAATGACGGGGCCTGGTATGCATCCCCTCTGACGTCGACCGACGAAGACGTGCTGAGTAGCTTTGGGCTGTGGCTTTTCAATCTTTCGAATTCAACCAAGCAACGAATGCTAGAGCTCTATCCACGTGAGGATTTTGAACACATGGTTCGAAATGAATCCGACGGTCCGGTCTCCGCACAATACTACCGCGCCGCGCAAATGAATCGGGATATCTGGTTCACGTGCCCCGTTCTGGACTTTGCATGGCAGTACGTCAAGAATGGCGGCGTGGGGCCTTCCCAGGCTCGAGTCTACGAGCATAACTCTACTAGGTTCACCCCTGTATTCGAGAAGATGGGCGTTCCGTTGTGGCGGGTCGCTCACCTGAGCGATATCCCGTACGCCTTGAACGTCCAGCATCTCGAGGGTGGTGCAGATAACTCTGCCTCGCAGCTTGCCTTGGCCCGGGTGGTGAGTGGAGCCATCACGGATTTCGTAAATACGGGGACCCCAGAGAACGAGGCTGGTCAAATCAAGGGATGGCCTGCGGTCTTTTCTGGCGCAACCAGTCAAGACTTGGCCGGGGAGTCTCCAAGCGGGCTCTCGATCCAGGTGTTTGGGGGTCCATACGGGACAGGTCCAGCGAGTTTGAGAAAGGATACGGATGTGGACAAGGCTACTGAAGTAGAAAAGGCCATCTACTGGGCGCAACTATTCCGTAGATGCGAGTTTATCAATAGCGAGCGGATGCGGGAGGAGGCTGGCGTGTAAAATCTATACGAGCTACTAAGTCTACAATAGCTGATGTTATTCCGCTGCTTTCATACAGCAGTTTTACTTGATAATTTAGCAGTCATGCCGGTTCTACTGACATAGTCGTCTTCCCAATGAACCTTGGGGTTAAAGAACTACCTGTGTACTCCCCGAAAAATTGGTCACCCGTAAAGTAGGGCTGCTGCCATTTCCTACTTGAACACTCTTGCCCGGTACATTGCTTCATAGACTGGTTTCTCCATCCCAAGAGCTAAGGTGTAAGCCTAGCCATTGCACCTGATCCGACTTACATCGCAAACTTGTCTTACTGTTCGATCCCAACCATTTTTTATATATATGGAGAAGATATGCTTAAATCAAATTATCACAGTACGTAACACGACAGAGTAGAGTTCAACTTTCAAAAGCATACAGTTATTGGCAGCTACATACCGACAACCCAGAAGTTATAGGTAATGGTTACATGTACATGGCTCTCGCGTCTGTAGTATCTGATCAGGCGGAAACAGGCATGACGGCACAGAACGGACTTAGTCTGTGTATACGTAGAATCAATAATTGAATCAAGGATACCTCTTCTACAAGAAGTGTTAGATTCAAGTTACTTCATCTGGTAAGCAGACATGTGAATGATTGTTGCCGCATATACTATACTTCACCATCTACATCTAGTTATATCTCGTACTATAATACTCCGAAGAAGACCCGGGATTTCCCGAAGGCGGTGACCCGAAGTGGCACCTCCCAAGGCGGAATGACGGCAGGGCACTTTCTGCCGGACGATTGTTGTCTTCCTCCGTCACACTTTCGCTTCCCTGCGCTTGACTGGATCTCATCTTCTCCTCTTGCTTTTTTCCCAAACCTCGTCCTTCCCATCGGATCGGCTTCTTGCAGCTTCCTCGGCGCTGGTCGCATTGTCAATTGGCCAAGGTTGGTAGTTTGATCCCTTGTTGTCCCTCCCGATGGAGCCCCCCAGCACCCCCGAGCATCATTTAGATCCATCCATCCATCATTCCATGCGCGCCAGCCATCCATGTGCTTTGTTGGCACTTGGAGATTGTCTTTACGCTTGGCCCCCTTTGCGACTTCCATGCCTTTATCCCCACTTCCTCTACTCTTGCATTTTCTCGCTGCTCGCTGCTTTCTTTTTCATTTAGTGGCGCAATTGGTTCGGTCCTTCCAGGACCGTGCCGCTTGTTTCCCCCCATGGCACCTTTCCCCACGCTCTCGAGCGTCATTTGAAGATTTCTTCTCGTGTCCTAACAGCCTTTCCGTCATGGGTGGCTGCGAGGTCCTAAAATCGGGCGTGGAATGAACGCGTCACACTATTTCCTCCGTTGGGTTTCGCTCATGCGCCCCCGAAGGGACTGTCTCTTGTGTATCTCTTGTGCCACCGATCCGTTCAGTTGTACCTCGTGTCGGACATATTTGTTTTCTTTAGTCTATAACACATCTTCCTGCCCCCTTTGCTCATTCCTTTCTTCGTTCGTTCCTATAAAGCGTTCTGTTCTCCCTTTCAGCTCTCCCTCCGTTATCTCACTTTCCCGCGAATAAAATGGCTGAATATCAACGTCCAGTTCATCCTGGCCCGTCGTGCCAACACAAACTCACTAGCGTTTGTGACATCCCGCATCGTCCGTACTGGGCACAGAGTCAAGTTCAATACGCACAAAATCTTCTAGAGTGCTCGGGTGAACCGATCGAGTACGACCACGACGATCGAGATTACTGGGACAACTGTTTCTTTTTCCCCGAGGACTGTTCTTGGTCTCCTCCCAAGGACTGGATCGTTGAGCAGCACGACCCCAACTACGATCTCACCCGCGACTACCCCTACGACACCATGATTCCCGGATTACCGGACATCAAGATGCTGGATGCGGAGGCCCTCAGCGACCTGCTGGAGGACAACCTCTCACCGCCGGAAATCACCTCCATTCTGTATGGTACACTTCCTTCACTGATCCGGCTTCCGTGTCACTGCTGACGAGTCCATAGAGTATTCGCGACCAACGGCGCCATCTTCGCCTCCGCGTCGTCTCTCCCGCTGCGACAATTACGCAACCTAAGCGCAACCTACGGCGCTGCCTACACCTGCTACGCCAAGAACGCGTCCAGCGGCAACCTAACGGGTGTCAACCCTGCCAGCCATCCCTCGTCCTACGTGACCGCCCAGTCCGTGTCCCTAGGCGACGTAGGGTCCATCGTCTTCGAGCTCGACGACTTAGTCGCCATCGTCACGCGGGTCGCCGATAAAGTCCTCCTGGCAGCCGTTGGACCCTCCAAGATGAAGCCCGTAGGACCAACCCACGCCCTCAACGGCACCTCGAACGGATTTCGACCCGGAACCACGGACGGACCCACCAGTTCCCAGTTCGTGCCCCCCAATGGCACATCCCTCCATCATCCGACATCCACCAACGGCACCCCGGACAGCATCTCCCGCAACGACGGCGAACCCCACCTCCAGAGCGACGCGCACCTCGAAACGCAATATGAAATCGACCGCAGCAGCGACCTCGCGCGTCTCTCCAGTCTTAACCTCTCCGCGTCCCCAGCTATTCTCCTCGCCCTGGAGTCCAAGTCTGCTGCGCTAGGGCGGTTCCTGAGCCAGAAACTCGAGGACCTCGATAGTCCTGAAGATTTTTGATGAGACACGTCTCTATCATCCTCTTATTGCTTTTGCCTTTAAGTACTTTCTATCTACAGTACAGCCCGTACATCCATTGGCTATGGTTTCAGACCTGTGGTTATTGTTACACCAGGTACTTATCTTGCATGTTTTGTTTTATTATTGAGCGACGTTATGGCGTATTTAGTTTATTGCACTCACGCTTGGTTTCGTTTTGATCAAGTGTTTCATCAAATCATCATACCAATAAATATACCTAAGTATATTTAGTATCAGAATCAACCTATACTTGGGTAGCATAGTAAGACATTGCAAAATAAAAAATGAAAGGACATATTCCAATTAAGAGGCTAAGTACTGATATCAAAAAAGATGACTAAGAAAATATTCACAACCCTATTAACTAAGAAGAGTAAGTAGATAAGTAGGGTAAGGTAAGGCAAGGTAGAATAGATAGGTATCTCATGATATCTTTGCGGGTTCATCAATTGAGCGCAAATAAAGACACATTCAATAAAGATAAAGATCAAATGAACAAATAAAGGGAAACAATTCCCATAATCCGTAATCATATGCAATATAGAAAGTTAAACCCGTCCGTCAATCACATATTATGCTTTCTCGCCGGCGGGAGCTGAAGCACCGGCTCCGCCGGAAGAAATCACTCCCTGGGTTTGCGCCGAGCTTGCGGTGTCGGCGCGCGTGATCCCGGGAGGAGAGGTAGACGGGCCTGTTTGGGGTGAAGAGGCCTGCGGCGACGAGGTAGCATCCTGGCTGGCGGCAGATGCCTCGCTGTGCTTTTCGGAGTACGCGGGAGGGTGGTTCTCCGTGGTGCCGGCGGCGGCAGCGGCGGGGGCACCGCCGACAGCTGGGCTGGCAGGTTGCGAGGTGGCGGTTGGGGAGGCGGCTGCGCTGGTCTGGATGGCCGTGGGGGCCTTGGTGCACTCCTTGATGGCGTTGTACCATTTCTCGGCGTCGCTGGGGGTCGGGGCTTTGAAGTTCAGCTCGGTGTTGGTGTGGAAGGCGTTGCCGACTTTGCCGCTGGAGACATCCTTGCCCTTGACGCTGAACTTGACGCCGTCGATGGCGCCGAGGACGCAGTCCGGGAGGTACAGGGACAGTTCCGGGGTGGGGTCGCGGCGGAAGTCGTCGTTGTCTTTGAATTCGTGCAGGTAGCGAGCCACGGTCACGACGTAGTAGCCGGTGTTGAAACCCTTGATCATGGCCCGGGACTTGCGCTCCAGGGATCCCTCCATCAAGGGCTTGGTCGCGCGGTGGTCCTGATTGGGGAAGGTAATGTTGCTCAGGGACCGGGGCGGAGCGTCAGGGTCGACGAGGGTTTGGTGGTTGTTGGTGATGAAGTTGACCCATTCGAAATCGGGGGGCACTCGCTGGGCAGCGCCCAGCATGTCGGAATACATGGTGCGCTGACGCTCCAGTTGGTTGTTCACGAACATGACGAATTGCTCCATCGATCCCTGGATGGTCTGCACAACGTGGGCCTCGAATTGCTGGAAGTTGTTCTGGACCGCAATGATGTCCTGGCGGTTGTTGTTCTCCTCGATGACCTGCTTGTTGAGGCGGTGGTTGATGCCTCGGCGCAAGATATAGGGGTCATGGTGCTGGTCGACCTTGTTTCCGGCGGCCGCATCGAAATGGGCACTCTGCTGGCCAAGAAGCTCGATGTGCTTCTGGGTGATGCCTCTGGCCTTCTCGACGGCTTTTGCGCTCTTGGAGGCGCCCGTCTGGAGCTCCTTGGACTTGTTCTTGATCTCTTTGTGCAGCCGTTCGAGGGTCGGGGAGATGGATCCCCGGATATTCTTTTCGGATTCCAGGTACATATTCACCATTCCCTAGCAGCGATCCTTGCGTCAGCATTCAGTCCAATCCATTCAGACCGCAAACCAGAGGACCGTACCTGAGTATTCGAGCGGATGTTCTCAAACCAAGCCGCCATTCCACCCGCGCTCTGGGAGAAATGGTGTCCTTCCTTGAGCGGGTCGCTCACAGTCTGTCCCCCAACGTCAGCAAGTCAGTTTTCATCCCAATGTCGACCAGAAGAAAACTCCAGGAATCCATCCGCACCTTCAACACCTTCTCATAATCCTTCGACTGCGACTTCTGCGCCTTCGCAGTCACCGCGACGTAATCTTCCAGATAACCACACATATGCTTCCAAGCTCGGAGACGCTCGAGGAGGAGGTTCGTCGTCTATCGGCGATCGCGCATTAGCCATTGTTCGCAGCATTCTACCACATCCACCTCCGACCGGAGCTCTGGCAGACTTTACCTCGTTGGTGTCGGAACCCGGGATGGCCTCGTCGTCACTCATCGAGGCGCGGCGATCGGGCCCAATGGAGCTTCTCATGGTCGAGGACCGATGAGGAAGCCTCGTGTCTATCGGGCTGCTTGTCGCGGACATGATGTCGGGTGGCACGAAGCAGGGAGAATTGCACGAGGGCAGAAAGGAGACAGGAACCAGGAACACAAAACAATTCAGAAATTGAAAGGAGAAGAGAAGAAAAAAAGACCGGACGGTGGTGCCTGCAGGGAGCGGGCGCAGTGGAGGTCACCGGAAGCGCGGAGTCAAGACTAGTTTCGACTATCGATAATTACAGTTGTTCACTTGTTTCGTTAGTCTTCTTTTCGTTTTCGTTTCCGGTCGAAGCGGAGAGGGCGGGGGGGAGGAATGAGGGAAGTGAGCAGGAGTGGGCCGCAAGCAGCTCAGGGGAGAGTATGTAAGACGGGGTAGGGAATTGATTTGAAATATAACAGAATGTCTCCTGATCTTCACAGCAAGAACTTACCGGATCCAGCAAGAATGAGTGTAGGGGAATGAACCAAATTGATGAGAGGAGATGAAGAGGAAGAGGCGAGAAGGGGAGAAGGAAAAGAGTGGAATGAAGAGTGATCGACGGGCGGCGGATGAGGTCACCGCTGCTTTGCCCCTCATCGGCATCACTGGGCCTGGATTCTGGAACGGTGGCTTGACCCTGCCACAAAACACATCTACATTTTGATAATGCAAGAGAATCGTGTTATGATCTCATTGCCTGCATTCGTTCCAGAGATGTGATGTGTTATTTTTCGCTCTCGTATCGCTCATGCAAAATATATGCTGGTGTAATAAAGATACAAAAGATGTCTGTATATACATAACTCATGCAGACTCCATGTCGTTCGTCACTTGGTGTCGTCTCAGTCCCATTCTTCTAACGAAATGAGAAATCCATGTCCCAGTTAATCCAGTCCCGTCTATTAGTGGTAAAAGAACGCCGAATGTAAAAAGAAAATCCCTGCCTCTAATGTGTATGTGCGCGCGATGATAAACATATTCCACAATCCTCCACGCATGACTTCCTCTAAATTTTGTGGGTGATTCGGCGTCCAGCGCCATGATTCCGATATTATGTGATTGGGCTGACCAAGGCCGATTGTCTAGTATGATATCCCCTGTCGATTATACCCGAGCTCGGGCCTGCAAGAGACGCAATCGTCGTTCGTCGTCCTCGTGGCTGTGGGAGCGGGAGTGAACGAGCCCCGGTCGGTGATGAAGCACGTCCATCGAAGGATAGTAGGCCCCGTTGCCCCGTCCCGGGGAGCGCAGGTAGGCCTGCTGAGGGGACTGAGGTGGCGGAATAACGTAGTCTCCCGCGATCACGGCCTGGTAGTCGGGCAGGTCGGCATCCCGGGGGCGCACGGTGGTACGGACGGCAGTCGAGTAACTCGGGACGCGACTGAGAGTTTCGACCTCCGCATACTGAGGGTGGAAGGGTGTAGCCATTCCCGAGGGAAGAGGGTCGTGATCGTGGTCGTGGTCACCCTCGTCGGAAGGCCGGCGAGAGAGGGTGGGACTCCCAGGGCTGTGAGAGTTGGATCCCGAGGAAGGCCCGAAATAATCGGGAGGCACCCCAAGTTGGCGGTTCTCGCTTTCGTGGTGTTGATCATGCTCGGACGGCGAGGGGTGATTATGTCTGATTCTATGAAGGGTCGAGAGACGGCTGTGCAGGGCGGACGCAGAGATATCCGTGTTGGTCAGGGCATTCATCGAAGCCAGATTTTCGGAAGAAAGGTTGCGACTCAGGGTGCCGAATGGAGTGCCAGGGCCGCTTCCAGGGCCTGGAGTTCGATAGCCGTTGGGGTCAAGCTCGCTGTATAGTTGATCAAATTGGTGTTCGCCGTAGAGTGGCGGTGCCTGTTGGGCAATGTCGTCGATCGCTCGCTGCGCCGACTGCGGGGTTTGATCAACCAGATTGTTGTTCTCGTCGATCGCAAGGTTCGGAGAAATGAAGACGGACACGGGAAGTGTGGCTCGCAACTGCGAACTGTTAGAGAATACATACACAAAAAAGTGAGCCAGGGTTAATCGCTTACCTCGCTGATGTGTCCGTCAGGGTTGAGTAACTGCACGCGGAACTTCATCTTGTGCCGGACCTTGATGCCCTTCGTGTCGGTGTCTTGCAGGCACCGGGTCAAAGTCTTGGGCAACTCCAAATGTCGCGTGAATTGATATCCTTCTGCAGCTTCGTCGATGATTTCCAAGCTTCCATCTGGGTCCAGTTCGTGCTCATCGGACAAAATTGTCCTCGTGCTCTTGTAAGTGTTGCGGATAGAGTCGGGGTCCTCGGGATTGAGGGTAAGGTCGTGACTCTCAATCAACTGGGAAACTATTTGGCCGATGCGAAGTCCTTTGAGAAGGGGGATGAGCTTGAAATCGACTTGAATACTTGTGCCGAAGATGACCGCCTTGGTCGGCGTGCTGATAGAATACTCGATCTTGTTCGGCCACACGTTTTCCACCGACTATACAGGGAATTAGTAACTGGAGCACACGAAAAGCGGCTACATGAAAAATCACTTACCATAGCGTGAGACAGCTCCAGGGCGCTGGAGTCTAGCGTCCGAATGATGCGCAGAGGCCGTCGCACCACAATGTCCTTCGCATACTTGCGACCGATGTCCGCCTTGAAGCGATATGTGACGTAGGTGTCGTTCAAACCCTCCACGCTCTCCGGCATCGACCCCTCCAGAACCAAGTCGAACGGATACTCGTAGTTACCACCCGGGAGAATCTCGGTTTTGCCTTTACCCGGATCTCTGAAACTCCAGGTCTTCTCGTAGAACACGCGTTCCCGCCATGATTTTCGGCCACCGCCCGCGGAGCTGGATGGGAGATGCCAACTAGAGTGACCCAGATAGTTAGTGGACGGCGGTCCCTATATTGCGAGGGGCCAACCACCTACCAGACACGAGAGATACCGGTTAAGTGCAGTCGGATATGCTTGATTGAGAGCGGCTCCGATAGACAAAGGATGAGTTTACCGCTCAGATGAGCACTAGCGGCTTCTTGTTCGCCACCTCGGAACACGATATAGTCTTCATCGAGACTGCGGGACAAGAAAAGACACGGGGTTAGCCAGAGCCGGGAATGACAATCGGGTTGCCGGGGGTATAATGCAGGCGTTCAATGACTCACCGGATGTCGAAGTATTTGGCATAACTCGCACTACCTCCCCCGCCAAAGAAACTGAGGGCCATGACGTTTCAACTAACAGCTGCAGACGAGGGGCAGCTGCCAGGAGAGGAGCAATAGGCCAGGATGGGTAGCCAAGGGATTCAAGGGTGTTGCTTGTAGGGGAAGGGAATGGGAAGGAGGAAAAGAGAGGGATTCACTGGAGTAATAAAACCCAGGAAATCGGAGTTCCCACCCAACGCGCGCCAGAAAGGGGAAAAAATCAAGTAAAAAAATTCAGAAAAAATGAAAATAAAAATCCGATGACACAGATCAGACGGGAAATTCGCAAAACGGAGTTGTGCCAGTAGTGATCTACCAGGCAAGCCGGGTCGACAAACGGGTCCCACCAAGGAGTCTTTTGCTGGTGGGGGCTCGCGCAGCCGTTTCCGTCACCGTCTCGAAAATTTGGTCGTTCGGAGGGGGGTTTTTTTTAATTTTTTTTTCTGTTAGTCCGGAAAAGTGGCGAGAAGCGGATCTCTCGGGCTTTTAGGTTAGCACGATGATGCGATCTTTCTGGCCCTGTCTGGCTTGACTAAGCCCACTAAGGGATGGGATAAAGATAGAATGAAGCGAAAGAAAGAAAGGCGAGGCTTTGGCTTTGAGCTGGAATGACCGGTCAGCAATTAGTCGATAAGGGATATCCAATGGTAGGAGGGAAGACACAAAGGGAAGGAATGACAGGATTAAAGAGAGATAGAAATAATCTAATCGTGATGAATCTCCATGAATGCAAGGATAAGAAAGGCGATAAGGAAGAGAAGAAAAGGGACAAACAGGGACCGGGCGGTATCGTCGATACGCACGCCATACGCAGGATTACGTCACATACCTGGAGTCAGTGTCACTGTCAGGTCTGTAAACAAAGGGGACGAGATCTCTTCTAAATATCCAATTCAAACTGCACTCCTAGGGATCGTCGGGTTTTATCTCGTCGCCATGAACTCGTAAGATCGACCCCCCGAGTCTAGGCGGCAGTCCGGTTACCCGGCGACTATAGATGTTATCTATAATCCATCTACCATCACAAGGAGCCAATTTCCCCGGGAAAAACGAATCACCATCCATCCTTTCACCATGTCCATCTTGGCACACGATACCGATGCTTAGCTCCTGCTCCCTCCATCTGTGATTTTTCCGGTTGATTAAGTGATTATTCTGCTGGCTCCGAAACGAGGCGTGACGAACAATCCCGGCTGGTCCATCTTTCTGCCTCGGGATCGTCAAGGCCGCATGATGTGCGATCTTAACCAAGTTCAACGGACAACTAATTCCAGGGGCAAATCGAGTTAGATTTCCGCGGGGACAGCCGACGGGACCTGACCATTCTGGCATTCTGGTTTCTTCAAGGACCGAGTCTCGTCAGTCGACGACATGTGCTCGGGCAAATGCCTCTACGGCGCGCATCCTGCCTATCCGTCTGACCCCGCGATACACATCATGCAGGACGAGGTTACACGGCAGCTATCGGAAAATATCTTTCCAGGACTGGATCGTCACAGTCACCCCCACTAGCGAGTAGTTGATGATCCTCTATCGGCGCGTGCATCGGCCCCCCGGTCCCCTGTGAAGGTACCTTTTGTCTACGTGTATGTGGTGTGTCATAAGGTGCTGCAGATCATGTCAGGGAGACAACTAGGGTGGCATGACATCCTCGGTAGCAGGACATACCACCTTATCCATGCCGGCAAACGCAGCTGAAGATGCTGAGGAAGAAATAGCCGAGATGACGGACTGAAACATTCGATTTGAATTCACATTTATTTTCTACAGTTGGCTCGTCAACCACCGGGCGGTTGGCATGAAAAGCTCAAGCTACTAAGCTCAGCTTTCGCAAGTCGGGCCCCAAGGTGGAGAGAGATGCAAGATGCATGCATGGCAACCAACTCCCAACACCGGGCCAAGAGCGGTGGAATGGCGTGCTGTTAACGACTCCACTCCGGATAAACCGACTGTCGGACTCGGACTCGAGACACTGGCTGTCCACTTTCTGATCAGGCGACGCAAATCAAGGGCATGATCTTTTCTAGAAGGTCCCTATCAGTTAAGACAAATGGCGGATGCAGAGCTTGTCATGTAGATCGAGGTACACAGTGTGCCACTGGTCTCACCAAGTCAACGAAGGCTCGAATGGAGCGCAATCACAGCCAAGACTTCCGGCCAAAGTCACCTCCCGTACTCGGCAATCATCTACGGCGCAGTGCCATCACCGCTTCACATGCATCCACGGCATGCAGGAGGGTTCAAAGGGACAGGGAGAGTGCCGTACTATCCTAATCCTATACCTGGGAGGCCAGCTCATCGTCAATCTCAAACGATAATCATCCGGCATGGAAGATTGTTCTCCTCTATACTTCCATGTAAAATACAGTACACCGTAGTACAGCCTTACGAGACTCGGGCAGTCCCGGGAGGTCAACATGTGATCGGGGAAAGTCGTACGGCCTCCGGGAGTCGCTGGTCGCATCCCGACTGTCAACCACATGCCCGACAATGTCATTCTTGTCATTCTTGTCATGAAGAACCCATCCGCTTCTTACTCCGGAAGTTGATCACGTTCGAGACAGACGTATTACACATCATTTTCGTAATCATGACGCTTATCCGATGGGAAATGCCTCTCGGCCCGCGAGGTTCAATGATCCCTTCACAGTTCACACAGCCTAGACCAGGGCCGAGACTGCAATATTGACGCAAGCACTATCAATGCTGATATCACGATCGGATTTCAGTTTGCGCAGCTAACGGACCGGAAAATATGATAAGAATTAAAACAAAGGTCCACTCCCTATACACGCACACGCCCTTTCGACCTTCCACATTGGTTGACGAAAGTTTCGGTCTTCCAAGGTACACAGTCCGCCGCATGTAGATCGTGGAACTCTCCATTTCCTGAGGATCACATTCGGTGAGCCGAGATTCCAGAACACATCGCTTTCCAGGGATGATATGCAGGGCCAGCCACTGATCACATCATCCGAGCCGGCCAAGTCAGTTAAGTGGGCCTAGCTTCGAGAACCAAGAACGCACTAGGCCTGTGGCGCGGACTGTCATTAAAGGGTGGTTTTAAGATTTCGCTCAACACGGAGGACACCATCCCGTAGATCATGGTGCAGTAATGGCCAGTATTGGAATTTGATAGCATCTCGACATGAACACCAGTCGGGTTGAGTGGAAGCAGGCGCACCCGGCACACCATTGTTGCATACGGTGCACCGCTACCTACCATTTCAAGGACCGATTGGCGCGAAGATCTTCTGCATTGGACATGCAACCTAGGAGAGGGGCTTGCATGAGGGCAACCCTCCACGCCATCATAGCACGCAGCTGTTTCAGTCTCTCAGCACCTAATCCTGAGCCCTGAGTCTATTGCTGTATACGGAATGCCGACATTGTTTCAACGTCGGCATGCCGAGTGCCCTCAAGGCGTCCAGAAGCGTTTCGCAATCCGGTGTCCCCATTCGGAATAGCCCTGCCAAGTCGCATTCAACCGAAGCTTGGATATCAAGTCTACAACTATGGACTCACGGAAGCTAGACAACGGGAAGAAAACTGGACCCAAATGAAAATTTGTGGTGAAAGTGGCGTTTCTATCTGACCACTCTACTTCACCTGGCCCGGCTGTCAAAACCATGGCCTACGGGATCGACTCTACCAAGGGACTTCAGATTGAAAGATAGGAGCTGGAAAATTAACCGCTACACCGTACACAAGGCTTGTGAGTCTATTTCCCAGCATCTGAATGGAGCACCAACAAGCCACGCAGTGCGCCAGGGACTGCACAGACAGCAGACGTGGTGCAATGCAATACCCACATTTGACTGGACCTTCCCGTGTGCCCAAAATATGCGCTGATTAGAGATTTTAGCTGTTATCAGCGGACTAGGTGCCTGAAAAGGGGAGGGAGGGAAAAAAAACCTGCTTATCGTGCCGGACTTGCGGTGGCCTTTCCGAAGCGGATTTTGCCGCGGCTCCACCAGGTACCTAATCGACGCCAGAAAGTTTGAAGATTGCTGAAACCTGAATAACACAACAATTCACCGGCGCCTAGAAGAGGGATAATGGTTTTTGCGGCTTTTCCGTCTATCATGCAACGGCGCACGATCTACCTAGTCTAAGGACTCGAGCATCAAAAGCTAAACCAATGACAGCTTTTGTTTGCCACACATGGCCAGAACCATCAAATGTCTCTCAAATTGCGTTTTCTCGCCGGCAATCTCGTTCTCTCTCGCTTTTTCGAATCATTCTGTGAAACCTACCTTGTTAGCGCGTCGGGCTACGTCCGACACAAGCACATTCTATTGGCCAACTAGCATAACACAACAGGTCATCGTGATCGCTGAATCGCACTAGACATCTGTATCAGACCCTAACAACAATTAGGGAGTTGGCTATAATACTTCGGAAACTGCTCCGAGGCCCGAATTCTCGATGGCAGATAATTTTCCGGAAGCGACGCTGACGCCGTGCAACTGCAATTTCTATCGGAAACACGTTCGCGACATGGGATCTAGATCCCGTGTGACCATGCGATTTTCGGGTTGACATTTCCAGGGACTATGCCTGAACAGGCTACCAGGACCCGGGAATTCGCCTCGACCCAACTTGGAGTCTCTTGGGGCGGATAGGATTGCAGATTGCAGACCAGAGGCACACGCTTTCCGCTTGCTATCAGCGTCGTTGGCGTTCGGCCATCCCGAGTATTTATCTATCGGTAGGCCGATGGCTGAAGTCGGGCTGTTTATCATTGATTCACCCGGGTGGCTTGTTGACTTGCTAGATATCTTTTTCTTCGGTACGAAAGAGCGGTAAAATTTTTGCAGATGTTCCCGAGTTCTACGGATATTATCGACCTCTTGCGCATGTCGGCTCAGCCCTATGCATATTTCCCTGTCGGTGTGAGGCAGGGTCTTGTGCGATAAGCAATCAGCAAACAAGCGGGCAAGCCCACACTTGACCACTGCTATCCTCCCTCTCCTCTCTTCTATATGTATCACTGAATTCAACAGCCCTACCATAAAGTTGTTAAACGAGTTTGTACTCGACTTTCGGAGTTGCAGCGCTACAATCTCAACCATCGCATATAGGAGAGCTAACATCCCTTTCAGAACCAGAGTACAGGAAACTTAGCGGTTCATCCCTTGATCTTCTTCACTGATCTTTGCCATTGAAGTGTCTACTCTCATAACATGATCTATCTAGATCGTCTTTCAGCATACAGCAAATGATCACCTGGAACAGTGTCAATGAAATCTCAATACGCCCACAGAGGCAGATCAAGAGGCTGTTCCATGTGCTTCGTCATCTGGCATCATCGGCGACCCATAACAAACACTATAGAACATACGTCCAAGACTACTAGTACTAGTACTAGCACCCATCAAGAGTATTAAACTATCTTTCTACTTCCTGTAACCATAGACATAATCTCCTTTACCTACCTCTCATCCCAACCCTAGACGTTCCACGGTCAATGCCATTCAGCGCTACCAGATAAACTACACTACACTTTGGTATAGAAAATCCTAGCTAGACATATACTTAGCTAGACCGTCAGATCCAAAAAAAAAACATCAACGTCAACAAAGAATCAATCAACCACCGCTTAAAGTAATAAATTATAGTACAAACTATGCTATATCATGCTAACGCCATTTATATCATGAACAGATAACACAGTCAGCCCAGAGACAGAAATAATAAATAGCCAAAAAAAGCAAGCAAGTCAGTATGTATGTATGTAGGTATGTATGCACGCAGATAATCCATATCCATCGAGAAAGAACCCCAAACAAGAGAGACATAGAGTAAAGAACTGTACTTATTAAACGACCATAAACATGGATCTCGAACCCGCAAGATCAAGTAGCCTGTTAGTCCCTGAGGCCCTTCCTTCCCTTCCTTCCGTAATTGACATTCCCTTTCAACGGGAGTTGTAAGGGAAAAAAAGGAGAGGAATTAATGTACCGAGCCGAATCGAATCGAATCAAATCAATGGAGTCAAAACGATCCGAGCCCATAAACCAATATGCAACCACGCAAAAGTAAAAGCCGAGTGTCAGAACACCTCAAAAGCACCCTCCCATACTCCTCCATTCTCATCCCATCCTAATAAATCATCCGGGACTCTTTCCATTGGCTCTTGCTCTTCCCTGATATCTCTCCCTTCGCTAAGAGCGAAACATACACAGAGCCCCCCGGGCACAATATCTCCCGTCATCATAACACACCGATACAATACGATGGGACGGAATGCGACGCGATCAAAAAATCCACCCCAGAATCACCCAAAGCGCCACCCCGATGCAGACCACGATGCCCGCGACTTTCAGCACAGCCACCGTATCGCCCTGTCGCGCCATGCGAGTTAATCGGCTCGCGCTGCCTTTCAGGCCTGTTGAGAGGGAGGAGAAGACTTGATTCTAGGAGATTCGGGTTATATTAGCATTGTTCATTGGTAATAGTTGGGTTGAGGTTGAGGGTTGGGTGTTTATTGGCGTTTGGCAAGGTATAAGGTAAGAGAGGTTTGGGATTAGTGTCGACGGGAGATTATATCTTGCGTTGCGCGCCGGTTGATAGAGGACATGACAAGATAGTGTAGAGTGTGTGTGTGTGTGTGTGTGTGTGTGTGTGTGTGTGTGTGTGCGCGCGGAGATTGGGAGGTAGATCTGGAGCAACGAACCGAATGATCCAACGTATCCTGATCTCTTGCATTATCGTGAATATCAATCGTGACGGATTTCAGGGCGGAGACTTTCGAGGAAAGGGAGTTGAGGAGGGCATTATTTTGTCTGTAAAGAAGTTGGGAATGCGGTTAGTTATATCATAGTCTTGAACTGAGTGCGGGTGGTTGGCTTTGCATTTTCGGGCTCAGAATCTTGAATATAGATCAACCCCTCCCGATCCAAGGAGGCATGAAAATGAAGAGACTGAGGACGCGAAATGAAATGTGCGAAAGGGGTGGAGATAGCGTACTGTTCTCGTTCGTAGGCGTCGCCCATCTTGGTGGTTGGGTATGTTTCCTTGCGGTATAAGTTCAAGTTCAGGTCGGCTGAGTATTGGTAGATAGGATCAAAATGAGACTCTGGTTGGTATTCGTATGGGAAGCTATCTAGTCCGTAGGATTGGACGCTGGAATGGAGACAGGCAGCAACTTGAGGCCGGGGAAGTGATGACATGACGACTGACGGCGGTCCTGACGGAGATACGATCACGTGATGTCACCTGCATGTGAATGAACAGGCCGTTCCATACAACGCGAGCGTCTCGAAGCAAGCATAGAAGAGGTCTCTCAAATGAGTTCTGAATAATCTCTATACAAAATTCCTATTGCGGCAGCCAAAGCACCTATACTCCCACCAATCTACACAGTCATACTGTCCAAGTCCAAATCAAATCCGCCACCAGGGTTATTATTAGACAAAGGGTGAAAGACAAGAATTGAGTCCCGGGCCCATAAGAGCCATGAAAATCGAGAAAACTGGAAAATGAAACCATTCAAGCAACAAAAAAAGATTGAATGCCACCGACGCTATGCAAACAAAGCAAAACAAGATCAAATCAAACGTGAAGACAATAGGTCGTACCTCGCACTATCCTGCTTTTGAAGCCGGGATGTGCGTACTGTATAGAAATGCAATAGAATAGGACGCAAGAGAGAGTATAGACACCATCGGGTGTCACATCATATATTCTTCTCTTCCTGATGCATGTATACAAACTCACAATTCACGGAAGCATAGGCAAGAGTAACAGAACATCAGAAAGGTTGGAATGCAGTGCTCAGTGTACAAAGTTGCAGGAAGGACCAGAGTTCACACACAAGAGGGGTATTCGTACGCTGCAGAAGAACTTGGAAAGAAAAAACAGTAGCAAAAAGGGAAGATACTCCTGTTTCCTGTCACCACATATCATCATCGTCATCGTCGAGTTGGGCGTCGTCTCCAAACGACGAGTGACCGTATTGATGAAGTCCTGGTCCGTATGCATTTCCGTTCTCATAGCCTTGCTTACCACCCCGCGACTGCGACCGGTATTGGTCATGCTGATCATCATGATAATCATACATTTGATGCTCTTCATAGGAGGCATCGCTATACTGTTGTTGCTCCTGTGCCTGTGGGTGAAGACGTATGGTCAGCTACTGTTCTCTCATAAGCCCAGGTAAACAAGACAAGTAACTTACCTCTTGGTATCGCTGATACTGCAAATATTCTTCGGCCTGAGCCTTCTGTTGCCTCTGCTGCGCTGACGACGCGAGCATCAGAGGATGCATCTGCTGTACCTTGGCCAGGTACGAGTACATGAAGTTACTGAGCAGGACCTGAGAATAGAGCGCACGCCGTGGGTTCGCAAGCTTGATATGAGCCATACGGTAAATAGCCCGTTCCTCCAGTATGGAGAATCGAGTCCAGGGGAAGTCAACATCCGGTCGTAGTTCGCGGACAGGAGGGTCGGGAGATAGAGTCCGAGATGCGGTCTTCTTGTGACTACTATCTCCGCTGCCCTTCTTTCGGCCACCTCCGAATATAGAAGAAAACAACCCGGACTCCTTTTCTTTCTTCGACTCGCCAGACGTCCTACGGACGTGGTCTTTGCGGCGCTCCTCTTCCAGCTTGGGATCAAGCCGGTCCACCACAAGACTTTCTCGTCCACGCTGGTTGGAGTCGCTGATGGGCAAGGCGTGCGCCGTTTCGTGAACCTTGTCGACAATTTTGGATTTAATCTTCTTCGAGTCGCTGTCCTTGTCCTTCTTCTTTTCCTTTTCTTTGTCTTTGTCTTCCGAGCCTAGCAGCCAGTGCCAGCTCGACTTGCGTCCGCCTTCCGAGTCCTTCTTGTCCTTGGATTTTTTGCCTTCCGACTTGACTTCTGTCTTGGTCTCCGCCTTGCGATCATCAGAGAATGTGGGAATAAACGAAAGGCTATCCGTGCGGGTCGTATTTCCTGGGAGAGCTTGTGGCGTGTTGGCGAATTCATTAAACGAGGGCGTGCTCTCTTTGCCATACGCACGGCTATGCTGCTGAGATCGTTTGGACTGATCGTAAGCCGGCTGGGCTTTTGCCGGCACTGCAGACGGGGGTGGATCGTAGGAAGATCCTCGGCTGGGGATGGAGGGGGACTGGGGGGAAGCGGGTTCTGGCGTTGCGGCGGTTTCCAAAGGGGGCGTTTCGACAATTTCGGGAATCTTCTGTTCATTCGGAGGTATATGCAGGGTGGATTTCCCGTTGGAGCTGATCCGGGAATGCCATTGACGGTGTTGCGACTGGGAGTTCGACCTGTTCCTGGACTCTGCTGACGACAACTCATCCGAATACTCATTGCTGCCAGGCTGTTGCTGCTCTGGGCTTGAACCCCTAACGGGACCCATAGCCTCGTTGGAAGCGCCCGCCGTTGCCTGCGTGGACTTTGCCGCTCGCGTCGCACTGGGAGTAGGATCAGTAGATACCCGGCTCAGACCCAGGATAGGATTATCTCCAGGCATAGCTGGCGTGCCACCATCGCTGGCATCCGACGTCCGCGCCAGACGTTTAGAATATGGAACTTTCTCGCCCTTTTTCAAGCTGCCGGCTTTCCTGTATTGGGTTCTCGTGGACCGCCTGAGACTGTGGCCGGGAGGCGCCGGCGGGAGGATAGGCCTATCCTCTTCGGAGATATCGAGGTTGCGCATCTCGCTCAACAGGGACGAGCTGGCACTTCGGGGTAGCGAGTCGTCCACCAGAGTCTCCAGCTCTTGCAGATTGGGGCCGTCCCCCTTGGCTGATTTTGACCGTTTCCTCTCGAGCCGCTCCGCCCCGTCCGTATAGTTTTGAGATGTGTCGATCTGCCTCGACAGCATAGACTTCTTCCGCCGAAGACCTCCGCTTGACCCTTGACGTTCCGGGCCCAGAGTCGAGAAATCGCCCGATTTTCGTTTGATATGGTCGGCTTTACTTTCGAGAAAAGACTTGAATTCTTTCGGGGCCAGCTCCGGGTGCAAGCGAGCTGGAACCCAGAAGAGTCGGGAGGCATCATTTTCATCGTCGGAAGGCGATGGAGCAATCGACGGTACGGAGAGGTTGGGATTAAAGCTGGGAAGATCCGGATCGCCCGTGGCTGCTACATCCATGGACATGCGCCGAATGGCGGCCAAATTGTTGAGCTCCTGAGCTACGGCGGCAGGGTCGGATTCGTAGTCGATATCGTTAAGCGGGAAGGAGGTGGTGGCGGTGTCGGTCGATCCAGGGGAGGTGGTTGAACTAGGGGAGGTTGGGCTGGTACTATCCAAAGATTTGGCACCCGCGGGCGGGCGAGACTGTCCATTTGTTTGTCTATTGTTGTTTATTTCATTTAGATGGCTTTGTACTTGTAGCGATTGCGGCGACGAGGGCGATTCGGCACCGGCGAGTTTCGGAGGAATGATCGAGATGGTGTCAGTCAGAGGGGAGGGGATATAGCTGAGGCGTTTCGATTCCCGCTTGTCGTAATCATCTTCGTACATATGGCCGATCGCTTCCGTGACATGGTGACTGGGGTCACTGATCGACAGATGAGGCCCATGTCCTCGTCGTGTGGCATATCCTCCGCCAACCTCAGAGGGGCTCGGGCTCGGTGAAGCCTAGAAAACGGGGCGGGTTATTAGTTCAGACCCATGATTTACAGAGGGTAAGCAGGAAATTTGAATCGCACAACGCGTATACTGATCTTCATTGCATTAATTGGGGAGAAATTCGGTAGTTGTGTTGATGTTGTTCAAAGAAAAAAAAAGGGACAGCACAAGACAAGGGGGCAGGTAAGACGGGACGGGCATCACAGGCAAATCCCAAACGAACATCATTCAATCCATGAACAGCAAGGCAGGACGGCAAAAGCAAATAAAGGTTAAATGAGATGAGAAAAAAAAAGCCAACGCACCTGCATGAAGAGCAACTTGTCGGGGAACTCGAACGGTAAGAAATCCCGAAACGGGCTGGGGAGACCGGAGGGCGATGAGAATCTCGCCTCGTGGAGAGGAGGTCAATGTACCACCTGGGCGGAAAGACTAGGAAACAGGATGGCGGTCATGGAATCATGGAAGCGGGGAAGAAACGCCGACGGAGAGGAGCAACCACCAGGGTAACGGAAGGAAAGAGAGAATGAGGATGACGGCTAGGCATCCGGTGACAAATTCTCCTTCGAGAAACGAACGGGAAAAGAAAAGCAAAAGAAAAAAATGTATGCGCACGCTGTAGTTAAGGATCTCCAAGAATAGAAAGAGAGGAGAGGGCGGAAGAAAGAAAGAAGAAAGGAAACGGGGAGAGAAAAACGAAGGGGTAGAAGGAGAGGAGGGAGGAAAAGAGAAGCGCGAGGCTGAGGATACAACCCGCCGAGACGTTCAAGTCGCGCGGTACCTGGAATTGGATGGAATTGAATTGGATGGGATTGGATTGGATTGAGGATTTGGAGAAGGAGAGAGAAAGAAGAGAGACGGTGCGAGTGCCTGAGGAACGGGAGTTCGGTCACGTTTCCCGGTCGGTGTCTTCTTGTGTCTTTGGCTGTCTGGACTCTTCTCTTCATCATCTCCCTTCGTCACTCTTCCATTATTCAACCCTCTCGACTGATGATCACTTTCATGCCCCTCCCACCTGGCCTAGACTGACAAACGCTGAATTCTCCTCCCACTCACCTCTCTTCATTCCGTTGGATCCTGTCGACTGTCCCGCTCCACTACCTTACTCACTCAAGGGCCGATCAGGGCCACTGAACGGTAGACGATCGCTGATCAGCATTTGCCCCCATTTCCCCCTGCTTCTATTTATGAATGTGATCAATCAATCACACATGGATTTAGTTGATTATCAGATCCATTGGACTACATATAACGAACATATAGCCTAAATCAATGTCTGTCTATCTGTCTCCGTACTCTGTACTGCCTTATACTATGGAATGCTCTCGTCCAATGAAAGTATATAGTTACACTCCTTCATATGGGTGAACAATAGTCACAAGGAGACCGCAAAAACATAAGAACTCCACAGGTTTCTTCTCGAAGGTATCCGATGACATGGTCGAGTTCGCATCCCTATCCCTGTCCGAGTCCGCTGCCTTCCGTGTTTCAGCCGACAACCCTCTCCCGTCCTAATGTCAGGACTCAGGAGTCAAGGCAGTGGCGAGTGAACAAGCCCATTGACACCGTGACAGTGAGGAGCCAAGACTCCCTTCCATCTTCAGGATGCCTGACCAGTCCCGAACGCAGACATGGTCATTCTGTTTCAACACCGAGCTCACTTGTCTTCCTCACTAGGTGGCTCTGTCCCATCAACTGTCCAAGCAGAACAGCAGGAAAGCTCAGAACCGCCAGACGAGAATCATCTAGAAGCCATCCTGCGGCGCTTGGCTTTCAAGCCTATTCCCTTCCAGGTCTCGTGGGCCCCATCGATGACCTGGTCTCGATTGGTCCGGAAAGGGGGAGCGCATCTGTCTGCAGTGTCTGGTGACTACCCGATCGGAGAATTTTTGTTGATGCTGACAAGCCTCCCTCCCTAGTAAATGGTTGGCGCCTACAGTTAGACGGTTATGGAAACACCGAAGAAATGGAATAACGGCGGATTCTTGATTTATGGGATGCTGGGGGTTTAGACTCTTCTTAGGAATGTACGCTTCGCTGGGCTGCATTATCCGCTGAAGACCTATGACGATAATACCCCCTTGCTGCCCTCTGTTCCATCCCTTTCGCCAGAACTAGTTTGGAATATTGACGGACGCTGACGCTATACTAGAGAACGGAGAGGCAAGGATCAATTTACAAACTGGCCCATTCAATCGCGAACAATATCGAGAAACCAAAGAAGAAGAAAAGTGATCTAGAGAAACCCTATCACGGCCAAATATACAAAAGGTATTTATTTTTAGCCCGAGTGAACCGACTCCGGGCTGTCCATGCCAACCTGCGCAACGACAACTCCAGCGCTTGCACTAGAAATTTCAGAAGAGGGTCTCCGAAAGGAAACCGGGAAGGACATGGAGGGGTATGTATTTCCTTGATGTACGGCTAAACGGATGTGGTAGCGCTTTAAATACCACGACAAGATGGGCGCGACAAGGAAAAGGGAGTAGAGAAATAGAAAAGCAGGACCAGGAAGAGAAAACAAGGGTGGGGGTTGGGGTCATTAAAGGTCGTTCCGCATAAGCCAAAACTGATGGCTGTGAGAGCTCTAGGCCGTCTCAACGTAGTTGCTAGAAGAGGTGGTACGATCAGCATGACGAATTTGGTTATACATGAAGAATTTCAAGGTCATACCTGGGAAAGATGCCGACCCGGTCCCCAATGCGCCCCGTCCACCAGTCTTCCTTCTTGTCGGTTCTCTTCAGGATAGTGATAATATCCCCTTTCTTGAACCCCAGGTCTCCGTCCTGGTCCGCATCGAACGTGAACAGTGCAACCGCCTGGTCTTGTCGCAGAGGGGCTCCCTGTCCCGTTCGTTGCCCAAAGACCGGCTTGGGCGCCGTGGGCCGACTGGGCTTACGATCCGAGTAAACGTAATCATCCTCAGCGAAAGGTGCCGTGTTGCTGCGGTTGCGACCGAAAGTATCGAAGCTGTCGTTGCGACCATAATCATTGCGGGTTTGTCGGGTGGTCGCAGACCGGCCGAGGCCTCCCGCAGGCCGGTCGTACACATCATCAGCCCATGTGTTTGCGCGACGGGGTCGGTCCCGGTACTCGTACTCGTCGGCATCGTTGAAGCCGGAGCGCGTGGTATTCCGCCGAGCTCCCTCTCCATACGCCTCTCCGCGCCGTCCTTCCCACACCACGTCGTCATGTCGGTCGTCGTAGATAGGGATGTCATTGTACATGGCGTCGCCGTGCATTCTGGCGTTACCGTAGAAGGCACGGGAGTTCAGGACGTTTAGCAGGGGGTCGGCGGCCGGGGGTGGCCGGATAGTTCCACTGAGCAGCTGGCGGGCTGACACTCGGCTGTTGTAGAGCTTCTCGTTCGCATCCTTACGTTCGACCAGCATGCTTCCCTCCAAACTCACACCGGCGAAGAGGCCCTTGGTCTTCGAGTACGAAAAGACCGCAGCCACACCCTTCGTGCTGGCTGCACCTGCAGCCTCTGCATTCCGTCCCACCGGGCCCGCAGCAATCGAAACGTTACCACCCAGCGTCAGTGTTCCCACCTGCGAAAAGGTCCGGACAGCGGCGGCATCGTTGAGAATGAAGACGAAGTCGGTCAGCTCGAAACCGATCTGACCACCGAACCCGGCGCCGGCCGTTGCGATCGCTGACGGGGCGGACCACGAGCCATCGGCCAAACGGGCAACGACCACTCCGGAACCAAAACGAGCGGAGCCTAGGAAACCAGCTTTCAGGACGGTGAGAACGGCCAGACCCTGCGGAGAGAAGTGGTTAGTCGCAAGATTATTGGCAACCGAGCGATTGCAGTCCAGGGTGCTTTGTTCCTTTCTCAAAAAGAATGGGTTGATCTTACTTTAGCTCCAGCCAGAATCTCGGGAGGAATAACTTTATCAGGACCAAATGCCTGTCGCGGGTCGACGAAGGAAGCAATGATTTTACCGGCCTTCTTGCATTCGCCTGTCAAACGGGCGCAATGTCAGCGCCGGAGTCCATGAGGAATTGCGGGGAAATTGAAATGGGAATGAGCGGATACGTACTTCCCAGAGACGAGGGCAAGGGATTGTGTATCCCAAGAGGCATTTTGACGGTGCTCTTCGAGATTTAACGGGAGGGAGGGGAGGGAGAAGGGCGAAGGGTTCAGGGTGATTGGAAGAAGGTGTTGATAGTTTGGAGAGAATCCGCGACGGAAGTCCGTTCAGATGGGGGCGGCCGGAAGTGGACCAAATGACGGGTGACACTGGTGACTGGGCGCTCGATATCGAGCTAACTACAGTACCTAAAGTCCTAAACTGAAGGTAGTATTTCAAGGTACACTGGATGTTAGTCTCGCCGAAGTGCCGAACCACGGGGAGGACAGAGTGGGAAGGATGATGAAGAATGTGAGCGCCTTCCGTCAGCAGCGAGAGAGAGAAAACAGATGGAATATATCCCTCTCGCTTCTCGCTCTCTCCCTCCCTTCCTCTCCCTCTCTTCGTCTCTCGTGCTGGGCGCAAAGTGGCGGAGTCGTTCGATCCGCTTCTCTTCGTCTTGGACTTGCCTTGACTAATAATTAATGACCTGTATAAATCGAGGACCTTCTTATTTCTTACGATGGTAAAAGAATCATGCAATAGAAGTATTTGATATGCTGTTACTTGTATAATTGGTATAAATCCAACTGTGAGCTCATACTAAATCCCCGTGGCTGGTGATGGTGGACACCTGAGGCCACAAGGTCGGCGGAAGAATCGCCGAAAACTCCGAGGTTAGTTATCGCAGTTGCAGCAACAACAACCCAACGCAATGCTGGAAACTCCCTAGTGACTTCACTTAGAACCTTGTTTTCTCCCAAATCCATACATGGTGAAACTACCCACAGTTCATGAAGCATGCTTTGGGAGTGATTTGAAAGAGGCGCCGTTGATCGCCTTTCCCGTTGCAAATGGCTACAGGTGCGATTGGCCCAATACCGCTCGCCGAGACATCAATCACAACATGATGTGCTAACATCCTCCAGTGCAGATCTGTGTTTGTGGCGATGAGGGAACTGGGAAATCCAGTCTCATCACTTCCCTGGTGAAGGGTGTATTCGTGACAAACAAGATCCAGCCCATACTTCCTCAGATTACCATCCCTCCTACGATCGGAACCCCCGAAAATGTCACAACCACCACGGTGGTCGATACCTCCGCCCTCCCTCAGGAGCGGAACAATCTGGCGAGAGAGATTCGAAAATCGAATGTGATATTGTTGGTCTACTCGGATCACTACAGTTATGAGAGAGTTGCGCTTTTCTGGCTGCCGTATTTCCGGTCCTTAGGAGTCAATGTACCCGTGGTGCTGTGCGCCAACAAGTCGGACCTTGCTGCAGGTCACAGCGAGTCCCAGGTCATTGAGGAGGAGATGCTGCCGTTGATGGCCGAGTTCAAGGAGATTGATTCCTGCATTCGCACGAGCGCTCGAGAGCATCGCAATGTGAACGAAGCCTTCTTCCTCTGCCAGAAAGCGGTCACCCACCCGATTGCACCGCTGTTCGACTCCAAGGAGTCCTCTCTAAAACCGGCCGCCATCGCAGCGCTACAGCGCATCTTCTACCTGAGTGATAAGGACAGGGACGGCTTTCTTTCAGACAAGGAGATTGGGGATTTCCAGATGAGATGCTTTGAAAAGCCTTTGAGCGAAGAAGATCTGATGCACATCAAGGAGACTATCCAGAAGATAAACCCGCACTCAGTGACGCCATCTGGCATTGACTGTCGGGGCTTCCTTCACCTGAATAAGATGTATGCCGAAAAAGGACGTCACGAGACTGTCTGGATCATTCTACGAGCGTTCCAATACACCGACAACCTGTCGCTCCAGGAGAATTTCCTCCATCCACGATTTGAGGTTCCCCCCTACGCATCTGCCGAGTTGTCTCCCGAGGGTTACCGGTTCTTTGTCAACCTGTTTCTTCTGTCGGACAAAGACAACGATGGAGGGCTGAACGATGCTGAATTGGCGTCCCTTTTTGCGCCGACCCCTGGCTTACCGGCTTCCTGGGCCGATGGCTCATTCCCGTCCTCTACGGTGCGGAACGAAGCTGGGCATGTCACTCTGCAAGGTTGGCTTGCGCAATGGAGTATGACCACTTTCACCTCGCCCAAAACCACACTGGAATACCTCGCCTACCTGGGGTTTGAATCATCCGACAGAAGCAATCCGTCTACTACGGCCGCATTGAAAGTGACTCGTCCGCGAAAACGGCGGAAGCGCCCTGGACGGGTGGGTAGGAACGTCGTCCTGGGCCACGTGCTAGGGGCTCCGAGCTCGGGCAAGTCCGCCCTTCTTGATGCCTTCCTATCGCGCGGATTTAGTACAACATATCACCCCACTATTCAACCACGAACTGCGGTCAACACGGTGGAGCTTCCTGGAGGCAAGCAATGCTATATGATATTGGACGAGCTTGGCGAACTGGAGCCGGCCATTCTTGAAAACCAAACCAAGCTACTGGACCAGTGCGACGTGATTGTATACACCTACGATTCATCGGACCCCGATTCATTCGCATACATCCCGGCGTTGCGATCCAAGTACCCCCATCTGGAAGAGCTCCCGAGCGTTTACATCGCCCTCAAGGCGGATTTGGACCGAACTACGCAACGGGCCGAGTACCAACCGCACGAGTATACTGCTATGTTGAACATGACCGGTCCGCCGCTCCATGTCAGTGCCACGTGGAGCTCAATCCAGGAGGTGTTCGTGCACATTGCAGAGGCTGCGATGGAGCCCAGTTTGGCATTCCCTCGGAGTGAGGAAGACGTTGAGGGGAAATGGATGGCATGGGGGATTGCTCTGGGAGCCGTAGTTTGCGCCGGAGCAGCGGCCGTGATGATCTGGCGGAGAGTGAGTGGAAGTGGGGACTGAGAAATTCTTAATTAGTGTACACCAGATGCATGCATGTGCATTGTTACTATTATATGAATCAATGAACCTTTTATTTGCATCAAGTAAAGTAGGCATTATTACAGAGTACGTATAGTAGTAAACTCTACATCGGAGACGCTAGTGCAGGCAGCACGCTAAACCGCAGACAGCATCCCCGCCTTTTGCACGCGAGAAGCGCCAACCGGGCAGATCTAACCGGCTTGGGTGCTCCTGCCTCGCTTATGCTGATTGCGCAGAGCAGTACTCCTCGTTCTTCTACTGCCTTCATCCCCGACCCTGGGGCTATTCAATTCAATCTACTCCGTACCCCATCGGAGACTTTCAACTACCTCCTTCCGCCCCGTCATCTCAGCACGCCCGGGCAGTGCAGCGCCTAAAACCCCCCGATATTCCACTGCGACACACCCTCACTACTTAAAGATTGCACAACACCTCGCTTCTCAACCTACTCATCTCGTTGACATCACACACACCCTAAACCTTGTGTTGATCCAGTTTCTATTATCCAATTAATCCACTCCGTTAGCGCCTCATACCACCCTGAGTAGCACCATCCCAGGTGCCGCTCTCGGTGGAGGATTCACGACATTGCGTGACCAATCTATCAACGCGTTACTGACCGGGTTGCGTTCATCCCGTCTCACGAGACACTCCTACTCACGTTGAACTAAATTGCTTTGGGTATCGCAATTGCAGCCATGTTGTAAGAATCGCCCCGTCTCGGCCTGCCCATCCGTGCCCGCTCCCCTTCTATTTGTTGGTCTGTCACTGGTTGTCCGGGGGTTGTTAAATGCGTCGGTCGGCTGTGATCTCCCTGGTTCCTCAGAAATTAACCCCGGACCATACTTTCAATGACGGCATTGTTGCGACTTTGTCTCGTGGCTGACCGTTGACCCAGCGTCCTTCCCCCGCCTCCGCCGCGCTACACCGTTCCAGTTGCCTACGCAGCTGGAGCGTCGAATGGCATGGCGGTTCCGGTGGTCGAAACCAACAATATAATCAGCAACCCAGAGGGTGGATGTCCGTTGCAGGTCGGAGAAGGTGCGCTTTCATTTCCTCGATTTCCTCCCATACCGTTCGCAGATGAAGACCCGTGTCGATGACCGCGCTAACGTCGACTGTTGCGACAGGCACCTATCACCTTCAGGATAACCTGCATCTTGCGACACCCCCTCCACATCCTTCCGAAGCTCCGATCATGAGCCCTAATCCCCTCGCAACGGTTCCCACTCCTCCCACAACGGGCGTCAAGTTGTCGCTGGTCAGTCTTGGTTCTCGAAACAAGACACCCGTTTTCTCCTTGAAGGACGGCATCACGGCGCCCGCGTTTGGAGACGGCAATCCCGCGCTAGTGGCACCGGTCACGAAGGAAGGCGTCAAGAGGCGCAAGCCGAAGAACAACATCATCAAGAGTAACTCCTCGTTTGTCTCGCGAGTCATTACCCACGAGGCAACGACGAAACGGCTAAATGACCGAAACCCGGACGGATTGTTTGCGTTCGCCAATATCAATCGCGCGTTCCAGTGGCTAGATTTGAGTTCGAAGCAAAAGGACGAACCGCTGTCCAAGATCTTATTTACTCGGGCGCACATGTTGAGTCATGATGTGAACGAGTTGACAAAGAGCACGTCGCACATTGACGTTGTCATGGGTTCGTCGTCAGGCGACATCATCTGGTACGAGCCGATCTCGCAAAAATACGCCCGAATCAACAAGAACGGGGTGGTGAGCAACTCCCCGGTGACGCATATCAAATGGATTCCCGGATCGGAAAACCTGTTCATGGCGGCGCATGCGAATGGACAACTGGTGGTTTATGATAAGGAGAAGGAGGATGCTTTGTTCACACCCGAGCTGAGCAGTCCGTCGGTAGAGGCTATAAAATCCTGTGGTCGGCAGCCGCTACAGATTCTGAAATCGGTCAACTCAAGAAATCAGAAAACGAACCCGGTCGCTTTGTGGAAGATCGCCAACCACAGGGTCTGCCAGTTCGCATTTTCTCCCGACCAACGTCATCTCGCTATCGTTTTGGAGGACGGGTCCCTGCGGGTGATGGACTATTTGAAAGAAGAGTAAGTTTATGCCTCTAACTGTAGGGGATTCGAAGAACCGAAATAGTCAACTGACTTAACATATTGCAGAGCACTGGATATCTTCCGCAGCTATTATGGTGGACTGATTTCCGTCTGCTGGTCACCTGATGGCAAATACATCGTCACGGGCGGCCAGGATGATCTAGTGACGATATGGTCTTTCCCCGAACGCAAGATTGTCGCTCGATGCCAAGGTCACAATTCCTGGGTCTCGGCTGTAGCATTTGATCCTTGGCGCTGTGACGAACGGACATACCGATTTGGGAGTGTTGGAGACGATTGCAGGTTGCTGCTATGGGATTTCAGCGTTGGCATGCTGCATCGACCAAGAGCGGTACGTAGAGGAAGGACTCCATCAACCACTCACTTGGTCACTTACTGACCCGACGCACCATTAGCTACAAGCCAGCGCCCGCCATCGAACTAGTATTCTCCCCTCCAATTCTCAACACGCCAATCGTCACCGCGCCGACAGCGCAGGGAATCGCGTACGATCGGATTCGCAACGCACCGCTGGCATCGACAGCACCTATGACCAGACCGTCCGTCATCCTGTTGAACCGAGGGCACGGACTGCTCTCCTACCACCTATCATGGTTCGTATCCCTCTTGTCACACATACATCCCCGTCGCACAGAGAGGCGACGAAAAAACCAGAACCCCGAGAAATCTAACTAACTGTTTGATAGTCCAAGATCGTCGGAGATGACCCTATCTCCTGGTTAGGATTCCAAGAAGATTCCATCATGACCTCTTCCCTAGAAGGTATGTACTACGACCGCCTGATCATCCCCTCCTTTTTGTTATATTTATCCGCAGTAATGATAACCCATTACAAACCCAACTAACACCACATCTCCACCAGGACACATTCGTACCTGGGACCGGCCTCGAGAAGGCATCAATGATAATTACAATGGTTACACCTCTTCGCCAGCCGTCAGTGCCAGCGCTGCCGCCTCCGGCTCAGGCTCCGGCTTCGCTGATTCGGCGATGGGATCGCTCTAACTTGCAACTGTCTAAGTAACCAGGATGGTTTGTGGTAGGGTGTGTGGTTAGGTTACTTTCCTTTCTTTTGACTTGTTTTCCCGTCCCCCTTTGTGGATTGTTGTTTGTTCACGGCTTGTAAATATGTACCTTCTTTTGTACCTTAATTCATATACCCATTTGCACATGCCTTTTTTTTTCTTGCCCATGTAGATTGTAAAACTCATTGTATATTCTAGCTAGTTCCAGCGGCGGCGGTATACCTTAGTCTAGCAGCCTAGCTACTCCACAATGGAACTGCCTAGGTAGTATCTATCACGACCAAGTTATCTCCGGGGAAAAAGGAAACTGAAGTCGCACAAAAAGTCTCTTGAAATAATAGACCTATCTGGGTAGTAACTATTGGGCAGTAAGTAGTACGGTAAGTGGTAGCCTGGAAAGGTGTCCGGGTTGGTATCGGAGATGGTTCGTAGTACAGCATATATATGAAACTATTACCTAGGATGAGTATACACACACCTATTTCTTTCGCCTTGTCGTAATTGCTTGACATGGATTGCGGTATCGCTGGATCAGGCTTCGGAGGTCCAGTCGTACGGAGAACAAGATAGGCGATGAGATTTAGCTGATACGGGACACAATTGATAGTATGCTAGAAGAGGAGATCGGAATATAGTTTAACTATGTAGATGATAGAGCACTCTAGACCATATCAACTGTGCCCAGACAGCAGACAGTCTCACCTCCATTGTACAATAATATCTATCACATGCAGTCGCGACCCCAAAAGGAATACTAGTGAAGCCCAATGCATGCAATCAACAGAACTATAGAATAATGTATGCAGTGTCCTTGCATGAGCGATGAATTGTCAAAAGTCAGAGAAATGGAATGCAAAGTTGAAAACCACAGTTAGGAAAGGAAAAGACAAACGCAAAGCTAAGGAGGGGATATTCATTAAGATGTCACGTAAATACATATCACAGCAACTAACTAATGCACTATATAGTCCAAAATGAATTAAATAATCTCACCACGAAATGAAGGGTTGGAAAAGCAACGGCCAGGATGATGGATGGATGGACGGATGGGTCGTTACTTTTCGGTTTTGAGGAGGATGTCGACAAGGTGTCGACTCTGCATCTTTTCTCGCTCATTCTCACTCGCACTAAGCACTCTGCATGACCAAGAGGCCACTTAGAGCACAAGTGCAAAGATACTCACCATGAGGGAGCCGAAAGTAGCCGGGATCGCGAGCGAAGAGGCACCGGCGGTGGAGTTGGTGGGCGCAGCTGTGGATTCGGTTGCACTCGAAGAGCTAGAGGTAGTGGTCGTTTCTGTTGCGGGAAAAAAACCATGTTAACAATCGTTCTTTCTTGAATTATACATGTACTCACTCGGTGCTGCAGAGCAGGAGGGAATGGTGCTAGATGATGGTAAAGTAGAGCTGGAGAGTGTTTGATGTCTGATGCAGGGGCGGGAAGTAGATTTGGTGCTGGTAGTTGTGTATGGTGATGATGATGACGGTGTAGATGTGGTGATAGAAGATATATTAGAGTCTCTCTTACTGTTCTTGGGCGGATCAGCGACTTTGGTGACCTCAAATTGCTGCGACTGGGCAAGAATGCCGGTGTTCATCTTGTCTCGGGAGATGAAGTTCAGCTGGTAGCCGGGGCTGTGGTGAAAGTGACACGATTAGCTTCGGACTGGAAGGTGTATTGCGAGCACAATCATCTCGAACTGGTCCTGACATACCCCTTCGGAATACCCCAGACCGGGTCGATTTTGACGGAGCCTTGGGAAGCGTCGATGTCTTTGGCAATCTCCTTGTTGGCGCTGGAGCCGTTCATGTTGACCAGGTTGATGGTGAACTTGGGTTGGTCCGACCTATTCGTGATGAGTATGCTAGGGAGATTGTATACACAGCATCAGAGCCACTTACTGGACAGACTTCCACTTGATCTCGTACTCCTTGCTCAGATCAACCTTGGCCCCGTTTGACGGAGATGTGACAGTAAGAGCTTCGAATCGAGCGACGTTAGCGACAACCCTCGATATCAACCACTGCTAAGGGGTTCAATCACATACCCACGCAGGAGACGGCAAAAAGAATTATCGAGAGAATGTTGAAACGCATTGTGAAGTGGTATGTGCGCAAATGGGTAAAAGGTATCACAAAGAATCCAAGAAGAAAGCTCGATCAACGAGGTGGTGAAGTATTAAAAACAACGACCGACAATCTATTTATAAATTCGATGGACTGGAATACAATCGAATGAATAGGCTGCAACTTGGAGGGACGACGAGGTGTCTTTATATCGCAACTGAAGGTAATCCTATACACCGCAAAAAGCAGCCATGACAAGAGCGATCGGCCAATGCCCTTTCTAGGGCTCGCTCCTTCCATTTCGGAGGCCATTGAGTTCCTTCCGGATTGACCGATAGGAGAAATCAGAATTGAGTTTTCTCGGTGTTCTTTGGAGTCGCAAGCACAGGGCGCATCCTGCATTGAAGCGAGGGGGGCCACAGGTGATCTGTCCTTCTTTCACCCTCGTCCTCGAATCCCACAGATCCTCTCGTCATCGGAACTTCTCATTGGCAGATTCGAGAAGAGATTGCAGAAAAACTGGGTTCGCTTGATTGATTCTGGGAAATCTAGGGTAACGTTAAGGCAGTCCTGTCCAGCACGACGGGGCTCTGCCCGTGCTTGCAGGAGGCGTCTCCCTTTTCAAGGATTGCCCTTTGGCCTGCCATTATGACCATGACGTACTGATCAGTAATGATGATGTTCCTTCTTCTGCCTTCTTCGCTTTTTTTTGTTCTCTATCTTGGCTGCTACACGGGATATTTGTTCCCAGGGCTGACCCTTGTTGATGGCGAAATCGAGGAGCTGCCTAATACCGGCAATTGTACAATTTTGGCGGCTCGAAAATTGATTGACGATTCATTGACACATCGGTGGGGATGAACTAAAAGTCTGAAAAAGCTAGCTACGAACCTGCATACATTAGACGCTACATAATGGCCAACTAGTGTCGGCGAATGAACAATCTTAACACGACAGCATGTTTGCTGCCTAAAGATCTCAGCTTCCACTATCATGCCATCAGAATCATACAGTCATTCAAAGGACACCGAATCGAACGAATTACGACGACTCCGCAACCCAGGCCGTTGAGCAATACTTGGCGCATCCGAAGGAAAGAATTGCGTACGACCGATAACGTGGACTTGCCTCCAATTGGCATTTTATTTTCTTGCCTAACTCGTCAATTGGAATCGAGCTCTGGAAATCTGTTCGCACAATGCTTGTTTATGCGCTGCACATTAGGGCCTTTTGGCTTGCCAATAAACTTCTGATTCGCACGCCGAGCAGTATACAGATCATCCCCAGCCGCTTCTTGACTCGACATGTCAGATCCCGAGCTGCCGATATGCACGAACTATTGAGATTTTGCCTTTATATTCTCCCGAATCTAGTCAATATGTCGTTGCGTGACTCAATACGGAGTAGCAACAGCAAGAACCGTGCCGTGCAGGATAGTCTGGATGCGAACCGGACTTGAAGCTATTATTAGCTGGCAAGAGGCGACAAAGCACCGCGCTCTGCAACTGTACGCTGTATTCCCGTCGGATCTCAACATTGCTACTCCGTACTCACACACAGGATTCCATGGGAGTTCGATGCACCTGAGGTCCTCTTCATCTCGGCCTGCCACGTTATACCGTCACGTTCTAGGTGGTCGAGGCTGAATGACCATTGTTTAATCTAATTATAACAGCAGTTACAGACCAGTTGTACAATCTACGGCCCCCCATAAATAGACCGTTGTTATGCTTACGACGGCGTGCGTAACGATAGCCTAGAATAACCGGCATGTTGAACAAAAACGCGCAACATGGGATCTTGCGTTTTCATGCCACATACTTACTTTCCCCCTTACGCTTCGTCTTCTTGCTACCCTCTATCATCATCCTAACTACGACGATAAACACAGCACCGAAGAGAGATTGTTGTGGAGAACTGGGAGCGCCTTCCTCACCGCTTCGTTGGACACAAGGCCTGGATGTTGAACTGGACCGGTATATTAGCTTCGCGAGACTATAGTCAATGCAACTACATATATCTGCACAGTGATTCCGATTATCGGGTATGATTGACATGCACCTTACAGGAGCATGGATATCTCGCATACGCATAGTAGAGGTTGATTGGGGACGAGAGATGAGTATGAAGGGCCTCGAGATGTAGGGGATATGGTGAACGAGTATAAGTTCTCTGAAAAAAGACCATCAACTCAAATAGTGAGGAACCCGTAAACTGATTGACCAAAAGAAGACGTCATGACCTTGCCAATGGTATATGCCACGATTCATTACGTGGATACATGAAAGCAAATCCCCAGCCTTTTTCTTCCAATCCATAGAAAAAGCACAGTACTACTTACTACATACAGCAGCCCGGGACGTCGGAGAATTGAAATCAAGTTCCAAGATTCGAGGCGTGCCTTTTCTTTCCCCTGCTTGATTTCCCCTACTGAAACCAATTCCTTGGTGCGCCACAGATCGTCAGTCTGGAATGTGGCTTTCCGTTTCCGTGCTCTCTGCTCTTTGAAGTCGAGTGTAATCACAAGTCTGATCTTCTGCTCAGATGGATCGTGCCATTGATGCAATATACATCCATGATGATTTGATTCTCTAGCAGATGATAAGAAAACAACACAGTGTAGGGTTGCAACGTAATTGGGCACGGGTACAGAAGGTTGAGTCCGCGCGGCTACCTACCACATAACTACACCAGGGCCGACTACACTAGGGAAGGCCCACATTCCTGCCAAGAGATGACGAGATCAATCTAGATGTAGCTGCTGTCCTCTGCACATGAAGTCCTACTTACTACCTTCCGTACGAAGAGACCTGGTGCAGGGTGGGTTTCCCACCTGACGAAAATTCGGGTTATATTCCCGAGCGGACCGTTGCCAGCTTGGTTAAGTGGATGAGAGAGAAGGTGGGTGGTAATAGTTGGTAGACGGAACCGGAAATTTTTGCCGTTGTATCCATGAGCAGTTGTCTGTTTGCGGACGGAGAGAGGGTGGTGTTTGGCACATGGAAGTGTCCTTTCAGAGTTGAATACGACTCCGTGTCGTTAAGTCTCCTGAGAAGGTGGGTGTATGAGGTATGGGTAGTAGTTTCTATAAGGGAATGAACGTGTCATACCCCCTGGCAACCGTGGGTTGTCAGCTCAGTCGTCATTAACATGACACAAAGGAGGTAGCACAGGCTCGTCAACGTCTACCAGAAAATCGCTGATCTTCTCAGGAACCAACGGTCGTCTCGGTTGCGCCCGCGGTTTCACATGCCTGCTACTCACCACTGACGGTTGTGAGAGGATCTTTTCCTCTCGCTTGACACAAGGGAAGCATAAGGTTTGATTGTGCTGGAGATCCCAATGTGGATAGTGTCACAGCTCTGTCGAGGTTTGAGGAATCGCGATTGTGTGTATTTCGTCATCTGTACCTGGATTAGTTGATTAGGTCTTATATCTAGTAGTTCTTGGGGTTGGAGGAGGGCAAAGGATGACGAGAGCACGAAGACATGGATGAGGGCAGCAGGTAGACAGACGAATTCAGCCAATTGGTCTAGATCTCAGTCCATCCATGACCCATCCCCGTTTTCGTTTCACCCCGGACTTGGAAGGTGCCGTGCCCTCCTCCGGAGTAGGACATTCGGAACCGAGTTTTTGCTGCTTACTTTCAAATGCGGCCCGTTCAAGCCCTTAAGAGGAGAAAGATATATATGATCTCGGACATGTCCACATTTTTGATCGTCAATAGCCCCCTTCTTTTGAAAAATCTCATTCAAACCCTGGGCACTTCCATCATTATGAAGCCCCAAACGTCGACGGTCATCTTAGGGCTTTGCACTTCAGCCCTTGCCCTCCCTTTCGGCAATAATCAAAATGAGAATCCAACCAAGACAACGCAGGCATCTAAGCGTCAAGATGTCGCAAACCCCAACCCCTCTGCTACGGCAGAAAACGCGGCCCCAAACCCCATGAGCCAGGCGGGTGGGTTTTCGTTCCCCGGCTTCGGCGGAGGACAGTTCAATGGCCAAACCCAGGGCGCTCAGACCTCAGGTTTCGGAGGCTTCCCAGGAGGTGGAAGCTTCACTGGCGGAGGAGGCTTCCCCGGCGCCGGACAGGGACAGGGTTCGCCCTTCACAGGTGGTTTTGGCTTCCCCGGCTCACCAATCCAAGGAGCAGAGAGTGAGGGCGCTACTCAGACTGTTGAGCCCTCGGAATCCGGTAACCTTCCCGGAGGTGCAGGCTTCGGTGGAGGCTTTGGAGGTTTCTCAGGCAGCGGAGGCTTTGGCGGAGGTTTCCCAAGCGGCGGAGGCTTTGGCGGGGGTTTCCCTGGCTCACCAACCCAAGGGGCAGAGAGTGAGGGCGCTACTCAGACTGTTGAGCCCTCGGAATCCGGTAACCTTCCCGGAGGTGCAGGCTTCGGTGGAGGCTTTGGAGGTTTCTCAGGCAGTGGGGGCTTTGGCGGAGGCTTCCCAAGCGGCGGAGGGTTCGGCGGAGGCGGCTTCCCGGGCTTTCCTACTTCATCAAGCCAGGAAGAGAGCCAGCAGTCTGCCCAAACTACCGAAGCCCCGGCCTCTAATAGCTTCTTCGGCGGAGGAAGCTTCCCTAGCGGGGGCTTCGGCGGCGGGGGTTTCGGTGGCGGAGGCTTTCCGGGGTTCTCCAACGCTCCAAGCCAAGATGCTTCGGCCTCTGGTAGCCCCTTCGGTGGTGCTGGTGGTTTCCCCAGTGGAGGTTTTTCCGGAGCCGGTGGCTTCTCGGGCTTCGGCCAGGGCTCAGGTTTCCCAGGGTTCTCTAACGCTCCGGGCCAGGGAGCGGGCGCAGATGCTTCCCAAGGCGCTGAGCCCCCGGCATCTACGAGTCTCCCCTCAGATGATGGAAATCAGGTAACAAGTGCCAGAGAAGCTTCCAACATCCCAAGCCAAGGAGAAGACGAAGTTGGCCCGGAAACCTCCGACACTCCTAGCCAAAGCGAAGGCGAGGATGCCCCTCAAGATACGGAAGCCCCGGTTTCTAGTGGCCTCTTCGGAGAAGGTGAAGGTCCTTCAGCAAGCGCTGGATTTTCTGGCTTCGGCCAGGAATCGGGTTTCCCGGATTTCTCTGACTCCTCAAACCAAGGAGGGTTCGGTCAGGGAGGCTTTGGCCAAGGATCATTCTCTGGTTTCTCCAACCCAAGCCAAGAGGGAGAAGGCGAGAGCCCCTCCCAGGATGCCTCAAACCAAGGAGGGTTCGGCCAAGGCGGGTTCGGCCAAGGCGGTTTCGGTCAGGGAGAATTTGGCCAGGGATTAGATTTCTCTGGTTTCTCCAACCCTACAGGCCAAGAGGGAGAAGGCGAGAGCCCCTTCCAGGATGCCGAGAATTCCCCGGATGGTGGTTTCTTTGGAGCTGGAGGCTTTTCAGGCTTCAATCAGGAATCCGGGTTCGCAGGTCCCACGGGCCCTCCCACTCCCACGAGCCAAGGGGAGGAGAATGGAGGCACCCAGGGACAAGAAGAAACCTCCGACGAGGCACAGGACACTTCTGGTCTACGCCCAGGATTGCCAGGAAATGGAGGCTTCCCAGACTTTCCATGGCCGCCTGGAAATGACAATGAGACCGACGAGAACGCCACGACCAATGGGGCCCCTAGTCCATTCGGCAACTCTGCGACAGGCACGTTCTCAGGATTTGGTGGACAGTCATTTGGCCAGCCCACCAGTGTGCCAGATACCACTGAAGATTCCGTGACGGATGGATTCGCAGGCATAGCAGGCGGCCAGGATGTGCCAGAAACGCCTGTCGATGCACCTGAGCCGGAGGAGGAACAAGAAACCTCAACCTGAATTTGATGCTTCAAAATGTATTTTCCTTTTGTCATGGGTGTTTTTTGATTTCCTTATTCACTAATTCTCTCCTTTCCCTCTTTTTTCTCTTTTTGTTTCTGTTTATTGTGAGATCCACGTCACTTTTTGGGAGATGGGTTATGTCTGTAGGTACTGGTGGAATAGATCAAAAGATATATGTTGCTGTCGTTATGATTATTCATTTGATGCTTTGCAAAGGGTCTGAAACGAACGTCTTCCATCTAGTGCTAGTCGGTGACCATCTTGCCTAGAGATATGACTCAGATAAACAGGCTTGACACAGAGTGTTCGAGATGGTGAAGGTGTAGAGAAGGCCACATGACGTTGAGGGACGAGTCAGCCAGTGGATTATGTCATCACTTACTGGTGTCGTTTTGACTCTCCCCCGCTCCAGAATTCCCACTTTACGCTTCTCAATTCTCCCACAACCCAGTCAGATTCTCTGCGCAGGGATTCTCCTCCTTGCCCGAAATCCAGTTTTTGTTTAGAAACACATAGAGGCATGCCCAGGAACCCCCGAATACATCCCCGACGTATCATCAGCGACTTTGAAGATGGATGACAAAAGTGACAGCTTATTTAAAGTAAGTCCTTGATTCTTTCGCATCCCATGTCGTTCGCGTTAGGGAAATCCGCGTAGACATCAGCAGGCACTGTTTGTTATATGCGACTCGGCAGTTAATTGGTATTCGGGCTCTAGGAATTGGAAGAATCTTATTGCCCACCTCTTGACGCAGCGCTCTTCACCGCTATCGTCTGCGACTATGACCTCACAGACGCGACTCAGGTCCAAGACCTTCGAGACACCCTAGATACACTCAAGCTGTCCGCATGGGAGCAGGAAGGACTTCCTTTCGATCCTTCTGGGACGAGCGGCTTAGGATCGGTGGAAGGTCTCGATGTGGACGGCATCCCATCGGAGCGCAGCGTGTCGCAAAACGGCACCATACCGTCGCGCGAAACAGACTTGACCAGCCTGGTGTCCGAATTCTCCTCATCCAGCGTCAATGACCAGAACAAGAATCATAGGAAAGACCAATCTGGGCTCTCCGAGCGCGTGTCATATACAGTTGCTGCTGATGGCTCTCTGCGTCTTTCCGGGGCGACCCAAGAAGATAAGATCGCGTACTTGACGGAAATGTTCCCCTCGGCGGACTATTACACCATACAGCATACATTGCAAAAGTCTAGTGGAGATGTAGACCGATCGATGGATGTTCTGCTTAATCTTGTCTTCTTCGACGAGCAGCCCTCGAACGAGCCCGACGCCAAGGTTGCGATCCCGAAAGGAATTGACGGCTTCCAGGACGGCTTAGATGCCGAAATCTCGCGTAAAAAGGGTCGCAAGCGCAAGGGCAAGAACAAACTCGCTAGGAGCCAAGAAGTGTCTGCTTTTGATTCGGAAGAGTTGGAGTCGCCTCGCCCCGTCAACAAATGGGATTCTGCCCAGAGAGATGTTGACTTCATCCATTCGCGGACTTCGCCTATTCTAAAGAAAGAAACAGTCACGTCTACGTACCATGCCAACGGAGCTTCATTGTCTTCTACCATTCGGTCTCTCGCTAGCGCCTCTGCTCCGGTAAAAGAAGAAGATATCAAACAAGACCCGGTCACGTTGGCCCAGGTGGCCGAGCTGATGCAGGAATTTCCCTCCATTCCTCCAACAACATTCGCCGGTCTTCTTATGATTACGAGGAGCTCAACCTCTGCCGCCAGTGAATTGGCAGATGCGATGCTAACCGGACCGGCCACTCCGTCCGTATCCGAATTGATTAAGATAACCGCAGCACCACTGCCACTTGACATGGACGACGAAGCGCCGTCGCAGCGGAAAGCCGCAGCGCGGATCGCTCGAGACTACACGACGGTACGTAGCACGGCTGGTGCACACTTCGCAGCCGGTGCCGAGGCCCTCTCTAAAGCCTCAATGGCCTACAAACGTGGCAAATCTGATCGATACATGGGCGGTGCGGCTGCCTACTATTCCTCCGTGGGACGAGACCACCTGGAGCTGGCCAGGCGCAATGCTGCAGAGGCCGCTGACGCCTTGGTGGACTCGCAGTCGTCATCCAACATGTTGGATCTACACGGAGTTTCGGTACAGGATGCCGTTCGCATCGCCGGCGACCGGGTCACAGACTGGTGGGAGTCTCTGGGGGATGCCAAGTATGTCCGAGGGGGCAGTGGTTCCATCCGTGGAGGATATCGCATTGTCACCGGACTTGGGCGCCATAGCCACGATGGTACCTCCCGCCTCGGTCCAGCTGTGGGTAAGATGCTGGCTCGTGAGGGCTGGAGGGTGGAGGTTGGGGAGGGTGTTCTGACAGTTACTGGCGTGGTGCGACGTCGTTGAGATTTACGCTGTTCATTTATGAGATACCCATGTCTATGCGTATATTTGTTTAAACCTAGAGGGGGGTTATCCAGGAGATGTTATCAGGAAGTACACTGTTCGGTAGATCTTTACAGTACCTTATTGAAGTGAAGGCAAAACGTGACCAATGAATAATCGGCTTGAACTATTTTCACACGTCATGTGGGGCTCTGCTAGAGGCGACTCTGCGCGGAGTTCTCAAGTATATCTTGAGTCATGGATCTACAAACTTGAATCATCTTTGTCTCCAATCACTTCTACTCCTTCATCCATACCTCTTCCTCGTCTCCTGATGCGTTTCCAGACATTGTATTCTTCTCTGCGTACTTTCGCCATTCCCCTCCGATCCCGCGTCATACGCCGAGCCGCAATAGCTCCACCTCTCGCTCGACCCGGAGCAACTGTTCTGAAAGCCGCTCCAACGATTCCCTTCTTGAGCTCCCTTTTCAGTTCAAGCGCCAGCGACAAAATGTCTTATCCCGACCAGCGGAGCGACGACGCATGGCGCGCCGTTCTCAGCCCAGGTTGGTTTCCTCTTCTTTCCACCCCGCACTCTTGGCGTCTTCGCGAGAGATGTAGGATAGCCAAGTCAGTCTCTAACCATGAATCACACTTGCTACAGAGCAATTCCGCATCCTCCGCGAAAAAGGCACCGAACGTGCAGGTTCCGGCGAATACGATTCCCACTACCCCACCGAGGGTGTCTACGGCTGCGCCGGGTGTAATGCGCCGTTATACAAGGCCTCGCACAAATTCAAATCCGGATGCGGCTGGCCGGCGTATTTCGATTCTCTTCCCGGTGCGGTGACGAGACACACTGATAGCTCGTTTGGCATGGAACGGACGGAAATCGTGTGCAGCAACTGTGGAGGTCATTTGGGACATGTTTTCAAGGGCGAGGGGTTCCCGACGCCGACGGATGAGAGGCACTGCGTGAATAGCGTTAGTCTGCGGTTCCAGGAGGATGGAGGTGAGCCGAAGTCAAAGGCATGAAAATATGGAAATAGCATAGTGTAGCATGAGACAGAGCGTGGAATAATGAAGATGGAGTTGTGTGCATCCGGACTTATACTGCCGTAGAGCTGCACACTGGGTGCCTGTGCCGCGCCGGATCGGGCAGCCACACGGGGGCCTCAGGCCAGCAACCGCCACCTGACCGACGGCCGATCGGATTGTCGCCTTCGTGTTTCATCCTCCTTTCTGTCCGTCCTCGTCCTCCCTTTGCTTTGCCGGCCTGCCTCGAGTGGATTGCTTTCGCCCGCTGTGATGTCTCGACGCGCGACGCCATCCCAGGCTGCTCAGAACCAGCAGACCATCAAGAACCTGCTCAAACTCGAGTACAACAAGACATGTGCCGATTGCAAACGCAATAAACGTGAGTGGGCTTGCTGCTGATATACTTCCCTCCCCCGCGGATCCCGAATACTGGCGACTCGATCTCGGAGCATCAAGGGACTGACAATTGCCTCGGTAGATCCACGATGGGCCTCCTGGAACCTAGGAATCTTTATTTGTATCCGCTGCTCGGGCATTCACAGGGGAATGGGTACCCATATCAGCCGGGTGAAATCCGTGGATCTCGATGCGTGGACCGATGAACAACTGCAGAGTGTATTGAGATGGGGCAATGCGAGAGCCAACAAGTGCGCTACTCCTGAAGACTGGCTTTTTGTTCATACCGGAGAGATTGTGTGCTGATGGGTTCTTGGCAGATACTGGGAGGCGAAACTGGCGCCCGGTCATGTTCCCTCGGAAGCGTAAGTGGAATTCTCACCCACTTCTTCCCTCGGTACTTGCGAGTGTTTGGCTAATATGGATATGGGGATAGTAAGATTGAGAATTTCATCCGGACCAAGTACGATTCAAAGCGATGGGTGATGGACGGCCCAATGCCCGACCCTTCGACGCTGGATGTCGGCGACGATGATGTGGCAAGTGATACGGGATCCCAAGTTTCCCAGACACATGACTGACTTGTTTGTTCTTGAAGCCCCTTGCGGTCGTCCAAGAGAAGGCGAAACTTGAGCGCTCGGCCTCCCAACGAGTGGCCACCTCTAGCCAACCCCCCGCGCCCCAACGCCAACAACCTGCTATCGATCTGTTTGGTGATGACATCTCTCCTCCGGTGCGCCCTAGCACCACCGAACCTACACCCCGAGCTGCGCCGAAACAGCAACAGCCGCCAGCGCAGGCTGCCCCCAAAGCCCAACGCCCGGGAGACTCGTTGCTTGGGCTGGATTTCTTCGGCAGCACCGAGCCGGCGGCCGCCAGCCGTCCGGCTAGCACGGCCTCCACGCCGACGAATCCTACTGGCATGTCTCGACCTGATCTGAAGCAATCCATCCTGTCGCTCTACTCGAAGCCTCAGCCTGCTCCGGCGCAGCATCAACGGACCACCTCGTTCGGCGATCTGGCATCCCCTCCCCCGCAGTCGGCTTCTTCCATGGGTGGTCTCACCGATGCGTTCAGTGGATTGAGCTTCCCATCGACCACGTCTCCTCCACCTCCGAAGCCCGCCGAGAAACCCTCACCTTTTGCCAACCTGACTAGCTTCGCAAAGTCGACTCCGGCCGCTCCCAAGGTTTCTTCTCCTACCATTTCTACCAGTGGTGGAGGTAGCTTGTTCGACAGCCTCACGTCTCCGACCATCCCCCCGGCCAAGCCCCAGTCTCGTACCACGTCGATTTCTTCCAACGGATTTGACTCTGGATTCGGCGGCTTTGCTTCTCCCCCACCCAACAAGCCGAACCCGCCACCACCGTCGTCTCTGTCAAATGATCTGTTCGGCCTGTCGTCTCCGCCCCCAGCTCCGGCAGCTGTGGCGTCGCCGTCTCCACCCCCGGTCATCTCGTCCCCGCAACAGGAGCTGAGTTCCGCTTTCAACATCAGTTCCCCGCCTCCACCTAAGCCCCAGGCCCCGGCCGCATCCACGGCATCTATCGCAAGCGCTTTGCCAGCAAGCATTGACCCTTGGGGCGGCGGTAACGCTTGGTCCACCCCTGATCCCGCGCCCCCTGCACCCTCTACAACCACCACTGCGGCCTCGATGATGAAGGTGCCGGATACCCTGACCGCTAACGATATCGGTGCTGGCTGGGGTGCCCCGTCCCCGTCAGCTTCAAGCTCCAAGCCAGCCCCCACGGTGGCCGCGGACGAGGACTTCGGCGGTTGGGCCAGCGCAGCCCCTGTGTCGTCGAGCACGACAGCGACAAGTTCGACTAAACCGGCTGGCGGGTTTGGTGGCGCTGATGATCTATTTTCTAATGTTTGGGAGTAGATGGAGGTTCTTTCTTTCCTTTTCGAAAACCCCCTAATGCCCTCAAAACTGCACATACGTTTCGTGTTATTACCTATTCCTAGACTTTCGCGCCAGATCGCAATGTGACTTCTCTTCGCATCTTTTCTTGTTCCATTCTTTTCTTTTTTTCTGATGTCATGAAGTATTCTCTTGTATTTGGCATATCTTATCTTTGCATCATCTATGTCTTGCGTTGATCATGACTGCTAGTTAGGGAACCAGAACTCTTGGATTGTAAAATGGGTGGGATTTATGAGCACATGATTGATTTCTCTGCATATTTCGGCTCGTCGCTGCTGTTGAACTTTCGTCTTATTCATAAGTTTCTCATAATTCCATGTACACCCAAAGCGCGCTCTCTGTTTCCTGGCCCAGGAATACAATTTCAGTGGGAGCATTTCGATCAGGTGGAGTAAGTAGTTCAGTTATGCCTCCAACTTCAAGTGAAAACAGCAATAGCACTAAGCGTAACCACCAGCGTAGTTGTCAAATACAAAGATTCAGGCCACCAGAACGTCATCTTGATGTGCATCTGCCAGGATGGCAAAAGCACCTCCTCGACCGGCTGGACTTCAATCGAAACAGATTCCAGTTCCTTCCATAAGCAATGGGCACTGTTGAATCCGCCTCTCGTCCAGCATCTGTCGATTATGAGTCCCAGCCAGATACCCTACGTACTGGGGAGATCTTCCCTCCGGGGCCATATATCTCGATCAATGTCTTCCGGGACGTTCTTGAAGATGTCAAAGTCACATTTCTTTCCAACTACAACCTTGTATATCACAGCGCCGAGTTGTCCGATGTCTGTTTGCGCGAAATATCCTCCCTCGTCAGCTGCCTTCATACAAGTGTCAAGGGGCATGATCGTAGATTCTGTAAAATTGCTGAATTTGATTGACAACCCAGAGTCGAGAAAGTGAGTTGGAGAGACTGAGACGGCTTGTTTCTGCTCAGGTAAGATCGCAAGTCTCCGTTTATCATGACCGCTAGTGTAGTGGATGCGTCTGAGGAGTCCAGGAAAGGAACAACGCCGTCGCAGTTTCCCAGGCGCGTATACACAGCTTGTTCATGTTAGAGAGATTCAATATTTACCTTGATCTCCTTGTCGCCGCTTGTACTTTATCTGAGAGGTAACTTGATAGCAAGGGGCCCTTGACGAACTACTAAGCCCGTTCTCCCAATGCCGAGTATTTGATCTCGAGGAAAAGAACCGATGGTTGCAACATTATGGCGGGATGTCATTGAATCATCCACTACAGGAAACAGCGGGGGATGTGGATGGTGTCCAAGATAGAATGTATTCCAGCACTGAAGAGAAGACAAATGATTGCGTTTAAAAAAGAAGCAAGTCGCATGGACAAGACGTTGTCACATGATTCCCCTCTCCTCCCCAATGCTCAGAGACCATCAACCATGCCAGTCACCCTCCCCAACCTTAGCACAATCATTCTTAGGCCCCGACTTTGACGGATTTCTGCGAGCTGGGCAAGCTACCTCCGCCTTCGTTGAGGTTACCATTGTCCTTCTTTAGCTAGCTGAACTAAAAATATTCAGTATAATTAGTGGATGTGTGCAAGGGTGCCAACCATAGCGTGAAACCAGGTGAATTAGAGAGACTGGGGAGAGATAACCTGGTGTTGAGCCTTGTCTTTATTAGGAGAATATAGAAATAAACTGGAACTACTTGAAACAACCCTTGCAACATCTAATGAAATTATATCGAGGCTGTTTATGCGCATCTAGCTATGTGTATAAAATCTATTGTGTGTCAATTCTCCCGTTGTATAACAACACAGAACACCCATAGTCTTTTTGAGTACCATATATCTATTACTGTGAATAGCATCATGCCAACTGTTTCTCCCACCTTAATATACACCTGGTCGACACCAACTATCATACACAAGGTACAACGTACTTTCATGAAGTCTTTCTCTGACCAACTCGTTCTTTCCTTCTGATCTCCATGTCACCTTGCACAAGCCACTTGCTAGCTTCTACTAACTGGACGATATTCACATACTGCTTGAAAAGCATGAAGACGGATGAGGTGGCAAGCAAAACCCAGGGGACGGCACTATCTATCTTATTGGCGCTTGAATCATTGTTAGCATAATGTACCCTGACTACCGTATCTGGTCCTTACCGAGCCATTTCCATTGCTCCAGCACTCCACGGTGAGCTCCAAGTTTGTGGTCGCGTAGGATTTTGGTCCACCAAGAGCGATGGCACCAATGTGGGCGATGAGAACGAAAGCAGATACAGCGCGATGAAGAAGAGCTCATTCAGCGCGCATACAGTGAAAAGAACATACTAGAACCTTTGTTAGCTTCGTTTCAACGATGTTCAACGCGACGGCGACATTGACATACTGTGTTCGAATAATAGAGCCGCATGGCCCAGGGCCGATTCTCATCGATATGTTTGTGACTTTGACGGCTTCCACCCATTGCTAGGGTTGCGTACATATGAACGTAATGGCTTGAATAGTCCAAGCTTATCAAAACCTGAAATATGATGCTCCATCTCGGAAATGCGCTCGCTAGGTACACCAGTAAACAGGTCGTCGTGCAACGGTCTGTGATCATGTCCAAGACTGCACCGAAACGGGTGGATTGGTCCAGTCGACGAGCAGCCGCTCCATCTAAAGCATCAAGGAGGCACGATATGCTATAGAGAAGGGAGCATGTCCGAGGATGTAAGGGCATGTAGTAGAGGGATGCAACGGCGAAGACGATACGTGTGTATCCTATACATCCACTGTGAGACAGAATTGATCAACATGGGTGAGAAAAACAAACCAATCAGGTTGGGGACGAAGAGGAAAACATTCTCCTGCTTTGGCTCCTTGATATCTTCATCGGGTGAAGGCGTTGGCATCCTGAACATTCGACCTTCTGATAGTCTTAATTTCAGTGAGCAGTTTCTTTGCCGCTCCAGGGGGGTTTCTCAGTACCCCTCTGTAGTACGTACTTGGTCGCTTTTACAACTAGAAAAATAAAGAAACAGAAAAGAAAACGGCCTCGTCCTCGCGAAAGACAGATGTAAATGACTGTTGCTCAGGAGGTTCACAGGCACCAGTCAATGTAGCAGCAATGGATAAATTATTCCCCGGAGCCTAACACCTGGCGCAGAGCACTAAGTACTGCGTCATGCAAATCACAAGGCTGCTTTCTTTGTTTGACGCCAGTGCGCGGGTCCGGATGCACTAACATATGTTCGAGTGTGGAACACATAACATACGGGCCTGTGATGCTACCTTGTCAAGTAACCACAGTAGATATTGCCTGCATTTCAATGAACTCCTACCTAGAAACTAGTTGTTTTTTCTATTGTTACAACTTACCCTGTTCAGGGTGTAGTTTAGGAGCAAAATCAGGAACTACTTCCATATCCGGCCTCTAGGAAAGGAAGGGTGCCTAAATGATATGCCATCATCAAAACGAGAGATATCAGTAACGAGATATTACGTAGAATGTTTAGTAAACATCTAGGCCTTTGCATGGGATTGCTGCATGAGAGTTAATGTGGCTGAGTGTGAATATTAAGATTGTATAAGACTGTCACATTCGGTCCACTATATCTAGAGAACGAAAATCGGACTAACAAAAATCAAATTGACCTAGCTGAGCCAAAAACATTCAATAAAACTTGTAGCCCCTCTTGCCATAGTGCAATCATTTATTAACCAGTCTCCGCACACTAGAATCCTCATCCGGCGCGCTCCGACTCCCTTGACTGTCCATAACCTCCTGAGACAGGATCGTCGTGACCTTGATACTATCTGAATTATGACCGCCATCCACCACATCCTCTACATCGTTACGTTCACGACGCGCGTCCAGATCCTGCAACCGGTAGTCTGGCGCGTTCCCGACGACAGACGTCGACGTTTGAAAAAGCATGGGATTCGTGTTTCGACGACTGTGGGAGAAACGGTTCACGGGGCCTTTGACGCTTCTGCTCCTAGAGCCGCTGCGGGTAGAGAAGAATCGGGGAATGAGGCGCGAGATGAGGGCGCGAATTCCTGGGAGGCTGGCGCATATGATGGCGACATTGCATTCGATGGCAGACCAGGTGGCGGCGCCGACATTGTCGTCTGGGGAGGGTTAGTGGTGGGGTTGAATGGTACATAGCAAGTAGGGCTAGTGGCTGGGGGAGATATGTTTACAGGTTGGGTCTGATGACTCAGATATAACAAGTAAACTCTGAAGGCGAAGGATACTCGTGATCAAGACACTTTCCAAGCACGGTGATAACGTTAGTATGCGCGCCTAGATAGATAAGCTGTTAAGGCGAAAGTGCGACATACAAAGCACCTAGCGCAAAAACGGCCATGAGAGCAATCTTCTGTCGTCGTGGCAGCTGAAGATTCTTCAAGACTGGCATCGGGTATATCAAGATCATAATATCAGTGAGAATATGGATCGCCGCGTTCGAGAACCAAAGCGCCTTTTTGTTTAGGCAGTACCCGTCTATGCTGTCATCCCAAAACCGGGCGACAGGAATACAATTCAGCCATGCGCTCATTATCGTCCAGGCGCCGTATAGTGCCAGGAACCCGATTAGGGAGTAACAAGCAAGGCGCATTGGCGGGGTCGAAAAGACGCGTTTATATTGTAGGAGAATTGAGGCTTTGGTTGTGAGAAGACTGGTTTGGTAGAGGGGAACTGAGACCCAGAAGAACTAAACGTATGGAGTAGTCAGTATTGGGAGATTTGCTAGAATAGCTCAACGGAAATGGTTGGCCCACGAGCATCTGCTTGATGAAAGTATCATGAGGGATATCAACATAATGTTCCCCCATAAGGTTTGCGGTTTCTAAGACTCGTTAGCACTTATAAGCACACCTATCTAGCCTGCAAATTGATATAGCCCAGTCAAATGCATTAGAGCTTTTCATACCTCCGATAAAAACTCCAAAGAAAGCCCAGCTAAATGCCTATGGACATGACGCATCAGCAAACAACAGGGTCGTTTGAGAAACCATTGGGGAGTTACCAGCGACACGAGAATTGACCAGTCATCTGCACCCATTTGCTTCACCAGAAAGGCCCTGGTATATATGCGAAGGACTACAAAGAACGTAGCCAAAGACGTGAAGATAGCGCTGGTTGTAAGGGCCTTTCGACCGCGCGGTACACCGATTGCCATTATGTCGCGGAGTCTGGCAAAAAGACCACGAATGTATGGATAAGAAGAGAAAAGAAAGAAAGGATTTAGAGACCAGTGACAGCTGCCTTTAATGCATAACTAGAAGACCATCCCATTTGCTGAGAATAGGGGGGAGGGGGGTTACACTGAAGTATTGACATGCAACGAGAGGGGGAAATTGGCAAAATTGTGGTGATATCGCTGACATCGAAGACCAAATGAATCAAAGTATAAAAAGCAAGCTCGGCCGAACAAGCAGGGGAGGGAGACCCCCAAAGCGGCACTGATGATGATCGCCATAGGATTAGCTTGGTAGATGGGAATTGCATTGATGCCCCCCCCCAAGTCAATCCATCCCAAGATTCTGGGTACGCCCTCAGAGCCAGAGTTTGCTAAGAACAATCGAGGAATCAATGGCGCAAGTGCCTAGGATACTGGCCTATCAGAAATGTGTTCTGGTAAGCTAGGATGAAAGGAGGGCATGGACGAGGCCACATGGAGCCAGTTGGCGTTCACCTCATTGCGGAACAAAGAACCGATTCAGAGACATCTGGAAACGTGAATAAGAGCAGCCCTGGATATTTATGAGCAAACGAATTGTGAAGAGGCCTCCAAAAGTCCAAAAGTCGCATGGAAAGATGGATATCTCGGTGAATCTAACGCTTAGACATTAGTAAACTTGGATTACACTCCTATACCTCGATCGTCCGAGTCAGGTTCATTGGAAGACGGCGAGAAGCCCAACTCTAGAATAGCCACACCAGCAGAGTTTCGCGGAGGGACCGTCGCTTTGTTCATGTACCAAATGGCAACTGTAGGGTAGACGGTATCTCTCGGCCGCTGGGGATCGTGTCAATAGCCCATTTTGCAGGTTGCTGGGTCTTTCAAAGTTCGATGGGACAAAGTTGATGGCGACGAACCACGGTCATGAATCGTGTTCTCTCTCATCTTAGTGTTCTCGGCGAAGGCGCGAAGGTTCTACTCTTCCAGGAACATGACACCTGTGGAGATCCCTTCAACGGTGCCTGTGTGCTGGCTCCAGTACCTGGAATCACCTACAGATAGACTGAATGCATGATTCAAGAAAGGTATAGTTCATTAACTCATTCCAGCTTGACGGAACGAACCCTTAAGGCACAGTGGATCTGAAGGATCAAAGTATATACAATCGTTGGGAGACCGGGGCAAATTGCGTTCGACCTTCATCGGTGAATTTGCATGCGAGATCTATCCAATTGAGAAGCCCTTCCCTTCCTGTTGGTATACCGAGTACACGGAGACTCGGGGGTGGTCCGCCGTCCGGTGCCAGCAGTGGCGATCGTGATTATTGATCCACGGAGATGACGGAAATTGGAAGGCCGCTTTATCTAAACTTAGCCGAGAGGATCCCCCATAGGGACCCACATGAAGCGAGGAGAACGAGCAGGTCATCTGTCACCGCCATCATCAAGGATTATCGACAGTGCGACACCGACCAAGAGACGAACGGTCCAACCGTCGAGGAGGGACGGGACAAAGAGTTAAGAGGGACAAAGAGAAGCGGAAAAGGAAGGAGGAGAATATCCGATTCAGGAATGGCGCCGGTCACGAGACAGTGCGAGACGCTAAGCCCCTTCGGTGGGCATTCTGGCCTGAGGCTGTCGCTCACCCGGAGATAACCAACTATTCAACTTCTTAACTACTTCACTTCTTTAACTACATGATTCAATACTGAGTTGACGGTGAACTATGCCTTCTTCACATCATTGTAGAACATGGCCTATCCTACTCTCGTCAAATTCGGACAGACTCCCGGAGGAACCGCAAATTACACGATGCGCTGCAGTCCACGGAGCCACGGAGAGTCTGCAGTACAGGCTCCCCCTGTCTTGTTGTTTGTTGTCTTTATGCTCTTCTACCGCATTGACAGTCTCTCCGGCCGGCAAGATTTAATGATGGACGCCTTGCTTTGAGGGCGACATGCATTATTAATACCATAATTATGTACAATCTATCACCGCCCTACCGATTACTGGCGGCTTGGCCTTAAGTCCGTCACTAAACCCCGCGTTTCTGCGAAGCCGAACCGATCGCATGGCCGTTGGGGCCCTTCAAAACAGGTTGGTTTCCCGGATGAGCCCCTTGGCACCTGAGATCTCTCGTCTGATGATTCACTCAAAATTACAGCAGTCGGAACCGCCATGTAGTGCCGTGAGAGACGAATGTCGCTTCGTTTATAGCTATGACGGATCTTCGCGGCCATGCCGAGGCCGCTCAGGGTCGCCACCACACTCCTGCCTCTGCGACGCTCCAGGTTCGTCTCTCTTGCGAAATGTGCCGACGGCGCAAGATAAAATGCGACAAGCTCGATCCATGCTCCAATTGCGAGCGCATGCGCGTCACTTGCGTCCCTGTCGAACGAGCGCGGCTCCCACGAGGCAGATCTGGCCGGGGCGCGACGGAAAAACGATTGAATCACGATACACGTTTAAAGGATCGTATTTCGCGCCTCGAAGGACTGATACATGGTATTGCCGGCACCATTGATAAGGGAAAGACTGTCGAGGGTCTCCTCTCATCCAGAGCCTCTTGCAGTACCAGGAGCCGGGAAAGCTCCGCTCAACCTCAATCACCCGGCGCTGTATCGCAATCTGAAGAGACCGAGAGATCCCAGTCTCCAGCCTGCTCCTGGAAGGACATCTTTAGACGAGTAAGATGAATCGATATGCGCCCATGGTTTGTGTTAACTACAACTTAGAAGCACGATACGCGCGGTGCATGCGGGCAAAACTTTCTAAAACCGAGCTGCGAAAGTCGGAGCATGTGCTACCAACGGCTTCTCTTCATGTCTAGAAGTTCTGACAGTGTGAAAGGCTTGACTGGGAGAGGCGAGTTTCTTAACAGAATCACGGAACAAAAGCTCTGCCAAATTTATTTGCAGAGAGTTGATCCCTTCTTCAAGATTCTACACAGGCCCTCCCTGAGTGTCTTTCTCATTGACGGGAAACCTTACTTGAATTATGCACCAGAAAGCTTGGCACCTAAAGCATTGAAGTATGCTGTCTGTTTTGCGGCCATTTGCAGCCTCGATGAGAAGGAGTACAAGCACATATTCAAGACCAATAAAACGCTCATGGTGGAGCGTTTCCAGAAAGAGGCAGAATCAGTTCTAGCACAAGCTGATTATTTAACGACTAATGACTTGACCGTGTTACAGGCCTTCGTTCTTTTTCTCGTTCGTATTCCTTGACATAGACTCGGGCGAAAAACTGCCACTAACATGCGCAACTCAGTTATCTTCTCGATCTCAGGACCAGAGTCGGCGCGTGTGGACTATGCTGAGCATCGCGCTTCGTATTGCCCAAGCCCTTTCCCTACACATGGCAGATCCACCATTTCCCGTGAGGCCATTCGAACGAGAAATGCGCAGACGTCTATGGAGCGCTATTGGTTTTCTCGACATTCAAGCTTCGACAGACCGCGCATCCGAACCCATGATGCAAGTCGACTGGCTACAATCTCATCCCCCTTCCAATGTCAACGACCACGACATCAGCTTTGAAATGAATATCCCCGTACAAGAGTCCACCGGTTTCACAGACATGACATTTACCATGATCACCCTCAAAGCGCAGTGCATCTCACGCATTCTCAACTTTCCCAATGCCGTTTCACCGAGCGTCGAGTCCATCAACTCGCGCCACCAGTTAGTCCTAGACTTCCAGCATACGGCATCAACCCTCCTTCAAAATGCCCAACCCAGCACAATCGCCTTCCACTGGTTCGCCAGCAAAGTCGCCGAATGCATCAACGCGTCCATGCAACTAGTCGTTCTGCGACCTCTCCAGCAGCACCCCAAGTACCTTCCTCCGCGAGTCCACGGTGACCGTCTCCTCAAACTCGCCATCGATGTTCTCTTGAGGAACCACGAAATCCGCAATAACCCTCGCACCCTCCCCTGGCGTTGGATCGAATACACCTTCGTCCCGTGGCATGCGCTCGCCGTAGCTGCTTCCGAACTCTGTGTCTGCGAAGACCCCGTCCTGATGGCCAGATGCTGGGCCCCTGTCGAGCAAGCATATGCGCAACTGGGTTATCTAATTGCGGATACATCTAATGGTCGATTCTGGAAACCCATGGAAAACATCATGGCTCTGGCACGAATGAGAAAAGAGCAACTACTGCGGCCGCAGCCTTCAATCCAAGATCATGCAAACAACACGGCTATCCCTCCCCTCGATACGATCGGCCTAGGCCCCTGGCCCAGCGTCTGGGACGCCGTTGACTGGACCAACCCGCTCGGAGCAAATGAGATGTCGTGGTTGAATTACGAGAATTTTTTGGGGGATTTGCGTGGAATCGCTGACTAGACCACTACTCCTCAGTGATCATTGACGGATCTACTCATATCTAAATCGGAGCAAAGCGGTAGGAACATTTTAGCATAGCACTCATTGATTGGCTCACACAGCATTGAACCTTTTGTTTCGCTTTATTATTTAGCCGTTTTGATGCTTAATTCGTCCACCTAGCGAATTCATACATATTGACGCTTCACATGCAAGAGGTAGTTTCCGAAGTCACAATTATCTAATTATAGATTCAGAGTAAAGAGTAGGAGAGACCAGACAGTCCTATACCTTCTCCATTTAAATTACAGAATGAAAAAGCTCGATTTCTTTTACATTTAATAACAGTTTCAATCAATCAATACTCAATCAGTTGTATAGTACACTTACTCATCAAGAACTTGAAGGAAAAAAGAAGGGAAAAGGGAAAAGAATAAAACACAAAGCATACGTAGATAGAATGTCACAGGAAGTTTGCAGTAAAACATGACCAGGGCACCGTTTCTACCTCGATAGAAAAGACTAAAAAAGCCAGACGCCAGCAGATTCATTCAGACCGCCCTTTAGATACCCCTCCAAAGCCTTGTAAACTAAAATAATTTCTTTTTCCGAGTTCCTGGAGAGAAAAACAAGAGAAAGGAGCGAACTCAAAACTCATCAGAATCCGCAAACTGGCTAGATAAAATAGCTAGTTGGTTGCCATCACAAAGGAAGAGAGAAAACAAGGTGAAAATAAGGGACGAGAAGACCACGTGGAGTTAAAATGATATAGTGATGGAGGAAAAGTTTAAATGAAAAACGGGGTATTTGTACATACAGCATATAGTAGAGAAAACGAAAAAAGGAAGAAGGAAAAAGGTCAAAACGTGGAGGATGGTAGAAGGAAGTTTGTCGGGATGTAAGAACTGGCCATCACATGGACATTTTCCATTGAAAGTTTTTTGGTTTTCTTTTTTAGTAGTAATCCTCTCTCTCTATTATCATGATGAGTTCCGTGAGTTCCTTGCGTAACGATCGATTACGGTCCCATATCTCGACAATCTTGGGGCGGTTGCTGAGGAATACGGCCTTCTTCCATGGAAGTCCGTTGAACCCGGGGGCGATGCCACTTGGGAGATTTCTGGCAAGATTGCGCAGAACAAGAGCAGCTTTGTAAGCCACGCCGATGGGCTCGCCTCGTTCGTTTATTGGGGTGTCCACGTAGAACCATTTGCGCACAATACGCTCCTGGAGCACAGCACGCTTGGAGATTGGAGCTTCGGCATCCGTGAGTCGCTCTTCAGGCAGATGCGACGACACGTGGCCGGCAACCATAGCGGTGTTGTCGCTGGGACCAGACGAACGGAATTTAGTACAATTATCCCATAGACAGGTATGGATGGGAGAGTCGGCCTTGTCCAGGTTATAATGACCCGATGTTTCAGTGGGCTTGAGATTCATATGATCTCCAAAGATGTGGTTGCGCAGGTCTGTCGGGGTTGCAAAGGCACGTTGGCAAGGTTTCATTTGTTTCGAAGCGTCCGCCCATTTGCAGTAAATGTAGGGGAAGCCTTGGAAGGTGTAGGCGGTTTCTAGAGGGCGGATGCCTTTGATGATGAATCTGGTTGTGGCGCCGGGGCCATTAATTACCTGGGCCTGGGCATTCGTGAAGGTCGTGCTGACATTCTTGATGAACTCGGCTGCTGGAAGAACACCGCCGCCTGGAACACGAGGGTCTGCAAAACGGCTCTGATACGCCTGCCACAACGCGATCTGAGTTATTTCACAGTCCGCGTCCTCGACAAAGCAGCAACGCAACCAACGGGAGCTACGCTCCGGTTCCGATAACTCCATTAGCTCTTTTAGGAGCTCGGGGGGTACCCGGGGAATTTCCGTTGGTGGCGGAGCCACTTTTTCTTCTTGTAGAACAGTTTCTTTCTTGCTAGGACGCCCGTCATGTGTTAATAGCGCGATCATCCGCGGGACGAAGACAACGGAAAGGTTGAAGACATCCATCATGTGCTCGATATTTTCACGTGACAGCGTGTATTGGTACCAGAAATCAAGCGCACCACTCAAGATGTCTCTGTCCGCGTCGAGGAGCGTATGGAAATAGAGCTGTTGCAGTGTCGGTTTCGATATACGCTCTAGTGCTCGGTTTGCTTCCGGTTCATCCAGCTCGGTTGAGAAATGAGTCAAGGCCCAAAGTGCCCGGACAACATGAGCGCGGTCCGAGGATTCAAGACAGTTAACGAGGGAGATCCAGAGCGGGTCCTCAGGGTCCGTTCTCATGAACTTGGTCACCTCCTCCGCAATATCCAGGGCATCGTTCTTGATCTCGTTGAGCCGAGGTTGATTGGGTAGGTTGATCAGGATAACCAAGAAGTCTCTGAGCAGTCCTTTAGCGTAGCGTGATACGTAAAATGCGTTCTCCTTCAGTAAAACCATGTTTCTCAGAACTAGCGTGGCTTCCTTGACGTTACGCAGACGGTGGTTGAATTCATATGTCTCAAGCGTGTCACCAGGCAGTGTGACTGGGATATTGTTGATTTTTTCCAGAATGTCTCGTGTGCCGTGCAGCGAGTTCAACACATTGACACGGTCCGTGGGTTGCCGAAAGTCATACTGTAATTCCCACTTGACGCCTGTGCAGATTACTGAGACATCGATCGCTTTTTCCATTAATGTCTCTGCAAGCAAGGGGAAACCTTCGAACTTGAACTTGTCCCACCGCTGGTTGGAAATTTGAACGAGATGGTACAGCGCGAAATCGACTTCATCCGCTATCCCAGACTGAAGACCGTAGTGTGCCCGTTTGTAGATGTGATCAGCTGCGAGTTTGGTCAGTTGGTCAGTCATGCTGAACAATGTGAAGGGGAAGTGGACGGTCGTAACAGCCGGAAAACGTACATTTAGGGACCTCTAGGTATCTCAGCGGGAAATACGGATCGTAGAAGTCCGGTTGCTTGGCTATCTTCCCCCCTTCATGAACGCTGAGAAATAGGCCGGGTCTATTGCCCGGCGTTGCTACCTCACGCGTAGACATAGGAACTTGTCGCTGTTCCTTTCCTTCCCACATGTCAATGCTCGGTTGCGGACTATTCGGGTTGAGAGGGGTGGTCGGATGTGTTTGACTCGCCGACGGCGGCTGTGGTGACTGATTCGCGTGAATATGAGACCGCCTCACAGGCGCAGTATCTGGGATAAAGGGCTGATTCGCTTTAGGGGCTTGCCGCAAGCCCTCTGTTAACGATCAACAGTCAGCGGAATGTTCCATTGCCAAAGCTACACCTTTCCAAGGGGGGCGTGGGAGTAACACATACGACGCAAAGATGTGCGGGGGGTGTTGGCGCTCATCCTGGAGAAGTACAGGGGATTCGCCGATTTCTAGTTCGCACGTTTCTAGATCCAGGACTAATTCAGTATCCTCACACACTTCGAAACCCAGAGAAGCTCCAAGCCAAGTCGCTTATCCAGAGTTCTAGCAGGCAACTCTTCGCCCAAGCTAAACCAAAAGATCTGATCGTTTGCGAAGATTATTCGATGCGGAGATGATCAGATCAACCGTGTCGATGTAGATCTCGGATGGAGCCAGTGTCGCGTTTCTTGATAATTTATTTTGCTTCGCTTTAGTTCCTGGAAAGATTCTTCGGTACCAACACGACAAGGGATAACGGTGTTGAACGATGGCCGGGAGATTTTGCGGGAGCGAAGGGATCTAGATTCGCGAAAGACTAGGATGCGAGAGCGCGTTTTCAGAGATGTCGGAAGCCGGTGTGTCGATGAAAGAGGATGCGACTGCAACAGGCAAAGCACCAGAACCCAGAGGGTGACCGCGAGTCTTGTTTGGCGCAGGCAATGGAGGTGATCGGCAACGAGCGAAGATTGAAAGCGAGGGTCAATGCCTTGGTGGTGGCCCTTGGGGGCTCTTTGAACAGAAGCTGGTCCTGCGATTCGTCTGGCCTTCGCAGGCAAAAGTTCCGCGCATCTGCGAAGGGCCTCAGGCGCGTCTTCGGACTAATGGTGCTTCCGTCTTCCGGGCCTCGGACCTGCTGAGTCATTCTTTTGTTCCTGCCTTGGGAATCAGGCGACGATCTCCGCCCGAGAACAAACAACGAAAACGGAATGTTAGACTTTCTATCATTCATTCACTCCCTTTCATCTACACCGCTTGCCGTGTGTCAAGATATCAAACCCATGATCGTCAGCCTCGACAAAGACATGATGTATCCGCTGGCTACCACAAGTGAATTTGTAGTGACTTCGGATATTGCACATTATATACTTCAAGCTCATCGAAGTAGGTTTGCTGGGGATCATTTTCTATGCTTCACCACACATCTCTACAAGGCCTTGACTCAGAACCAATGAACCCAACTGCAAACCTGTGATCAAAAAGCCTATCTCCTTTCCCCGGCGGAGATTACGGTGGGCTTGACTCGTGGGCCTAGAACAAGTTCAGTTCGGATTTCGGATGCAGACTCCGGTCCCTTCTACACTCCGGTCCAAATCTGTATCATATCCCCAGGATCCCTTGTGACTTGAGGGCCATCATATCGAATCCGGAGTTCGGAAGCAGAGTCCGCTTCTTTCTATACCTAGGGGCCAATAATCGAAGACAGATGCAACTAATTTATAATTATTAGGAAATGTGGCAATTTTATATATTCATCGACATCCGGTCATGGCCGACTCATGCCAGCGATACCACTCGTTCTTTAGCCTCAGACCTCGAAAACATACCGCTGTGTTGCAATGACTGAAACAAGGGTAAACAAGCCTGCTACAGAGCACTCAGCGCAGAAGTCAGATACTCCCGGGGATATTAGCTTCGGCGATGATCGCGAGCTCAAGTACGAATATCCCACGGGGCTCTCGGTCACCTTTATTCTCACGTCGGTCACTTTGGCCTATTTTCTGTTCTTTCTCGACCTTGCCGTCATTTCAACTGCTACTCCGGCGATTACATCTGAATTCGACTCATTGGTAGACGTTGGTTGGTAAGTACATGGTCCTTACCTTTAACCAGGACTTCCAGCTGTTTGAGAAGTATGCTGATTTATGCCGCCCAGGTATGGAGGAGCCTATCAACTCGGAAGTGCCGCATTCCAGCCTTTAAGCGGCAAGATATATAGCCAATTTCCCATAAAGGTATGCTTTGGTCTACTGCTTTCGCTCTGTGCCGACATTTAAAATCATTCTGACGAGGCTTCCCATGCAGTGGACCTTTCTTGTATTCTTTGTCATTTTTGAGGTTGGATCTGCTATATGCGGTGCGGCCCAGTCATCGCCCATGTTCATCGTTGGCCGAGTCATCGCGGGCGTAGGATCTGCTGGAGTGGCCAACGGTGCGGTGACAACCATTTCCGCTGTGCTCCCAACGCGAAAGCAGGCGCTGTTCATGGGCCTTAACATGGGCATGGGCCAACTGGGCCTTGCGACGGGACCCATTATTGGAGGCGCTTTTACCACAAACGTGTCCTGGCGGTGGTGTGCGTCAAAATATCTCATTCTTGTGTTTTGCGAGTTTCCACAGACTGACTTTTCCTACATCAGGCTTTTACATCAACCTCCCGTTAGGTGTGATCATAGGCGGTTTTCTTCTCCTAAACAAGATCCCCGAGCCAAAACCTAAGAACCCACCCCTTCAGATTCTCGGCACCGCTATCAAATCCTTGGATCTCCCAGGGTTCATGCTCATTTGTCCCGCGGTTGTCATGTTCCTCCTGGGACTCCAGTTTGGTGGTAACCAACACCCTTGGAATAGTTCATTTGTGATCGGCTTGCTGGTGGGCTCTGCATTTACTTTTGGTCTCTTTCTGGTCTGGGAATATCGTCAGGGAGACAATGCTATGGTGCCGCTTGCCATGCTCAAACACCGGGTCATCTCGTCGGCCGCCTTGACCATGTTCTTCAGCCTGTCCAGTGTCCTGGTGGCTGATTTCTACATCGCAATTTACTTCCAGGCGATCCACGACGACACCCCCTTAATGAGTGGTGTGCACATGCTTCCCATCACACTTGGCTTGGTCTTGTTTACTATGGCCTCAGGCACTCTGAGTAAGTGTACTCAGTGATGTGCTTTGAGCCGAACCGTCACTGATAAATTCATAGTTTCCGTATTAGGCTATTATCTTCCTTTTCTTCTTGCGGGAGGTGCGATCTCAGCTGTTGGTTACGGGCTCTTGTCGACACTGAGCCCGACGACGCCGGTTGCAAACTGGATTGGGTACCAGATTCTATACGGCGTTGCAAGCGGCTGCACGACGGCGGCGGTAAGTTTAACCCTTGTTCGGCCCGACAAAAAGTAAGACTGGCCTACTAATATGTGCTTTCGTTCCATTCAGCCCTACATCGCTATACAAAGCCTGGTTTCTCCGGAGCAGATACCTCTCGCCATGGCAATTATCATATTCTGGCAGAACATTGGGGCCTCGACATCTCTGATCGCGGCCAACGCCATTTTTAGTAACAGCCTTCGTAAACAGCTCCAGCAGCGTGCTGCACAGATTGGCCTCCCACCAGATGTTATCGTTGATGCTGGGGTCCGCTCCATCCGTGACCTGGTGTCTGGCTCTCAGCTAACGGCCGTGCTCGCGGCCTACGCGAAAAGCATCGATCACGTCATGTACCTTGGTATTGCTGTGGGCCTCGCCGTCATGGTCTTTTCTCCAGGTCTTGGATGGAGAGATATCCGAAAGGTCAAAGATCTTCAAGTCATTACCGATGAGACTTCTAAGAACGTTGATCGGAACTTGGCAACAGACAAGCCAGTGGTGGGCGACAGGTAAGGGCAGTGGCTAAGGGGTAACTTAATATGATTAAGGCCAGCATTACTTATCTGATGTATAGCTGGTAAAACTGCGTGTCTAACTTGATATTTTCCCCGGAGACTTCAATTCCTGTCGCTTCTGTGAGATTAGCCCTACGCGACCTTCAGGATAGATCTTGCGTTCGCCTCCTATAAATTCTGGGTACTACCTTTCTAGACCAACGCCAATGCTTTTCATTCATTGTGACTGAGCATTCTGTATGCAAAAAGTATAGTTTCTGATAGAGTTGCAAGACCTCAATGACTCTACTAGGCCGTGTTTTCACGTCTCATGGGGGTGAGCAAGCCGTACCACAACTCTCTCGTGCACATTCGAATCAGAAATAGTACATGGAAGAAACTTTGCTCTTTCATAAAGATAGTGACAGTCGTCCGAGGAGCGGATTCTGGTGCCTTCGTTATACACGCACGATATACTCACGTGAGGGGTCTTTTAGGTACCTTCTTTGCACCATCACGAGACAATCCCTTCTTTGAACACAGCTTTGACCTGGATTCTGAGTTGCTTGACGTCAATTATTTTTATCATCGATAGAACTCCAATGGAACTCCAATGGTCTAGGCATATAGCAGCGACTAGGGAATGCGATATGGTATATCAGAATGCGTAATTACAAATGGCAATCTCCTTCTGAAGCCCTTCAAACTGGATTCCCGCTAATTGACCTTCTTACCACCTCTTTTCACAGAGTTACAACAAGCTTCTTTCCCGAGACACCCTTCCTCTGGAGATCCAGAGCCTCCTGGATCTTCTCCAGCCCTTTGCCTACAACATGCGGCGGAGGCGCCGGCACATATTGGCCCTGTTCCAGCGCCAGTGGAAGGAAGTCTGTGTAAATGCGAGCCACGACGCTCTCGGGATCGACTAGGCCATCAACTAGAATGAACTTGGCCTCGATACCGGTGGCCAGACGCATGCCGGTCGATTTAATCATGCTGGCCGCCATGCCTATCAAGTGCGTGCCCTTGCCAACGAAGGAGGTGAGCTTGTCAGCGGGGATGATGGCGCCGGCCACGGCGATGCGTTTCCGGGTGAGCCCGGGATCGTGCTTCTTCATAACAGCAGTGCAGGCCTTGACGGCACCTTGGCCAACAGTGTAGGCACCGACCAGTTCGCGACCCTTGAGTGCTCCCAGGAGGTCCATAGCAAGTGATTTGCTTCGGTAGTCGAAAACGTGTGTGGCGCCGAGGCCCTTGACATAGTCGAAGTTCTTGGGAGAAGAGGTAGACAGGACTTGGTAGCCGGCCGAGATCGCCAGCTGCACGGCGTTGCTCCCCACGCTCGACGCACCGCCCGTGATAATAACAGTGCGCGGCTTACCGGACTTGCCCACGATATCGGGGGATGGAGCCGGGATCTGAGGCTTGTCAAGCCCTAGATAGTCCGGATGGAACAGGCCATATGCTGCTGTCCCGAGGCCCAGCCCGAAGACACAGGCCTGTTCATCGGTGATGTGCGAGGGTGTCGGCGCTAGCATATGCTCTCGCACCACAGTGTAGAGCTGGAATCCTCCTTCTGCCGGGTTATTGACTTCCTTGGCTAGGGCTGTCGCGCTTCCTAGGACTCGGTCGCCTACGCGGAACCGCTCCACATCGGGACCGACCTCGACCACTTCACCAGCAATGTCGGTACCGAAGATGAAAGGGTACTTGATATATCCAGCCAACGCAGGGCCGATAAATTGCAGTACCCAGTCGAACGGATTTATGGCCACGGCGGCGTTCTTGACTGTGACCTGGCCCGGGCCAGGTGACGTGTAAGGTGCGTCAGCAACCTTGAACGGTAGGGTCTTTTTGGCGGGAATCCAGGCGGCCTGATTCTTCGGAGTCGAGGTCATTGCTGCGAATGGGCGAGACTGGGGAACACTTCACAGAGGTGGACCAGGGAATGGAGTATAGCAAACAAACCAAACGAGAGCAAAAGCGGCTGCAAATCCGAGCAGGCTTATATGGATGACTCCGATACTAAGCCAGCCCATGTCCGCAACCTCCGCGGCCGGCAACCGGTCTGTGGTCTTGATAATTCCTTTTGCGGTTCGGAGTATCTTTAAAGAACGCGAGAATAAACCGATGATTATGAACGGATTTCGGGGGGCCAAAATCCGACGGCAGGAAACGGAAGGATTCCCGTCGGAGTTTCCCTCCGTTCGAAGGAACAACTTAACAAGCGATCTCTCACGCTTACCTCCACCTACATTTCGTCGATTGAGCCATCTGAGAAGATGGAGAGATCGAAAACGGCCCTCGGCCAGTCTAGCGCTTATGGCCACGCCTGCACACAGTGCTACAAGGCAAAGTGCAGGTGTGTGCGGCCTGCGAATACAGATACCTGCGAAAGGTCAGCAAGCAGACTCAGAGCTATCAATATGTGAAGATCATCTAATAAGCTCTTCAGATGCATCCGCCTGAAGAAAACGTGTGAGCCATCAGGCTCGGTTCGTAGGCGCAATGCTCAGACGGCCACAAATGATGCGTCTGATACGCGCATCGCTCGGCTGGAAGACAAACTGGAGAGCCTGTTGACCACAATGAATGCTTTCATCGCCTCGCCGGGGGATTCGGGGGGTTTCTCAAACGCCACTCAGCCTCTCAATGGGCACAGCACATCATCATCGACGCCTTATCCAGATGGCACTCTAATTACCCCCACGAGCACTATCCAGAGCATCAGTGATGGGCCGCCGCCATTCGTGACAGATCCGAATGCCGCAGAGTCATCAAACCCAGATTCGTTATTCTTATCTCACCAATACCCTTCGCATTTCAAGTTTCGAACGCCAAACTACGCAGAAGAACGTCTCGATTTCTTCCGCTCTCGGATGTTACCGTCATTTCCTTTCATACACCTGACCCCAGACATGACAAGCTGGTATTTGCGCCAAAATAGGCCTGTCTTGTTCCAGGCGATCAACACGGTCACTTCCTTCTCAACACAGGAACGGCTGGTACAAGTCGAGGAGCTAAAGCATCTCCTGTTTACATCCGCCTTGCTCAAGGTCCAGTCGAATATCGACCTGCTGCTTGGAGTACTAACGTATCTAGCATGGAGCACCGACCCATTCCTTGGCCGAGCAGATCTCATGTCGCGCCTCATGATGCTCGCCATGTCACTGGTATATGATCTACGACTCTTCAAACCACCCTCAACAGATGTTCAACTCATGATGACGATTACCCAAGGGCAGGAGGAAAGTAGCCAGAGCCCTGGGGATAAAACGCCGTATGGTCTACTGGAAAGGCAGCGGGCCGTACTGGCGTGTTTTATTTTGAGCTCCAAGTATGCACGACCTTTCATACCTTCTTTATTAGGGTTCAAATATGCTAAATTACGATTTGTCACAGTATTTCGTCACACCTAGGGCGTCAAGACTCGTTAAAATGGACGGCTCAGATGGAAGAGGCACTTAAACTAATATCAATCAGCGAATCATGCCCCGGAGATGAGCTGTTCGTTGCGCAAGTGCGCTTGCAACTACTGAAGCAAAAGGCGGACGATGTCAGACAGCAAGACGAGACAAACTGTGCTCTCACAGGAACAGCTCCTGTGGCAGCCTCGGCTCCTCGCTTACTATACCTCAGAACTTTGCGAAGACAATTGCATGAGCTGAGATCTTCATTTCGGCATAATATCGATCAGATAGGCAAGTGCTCCTTTCAGAGAACCTGACATATCCCACCTCCATTATAGTATATGCTGATATTCTCGTCCGGGGAAACCCTGGCGCAACATAAAGATATTCTTAATACTCACGCACAATATGTCGATTTATACATAAACCAGCTAGCTTACTCCATAAGCCAAGACGCACTCCCTATAGACCTCTCTGGCCGACGGGGAGATGGTGGTATTCTCCTCGGATTCGAACGTCTCGCGTGTCTCTGGCAGTCCGTCGAGAACATCAAGTCATGGCTAGACAATTTCTACCGCATCCCCTGCTCGAAACTTGTCGGTCAACCCTTCCATTTCTGGTCCCAGATGATCCTCACCATCACCTTATTGAAATACCTCTCTACGCTCCAAGACCCCGACTGGGACTGCCGAGCAGTGCGAAACACAGTCCACCTCATTTCGACGATGGACTGTATGCGTCAGAAGCTCGATCTCAGCAGCAAAGAACCGGAGCTCCAATGTAGCGATCACTTGCTCAAGTACTTATCGAAGCTGTTGACTAGATGTCGTGTGTGGGGTGAGGGTCGGTGGGACATGGGGTCTCAGATGCAAGACGTGGAGACCAGACCGGACAGGGGTGCTAGTCACAACACAAATTGCCAGAATCACAGCCAGAGCCAGAGCCAAGGCCACCATATCCCAGACATGGACCAGATGGCCTGGATGCAGTCTATGGACTTAGGCAGTGAACAGTGGTTTGAAGATGTTTTAGGTATGCCTGCGCCATTTTACTAGTTTGCTTTACCTGTGTAGATTCCTTAGGTGCTTGTCAACATAAATCTCCAAATAAACCATGTACGTGTGCCAGAAAAAGCAGTACGACATTCTCTATGATATAGTAAGTTACAGATGAGCAAAACACCTCGTCAATACTAGAACGACCGTCAATGGTATGCGGGATGACCTTAACCACCTTATAATGCACTGTCGGCTGTAGATGCCTTAGATGGATCTATACCAACCGGCAAACATTAATGGAGTAAAATTGGTCATAGTTTACTATTGGCAAGAGCCGACAATGTTTATGGTCGTGCATCTAATTTCCAATTGAAGTACATTAATAGAGCTCTGACAACGGCAAAGGACCAGCTTGAGAAGTGAACGGTAAAGACTACAAATCAGCCATCAGAAACTGACTCACGTCGTCATCTAGATCAGGGAATCCAGCCCGCAAAAACGGTAAATTGCATAGAAAGGCATCGGGACAATCGAAAGGATCAAGAGAATCCATGAATGCTAGTCCTCCAGCGCTTGAGGACATGTCCGTGACCGGCCACTGCAGGCCTGAGCTCTCAGCATGAGTACATTGTGGGACGTCCTGAGGCTGTCCAGGGACTACTGTAGTTTGATTCAACACGGGAACCGCTGATTCTTGTCCTGAATCTGCTCCGTGAAAGGTGGTATCGTTGGCTTTTTCAGGAGCTGACTGTCCTTGGAGCCAAAGGCTCGCAAGCAATTTGGCATATTTGGAAGCAATGTGTTTGGGAGTCGAAGCTGCGGCGTTCAGCATAGAGATAAATTGTCTGGTCAGAGTGAAACAGGTCTGATATTCTCCAGGACTCAATGCTCCAACAGTGTGGGCTTTGAAAAGAAACACTGATGCGTGGATCGCATACCTATATGTCCGCCAGTCGTCAGTAGTTTTACGAGATATGGTCACATGGATACCGAGCAGACGTACAAGTAGTATCGTACAGGAAGAAATCTTAAGTGCATGGTGGGATTGAGCCGATTTAGCAGCTCCCTGAGAACACCTTTTGCTGCATCGATGGTAAGGTATATGTGGCGGCCATCCGGGCTTGCCATGACGCTGTACGGAAAGTATGACACCATTTTCTCATGACCTGCTGGGCCTTCCTCCCTAGATGATCGATAAAGAACTGCTTGGAATGCAAAGGCGTTCATGTAAAGACGCAGGTATTCAAACTGGAGCATTAGAAGTCCCTTCAGATGGCTCGGAACGTCGAAATCACTCCATGATCGTTTCCACATGTCCAATGCTTTTGCACTGTCGTCCAGATATTTTATGTAATCACCCATTAGTATCAACTGAACTGTGCGCGACTTGGACGCATATAATATATCATGTACGTTTCCGAATATGGTTGTTAGCTCGACCTGGGCTTGGATAAAGGATGCATAGTCAACCTGGCCAGCCTTGTGTGGGTGAAGTGATGGGTAGTCATGCGCAGTGAAATGAGTGGACAGTCCGGGCCCGCGGCACCAGAATGCTTGGCCCATCTGGATAGATATTTGTCGATCCGCAAGGTATGTGACTAGTGATCGTTAGCTATGCAGTCGATCGTCCAGACGCCGCACCTACATATCCAGGCCAATCGCTTCCGATCGAAAGCTCCATCCGACTCGGCTTTCACCTCGTCGCGAAAGGAATGCTTTTCAAGATGTAGCAGATAGGCTTGCCTGACTGCCAGTCCGATGAGACTCCATGCAAGACTATCTTCCTCCCTTGCTTCTGTGTGTTCTACCAGTATATCACTACGTGAACTGGTTCCCGAGTTGACATGGGGTACCCATTCAGCCAATAGCAACAGACCCTCCACGGAGCTGACATGTCGAAGGCTCTTGGAGCCCAGGACGACGCGGAGCAGAAGCTTTTCCATATAGCTTAGGACTCTCGCGTGTAGATGTTCTAAGCCATGCCGGTCCTGGGTCGCTATCGTCAGGACCGAGGTTAGCAAAAATGTCTCGTCAATCGGGTAGTGCTCCCAATTTCCCCCACACAATAAGTGGTTTGGCACAATTGGCAGATAGCAGTGGTAGTTGTTGGCATAACTGTAGGGCGATGGCACACGTTAGCGAAATAGTACCGTTCCAATGATATTGATGACTTACTATCGCAAAAGTGGTTCAATGGATTCAGTATCTATAATGCCTTTCCGAATGAGCTCGGATTCCTTCAGACTGGCACTACTGCGCGAGAAACGACTGCACGTTTCACCTGGACGCGACAAGTCTTTTGCAGGAGGTTGAGGGAAAGTATGGGTTCTTTCGGCCATTGGCTCGCTAGACGCCGTCTGTGCTAAGATCTGCAAAGCTTCCAGAGGATTCTGTATCCCACCACTGATACTAGGGTCTTGTGTGTTCTCTGAGACTTTGTCAATTGGCGATCTAGAAGCGCCGCTCCGGTGCTCTGAGCTGCCGGGCTCGGGGATCACTTGTCGTATGGACTGTCGCTTGTGCCGTTTCCTGAATTTTGAGTAGTCGCCACCTCTATTTGACCCAGCGATGACGCAGCTGGACCCCTCCAGAGAGCATTTCGTACAGGGTTCATTTCCATTCTCACTTGCGAATTTCCTGAGGAAAGGTCACACAACTGAATGATCAACCACAAGATAGGGATTCGTACATACAGGTCACATTTCGTTTTACGTTGTCGACACCGGATACAGGCGCGATACAGCCTGGTTCCTGTACTTCTTGTCATGGCAAAGGGTAGAGGAGAGATGGTAACGTGAAGGGGGAAAGGAGATGGGACGAGGTGGAGATGCGGAGGTGCGGGGATCGGCAATAGATGGCAATAGATGGCATTGGCAATGCTGGACCCAACTATAACCGCTTCCCCTCACCGTCTCAGCACTATAAAAGTGACACTCCCAGGCTATGTATTTACACTCGAATCTCGTTATGAGCTGTTTTGCATCCTACAATTCTCCAGATATTGTTGTGAAATCCAAAATCGGTCCTCATCAAAATGACAATTACTCTCAGCGAAACTCAGCATCTTCCTCCCACACCCGCAGAGGTGCGCGAGCATACTTCCCAAGAAAGTGACGACTACGGAAAGTATCATCCTGCCCACCCAAAGGACCTGAATCTTGAATCAAACTTTGGACCCATGGCCCCTGATCAAATTGGGTACCTTCAGCCTACTTCCAGGGAAACCCCAATTGATCTCATGCGCGAACGGTTTCAACGTGATGGATATTTATTCGTATACATTTTCCCTATCTGTGTATCAAGAATCATGCACTGACTCTATCTACGACTGTTAGGTGAAAGACCTTCTTCCTAAAGAGAAAGTGCTGAAATGCCGACGACGTTATTTCGAGCACATGGCCTCCTCGGGCCTTCTCAAAGACGGCACAGACCCGGTAGAAGGAATATTCAGTGACAAAGACAGTCGGAAGTTCCTTCCGCCTGGAAACCTACGACGGCTGTTCGGTCTGAAAGATGATGAAGAGTCAGACAAGTACCTCGAGTTAATGATCAGCGCCCACGAGGCAGACTTCTATCTCGAATTCTGCGAGATCGAAGAGCTCAGGGCCTTTATCAGACATTTTACCGGATGGGAAGACATCACGATGCTACAAAGAACCCTCCTCCGAGCCTTTGTCCCCGATAGCGAACTAACCCCCGTTCACTTCGATCAAATGTACCTTCGAGCAGGTCCGCCGACAAGTTTGACGGCATGGGTTCCGATTGGCGATGTCTCCCTGGAAGGAGGAGGGCTCATGTACTTGGAGAACTCTGTCGAAATCGGGCAACAGACGGAGGCAGAGTTTGCTCGAAATGCGAGCAACCTGACCGACGAGGAGCGTGTTTCGGCGTTTAATAAGAATATGAACGACGGTGGGTTCTTGAGCCGTGACACCGTATCGTACGGGCAGAAGGCTCAGAGAAAATGGTTGATTACCGAATATGAGGCGGGAGATGTGATCTTTCATGACCCGTTCCTGGTGCATGCCAGTTGCAAAAACAAGGATCCTGAACGGCGCATTCGATTGGCAACGGACCTGAGATTTGTTGATTCTACTAAACCATATGATAAGGTAAGAAACCAAAGGCTTTGAGCTCCCTTTGAACGAGTCGTTTTTGTTGTTAACCTTGAGCCCTGTAGCGTTGGATGAAGGTGTATAGGCCACTTGATGGTTTGTAGGGTGTCTGATCTTGACATGTCATATATATGTATAACTGCAATATTATTCTGCAAAAAATTTGGAATTCACCATCACAGTCGGTATCAACTGTATTATCCTAGCAGTGTTGAGACCGTTTCCTAATATACTTTGAAGCCAATCACCATGACTTTTATCTGGTAATAGTCATCGCACAATTCTCATAGGTCTAATTACCAAGTTTTGTACTTGGATGTATAAGTTCCATTATATACCCAAATGTTTCAACTTCTGTTGCTTGGTTGTTTGTGCAAGTCCGCGTGTCCTGAATTTTCAGGCCGTCGAAGTCACCTGCCCGCCGCTCCATGTCTTTTCTGCTCCCCATCCATGGCCCAACACTGCCTGATTCCATTATCCAAGGGGCCATTGCACATTCATCTGAATTAGGGACTTGTCAGCTTCTGAACCATCATGTATCATCCTCCGCGTCAACCAGAACAACAGATTGAACTCGCTCGTTTATCCCTAGCCAAGTTCTCACAGACGACGACATCGGGCAATCATCGGGGTCCATTGCATTGGAATCACCTGATCGGAGACGGTGATATCATTGGCATCTTTGAGAAGTTCGCAGTCTCCAACAATGTTTTCCTCAATGTATTGAACAAAGATACTATTATTGTATGTTCTTTGCCCACAATGCTTAGACGGCAGAAGCTTATCAGAACCATACGCTTCAAGGAGCACATAGACCTGGCAGAACTTGCAAGAGTCGCAGCCTCCGACCCCCATGCGAACGACCCGGGTACCTCGAAGTCGACTTTCGCCGTCGTCGTGAAACTGCCATGCCTTGCGGTCAAATATCCAACTGGGAATGGACATGTTCGTGGACTCTCTCACACCGTCAAGCAATTGAGCAATCTTTTTATTTCCTGTCTGATCATGAACTTAGATACGTCGATTTCAAATCAAGTTCGGTCAGGACCGTGATTACTATGCAGCGTTGGCCATCCTAAGCGACATCAAATGCCCTTTCTCTGAGCCCAGTATCGGCCCGATGCCACTAACTCGAAGGCCATCTACTACACAGTGGCAGATGGGATCCTCTTCCATTAAGGCCAGCACGGTCGGAGAGACGCCAGCGGCGGATCGATATATGTCCCATGGTGCCCTCGTTCAACCCCACGGTATAACAGCAAGTGCATCTGCAGCGCCATCCAGTGTTACAGCCGGTGATATGATCTCCAGTAATACTCTCTTCGGATGCAGCGCTGACCAGACAATACAGCTCAAGCATCCCTACCGTCCTCTTCAAGCACCATGCACAACGTCCCTCCGGATTTCTGGACTAACGGCACCAACCAGGGAGGCATGCGAGATGTGAGCTAAAACTACTTAGTATCTGATATGTTTACACTAATCTTTCTCTCAGGACATGGCATCGGGACAGACTTTACCAATGCCGCCTAATTCAAATGCACCGGTCCGGAGACCCTCAACAGCTACTACCTGCTACGATACGAATTCCTTAGAAGCTATACTACCTCCGAAACGCAAGCTTCCGTTCCTCCAACCCGCGCCGCCACGGGCTCCAACCGTACCAGAGTCATCTACCATGCGCTCACAAATACCGCCTGTTGAAAGTATGATCGAGAATGCAGAATCAACCCAGAGCGGCGTCTGTAACCTGGTGCTGACCACCAGTCTCGAATTAGGCTCTAACCCACGAGAAGGTGCGAACTGCAGACCCGCAACATCGGCAGGTCATATATTTCGCAAACCAGACCAAACCGGTAGGTCTACAGATGTAAATGCAAGGGCTATCGCACCTGCACCCAAGCGCACCAAGATCTCGCCACCTGAGAACCCCTCGACATTACCTAAACCTACAAGTATTCCCATCTCACTACCAACCGAGCCATCCCCGGTACCATCCTGCCTTCCACCAAACCAGCAGCATCATGAACCCGGCAATTCTGCACAAAGCACATCTGCTCCAAACATATCCTTCCCCGAAGAAGACGCCGAGAGACAAGACCTAGCTCCGGCTCTGGCGAACCTCTCATCATACTTATCAGCACCCACGGCGGAGCGGACCAAAAGTCTAGAGAATTGGATCTGCCAACATATCGAAGACGACGGATTTATTCAGCTCTGTCAGGATGTAGAGAGCATATGGAGACGTATTGCCGTGGGAAAATAAGTAAGGCATAATTTGTGGCTTCTGATCTCTTCAAAATGTGGAATATTGCTCTTTTCCGTTTTTCTACTGAGGTAATAAGCATTATCAAAGAATATTCTTTTGAAACAGACCTTCCTGTTCGAAGAGCCAAAAGTGAATAGCAAGTTATTTTCTCGCAAATTGGTAGAATACAAACAAAAGAAGCAAGTACAATAACAAATACCCCGCTAGTCGATCACCGTTTCTAAAAACCATTACATATTGAATATTGTGAATATCCTCCCCCTTTTTTTGTGATTGTTTTCTCAAGCCCAGGTTTTTCGACCGCCAAGATGTGAGCGAGATAACCTACAGAGTCCAAGGCTAAGACGGAAATGAAAGAGAAAGCACCTAGAGTACAGAATGAACAGTGCTAAGTAAAGATTCCAATTTTTGTTCAAAGGTGAGGACAGAGTCAAGACCAAATCTCATCGGGATCGCCGGTAGATCAGGCCGGAGAAGACATTGAGATAACCCTCCTTTGTAAGAAGCGTATAATCAACGACAACGCGAGTGGGCGGTTGCGAGGCAGAGCCGAGGTTGGGGGAAGTAGCAGCGTTGAGATTGTTTTCGGTCGAGAGCGCAGGCGGTGGAGAGCCCGAGGTTGCAGCCACAGAGCCTTCAGCGCCAACGGCAAGATCTGCCAGATGTTGAAGCGAGCGCTGTTCGTTCGGGCCCATGACGGGGGGGCCGACGGAGCCACTTTTATTGAGGCTGGGGTCCTGGAGTTGGCTTTCTTGGGCCTTGGTTCGTCGCCATTCGAGGAAGATACGGATCTTGGCGTCCCAGCCGGGAGTGGTGAAGATATCGCCGAACTCGGCCGCTTCGGTGCTTCGTTTTTCCCGGTAGTCAAGGATCTCCTCAACCTTTCTGAGCGAATCCCAGCACTCGGTGGCGTAGTCAGGAAGGACGGTGGATTCCAGAAGGGTCATGGAGGCTAGAGCCAAGCTGTGAAGATCGAAGGGCGTTGTGATGCGGGACTGCGTGCTGGCCTTGTACAACTCGTTGACGACTTCTTGGGCGCTATAGATGATCTCGTAGGGGCTGTAAACGAAGATGTGTCGCTTAATCAACAATCGAATGGTCCAGTAGAGTTGATTCTGTAGACTGTCGATAAACGTCTGGGATTCGGATTCCTCGGTGACGTCGTGAATTGAACGCAGATCCTCAATCTCTGTTAGACGCTCAAGTGATGATGCCAAATTGGCCCCGACCAAGCGTCCGATGCCGGTACTCGTTTGGCAGACATTGTGTTCCAGGGAGGCCAAGGTGACCAACTCAACCAGGAAGGTTGTATAAGCTAAAAGTAAATCAGCAATGAGACTCTAGCACGGTATCGGCACACTCGAGGGGGAACCTACAGGCAATGCCAGTGGAAACACGGCCAACAACCCGCTCGTCTTCCCGACCACCCATCTCATACGTTCCCAGAGCGCTTGGGTCGGCTACGCTGACCGCGTACCAGCGAGATAGTATGCCCAGTGCCACCCAATTGCGACGAACAAGGTTCGCTTCCGAGTCGACGTCTGGGTCTGACGAGCGTTTTGTCTTTAGCTGGCCAAGACCCTTAGCCATGTCTGAAGCGAGCTTATTCGCAGACTGGATCAGGGAATGTTTTGGTACACCATCTTTCAGAACAAAGTTATCAGGACCTCTCCAGTCGCAGTCGAGAATCATAAGCAGCATGGTCTGAAGCCAGATGAGGTTGATCCCGGTCGGACGAACGATGGCCGGTTGGCGAGTGTAGTACAGAAGAAGGTCCTGCGCATTGTCAAAAGACGTAACTCTCTCGAAAGTGCCGAATACTCGATCAAAGTTGGTGCGCGTGGCGGTGTAGAGGCTGTAAATAAAGATCTCCTGCACTTCGCGACTGCATTGGTGGAGAATTTCGAGCAAACGTTCCTTCGAGTGCGGCAAGATGGGGAAAACAGGGTGGATTTTCGCGTAATACCTGTGGCGGGTTAGATGCTGCATTATCCAAGATCACAAGGCTGCAAACAACTTACGCGTCGGTCGCTCCTTCGTCCAAGTTCAAGGGAGTCATGTCCTCCTCCATTGCTTGTTTGGGTATATCAGTCATCTCGATTCCAGCGGGCAGTTCGCTCTCATTGCCAGTCGACCAGAATAGATTGCCGGGTTTCGGAGCCGAGCCGCTGACGACCGACGCGTTGATGGGATCCGCTGCGGTTTCGCCTGCATCTTCTTGTGAAGTTAGTTTACGGTCAAATGAGGCACGCGCGTAGGATACGAACCAAATGCATTCTGCGACCGGGTGTTGAATGGCGGTTGGGTGAAGGAAGAGCTAGGGAGTCCTTCGAAGACAGAGTAGGTTCTTTTGCGACCTATTCCGCCACTATCCATTGGAGGTGAGAAATCCTGGTAGCCCTTGGGCGAAGACACCTCGTTCATCCCCTGGTACGGCATATCCGGATGGACCATAGCGGGCTGCATTTGGCTCTCGAGAGTGTGCAATCGCTCCGCCAGTTCCTTGATGTAACTATAACATAACCCTCGTCAGCCCTCACACGCCTAGAATGATCCAAGACTCGAAGTGATCGCGTGTCTTACCCTTTGCTTGGGCCACGTTTCATGGGAACGCGACTGAATTGACAGACAACCCCGAGACGACGACAGTTCGAGCAGGTTTCCACGCCAGTTTCAGAGCTGGCATCGCAACGGACCTAAGGGATCGCGACGTTAGTCCGACACATCCACCGGGGCGACGTCGCGTCGCGCGATCAAAACACAAGATGTTTGGTTGGTACCTTCTTGCGCCGGCACTCATCGCACGCGCGAGAAATCTTCGACCTTTTCCTCCTTGCACTCTGGTCCCCATAGCTCAAGTCGTGATTTGGATCGACGCCCACTTGTTGACTCGGAGTGAATTGCAACATGTGCTGTTGTTGGTGCTGATCGGGCGACGAAGGGCGACCCATATCCGCGCCAGCCGGATTGGACGCACCTAAAACCATCGACTGACCATGGTGAACTCCGTTGCTGGACCCATCCGCAAGACCGGGACCGGAAGTTTCGCGCGAAAGCTCGGCGGACAGGAGTTCGTCGGCAGTCAGTTGGCGATTCGTGTAGTATTGCATAGCGCCCTGACCGATCTGCGCCGCGTTGGGGGACGGATAGGAAGGAGCCGGAGGCATATCGGAATGCTCGCGAGAATTCATCGTGCGGAAATTGGGGGTTCAGTGAAAGGCGAATGGGGGGGTGGATGATGGAGCGAGGCTCCGGATGGCGATGGAGGAGGATGGAGGAAGTTGGAGGACGGAAGAGGTCGCAGGCAAGGTTTTACAGGCTAAAAAACCGCCTGGGCGGGGAGGACATTTCGAATGGGTTAGCGCCGTATGCCCTCGGCGCTGGAGAACTGATCACAGCAAACATGGTCGCGCAACTTGAGCAGAAGTGCCTGGCTCATGGACCTGGATCTCTGCTCGCGGGATGCGATATAGTTTCATCCTGGGATGATCGCGCCGACGCGGAGATCCGGCTTTTTGTTTCTGCGTCCAGCGCGCGGATTAATACTATTTCCCACCGGCCCAGACTCGACCAAAGAAAAAACTCCTCGAAGGATTCGATGCATCGACTGTCTGTCCGATAGCATTGTTGCTTCTTTTTATTCCTCAGGAAATTGCTGATGGTCCTGTTGCATTCCGGGAATCTCTCGCACCTGGAGATGAGGCATCTGGCGATCCAAGTTGGGATACAGCTCGCCACCTTCGATCTCAACGACCGGCTATCCCACCTGAAGGAGTGATGCAATGTCACCCTTGTTCAGGCTTTCGTGAGCGCTTAGTTAGACGTTCAGATGATTTTTCACCATGTTACCCTCTGTTGTTACGCAGCTACGAGACTTGAGAGATGGAAACCGGTGATGTACCACCGGTTGGTGGTCAGGTCGCGGATTCTGCATCTTTCTCAACCAGGCACCTTTCGTGACTCTTTCGTCTTACTCAAAGCGACTTAACATCTGGTTCGGGAATTACTCGTAGGATCCGATTGGAACTTCTCCGGATCTTTCATCATCTCTTTGCATGGGCTGCCCCTTTCTGCCTTCATGAGCGACTTCAGGAAGTTGATTGTTGAAGGCCTGCAAGGGATGAAAATATCACTTTGGCATTCTCATCAAGGATACAATAAACATGACTGCCTTTAACGTTGCGTTACTGGTTCCAAGATGCGTTCCTGCTTCAAGCCCAGAGATCGAACATCTCGACACCTTAGGCACCACTACCGGTGGTGGTGATGTCACGTGCCTAGCTGGCCAATGCAAAGTTGGTATGACAATTTAACAACTGAACTAAACGGCAATCAACCTTCGCTGAGAAGGGTTATTTAGTGCAATATCCACGCGGCCACAGTTGGAAACATTCATGTTGCGCTGCATCAAGACCTTTTGCCGTCCTTATCCCCCTTCAGGCCACCAACTCATCGTTACGACCTTCTCGGTGGCCTTGATCCTTTGCTTGTAGTTCCATAAATAGCGGGACTCACCAGACAGATGTAGTTTTGGAACCCCGCGAATCAAGTTTAGAGCTCTTAAGGTACGTCTGACATGATGTTCCCATGAGACGCGTTGGTTTATAACTTTGCATCTTCAGCTATTTTAATCAATGGCCAACTAAACGCGCTCTGGTCCTCGTTTTCGTATGACACTAAACTTCTTCCCACGCGGATTCAGATCGACATAAGGCTGTGCCAGTCTTGGCCAAAATCCTTCGACATGCTCGAGGCAAGACCACTGGTCAGAATCTCGCTCATTCTGAGACCCTTGTTTCAGAAGAGATGAAAATCAATACATCCTACACAGTGCACAATAGAGTATAGAACTGTGGGGTCCTCGTATACATCGCTCATCAATCAATGAAATCTCTAATGGACAAGTCTTCCAAACTGCACTAGAACCAACGGCGCCACTTCCACAGAACGTTATGTAACTTAAAATGATCGTCAGGGGCCTCAGCTGGCCCGGCCCCATCGCCTAACCTCTGCCTATCTAGGTAATAACTAAACAACCGTCCCACTGGCTTTCCTTCTTTCATTAGTTCTAGTGCCACAGGGCTATGATGCTGATGAAGAGGCTCATGTTTGTGCTCCATGTACCTTATCATTGGCACAGAATCATATGCACTGCCATGGATGAATGCGCTGCATTGGGATATATAAACAATGACGCGCCCCCAGTAAATGATATTCTTGTGCTCAAGAAACTAGTCAACACCATCCATCCACTGAATCAACATGCAACTCACTTACCTCACCGCGGCTCTTGTAGCCGTCACCACTGCCCATGCCATTGACGCATCAGCTACCCCTTCTTCCTCCGGCTCAATCCCCAGCCCCAACCCGGACAGCAAGATTGTCGACCAGGAGATGTTCCCAACTTCAGCCGGCCAAATTCTCCTCAATCACGACAAGGAATGCTACATCGAGCTCACCGACATCCAAGGCTGCACCGGCCGCTCCGAGCCATTCGGAACCGTCAGCAAGTCCACCGGAAACTGCTACGACAGTAAGCTTCCTTTCCGGCCATTATTTCGATCTCTTGAAAATCGCTCATACGCTAATCAATCTACAGATGGCGCTTACCCTCTTGTCACCGACATCTGTGACGGCCAGATCTGGATCTACACCCACGGCAAAGACAACGAGGAGACGATCATCCCTCCCCTGGGTAAGGGCGAGTTTGTTAGTGAGGGCCAGTTCTGGTTCAAGAACTCCACGGGACATGTCAACGAGGTCCCATATATTATGGGATACGTGAAGCCCGGATGCGAGTTCCACGCGAAGCGCTATGATGGGGATAAGTTGACTTGGACTGGCAGCTGCTATGCTTAGGGTTGGGGGGGTGTAGGTAGTTCGTCTGCTCTGTTTGTATCTTGCAAGCCTTAATAATCTCATTCGGACTTCATGATTATTGATATGATGGGAACATACAAATTGATGCCAGAAAAGTAAACATCTAAAATCATCCTCAAGTCTACATATATTCTTCTGTGGACGATAAATGCAACCCTGGCACTTATGTAGGAGATGTGTATACTTTCTGTGTACCCGGTTTGCACCTAGCAGCGGTTTGCCTACTTCTTCATGCTACCCCTTCATGTATCACGTCTTGAAAGTTTCCGTCTTGTTATAGGTACATAACCTTTATTATCATCACAGGCTAAAAGTATTCAAGAGATGAAGCTCAAGAAAAAAACAAAAACGAATATAGAATTCATAAAGCATCCATCAACCTCATCCGAAATATATACATGCATTCCCCCACCAAGTAGTATCATAACCTAAACATACTCCTTAGCCAAATACCCCAAATCCTCCTCCAACGGCTTCCCAGCAGCCGTCGCATTCGTCACACCGATTAGGAAATACACCATCCTGGCCGGCTGGCTCTCGGAGACGTTTCTCCACCGATGCATGCCCGCGCGGTTCACCGACACGTCGCCGGGATACATGAGTCTCTTCTCGCCGCTGTCCAGCGACAGTTCCATCACGCCGTGCGTGACGACACCGTACCCGATACCGATGGATCGGTGGAGGTTTGACTCGACGCCGGGCGCGAAGTCGATGGTGCGAATGACGGAGCCGGTGGGGTAGTTTAGAGGGGGCTTTTCGGTCAAATTGTTAGATTCCGTTTCTTTGGGGTAGAGGTAATGGGTGATATGAATGGAGGAGGGAGGTAATTGGGAAAATTCAGGACGGGTGGATAGGGGGTACCTTGTTTTCCATAGCGAATTTCACATCTTGATCGTCGGTCAGGTCAACTGGGTTTGACTGCGTGCTGTACGGGATGTTCTGGGCCGCGGCACCCTCGACCATAATGGCGCCATGGTCGCCCTTGTCGGAGACCAGGAAGACAGATTGGCCTTCTGGGTTGTGACCGACGATGTAACGGTTTTGGTCTGGGAGACCTGGGGCCGGGAAGCCGGTGACGGGACCGCCTTGGGACATTTTGCGGGTTGGGGTGATTGGTTATAGAGGGGATGGTTGAAGGTACTCGGAGTACGATAAAGTAAAAGGCTACAGAACAGAGTAGACGCGAGATAGACGGTCAGAGTTTGATGAAGTGGTTTATAGAGGGTAACACATTCCTCGCACCACGGGGGCAAGACGAGAGCCCTGTTTTATACAACCCCCCCGACTAGGTACTATATCGTCGACCTCCCGTAATGATGGGACATAACTAACCCACCAAACAGCAGAAAAAGAAATAACCCCGAACCTCGCCATCTCCGTACGATACTCGGTGCCTGTCCAGGAATGGGGTCTGGTTCGCTCCAAATCCCCCGTCGTCTGACTGTGTCCGCGCACGGTTTTACCCAAGAGGTGTCACTCCATGTTTGCTATACTAGAAATGATACAAGAAATTAAGTTCTTCGGGAGACAGCGAGAGCCTTTGGTCTGGAACTATAGAATGGGAAATGAGGTTGACACGGAGTGGGTCGATGGTCGATGCATTGCATGGTCACCACATGGGGGCGTTGAACTTAGCCCCCTGGCCTGAGTGCATTCCCGGCGATGAAGGGATGCAACCATGTGGAAGTGTTTGCTTCCTTGGCTCCTGGACTATGGGATGGCCGGCGTACCTGGAATATCTGCCTATGATTTGCGGGTGGAACATGTAATGGATGCCCATTCTTTAGAGCATGTAGGTATGGGGCTAGTAAACGGTATTCGAATACAGCAAGGTATAGTGCAACTTTCATTGCTCAGGGGAAACAAGTATGTATGTATCAGCCTGAGATTGCAAATTACAGAAGGCGCCAATCCTGCATGGATACAGTAGCACCGTCAGAAATGTATACTGCTGAGTGAGATTCTCCTGTATGCAAATGTTGAGCCGCACAAATCCTACAAAGCGCTCAAGCTAGAAAGCAAAATTGGGTGTTATATAACAAGAAAGTGTCTAAACGAACTTGAATGAATGAATGTAAGAAGACAGTCCAGACCAGACACACTTGAAACCGTCAAGTATCAGCACATAAAGAAACATACAAAGATGTTATGGTATCCTACCTTGAACGAAACGCTCAAATACCAGCTGAGATAGGACCCAACCCACGTGGAAATGCTGATATGAGAACAAAGTCAAGACCACAGCGTCAACCGAACTAAATTATCTGAACAGGTCAGCATTCATTAATCTAGACCTCATCCGGAACAGGAAGTACATGCGATGACAGAACGCATGTCAGATATTAACCTCTCTGCAGGCACGGTATTTCCAGCGCTAAAAGAATCCACCCTGCTGAAAACCAACAAACCTTGTGAGAAATTAACTACATGGATCCGATTCCGGCCACTTGTCACCGGTTCTGCAATGATTTTCCCTCAATCAATTAGTGCAGGAATATCGTTCGTTGGGAATTATGCTGAACCAGAATGTTACCTTACTCCGTACATTGCGCCATCCTGTCAGCAGTCAGCAAGCATCCACGCTATACAGGGACTAGAGACATATCCTCAGCATCTGACCTCTGGTTCACAGAGGCTAAGCATCGGGGAAGTGCGAAGAAAAACTTTCGTCCGGTACTCAACCAAGCCTCCCAGGGCTTGGGTGCAAATTGAGACATGTAAGCACTAGACCATAACGGGAGCCTGAGCCTTCCGTCTACACTTTCACTACAGTCAGAGTTTGCCTGGAAGTATTATACTATTAAAATGAGTGTTTATGAAAATGGGCTGGGATATCGTTATCGAAAGATATGGACACCGGAACAAGTACGGAGTACCTACGGAGTACCCTAACCAAAGGCAAAAACCCAGCCTAGCGGAAAAGACAATTAGCCCCCAAAAAGGATCACTTGGGTTTTAGTAATCTTAGTATGATTTTCGAAATGTCAATTGAATGCCAAGACGTCTAGCACTCGGTAGTCGCTTACTTACGCCTTTGCCAATTATTCAGGAGCTAAGGTAAGAGACTGGACGTTGTATACCTCAGCCGGTATGAATAAAACATGTTTTACATCCCAAAGATACACGAAAAAAAAAAAAAAAAAAATTAGGAAAGAAAGAAACCAACAGTCTAACTGAGAACAACTATTTTTCTGGTACCTCCAAGAAAAAGAATGCCCATATCATGTGAATTAGAACATCAGCCCATATTAGTCATTACTTGCTACCGTCTTGCTTTTCCACAATCTCCTGCACTGGTTCCTCCACCCGAGGCTCCGGAGTGTCCTTCTTAGTCTGCACAAAGAGTTTCTCTCGTTTCATGAAGAGAGAGAGCACCACGGTTAGAGCTCCAGCAGCCACAAGCATGAAGTAGATATTGCCAATTGTCGAGACTAGTGCTCTCTGCACGGCAACCTGCTCAGTAGCAGAAAGGGACTTGAAGAAGGGCCCGCCGGCACCGCTAATGGCCATTTGAATCAAGTCTTTGTCTGCATTGGGCATCACTGCCGAGATTTTGCTCGTGGCCTGGTTGATGAAGATGCTGTTGGAAATGGTCAATCCAAGAGCAATACCACCAATTTGTCCGCAGCCGATAAAGGCAGTAGACTGGGCAACCTTGGAAGGACCACCCTTCGCTTGTGAGACAGGGAATGATGCCTGTGAATAGAGCCCTGTTCCGAGCGCTAAGATCACACTGTACCCATAGATCCTGGATGTGCTGGACTCCAGAGTAATGGTGTGCATCAGCGAGGCCCCGATGACAACGAGGACACCGCCGACGAGGTACCAAGGCATGTAATATCCAAGAATACCCATCAGTATACCGTTTGATATGACGGCAAAGACCATGATAAACACGAATGGTAAGAGGCGCACACCTGCCTGAGTCGCAGAGTCTCCAAACACGAATTGGAAATAGAGAGGAATGAAGTAGACGGGTACAAAAGCGCACGTCACCGCTGCTGCTACCAGGACGAAGAAGATGATCTGCTCATAAGACTTCAAGAACTCAAGAGGGAAAAGGCGAGTTTCGGGCGTTGTGAAGAAGACTTGCTGAATTCCGAACAAGATCCAGAGGACACCGGAGCAGACAAAGAGGCCGATGATTCTTCCACTGTTCCAGTCGTACATAGCACCGCCGAAAGAGATTGCCATGATGCCCGACACAAAACCTCCTGCACTGAGGATCGCACCTGGAATATCGACGTGCTGCAAACGGGACTTCCAGGAAGCAGATGGTCGGGGGTCGTGGGTCTCGAGGAGCCAAATGTAAATGGGTGCGGCCAACGCTCCGACGCAGAGGTTGATGTAAAAGCTCCATCGCCAAGTTGCCTTGGAGTCAGCGAAGGCTCCTCCAATGATCGGACCAAGCCTAAATGTATGTAAGCGAGACCGCATGCAAGTTAGCTTTCATCGGTGTCCTCTTACACAGTTCCAATACCCCAAGTCAATCCGACAAATCCAAGGTAACCAGGTCTCTCAGCTTCCGTCGTGCTATTGGAGAGTAGGTTGATTGCGCCCAGGTAAATTCCAGAGCCACCGATACCACAGATAGTTCGTCCCACGATCAAGGCATTCATCGTTGGTGCCGCACCGCATACTGCCGACCCGACTTCGAAGAGAATGACGGTAACGAGGAAGGATTTCTTGGTTTCAAACTGAGCAAAGATCTTGCCCCTGTTGCTTTTGTTAATACAGAGACTAAGTCTTCCAATTGAGTGCGAAGAGCTGTCACCTACCAGACTAAGTTCACGGCCACGCCACCAAGCGCAAAGGAGACGGAGATCCAGGGCAGTTTGTTGATTTCACCAAAGGAATCGACAATCTTGGGCTGCACATCGGCGACGATCGTGTTGTCCAATGCAAACAGGAAGATAGCCGATAGAATAGAGAAGATTACCAGAACCCATTTGAAGCCAGACACCTTACGTGGAGGGAGCTCCGGACCGGAGAGGCGTCTTTCCTCTGTAGACTCGCTCGCAGCCATCGTGAGAGAAAGAAGTGTCACAGCGCAGACAAAGAAAGATCGCTAAGACTGATTATCGCAGATCACAGTCGGCCAAAAGACAGTTAGAAAAGGAAGCCACAACCATAGAGGATGATTGCCGACAAAATAAAGCCTAAGGCGGAGCGTTTAGATCTCCGTCCAAGAAACTAGAATCATTAATAATTCTAAAAGAGAAAGAGCCGGCGACAGATCCGGACGAACAAGAGCAACCGACAAAGAGAAATTGACAGAGCCTCGTAGCAGAGTCAGCCTGGTGGTTTGTCTCTGTTAGTTACATACATCCATGTCTACAACCCAACTCGGACAGTTCAATGCACCGTTTCCGACTGTTTCTTGTTGGTATTGAAAATCGCTGTATCTTTGGTATCCTACAAGCTTACGGCTTACGGCCCGGCGGTATCTTACCGCTAGTCCGATATAGGATAAGACGAGGAGTATCCAGCCCTACCCAATGAAGAAGACCCGTCTAGACAGGTCACATCCACTAAGGGGCTATTAATTAACAGGCTCTGCACCTCAGTCGGATCTGGACGCACCTGAAGACTGAAGAGAGAAGAGAGGCTGGGGGATGATGTTCTGCACTAATTCGACGGCGTGCCGGTCGAAGAGTCCAAAAACGGGTCCTTCTCACGAGCTGAGCCCCCAAACAAGAATCTCTCCAATCATACACCGTCGATCATTCTCATCTAGAGCACCAGAAATAAATTACTCTCTTCAGGGCTATGCATAAGAGTCAGTGTGGTGTACTATGAGTGCTTCAGTTTCATTTTCCTCCTTGGTGGCACGATTCACTTGACACAACTCAACCTAGAGGTGTAGCTGCAGAACAGGCCTGCAATACCGGGGCTAATAATGACTGGCTGAGAGCAAGGCTTTGACTATATGCATGGCACGGGCTGACGATCAAATTCTGACACTCTGACTCTTCTTCCCACATGGTCCTTTCGCCCCCCTCCATCTCCTCATTTTCGCCCGCACTACACATGCAACTGTAGCGCTGTCCGTGGCATTCTCAGCTATGAGAGGTGGAAATGCGGAACTAGGCTTGGAACACCTCACTATCACCTCACAAACGTGCTTTATCTCGCGTAGTTCATGGTAAACCGCCCCAACCAATCTCCGGTGATGCGGGACACTGACCATAGCCAGGCTGCCGTTCACCCTCTCAGAGTCCAGACGGCTTGTCATCCTCATATAGCGAGACGCTGTGATACGATGAAGAAGATGGGGGCAGAAGTCTGACATATCCCAAAAGGCCTGGGCGAACAGGCAGCTGGGATGATTTTATAGGTCATCTTTTCTCCCCAGGTGCAACAAAGCTTTTGTACTTTCTCTCATCTGCTGCTGTTTCGTATTCCAGCTCCTTCAACAGCCTTCTGAGCTTACTCACTCATCATGTCTGCTGCAGCTGCTGCCCCTCTCCCTCCTGATGAGGACCGCTCCAGTGTGTACATTGGAACCATCATCGGGTTTATGATTCCTGCCGGTCTCATATTGATCCTTCGGGTAGGGGTTCGCACTCTGATGACCAAGAACATGAGCTGGGATGATTGGTTGATGATAGCTGCGATGGTATGAGGTTTCCCCCCAGCAACGATCGCATCCGGTATCGTGCTAACAGTGCGCATGCAGCCTTTCTTAATGGGTGGTGAGATATTGTCTATCATATCAGCACAGCATGGACTTGGGCGACACATCATGTACTTGGCACCCGAGAACATGGTTGTTGCATTGAAGGCGAACACAATAGCGCAACCTCTGAACATTCTTGGATTGTTTTTTGTCAAAGCCTCGATTGTGGCCTTGCTCATTCGCCTCAAGTGCAAGACCCTCTACAAAGCAATCCTATATACGTCAGTAGCTCTCCTGTTGGCAATTTCGATTGTCGGTGTGGTTGTTGCTTTTGCGCAATGTCGGCCTTTTGAGAAGAACTGGTTCGTAACCATGCCGGGCTCATGCTGGTCTCGTGATGTTTTCACCGATGCACTTTATATTCTTCAAGCCATCACTATTGTGACCGATCTGTGTTATATCATCATCCCAATCTTTATGCTTTGGAATGTGCAAATGGCCAAATCCACCAAGCTCAGCGTCCTGGGTGTCATTGGATTGGGTGCTATGTAAGCATACCCCATAGTCAACCGACCCATGGAATTCATGGTGCTAACGAACCCTTTTAGCTCCATGGTGTGCTCTATCATTGCTATCCCTTTTGCGCACCAGCTTGGAGTGAGTGTAGATGTCACGTGGGAAATTGTGGACCTGGCATGCATTAAGATGTACGTGCTTTGACTCCATTCTCTTGCATGATGATAATGCTAACGTCAGCCATAGTGCCGAAGTCAACGTCGCCGTGATCGTCGGATGTTTGCCTCCCCTGCAGCCCATCTTCAAGAAGGTCAACCAGCGTTTCTTCTCTCAGAAGACCGTCACAAACAATACGTATGAAGACCGATTGGCCCGACTTAAACTCAAGCCCAGCGAGTATGAAATCCTCAGCGGCAAGTCCAAGAACAGCAGGAAGCCTAAGAATGAGCTCGACTCGTACGACCAGACCTTCACCAGCGACACTACGAAGCGGGATCCCAGCATCGATGGACACGAGGCATTCCTGCTGGAGAATGGGGCAGCTCCTGCGATTCGCCCCAACGTGTAACCTTGGTCTCCCTTTCGTTCCTCTTCCTTCCACTCTTAATCTCATTTGCCTCTGATTTTCATCTCTTTCAAACCTCTCTTCGTGATACCTCGGTTCTAATATCCCGGGACCTGCTCAGTCACGTGGAACATTCTGTGCGCACGGGTAGATTATCTATGCTCCCGTTGATTCCCAGCATGCTGGCTGATGTAAATATATGTTTCTCCTAAGATTAGCACTATCAAAATACATACTCTCCTTTACAAATCCAGTACTTAACGTCAGAAACAACATAGACAAAATTCGTGAGCGCTTCAATGTGTGCCTGAGGCAATCAGGCATACATCAAACGCCCGTTTGCCATAGTTAGTCACTTTGAAAGCTTACAGTATTTCCTGGTAGTTTTTAGTTCGCTAATTGCGCAACTTGAGCAACCCAATTTGGTCGTTGTCTTTAAAAGACCCAAGATAGAATTCCTCTGCGATTTCGCTCACCCACAATCGTCAGGATGTTCGAGTGGAGAGCCTTGTAGCCTTGCAGCTTTGCAGTCCCACCAACACGTCAATCAGCGGGTCGGGTATTTTTTCCCACGATCCATGAATGTTGACCCCACCGTGTAGGGCACGATACGTAGGTACCTACTGTACCCGGGGACTTTCAAACGGCCGGGTTCAACAACCTCCCTAGGACCAACAATTGTTGGTGACCCTGGCCCCGTATTGGAGAATGACTATCAGGTAGAAGCTGCATGGGATTGGAACAAGTATCATCTAAATAGCAGGTACGATACACGAATGAGCCAGGTATCTATAAGCTGTATTGTTATGTATGGAAGTAATTCTAAACGAGTGAAATTTACAGGATGAGGTAATATGCCGACGGGTCGGGGCGCGGAGGAACTTTCTCATCGACTGATCGCTAGCGTCTTCTTAGCACCGGTCCAGCCTGCTCTCTAGACACCGCAGGCCCAGCTGGAAAAGATACCCGGTCCTCTGACAATAATATCAACAGCTGCATTTAGCCCCAACACTAACCTCAAAAGTAGCAAATTCATCCGACATTGCACCACATTCTTTTATAAGAGCGAGAAGATCATCCCGCCCCCAAATACTATTCTTCTGCAGCCAGAAACGGAGGAATTCTAATGCTTACACCCCCGGCTTATCACCTTAGCTTGATCTCACTCACTCACTAGTGCAGAATTTCCCCCTCTCACCTTCACAACAGCTTGGTCAACTTCGCGTCCGAGTCAAAGTTCCCACTCAGATACGGCACCAGCCCGGTGATGGCGACGCCAAAGGCGTCGGTGGTCGCGAAAGCTTCGTGGGCCGCGAGCGACTCCCAGCCAACGAGGGCGACATACGTGGCGACGTCGATGCCAAGCGAGGGATTGGTGGCCGTACCGCGGTGCCAGCCGCTAGTGGCGTAGAGTTCCCCCGACGCCGACTCGACGGCTGATTTGAGTGTTCCGAAGGCCGACTCGAACTCGGTCTGGTTCTGCTGACTCGTGGCACCGGGCAGGAGGTAGAAGATCGCTAGCTCCGTGTTGGCTACCCCGTTCAGCGTCTTGAGGGGCTGCGCTTGGTCAAACGGCACGTTGTATTGCGTGATTGTACCGTCTTGCAGGCCGGCCAGGAATGAGGAGACGGTTGAGGAGCTGATGATTTGTGTCACTTTTTGCGCCGCGGAGGAATCGTCGAGGTCTGTGAGAATTTAGTTAGTTTTTTTGTCTTTTTGCCATTTTTCCTTCATCTTTCGGAGTCTTTCGTGTGGTTCTTGGTGTTTTTTGTTTGATGTTGCATTGGGTTTGTTCATTTGTCCCGTTGGGAAAATATAGATCAGGATGAGGGAGTATTCTTACCAACAAACAGGTCGATGGTGTTCTCGTCGCCGCTCTCCCGTGCGTAAGATACCCCCAACACGCCGGCGCTCTGTTTGTACGTATTGATCAGGCCCGTCCAGGCTGATTCGCTAGGGATCGAGACGGAGGCTTTAACGGGAATCTGTAGAATGAGCGTCGATCCGTACGTCCCTGCCGCAGCCGTGGGTGCACAAAGCCAAGCCGGCAAAAGACAACCAAACACCGAGCAGATCTTGCCAGGCAACATTGTTGGTGATGGTCCTAAGATGATAGGTTGATGATCGGCCTTCTAGAAGTTCTAGTTGGGTAGGTTCTATAGCCAGATGATGAGGAACGGGAAGATGGTTGATCGTAAAAATCTTAGATTGGAAGATGATGAGAAAGTATTCGACAAAGAAGTATAGAGAGTAAAAACCTCGTCTATCCTAGAGCGAACTTCCTCGCCTTTTAAACATTCCCCCCTCCTCCTCCTCGTTCCCACGCCCGGTATGTCTCTGGATCTCTTGCTCCTTCTGTTTCGCCTTCCTTCCTGGCGTTGGTCATTGCGGTGTGTTTTAGCGATAACATACTCAGATGAGTGGTTCACGCACAAGGGAATACGAGCAGAGAAGCAAGATTGAGCACTAAGATCAAGCAACTATCGTGACGCTATTCCTGCAGGATGCGATGGTCCGGTTCGATCATGCGAGAGAATTATATATAGTAGCGTGTTTCCAGAACCATTGGGCGCTGATATAAGGGTTAGGCTCGAACGGGGTGGTTCGTGTAGCATTTTGCAAGGACTCGGTGTATTTGATCGCTTCGCTCTCTCCTGTTCTAGGGAATTGCGTCAGATCGTGAATGTGCATTATGCGTTCTTGTGGGTTCGTTAGGTCTATCGCGAACCTAGCCGAAGAACATCGTCAAGTTAGTGTGGTCGGGATGCCACATGTTTTTGCCACATGGATACGAACTAAAGAAGTCAGAAGAGAACTTCTGTAAGCCTGGTAGATCGTAAGACTCTACATTAGCGAGGCTTGTCAGGTCGGCTTATTGGGGCGCCCGGCCATGACTCTCACGCTCTTGAAGAATACTACTTTCCATCCAAAGGCGAACGGGATAAAAGGGCTTGGAGCAGACTAGTATCACAGTATCCATCGGAGACCTCTGGATTACACATGTTCAAGGTGGTAAGGCATATGGGGGCGGAATTACTGGCACACGGCTCAGGACGCATGATAGACCGTTAGGGTTAAGTCAAGTATGGTGATGATGGGCAGGTCATATAAAAGGCCGCTGCTGCCAAACGTCGGACACTGTCAGAATAGACCTCCAGTGAGAACATCAAAAGAATCTTACGAGAGTCTTGCATTCTTCTTCAGCATAATTCTTACCTACACATTACTTGTTGCGCGAGCCGTCAGAATCAACACAATGACGACCCTTCCAGTCTTCGGTAAATTCACAAACGGCGAGGAAGTTGCGGCCACGTTTGGCGATCGCATTCAAGGAAAGAATGGTATTGCTATCGTCCATTCTTTGTTTTACACCCGCGCTAAACTCCGTATACAGTGCTGGTGACCGGTGGAAGCTCAAAGGGCCTTGGTGCTGCCACTGCTAGAATTCTAGCCGCTCACAAGCCCGCGACCTTGATCGTAACTTATCGATCGAAGGCCAAAGTTGAAGATGTCCTCTCTGAGTTGCAGTCCATCTCACCCGAGACCAAAGTCATCGGTCTAGCTCTGGACTTGGGCGATCTCGAGTCAGTCCGCGCGGCGGCCAACGAGCTGAACCAGTCCATCACGCACTTGGACATCCTCATCAACAACGCTGGTGTTATGTCCGTCCAGGACCGCGAGCTGACCAAGTTCGGCATTGAGATGCAATTTGGAACGAATCACGTTGGACATTTCCTTTTCACTAACCTGATCCTCCCCAAGGTGCTGGCCGCCGCGGAGAAGAATCCCCCCGAGGCTACGAGGATCATCAATATTACGGGAGGCTGGCATCAATTCAGTCCGATCCGATTCGACGACTACAACTGGGAGGGAAAGCCTATCCCAACAGACCAGGAGCCTAACAAGGCCGTGCTTGCTCACTTCGGGGCCAAGTCTGAGGGAGACTATCTTCCTGAGGCGGCCTATGCTCAGTCCAAAACAGCCAACATTCTCTTCTCGGTGGCTTTGAACACTCGGTTGAATAGCCGGGGCATTGTTTCTTATGCCGTTAACCCAGGAGGTATTTGCCCCATGTTTGGTCTTACGCTGCTTGATCTTACCAATATCTAACCTGTTGCCTAGGTATCCTGACTGAGATTGGTCGCCATATTCCCTTGGAGAAGGCTCAGAAAATCATTGAATCCGGCTTGTTGGACAAAACCCCCGAGCAGGGAGTGGCCGGAGCCATTGTGGCTGCGTTGGATCCGAGGGTCACTTGTAAGTTGCGTGATTTTCGGTGCTACTGTCACTATGTCCCTCCTATTTGCTAATCACTACTACAGTAAGCAACCCTGTTTACCTGGATGATTGCCAGCAGATTCCTCCTTCAGGATATGCTAGTGACCCGGAGCTGGCCGAGAAACTTTGGAAGCTGACTGAGGACATTGTCGGACAACAGTTTACCGTGTAATATAATTCCATGGGGGCCATATTCGATGGTAAGCAGATAGTTGCATGTTGAATGGACGTTTAGTATATCACGAAGTCAAAATATAGTACCATTTATTGTTTACCGGGAGATATTGAGATTTACAGTACTGGTATTCAAATCGTATGAAAACTTTACTGTACCAGACGGTATCTTTGTAGATGACAAATCGTATTGATTACTCATCCCCAACGGCTGCGGCCCGCTAGACCCATCTTGGCCAGGCTAGTCCCGAAGGAGTAACAAGCTAGCAACTCTAGTCATCCCGCGGACAAACAAGGCGGTGCCCACCTTCGGCCATAAACAGGAGTAAGGCTGGCCCATCTTCGCCTTTTTTTGCTCTTCCTCTCCCATCTCAACTCCATCCTTCTCAGAATCCTGACATCTGCAAACACGCAATACGAGATGATCGAGACACAAATCGAAATTGCAGCCTCCCCAGCCAAAGTGCGGGAAGTGGTAAGTGCACTCCATCCGCATGATCATCCTCCTCCACTTAATCTCCGATCCGGTGGAGCTGCGCACCGACTGATGCTTTGACCATCATAGCTACTCGACTTCTCAACCTACGGGGAATGGCAGAGCCTCATCAAACTCCTCGAGCCCGAGGAAAATTCCAAAACCCTCCAGTCCCTTCAACCGGGTGACAAAGTGAAATGCGACGTGGACGGCATGAAGTTTACAGCAGTAATCAAGGTACACAACAACCACCCTCGTGTCCAGTCTAGATCCTCTCTCTCTTGTGGCATCCCATCTCCCGCTCGCTTTCGCTTTCTCTTAGATGCCAACGTCAGCTAAAACTGAGAACTACGGCTAGGAAAATTCCGAGAAGTTGTTCCAATGGCAGGGCCCTCCCGTGTTCGGTCTCATTGCCGGACTTCATAGCTTCCATCTCGAGCCCGCCAATGGTGGCGCATCGACTGCTTTCAGGCAGACCGAGTTATTCACCGGAGCCATCTCATTTATGATGAGCCCCTCGTTACTGGGAAAGAAGATGGTGGGCCAATACAACCAATTCAACAAAGACCTCAAGGCCCGTGCGGAATCCTTAAGCTAGTGGAGCAACAGATTACATTGCTGGAAAGGAATGACTGAATAATAATATCGGATTATCAACATCACAGAAATAAGTGCTGAGTGACTAGAACTGCCTACCAATCAAGCAGAATTGGCCAGCCGCTGCAATTTCGCCGGCCGAAGCAATCCGGCCCCCAATTTTCAAAGAGTCTATCGACCAATCTCTAGATTTGAAGCTGTAAAGTAGCGCCGCCGTCAACGAGCAGACCACCTCCCGTCATATAGCTGGATCTAGGGCTGCTCAGGAACATGATAGAGTCTGAGACCTCTTCTGGATGAGCAATGCGACCGAGCGGAACCACTCGTCGAATGATGTGTTTGAGGTTGGGGTCGCCTTCGATGGCTTCGTCCGTCATTGGCGTGTCAACCCAAGACGGACATACGGCGTTAACACGGATTTTGTATGGCGCGTTATCAAGTGCTGGACAAACGTTAGCCGATAACTTTACGCTAGTGTCGTTGCGAATTGGTCCGTTCTTTTTTCGTTTTTGCTTACCTGCATTTTTCACCATACCAAGCACTGCATGCTTGGCTGTGGTGTATTGAACGATTCGCGGTGTAGCCACATACGAATTGCATGATCCAAGGGCAATGATAGCGCCCCTGCCAACTTCCCGGGGCCCAGTGCGCGATGGCACGGTCATGACGTCCTGTCGTTTCATAGCCGCGCTTACAGCTTTGAGGCAATTAAACGTGCCTTTCACATTCACGCTCCAGAACCGATCGAGTTCCTCCCCTGACGCTTCTGCAATTTCCAGCGGACTTCGAACGCCAAGCTGCGGGGCGTCTTCAATGTCAGCTTACCCCCGGCTAGTTTAGTTTGGCTGAGACTCACGCCAGCGCTATCCACGCAGTAGTCAATCCGGCCCACATTGGCCACGGCCTGCCGAACCATGGTCTCCACAGATTCTTCGTTCGAGACGTCGACTTCGAGCACATGGATTACCAGGTCGTCCCCACTCCTCTTCGTTACCGCTTCTCTGCAGAGCCTTGCCGTCTCATCTGTCGCAATCTTATTGATGTCTGCTAATACCAGCGCACGTGCTCCCTCGAGCGCATAGGCAATGCTGACATCGCGGCCGATGCCCGAGCCTGTGCAAACCCCTATTAGTCGGTACAATTCCCTGCAATGAACAGGTTTCTTCCACGTAGTAGACGCAACCAGGAAAGAGAAAAAGGGGCCGGAAGGAGAGACAAAAAATGGAAAATAGGACGTATGCAGACTCGGCCCAGACCAATGAGATGAGTGAAAGGGTGAGTCACGTACCGGCACCTACGATGAGTGCATTTCCAGTAATATCCATTGCGAGGCTATGCCAGAAAAAAAGAAAGTAACAGAGAGACTGCGCTTAGGGAAAATAGTAATCAACTGAGACAATGGGATGAAGTGTGTGAAAAGGTACACCCCCAGACCGATGAAAATCATGAATCTTATATAGATACAACCCCAAGCTGACCGATTAATAAGCACAACTACGCTGAGTTGCTAAACTTATACACATTTCATGTTTCGGGTTACAAAATTCAATTATACATGGAATCACAGCCTCCGGAGTGTGAGTTAATCCACCTTCGCTCTTGCTTTTTCGCCTTCCTCTACCGCTTTCCTCAGCTTATCAAATTGAAAGTCACGAGCAAAGAACCAATCCTATATTGAATGTTAGTGACAAATCTATCTGACAGCTGAAAGGGGCGAAATAAAAATACCCAGAATGTTCGAGGTAACATGGCATCCCATATCCGGATGATGGTTGTTAGGTTTCCGTGCCAAAACCACGCAGAAGGTGAGCTTTTTTGCACTTCGGCGAATACTCCAGATGCGTACTCGGCTGGAGTCATTGTGTCTGTTGCGAAGGTACTCAGTATATGAACAAACCCCTATCGATTTTAAAGGGGACTCACTGGGTGTCCGCCGTACATGCGCCTTGAACTCTTCACTAAGCGGTTGGAAGATCGAATCTAGTCGTATTTTTCAGCCTGATGCTCAAAAATAGCCGTTCGAGCAAAGAGCTTACCAGCAGGCAAAGAGGCATCATAATCTCTTTTCAATATGTTTGTGCCCACTTCCCCCGAAATCACAGTGATCACCTTGACCCTGAGATTGCAGTTAGCGCTTTGCGGTCTCAGAAAGGATACAGAATGCCTTGTACCCGAAAGGCTTCATTTCAGCCCTGAGTGTATTTCCATATGCATGCAAAGCAGCCTTGCTCGCATTGTAAGAGGCTGTGTGAGACATGCCTCATCAGCAGCCTTTCCACAAATGGTAAATAGAAGGTTGGAGACCAACCGCCATAGATGTATGGCACAATACCACCAATAGAGCCGATATTTACAACGGTTCCTTTTGCTGCAACAATCGACTTGTGAAACACCCTGACCATCCTCATTGGTCCCAGTACGTTGACGGCGAACATCTTCTCAACCTGCGATACATCTGTATCGACAGCTGGCATCGTATATACTAGAGATAGTAAGCCGCAAATCCAGGAGCTTACGCGGTCTCAACCAACCAATTCCACTAGAGATCAGGTCAGTAGGATCAGGAAAACATGAGGGTTAGGATTGCCATACGCATTATTGATCAAAACATCAAGCTTCCCTTGAGTTAAGTCTCTGATTGACTCAAACAGGGATTCACATTGTGAATCACTGGTAACATCAGAGACAAAAACGTGGACTCCGAGGTCTTCCAGGTGATCGCGGGCCTCGTGAGGAAGGAGGGTTGCAATCACAGTATAACCTAATAGAGGGGATGTTAGTTGACACCAACTGCCAATAGCCTGTCCGAGACGTGCACACCTCCGGCGATAAATTGAGAGGCAAGGGCATGGCCAATTCCGCCTTTTCCACACCTAGTTATGGATTGTCAGAAGGCATGCACCCATTTCTTTCGGGGTCGCTTCTTACCCTGTGATCAAAGCCGAAAGTTTTCGCTCCATGTTAGACAGTACTTCAGTATCAAGACCAGCGGACAGAAGCAGTTACAGATACACAAGTTCGTTTCCCACCAGTTGATGCCAATTGATAAAGAGGGGGATCAATCCTGTTGACACAGCGTTACACTGGCCCGTCTGTCATGCGATGATAAGGCTTTTTCACCCTGGTCAAGGCTGCTAATCTAAGGATTCTCAAAATGCAGGCATCCAAATTGAGAGAGGCGATGTCAACAACAAGTAGCGCAAAGACACGAAGGTCCAATCACCGAAATAGCCGGCCTAACATCCCATGGTCCGAGAACATGAAGATTCTAGACTACGAAGCCAATCAGTATAGCGTGCTTTAATCAAGCATCGCCCTTCTTGCCCCGCTCTTACCTCAGAAATCGAGGCTCGTTATCGTGAAGCCCTGGGATTAGACCTGAGGCCAATGGCACGTGGGGGCGGTATCAGCATGACAGCTAGCTTGGCCCCCGAATTCAAGGACGGTGGAAACCGTCCAAAATAGATTACTCACTCCAACTGGGGCTGAAGTCTGCCATGTGCTGACGGACAAGGAGCAGGAACGTGGTTTGCTGCAGGTGCTAGTAGCGCACTGGTTCCTCACCATCGGAATATTGGGCCTGTTAGGACAATCTTACGGTTAGTGTCTGCAAATGGGCTCCCCATAACGCCATTCTGGGCACTTACAGTATTGTCATTTCCATCGTTTCTTGCAATTTCGGCCTGTCTTGTGCCTGGTTTAGACTAGCTAATGTTTCCTTCCAGAACCAAAGGCCTGTAGTTAGGCAATTCTTTCGGCCTCGCCAGGTACTTCGTGAATATTTCATTTCATTTTAAGTGTCATGGCTGTGTTGATAGGATTCTCTATATATACCAAGGGGGAAACTCTGTGACACGCCGATAAATCCTCATCTTCATAGGAACACCACGTTGTATCCTCGCTGAACAATATTCAAGGCTTTCATACTACCTGACTCTTTTGTTTCTACTACACGATCATTTCGGCCTTTTGCACATACTTCAATTAGACTCTGCTACCTTTCCTTCTACTTTAATACACACAAGAATACAACATGAGCGTCTCATCCGCATCGAGCTTTGTGGAGGTGGACTCTGATAGATCTGAGAAGCCCACGCCTCAACACACAACTGAAACGATTGGGCTACAAGAGCCTATCGCTATTGTCGGCCTAGGTTAGTTCGATTGAAGGTATTCACAACTACTATACTGATTCAACATCTAGGATGTCGTCTTCCTGGAGGCGTCTCGTCGCTTGACGACTTCTGGGATATGCTCATCAACGGCAGAACAGGACAATGCGACATTCCACCCTCCCGCTTCAACGCCGAAGCCTTCTATCATCCCGATAAAGAGCGGCCGGGAAGCATGAACACGAAGGGTGGTTATTTCCTCAAGGAAAACATCCGAGACTTTGAGAACTCTTTCTTTGGTATCAACAACCTTGAGGCTACCTATATGGACCCGCAGCAGCGAAAGCTGCTGGAGGTTGTATATGAGAGTTTCGAGAGCGCTGGTGCTCGTCTGGAAGATGTCTCGGGGTCCAACACCGGTGTGTATGTTGGAAACTTCACAATGGATTTCCAAGTCATGCAGACGAGAGATCCGGAGTATCTTCATCGTTACAGTGCCACCGGTATGGGAACGACTATCCTGAGTAACCGTGTGAGCCATGTTTTCAATTTGCTCGGACCTAGGTATGTGGATTCCAGCGATGAGATGGGCTTTTGCAATCTTGCTGATGGAGAAACAGTTTGGTCCTGGATACTGCGTGTTCTTCTTCTCTATACTGTCTTCACACAGCCGTCATGGCTCTACGGAACCATGAGTGTGATGCTGCGGTCGCAGCTGGGGTTAATCTTATCCAGTCCCCAGAGCAACACATTGGTACAATGAAGGCCGGGGTGCTGTCGAAAACGTCGACGTGCCATACTTTCAGCGACCAAGCCGATGGCTATGGACGCGCGGACGGTGTTGGAGCCGTTTATGTTAAACGGCTCAGTGACGCCATTGCCAACAAAGATCCTATCCGAGCAGTCATTCGTGGATCTGCGGTAAACGCGTGAGTAGCATTAACCTGTCTGTACATGATTCATACGCTAACCTACCTCAGAAACGGTCGTACTCCTGGAATCACACAGCCAAGCTCTGCTGGACAGGCAGCTGTGGTTCGCAAGGCCCACGCCCAGGCAGGGCTGAATCTTCACGACACTTCGTACGTGGAGGCGCACGGCACTGGTACTCCTGTGGGCGATCCCATTGAGATTCGTGCCCTCGCGGACGCATTCTCAAGCAGACCGAAGTCCTCACCTTTGTTGATTGGATCAGTAAGCCATCCCTCACGCCCCTTATGATACGATGATCTAGCACTGATGCTCAGAAATAGGTTAAAACCAATCTCGGGCACAGTGAAGCTGCCAGCGGTATCTCCAGTATTATCAAGGCCGTTCTCGCTCTTGAGCGAGGAGTGATTCCCCCAACTGTAGATGTTGGGACTATGAACCCGGACATCAAGACGTACGACTGGAACGTCGAAATCGTCACCCAAAACACGCCGTGGCCCTGCGATGGTTGGAATATTCCTCGAAGGGCCGGTATCGTAAGTCATCAATTGTGAGACACGGTCTACTTATATGATGCTAATCTTTAGCAGAACTCGTTTGGTTACGGCGGAGCCAACGTTCACGTTGTGCTGGAGGCGTCCGACTCGTTCGTGCCAGCGGGCTATCACAAGAACGTGGTCCCTACTTCGGTGCTCAATCTTATCAATAAGAAACTCCTCTTGCCCTTTTCAGCCTCCAGCCAGTCGGCCCTCACAGCCAGAGTGTCCAGCCTCAGCGGAAAACCTGCCAATCTGGTAGATCTTGCCTACACTTTGACGGCACGTCGGTCCAAGCTGGCAACCAATGGCTTCCTGATTGCCTCGCAGCGCACTCTGGCGGACGACCTAAAGCCTGAGAATCTGATCATTCCCCGCGAGACCAACATTGATGTAAGCAAGGGGCTTACATTTGTGTTCACGGGACAAGGCGCACAATGGGCCGCAATGGGAAAGGGTCTTATTGACCAATACGCTGCCTTCCGCAACTCCATCCAGCAGTTTGACGCGGTTCTCAAAGGCCTCGAGCATGCCCCTTCCTGGACTCTCCTGGACACTCTGACTCAACCGGCTGAAAAGAGCCAGATCAATGAGGTCAGCCGGGCGCAAACGGCATGTACCGCTCTGCAGGTTGCTCTGGTGGACCTTCTCTTCTCCTGGGGTATCGAACCATCTGCAGTCATTGGACACTCGTCTGGCGAGATTGCAGCAGCCTACGCCTCCGGCTTCTTGACCTCAAAGGAAGCGATTACCATCGCCTACTACCGAGGTTATGCGGTCAGCAAGTTATCTATCAAAGGACAGATGATGGCCGTCGGGTTCGGGCAGGAGAGTGCGGTAGAGGAGATTGAGCGTAACGGATTGACCGGGAAGATAACTGTGGCTTGTGTCAACTCGCCCGAGAATGTCACTCTAAGCGGTGATGCCGACGCAATTGACACTCTACACTCGGCCATGAGCGAATCGAGCGTCCTCCGTCGCAAACTGCTCACTGACGGACGGGCGTATCACTCACACCATATGGCTCAAGTCGGTGCCGAGTATGAGAGTCTCGTTCGAGCCAGCTGCAAGCCACTCGCGACGCGCGTGAAGAGCAAGGCTCATGTACAGTGGATTTCGTCTGTGTTTGTTACCTCGAACACAGACACGATCGATTACTCCTACTGGCGACACAATCTTGAGAAGCCTGTTCTGTTCGGCCCTACTCTGAAGAAACTGGCCGAGACGCACTCAACTCCGTTGGTGGAGATCGGTCCTCACGGAGCCCTGAAACTTCCTATCAAGCAGACCCTTCAAGATGTTGGAATTACCGCTCCTTATTTCCAAGCTGTCACGCGTGGAGAGTCCACCGATTCGAGTCTCTTGAAACTCCTGGGTAGCTTGTACGTGGCTGGTGCAAACGTGCCTCTTAACCTTATCAACGGCCTCGACAATGTAGCTGCTGCTAAGGACCTCAGTCTTGTTGGCAAGATTGTGAAGGATCTCCCCACCTACCAGTGGACATACCAGCAGACATTGTGGAACGAGTCGCGTGCTAGCATAGAGTTCAGGAACCGCAAGTACCAACGCCATGAGCTGCTTGGCTCAATGACTACCGGCAGCAACCTGGTGGTCTTCACATGGCGGAACGTTCTCAATGCCAACGATGTGCCATGGATTCAAGACCACAAGCTAGATCGCACTGTCGTATTCCCCGCCGCTGGATATATTGCCATGGCAATCGAAGCTCTTACTCAGGCCTTGGGCAAGAAGCAGGCGGACGCTTTGTCTTATGAGCTGCGCAATGTCAACATCATGGCCGCTTTGACTTTGTCTAGCCAGGATAACATGGTTCCTGCGGAGATTTTCACTACTCTGCGAAAGAAAAGTGTCTCTCCCACTGTCAAATCCAAGAAATGGTGGGAGTTCGAGATCGTTTCCGTCAAAGATGGAATCTCATCCACGCACGTCCTTGGTTCTATTGCGGTCTATGTGCCTCGTGCGCCTCTTGCTGCCGCTGTTAAACTGGACGAAGCTCATGGCGAGCCGTCTGCGGTGCGCAACTGGTACCAGAAGATGAGAGATGAGGGTCTGAACTTCGGGACCCAATTCCAAACTATGAGGACGCTTCGCGTTCCTCGAGGCCGGACGGACCGCTGGGCCATCTCGGAGATTGATGTCCATCAACAGACACCGGGGGGTATCGAGCATGATTCAAGCTATACCATCCACCCTGTCAGCATCGATGGCATGTTCCAGACTGCCATCATTGCCGGTGCCCACGGAGTCATTCCCGATCTCCTGGCTCAGGTTCCCGTGTCTTTCGAGAGCGCCATTATTCGCGCCCCTACGGCTGCGGATCTCGCCAGCAGCTACACAGTCTTTGCTGACTCCCATGCGACGAGTTTCTCGACCGCTACTATCTCCACGGAGCTGCGTAAGCCTGATGGACAGGTGCATGCACAGGTCCACGGCATGCGTCTGAGAACCTACGAAGGGTCTGCGAACAACACAGATATAGTGGAGCGTCAACCGATGCTTCGTGTCTGCTGGAAACCGGATCTCGCCAGTCTACAAACTGCCCCTCATGTGCTCGAGGAGTTCATTATGGGCGAGGCGGCGTTGGAGAGACTCTCGGCGCAGGTCTGCCCCTCTGAAAAGCTTTACCGCATGCTGGGAGTCTTGGAGCTCTTCTGCCACAAGAACCCCCGAGCTCGAATTCTCTACTGTCTCGCCGATTCTGATGACCTGACCGCTGTGGGAGTGTGTATGAGCAAGCTGGGAGCGGGAACCGAGATGCCCAACTACAGCTCGTTCTCTGTGGCTGAGATCACCGATGAAGGTGTGGTGAACAAAAGAAAGCTTCTTGAGGCCGGCCCGCCTGCAGACCTTAAATCGCTCCCCGTTGATGGCAATGCGTCCACTTATGATGTCGTCATCGTGCCTATCGCATACCAAGACCAGCAAAAGAAGCAGATCGATCATCTCCTGCCATTGGTCGGCTCCAATGGTCTCCTCCTTATGCCGGATCCTTTGCAGTCGTTGCCCAAGCTGCCGCAGGAGGCCGACGAATCAACCACCTGGGAAGCGTCTAACATCTGTGGATTTGGACTCCTCCAGAAGCGTACACAAGACCCGAAGTCGGGAGCTCAGATCGAAAATCTCGTCCTTGTTGAAGAAACACTGGGTACCGCGCTGGGCGATGCTATTCTATCGACAATCTCCCGCATCGCAGACTCGGTCACTCGACTGCCCTTGGATGCGGTCTCGGAAAGCACCATCCCTGCCAAGTGCACTGTTGTCACCACTGTTGAAACCGCCCAACCCTTCCTGTCCACTATGGATGAAGAACACATGGGTCTGTTGAAGGTCATCACCAACCGTGCTTCCAACGTGGTCTGGGTGAACAGCTGCGGTATGCTGCAGGGTAAAAACCCGGACATGGCTCTCGTCGGCGGTCTTTCCCGATCCTTGATGCTGGAGCAGCCGTCTCTTAGCTTTTACACTCTGGACATGGATGGCAAGACCACACCCGATATCACTGCTAAGCATATCGCCTTTATTCTCTACCAGAGTGTCCTGTCGCCGCACATTGACTACGAGTTCGTCGAGAGGAATGGTCTGCTGTACATCAGCCGTTTCCTGCCCGACTATGCGTCTAATGATCGGTTCCAGCAGACGCAAGGAAAGCATATCAAGCAGATGGAGCTAAAGGACGCCGGTGATTGTGGTCTCTTCCTGCAGGGAGCTAGCCAGGTGCACTCGCTCTGCTTCAAGCAGAGCCCGGGCCTCGCTCAGTTGAAGAGCGATAATGTCGAGGTTGAGGTGATCGCTCACGCTATCAATGCTCAGGATAGTCAGGTCATTCACAGCAAGGCGGAGACCAAGAAGTCTACCTGCGGCACGGCGTTTACTGGTATTGTGAAAGGAGTCGGTAGCTCTGTTGCCGGTCTCGCTCCTGGAGATCATGTCGCTGTGATGGCACCTAATCACTTCCGTCTCACCGATCAGGTTCCTTCCTGGGCTTGTCAGAAGCTTGAGTCCGCAGACAGCCTCACCGAGCTTGCAACCATTTTCGTCCCGTACGCCACAGCTCTATACGCACTGCATGATCGCGCCCACATCCAATCCGGGGAGTCTCTGCTCGTGCACATTGACTCGTCAGGCATCGGACTAGCCTCTGCTCAACTCGCCGCTCTCTCGGGGGTGGAGGTCTTTTGCACCGTGCTCACGCAGGAAACCAGGGACTTTCTGATCAAGTCGTATGGGATTGACGAGAACCGAGTCTTCGTTCTGGACGAAGCAACCTACCTCGCAGACATCCAGGCCGCAACTAACGGTCGCGGTGTTGATGTCGTATTCAATCTGTTCAACGATGACCTGCTTCACGACAGCTGGCGAGCCTGTGCGGACTTCGGCCGGTTCGTGGAAATCGGCAATCGGACTGCCGAGGGCTTGGATATGAGTTTCTTCTCTAAGCAGCTGACTTACACTGCGTTTGATCTGGAGAGTCTCTTTTATTCGACAAATCCGGCTGTTTGGAAGAAGTGGACTAGGTGAGTTGGCTCTAACCTTAGATATCTGGTGAACACACGCTGACAAGGTACGATGCGCAGTCTAATGCAGAACGTGTTGAAGCTGTACCGGGAAGGGCGCATTCAACTTGCCGAGCCTTCGAAGGTCTTCGATGTTTCTCAGGTTTCTGAAGCATTTCATTATGCCAATGCAGACAATCTTCTCGGCGGTGTCGTGGTTTCGCTGGAGAACCGCAGCTCCAAGATCAATGTATGTCGCTGTGATTCCTATCCATGTCGTCCTCTATTAACCGTTCAAACCCAGGTCCTTCCAATGAAGTACGCCACCGTGCTCTCTTCCGAGAAGACGTATCTCCTAATCGGCTGTCTTGGTGGGCTCGGTGCATCTCTTGCCAAATGGATGTTTGCGCGTGGCGCACGGAAGTTCGTCTTCCAGGGTCGATCCGGAGCGGACCGTCCTGCAGCACGTCGTCTCGTCGAAGACCTCCAGTCCCTTGGCGCTGAAGTGTCCGTCGTTCGCGGAGACGTAGGCAGCAAGGCCGACGTGCAACGAGCCGTCGACAGCATCCCCGGTATCCTCGGCGGCGTCGTCCAAGCCGCCATGGGTCTGAGCGAAGCCCTCTTCACCACCATGACGAACCAAGCCTGGCACACCGGCATTGGCCCCAAGCTGCGCGGCACCTGGCATCTCCACGAGGCTATCGCCGCGCGCGAGCAAACCCACCCCCTCGACTTCTTCCTCATGACCTCCTCCGTCTCCGGCAGCGTCGGAACCGCCACCGAAAGCAACTACTGCGCCGCGAACCACTTCCTCGACGCCTTCGCGCGGTACCGTCGCGCGCACAACCGCGCCGCCAGCTCGCTCGGCCTCGGCATGATCTCCGAAGTCGGCTATCTGCACGAGAACCCGGAGATCGAAGAGCTGCTCCTCCGCAAGGGCATCCAGCCCATCAACGAGGAAGAACTGCTCCAGATCGTCGACATCACGCTCAGCCAGAACGCCACCACCCCGGGGTTCCTGCGTTCCGACCCCCTAGCTAGCAGCCACATCCTGACCGGCCTCGAGCCGCTCGCCCTCAAGGGCCTCCGCAGCAAGGGCTTCGACGTCAGTAACCCCATCCTCTCGGACCCGCGCGCCTCCCTCCTCGCCACCACCATCGACGGCCTGACCAACGCTGCCGACGATACCCTCGGCGCCGCCGTCTCCGCGGAACTAACGCAAGCCCTCACCGAGGCGGGCGAGGGCGTCCCCCTCCGCGACACCGTCGCTGCGCTGGTGGGCAAGCGGTTCGGGAACCTGATCCTCATCCCGGCGGAAAAGCTCGATGTCAAATTACCTCTGTCGACGTACGGCATGGATAGTATGTTGGCAGCCGAGTTCCGGTCCTGGGTGTATCGGGTATTCAAGGCCGATGTGCCGTTCTTGGATCTGTTGTCCCCGACGATGAGTTTGGATTCGTTGATTGATGGGATTGAAAAGGAAGTTGGTGCTTTGATGGCTTAGTGCGTTTGTTTATTTGTTTGATCGATTGATTGGGTTGAATTATTGGATTGGGCTGGTTGGGGGGGTATGAGTTATGATTCTTGGGGTTGGGTTTCTTTCCTGGAGTTTGGCGTTTTGTATATATTTTTTTGTCTGCTTGCTTGTTGCTTTGGATTGGGCTGGGTTGTTTGTGTTTACTTTTACTTTGTATACTCTTTCCTTCTACTATATATTTCTATCATTCGACTACTGTTCTATTTAAAATGACTTTGTTGTCCGTAACCTGTTCCTATGATCACGTAGTGTGGTACGTAGTTATATCCGGCACTATCCCTCATCTCCAGGATTCAGACAAAGTAGATAAGAACCAGAGAATCACCACATCGGCAATACGTAGAAGAAGAGGGTAGATTAGGTATCAATTACAATAGCTCTTACGGAGCACTTCATTTCTGCTCTCAATGCCTCATAATGCATACATTACATTACATGTCTAGGATTTCAATGCGTATATTGAACACAGCTCTACAAGATTATGATGCATGTACTTGTCTTCATGAAATTAGGTAGATATCCTATCGTATGTTATCCTGTCAATCGCAAGGAGTACAGTATATCGACACGGAAAGGAAAAGAAAAGTAAAGAAGAGAATAAAAAGGTAAACACACAAACAGTGAGAAGCAAGGGATACAGTAGCATACCTACCTACCAACCCACCCAACCACCCAATAAACCTATCCTCAGCTCAGATCGAGCACGCCAACAACAGCAACCGACCCATCCCAGCCAGCCATCCTACATACCAAATGACAAACCGAAACCCCCCTTCACCCCACAGTTATGCACCGGACCTGTCCTACCTGAAATGCACATACCTACCAAGTTCCTCCGATGCCGAATATCCGAACTCCAAGATCTCTCCACCAGGCACCAATCACAGCCACCTAGGTACATACTCACCTACATACCACAGCAGAGGATCAAGGGCCGCGTAACGGCACCTCCGAAGCCAAGTCCTGACAAGCCTTGAACAGAAAAGCTTGTTCGGGCAGGAGGTTCCGTGTCCCTTGCAGAGGGAAATCAATGGAGAGATCGGAATGTGAGCTCCGATGGGTGCTGTGTATTGTGTGACGTGAGCTGCATGATGCAGCGGAGGGGAGAACAGGGTGAATTGAAGAAAATGCCTCATAGATGAGTCGGGAGATTTGATTACATTTGAAGATCGGTTCTGGGTGATGCATTGTACCCTGTTGCACGGTTCTATCTCGGTGTCTACTCCAGACGGAGTGGCGTGTTGTTTGTCGAGTGGTCCATGGGGTTCGATATTGAATGTGCTTTGGAAAGGGTGCTCTAATTAGTGATTAGTAGGCGAGTGCTTGCGTAGAAGGGGTGATCTGGGTACGTAGATTTCAGAGGTCCTCCTCCAGTACTGCATAATCCGCGGTACATACTCCGTACTTCTGGAAAGGATCAGGTTCACCGCCGAATGCACACCGCTCCAGATGCAGGGGCTGGCGGTGTCACCTGTGCCGTGACTCATCGCGCATCGTCCCTCATGTCCTGTCGGGTCCGGTATCAACTAGAAACGAAGCACTGGTTCTAGTCAGCCTGCCAAAGATCTGAGGTCGATGTATACCTGGTGAGTAGAGCGAGACACTTTCGACCCAAGACACACTTTGCAATAACCAAAGCATAGGGGAAAATAGGTAGTAAGATATATAGACAATGAGTTGAAAATAAATCATATTCTAAAATAATAAACACAAATCTTTATGAATTCACTGCTATAAGTATATTTTGTCACTCGGACTGAGGCTAATTGAACAAAGATAAATCAGGCATTTATCATCATCTCTCATCAGGGTCGTGAAGGACGTCGGTGTCGTCACTCAGACGGTGTGGAGGTGGTGGTAAGGTGCCGCAACAAAGCCCAGAAATAAGCATGCGCGCCCCCTGCCCGCCATGGGTAAAGGTGAAGGAGGAGGAAAGAAACAATCACTGTACCCATGACGGCGGATAGTAATTATCCCCGTTGTCATCCATCGGGGTCGCCCCCGGATCGAACAATGCCGCCGGCCAGATCGAGTCAGTGGCAGACGTCGTCATCGGCATACTCGACGTCGGTGTTGTCATCGGCTTGAACGCTTCGGCATCCGACATAGCATAGACCTCCTGCGACGGAAGCGGCTTGGAGTCCATGCCCATGTTCGCCTGCAGTTGGTGCTCCAGGGCAGCCGTCGATTCGTTGGCGGACTTGAGGAAATCGTCGATGCTGATTGACTCCAGATGGTTCGACGACAAGAGCTGCGCCTGCGGCAGACCGATGAACGAGGAGGCGGAACTGATACGGAAGTTATCCATATCTGATCCTTCACTGCCGCTGTGGAGATCGGGGAGATCGGCGCCCGCGGTTCCGATACCGGAGAAGGGTCCGAAATCCTCCACCTCCGAGATGTCTCCCGACGATGAAGGAGCCGGCAAGCCGGTGGTCATGGAGTTGTAGTCGAAGCTAGCGTAGGAGGGAGCTTGCGTGCTGGTGGCAGCCGGAACGTCCGACGAGTACAATGGGAAGCTGGACCAGTCGACGGGCGGGGCACTGAACCCTGCAGAGTGGAGGGGCAGATCGGCTTCCGGCGAGGTGAAATAGGACTCTTTGTAGGGATCTTGGAAAGCCATACAGTTCACCGGGGACGTGGTCGTTGTTGGGAACGAGGAATATGACGAGACGTCGAGAGGGGGGACACTGGTCACGAGTTGATTCAGAGGCGTCTTGCCCATCGGCTGCTGCACGGACGTCGTGGGTTCTGAAGGCGCGCTGTGATCCGTCGATTCCTCCAAGGGTTGAGCCGGGGGAAAGAAGGATGAGAGATCGAGCGGGGGCATAGATGTTGGGACATCCTCCGTAGCAAGGACGGGGGCACTATCGGGAGACCCATGTTCGGATTTGACTCGGCGTTGAGGACCCAGGGGAGCAGACATCTGCTCCGGAAACTGCGGGTTTGCAAACGGTAGCGGCGGCGGCGGCGGCGGCGGCTGCTGCTGCTGCTCGTTCATGAAGGCAGCTTGACTTAACGGCAGATGGTCGATGGATCGTCGAGCCACATCGGACGTCGAATGGATGGTATGCGACCGCGGTATCGTGTAAGGCAGGCCGCATTTGTGAGCCATGTCATTGTGTTTGTGAGCCGGCTTGTGGTGACCATCCCGAAAGATGGTGAGCGTGCTTTCGGACTTGGTCGACGTCAACTGGGGTTTTTTGGGCAGCTCCGACAGAGAGGTATGCGGTGGCGGAGGCAGACCCGTCTCCGGGACAGGATCGAGATGGGGTTCCTTTTTCAGCGCGCAGGTGCAACGTAGCCCATGGGAGCAGCCACATCTTGTACGAGAATCCTCTGTGAAATGCAGATCAGAAAACAATGAACCGAACTACCATCGCCAACATGCTCACGCTTTAGATCCCGCTTGTCAACAGCGTGGGGATCTGAATCATGCTTGTGGCTATTCTTTTTCTTGTCACCACACTCGCACTTGGTGTGGGTTGTCCGTGACTTGCGTAGGCCGCGACAGTGAGCGCATTGAGAGACTGGGCGGCCCTTTTTATTGATGTGGGTCAAGGGGCGGTCTGGACGAAGAGGACAGTTTCCCTCCGAGTCAGCTTGGGTTCGATCTCTCGCGGCATGCCTGCGTTGTTCGACTGCGGGGCAATGAAGGACAATTGAGACTTACCGCTGTGGTGACAGCTGCTGACACGGTGACCCCGGACGCAAGCTTCACAAGCCCACTTCTCGCCATCGATCAGCATAGCGACGTTACTGGGTAGCGAACATGCGACGATTCGCGACGAGAAATAGAGGAAAATCAAAAGTAAGAAGAGCGACGAGAGAACCGATACGGACGGGTCTCTCGGACAGAAGCGTGAGGTTTGTTTGTTCGCTGCTTCGTTCTCTTTCCAACTTTGGATTCAATATTTTTTTTTCTTTTTTATAGCAGAAATTCAATCAGCCGAACAGGAATCCCTGTCGGGAAGGAAGCGAAAGGGCCGTCAAGGCGAGAACTCGCGGACGAGGTGTGCGGTCCGTCGAAGCGATCGGACCGACAGGAACCAAGAAACTCCAACAACGCAGGGGTATCTTCAATGAATATCCCAATGCACCAAAATGATGCCACAGAAAACGCCGGGTTCACCTGTAAAGGGAGGGGCCGCAACCGAGAACGGGAGGACTAGTGGAGAACACCTTTCAATTGAATTGAAGGGTGGGCGAAGAGTAGTATTGAAGTGAAAGGTGGCGAGCGATACTCAAGGCACCGAGGTACCAGGAGCAGGGGGGGTGGTGGTGAGGAGGAGGTGGGGAGGAGGAAGAGAAGTGAAGATAGTCGATCCGGAACTAAGAGGAGGCCCAACAGAACATGGAAAATGAAGAGCACAATTCAACACAAACAACAACTAATTCGCGGGGGGCCAAAGCCTACGCACCGTTTGGCGCCGGCCGTGAGACAGGACACCAAAAACCGGCTGTGGCGGCCAAGGGAAAGGGGAAAAGCGATCGATCTGAAGGCAGAGCTGCGAAGACACCCTGGGAGAAGAGAGAAAAGAAAGAAGGGAAGAACAAAAAAAAAGAGGAAGGGGGAGAAAAGAAAGAAAAAGAAAGAAAAAAAAAAAAAAGGAAAAGGAGAAAAACGGGGGAAAAAGGGAAGAGGGGAGAGCAGGAGAGAAAGCGGGAAGAGAAAGTTGGAAGTGCGCCGCAAGGAAAGACTTCTGGCGCTGCTGGTCGATCTGCCTGCCCGGACTTGTACCAATTCGTGTGTACTCCGGACTACGCTATACTGAGTATGTCTATGCTATAAATACTTTTTTTTATTTTCCCTTTCTATTCAATAACCCAGGCATGAGCTCAATCAACAAGATTATTAGATCATAACCCAGACAATTTCCTCCAAAATTAATGCCCTATTACATAAATACCCCATCCTCCCCAGGAATGCAATGTCATTCTTCCAGTCCAGACTCTTTCCCAGTTACCTAAGAGCTTCGCAGTACCTGCGTCTCCTCGAGGATTACAGTACGGTGACGATACCGAACTGCGCCAGCCTCGTGCTGCGGTTCAGCGTCGTCTCTCTTTTCTTTTTTCCTTTTCTGTCTGTCAAAACAGGCTGAATCAAGGAGCCCGATCCCCGTCATCCCCGTGGATTGCTTCGGAATGGGTGATCTGATGCACCGGTTGCCTTGCGCCGTGGTCCAGGGACCTCTCCGGCAGTTTCGACAATCGCGTGGTGATAATATCATCATGCCGGTACACAGTATACTGAATACCGAATAGTAAATATCCTCCGGTTAGGTAATGGATATGGACGTGGCCTGGGGTCTCCAATCTTTCCCCATCGAGATCCCGGACAGGGCATCCTGGGCTTTGCCTGAGGTCCTCCAGAGCCCAGAAGTCCGGAGAGTCCAGTCAGCTCAGCTCAGCTTCCTGCAGCGCACTGGTCACACTGACCGTCCATGTACACCGTATGCAGGCAGGATGGATACTGACTTCCTGACTTACATGAACATCGGTCCTCCGCGGACTCTCACGCAAGGGACGCGAACTCTTTCCGGTTGAACTCACTTCAGCTGCCTCTGTCGCATTCACAATGCTATCCCCTCGAGGCCCAAACCGGGAATATTCGACCCCAACCGCGATTCACGCTGAATTTCGTAACCTAATTCCAATTAGTTAGGTCTTAGGGTTTGTGACCCTTCATGGAAGCAACAGAAAAGAAAAAGGGAAAAAATAAAAAATAAAAACTGGAGCCCCAGTACGGAGACTAACCAAACTCTGTCTTACGGGCGATGGATCCTCTTACGAAATTCTGGGGCAGAAGCCGGGCCGGTGATGACTTGGCTGCGTGTTCTGCCTGTCTGGGAGCGAAGAGGGGCTCTTCTTTTTTGCTTCCCTTTTCATAGACCGAGTTTTGTCCTCTTCGCATCCCCTCATCGTCTTCCATTTTCGGGGTTGCTCGAACGCAATGACTCGAGGATCTCGGCGCCAAACCTGATGGGTTACATCATCGGAGGCGAGGAGTGAGGCCGTCTGGAGGCGCTTTCGTCGCCTCGTTCTAGAAAATCTTTCGGATCTTCCGTGCAGACCGATAGGCGTGGAAACGTGCGGCGCAACAGGCACGGGGATTGGACCGTGGGTGGGCGGCAGGCGTGAACCACGGATGGATGGAAGAGCGTTGCGTTGCCGAGAAAGACAGCAGCCAAACATACTGCAGGCAGGGATCTCCAAAAGAATCGCGATCACATCTCAGTCCGCAGTGTACTCAGAGTCTCAGTACTACTCGGTAGAGCAGGTCCTGCCTCAGTGCCTACCGAGAAATGGACGGAGGGCCAACCGCATGCCTTCTCCGATCCCGTGACGGGCGAGACGTGCGATGGCGTCATGCCTTCTTCTTCGGGGCGTTTGCAGGCGGTCAGGCGCTCTCCGATCGGCGGCCTGGATGCCTGGTCTCTCCACCAATCGCCGTCCCCACCGGGTCTGCCCGGCTGCGATGCCTGAGCCTGAATTGCCCGCTTGGAGACGGCCCTTTTGTGCCTGTAAGTTGTCTACCTATCGATATCCATGGATGTGATCACGTCCGTCAATTCCCAGCGCATCCCAACATCAAATACCTACCTATCCCCGTCCCCCCTCCCTTATCATCCCGCCTCACAGAAATGATCAATCGACTCCATCCCGGCGTCTAGTCTCGACCCGCGACGGTCGAAAAAAACCTGAACGGTGACCGCGAGGTGGATCGGCCCTCCAATTTCACCTCCAATCCCCCAGACAAGTCCCACTTCGCTAGCCGCGGACTGGCGCTAAACGGCGCCGGCCTTGGGGGTTGGTCCAAGTTGGTCTTGGTCTGGGAGTCCCATTCGCACCGAGACTTTCTCCAGTTGGGAGGATTGGTCCGTCGCGCTGTGTTCGGGCCGCGGTGGATAATCCTCTAACTTAAGGCTACCGAACTCTAGATAGGGAGTTGGCTGGAGGGGCACTGCGGTGTACTCCTAGTCTCCTAGTGTATGTAGTGTGACTGACCGGTCTAGGTGTGCGCGGGTGACTGACCTGGTGACTGTCGTCGGTTTGTGTTGGGTTGGATTATGGTTTGTAGCTGATGTTGTTGATTATACTAGCCTTGTAGTTACAGAAGACGTGAAGGTGTTGAGTGTACCTAGGTAGCTTCGAGACGAGACGGACACAACTTCTACCTTCAGCATTATCAAGTTCTACTATGTCAACCACTTTCTGTCAGTACGGAATATCTCCGACCTACTCAACAGGGAAGGAATTGTCCGAACCAAAGCGAATAATGACATCGTAGTATCAGCCTCGGCCCTAAAGATCGCATCATATATCAATACAATCAAGTGGGACTAACCAGCCAATATTCCAAGAGTGCCTCTAATTCCAATCTTGATCCGATCATTTCACAGTGACCCATCAGCTCTATCTACTACACACTCGAGGAGCTATCTGAAACAGCTAAAGAGGCCCACTCATATGTCTTCAGTCCTTGTATATAGAATGAAATAATACTCCATCCAACTCAGCACTGCTCATCCAATGCTCTGAACATGGAAATTCAGCCTCGTCCCAAATCACACACTCGTATACTTCGTACATCAGATCTATCCAGCCCAGAAGTGCCTTGTCGGTCTAGAATGAGGTGACGTATGTATATACATCAGTGGAGATTGAAGAACCGTATGCCATCCAGCTCCAACCAGCGTGTTGGCCTTCTGGCGTTGATTGCTCAAGACAGATCACATGTTTACTTGGCTGCTGGCCTGGGAGAGATCGAATAGACAGACTTATGAATTGATCTAATACTACCGGAATCACGAGTCGCAGGCAGGACAAGCAGGTGTTCATATCAATTCAATCAAGGGCATCTCTGTCGTGCTGAGGATGGGTATTGATATGAATATGAGGACATGTTCAACCCTCTGGGACATGATATTGTATATTAACTAAGATCGAGATTCGATTGACTATTTGGGAACTGGTTGGGGTGTACGTAGTGAGCTGTGCAGGTTACCTACCATGTCAAATAGGCGGGTACTGTACCAGGCAGGTATGCATTTGGTGATCTCCATAACTCCATGCAGGAGAACAGACAATGGGGCAATTGTGGCGAATCCGGCAACATGGGGACAACGCTAGAGCCCTAGGGTGTAAGCAGCGTTGATTGATAAGATCCACTAATGTAGAGGAATTCTAGCCTGGTAGCTGAGTATTATCCTAGAATGAGGTTAATTCATCCTCATCTCTAGGCTTACCCTATTGCTGAAGTATAGTACACGGGTTATCTGAAACACTGTATTAAACCCCTGTATTGCAATAAATATTGTCAACAAGATGTGAAGCTATATATAAGTCTATAAGTGTAATTCGTGAGATCCGCATTGATTCTTTTTCGTTGTCCAAAAATCGGTTTATTTGTATTTGGCCATGAATTCGGCGTGGAACTTCACGATCCGCTCAACCCAGTCGGTTCCCGGAGCCAAGAAAGTCGTGCGGAAGTGAAGAGTGTTCTCCTTCTGTCCGAAGCCGGAGCCCGGAACGACACAGACGCCCGTAGCGTCCAGGAGGCGCAGGCAGTAGAACTCGTCGGCGGCGCGCTTCTCCTCGGCGGCGGCCTCGACGGCCTTGGGGGGGAGCGTAATCGTGGGGAAGAGGTACATGGCACCCTAGGTGAAGCATTGACGTTAGCAACTGATGTGGACTACGGAGTACCAAGGGCTAAAGACAACATACCTGGGGCTTTTGGCACTCCACA